TTGTGCGTTACTGCCAAACACACATTCCTGTCTGCCACACACAGCTGTAAAGGTAAAGGTATATGCACATATATTCAGTGTCAGTGATAGCAAACCTTTTGAACTACAACACCCATGATGCACTCCCAGTTTAAAGACTCTCAGAGAGAAATAGTTCATGTGTCTCTTCTCAATTCCAAGGATTACGTTCACTGGTCTACGACATGCGTCACTACGTCAATCACTACTTTAGATCAACACAGGTCACCAGCACTAGAGTAATTTGCCAAAATTAATTTATTATACCAGGTGTAACAGTTAGTTCTTGCACACTCACAGACACTCAGATGTTATAAGTAGTCCGTATAAGTCCATATCAAAACAATGAATAGAGTAAGAGGGAGGGAACCAGGGACATTATTAATGGCTCAGGAAACATCAAATGGTAAATTTGTATTTTAGAGTGTATTCACCGAACACTGATTTGTAGTGAATTGAACACTAAATTGCAAAATCAAGGTCAAAATAGCTAATTAATGTATATAAAAAAAAAAAAAAAATCAGTAATACTATTTTAGAGTAAATTTTATACTTCGGTTTTCGATTCACTAAAATATGCAGCGTTATTCGTAAAAGTCTGAATTTTAATGAACCCAAATGGTAAACCTTAGGCTAAAGTAGACGATTTGGAACAATTCTCCAACTCAACTATAGCCACGACCATTTTAGTCTATGAGCTTAATGAATAATACTAATGGTGTTTAGATTGACAGTTTTGTATTTTAGTATATTTAATAGGGTCAGCGATTTAAAACCCTGGATCTCTCCACAGAATTAAAAATAAAACACTCTCTAAAATACAAAATTACCATGGCAATTTCTACCCCAGTTAAACATGTCTCATTAAGGTGACCTGGCCAGCTCTGGCTGGGTTAAAAGGGATATTTTATTTATCTTTCTTCCCTCGCTGTGCTAGTCTCGTTAGGGGTACTTCTGCCTCTTCGACTGAGATCATTGAGATTGATAGGAAGCTAGTGCGCATGCACGGCAAAACGCTGTGCCAATCAGGTAGTCTCTCTGAGACGTTTTGATAGAAATAGCTGAGTTTTACTCTGCTATTTTACTGGTACGACAATGATTTTGGCTGCAGGGTTAAAACTGGGGGGGGGGGACATGTCACCCAGACCACTTCAATGAGATGAAGTGATCTGGGTGTCTATAGTGTCCCTTTAACTCTTACTAAAGCAGTGTCCCTTTAACTCTTACTAAGGGTGCGTATAACATATTCCAGATGGGCGTACTGACATATCAGTGTATGCACATACTGTTATATATTCAAGATACTTCCTGCAAGGTCACCTACATCAAAAACATGATCACGTTATTTTCAACAGATCTTAAACTCTACTGCGTAGAACACAGTGTGTCCCTCATCTCTCTGATCTGCCAATTCTCCTGTGTGTAACTTGCCTCGGGCTCAGATTTTGCTAACAGCATCTGTAGTCCATACAGAGGGGTTTATTCAGTAAATACCAAATTGCAGTGCATTAAAAACCGAATCGCAAAATTTAAGTAGCCAAGTTGACTGACTGATGGTAGCTCGATTTTTTCCAAATCAATTATTTTTGCCTGAATTATAGCAGTACGGTTTTCAATTCACTTCAATTCAGTGTTTACAGAATAAAGCCCATTGTCTATGCTCTCTATCTGCACACCTCTCTGCTTCCCGTTTCTGTGGAGTGCAGGGTGGGGGCATGATGATAGTGGCAGGCCACTGGAGATGTTTGTGTTAAATGCCTCCCCCTGCTTTGTTCTGGTGGGGAGATCTGTCCGTTGAATACAGATTGTTTACTGCAGGCAATATTGGCTCATGTGTCTTTATTTTATCTTTCATGTTTGAGAATGTTGCAAGTTATGCATGCTGTGTGTATCGATCGGGGTTACTAACTAAAGTTGTGTGAGGGGCAAATAAGGCCGTAAGGGAAATAAGTCGGTCGAGGTGTGCCGGAACCGACGTTGTGGTAGGCCTGTAATAAAAGAGGGCCCACCCATGAGGTGTAATGAAAGTATAGATAGAGGGAGTGGAGGGTGGGGACATGCGAGTCGCTAAAAAATTTATGGGACGGAGGAAGGTGAGTAGGGGGGTTTAAATAGGTACCATGCCCCTCCCACAACTGCAGGCCAAGCCTTAACATTTGTGTGAGGGGCAAATAAGGCCATAAGGGAAATAAGTCGGTTGAGGTGTGCCGGAACCGACATTGTGGTAGGCCTGTAATAAAAGAGGGCAAAAATTGGGTACCTGTCAGAAACGAAAAACAATCTACAAAACCTAATTGCCTAGCTGTATGGTAAATGCAGAGCGAGGAAATAGTTACCCAGCACTTTAACCGGCACTCTTAATTGTGCAAGGGGAAGTAAGGTATATTAAACATGTTGGCCCCCTAGGGTAGACTAAATGTGGGGTAGAGAGGGTAATCAGTAGGCTGCATGAATAGGTGAGACTTCCTAAGATAATGCTGCAAGAAGGACGTGGTGGCTGTGGGAAAGTATGTGAGACCCAAGAAACTGTGGAAGCAGGAATAGCGGCTCAACAACTAGATTACAAAGTTAACGTGACTAGTGCCCATCAAGTACAGCCTTCCTCACATTTGTGTTTAAATGGTTGATCCAAAAGAAGGCGAAGAAACCCAGTTTGAAGCGCTTCCAATGTGCAACAAGCTGGGAAAAAATTCCTTCTTGACCCTATAATGGCAGTCGGATTTCCTTGGATCAAGCAGTTATTGCCCTGCATTGAAGGTTGACGCCCGGTTCGTAGTGTCAGGCATTTAATAGGTCTGATAGTGAATGAGATACTTGGATGTTGATGTGAAATCTGTAAATTTGAAATTCCCTGGAACCTGAAACGCCTTGAGTATGCTAATAGTGTGGAATGAGGACATGAAACTGCGTATGAATGGCAAACCTGTACAACATGTGGAGTTGTGAACCGGATAGGTAGAGTTGATGCAAGTTAGAGGTGGCAAAAAAAAAAAAGCAAAACCAAAATGCAGACAATATAGCAACAGATACAGTATCAGTATACGCGAAGAAGGAGCCTCAAAGGGGAAGAAGGCCCGAACACACAAAAACCGCGAGCATTGGAAAAAGAGCCAGAGCAAAAAATGATGACCACGAGCTAACCAGGCTGGCAGCCCATGGACAGGCCCCCCGAAAGGTGCCGGAAGCCTAGATCGGACCCAGCCAAAGTGGCAGATGCCAGTTACCCCAAACTGCCATCCGACACCGCCCCATAGACGACGGCAGCGAAGACAACCAGGAGGCGAAACGGAGAAGTAAGAGCAAACTCAGGGGCCCCCACCAGCAACAGCGTTACCCATGGAGTGCGGACTGAGAGTTCAGCTGACCATAAGGCTGCCGGGTGGGGGGAAGGGGGGGAGGTGCTCGCGAGAACTGCAGTGAAGCAAGGAAGGGCCCAGGACCCGAAAAAAAGGTAGGAGTAGCCGAAGCACCAGTGCGTGAACGGTACCAGACCAAGCCAGAGAGCCCAGGCGGACAATACCACGCCAACGCCTAGCAGCAGAGACCTGCTAGAAAAGAGACGAATAGGAATAGGCAGCGCATAAGCGACCTAATGCGTGTGTGGGGGGGTACGTGTATGTGTGCTGGCATACTAGCTAATACCAAAAGGCGAAGCAATTAAAAACTAAATTAAAGGCTCTATCTATGAGTTGGCGCGAGGGTATAACGTGGCCACCGAACGTTGTGGCGGGGTGTTGGCCTCTCGGTGACAGCTAAACATAAGATAGGATGGGAGTGACAGGTGAGGCCCTCCCTATGCCACAATCCGAGACAACTAACTATGATTTGGCCCGAGGGGCGTAGTACCTCCGAGCATGAGGATGGGTGTTGGCCTCGCAGGATCACTAACCTAGGCGAGGAAGCCAGGGGAAATACAACTAGTGGACACCTAGGACCTTGACAGCCAGCAACAGCTAACTAAGAGGGGAGGCAAGGGAGTGTGAGAGAGGATGTACCCGAGGAAACGTGGAACGAAAATGTAGGGGGGTTCAGGAAAATAATGTAGCCCGATGACTAAAGGCGTGCAGGGAAACGGGAAATACTCGAATGAAGAACGTGGGTCAGACCCTGCGACTGGGCAGAAAAACCTAGGATAGAGAAAAAATTTTAAAAAAAATCATGAGATTAATTTGAGTATGCACAAAAACCAACATATTCTATAAAAGGTCCGTAAACATGCAAAACCGCCTCGTAACAAAATAAATAGCGAAAGACCCCAAATAGGAAGAGAGAACCTAACAATGGGGTGTAAAAAGGTAGAAATGTAAGAGTTGCGAGCCCAAAATCGACTACTAACAATGTTTATCGGTCAGGTGACTGCAGGAGGTCTAAACTGCTCAGTGGGTACTACCTCCATGTAGTACAACCAGAGCAGTAGAGAAAGGGGATTTACACATATAAATACATCCAGCTCTGCTACTACTAATAGATTAGAAAAGTGTACAAAACAACCAGATGGGGACAATTCGAAATACAATGGCTGTCCATTACTATTTAATTATTAGGGTTTTTTTGTTTTTTTTATATTGCTAAAAATCTCAGGCAGCATGCACTCTATCGAAAAAAGGGGGTAGAGTACTCTACAAAGTATTGGAGCCAACACCCCATATAAAACCCTCCACACGAGGGAAGAAACTATGGATCATGGAATCATAAAAGTTTAGTGTATTCAGAAACATTACTTACAGCATGATACAGCAGACGAGCAAGCTAAAGAAATTCCATGTACTAACGCAACCTCAAATAGCCTGGCTTCCCCAGTGCCCAAGGGGGTCCTTGCAACATTGTATCCAAGAGCGGATGCCTCATAACCAAAACCCTGCTTCCACCCGCTCCGCCATATGTAGCTCCGTTGTAAGGCAGCTGAGCGCACGGTGAGTGAAAGTCCTATAACAGACGCGTGGGCGTGTGTATGCCGTAAGCAAATCCCAGCAAAAGAAATGGGCTCTCTGATCGTGTGAGGCATTCGTGCAGCAAAAACAGGCGAAATGGCGGGAGCGGTCGGGTAAAAACATGCGAAACGCCCGAGAGCCACGAACCCCCCAGAACCATGCGAACCGAGCGATCAATAGGAACAAGGGGAAAGGAAAACTCCCGAACGGAGGTAAGTAAACTCACGGCAACAGAAGAGATGAAAGGACGGACAGCCGACCGGAGCAGAGCCCCAGCAACAACCGTGGACGAGACGAAAACGTCGGGGGAAATGGCAGGCCAGGCAAGGAGAACTGCGAGGGAAGCAAATGGCGTCCGGAAATAGCGACATGCGAGTCGCTAAAAAACGTACGGGACGGAGGAAGGTGAGTAGGGGGGATTAAACAGGTACCATGCCCCTCCCACAACTTCAGGCCAAGCCTTAACATTTGTGAATTCTCACTTTATTGAATAACCCTTTAAGTTATTTATTGAAAGTTACTGTTCGCACACAGCTCCAGACAGGAAGAGCGAGAAGGGGTGAGATAATAATCGGGGCAGTGCCAGTGAGTAAATATTCAGCAGGTACAGATAGGAGACACAATGCTCTAAGCAGAGATAAAATAGTTCAGTGTTGTCAGATTCTGAAGGAAAAATCTTGATAGCGCTCTGTTCATTTAAGCGTGAAAGTGTAGTGGTTATGGTGTAAAGAGTTTGTGTCTGCTGTCCTAGGATTCCATGTACAACTACCTAACATTTTAGTTTGACAGAAAAAATGTGGGAGGGCGCTCACATACTCCTTTCACCATAACCACTAGATTGAGCTGTAGTGGCTATGGTGTTTAGAGTGCAAATATTTTCTGTTCTAATATGGAGAAATATATTTTTATACTGGACATTTTACTCGGTTGGGAAAAGAGCACGTTTTGCAACCCATACACAGGTAAAATAATCCCTCCCCCCAATCCTAGAGATGTTTGAGCTGCTGACTTACATATGCTGAATATATTATGTAACTATGTTATATTATTATTATTATATTCCAGTTATTGCAGTATTATTATAAAACATTTATTATAAAATTAAAGGGACACTCCAGGCACTTCTGCCCATTGGAGTGGTCTGGGTGCAAACTCCCACTACTCTTAACCCTGCAACTGTAATTATTGCAGTTTCTTATAAACTCTAGTAGACAGCCACTAGAGGGCACTTCCTGGTTTCTAGCACAGCGACGCTGTGTGAGGACCTCCAGCGTCGCTCAATTCCCCATAGGAAATTCCTATGGGTAGCTCTAATGCGCATGTGCAGTTTTCACCCCTTCAGCAACCGGGAATGGGGGATGGGAGGGAGAAGGGACCTGCAGTGCCAGGAAAACGGATTGTTTTCCTGGCACTGGAGTTTCCCTTTAACCCTACACTATGCTATAGTAACCTGCAATAGTTACCGCAAACCTGCAGCATTTACAACACTCCGAGCAGCATTACAAATTTAATGCAGTTATTTAATTAATTGTATTAATATGCTGTATTATTTACGTGCTTAATTCTTCTTTTTGCTCATAAAATAAATGTTTTGCAAATTACTGCACCATAAGCCTTTTAGCCACATACCCTCACTCCAGAAAAATACTTCCCTATCAAATGTATGTACACAGCTCAGTCACTGACAAAACAACCTGCACTACAAGGAGAGGACACCCAGGGAGACAGATAGTAAGGATATCACTGCCTCTTTGTAATGTCTCTGTCTTCAGCCAGGTTGTGGATTAAAAGCTTGTTTTATATATTATGGCGAGTACACACTATAGCCATTGCTGCCACCAGTGGCGTACACATGACCCATGGGGCCCTGTGCGAAAATTGATCCGTGTGTCCTCCTCCCCCCCCACGCTTACACTGCGCCGGCCGGGGCCGCAACACATGGCAAACTGCTATGTTTCACTGAGGGTTAATCCAGCTTCCGTGATTCTAAGACACTGAACGTCCATGGGAAAGCATTGAGTAATCTATTGGAAGCAGGAAGAAACCCCCTGGCTATTTGATTGACTATTTGTGTTTTATTAAAATTGATAAAAATTATGATTTCTCTTAAAAAATCTGTACTTTTATAAACTGTCATTATAATTAGATACTCCTCAGCCATAAAGGGTGGGTGTGGAGTGGGCCTTTAAGACTTAACAGGTGTGCAGGGGTTCATAATACCCTCTTCTGTCTCATTAGAGATTTTCCCTTGCAGCTGAAGGTCAGTGCAGGACTCACCTAAGAGGTTTCGCCTTGATGTGGCAGGTGAGCTTACACTCTAATGGTGATTGGAATGATACTAAAAACCACCAATTATTTAAATGTGAATAGTAATCTGTGATAGTGCGCAAGTTGGTTTTTGTTTTATGTATTTGGGCTGATGAATACTATAGTCATTGCTGCCGCCCAGGAGTAGTGGGAGTTTGATTCATTTTGTGTTTGTAAATTAAAAGTATCTTACTCGGTGCTGTTAGGGGCTGTGTGAATACCATTAATAAGGATGTTTTCCCGTACTGTGCTGTATAATAACTTCACATATTATTTTATTATTTATATAGCGCCAGCAAATTCTGTAACGCTGTACAATGGGAGATGTTGCATTGAAGTGACACAGACAAAAACTGTGTTGGAAACTAAAATATTAATTTCAAGATTTAGACTAAAATAACCAAGCTGTGATTTATAGCGAAGATGGAGTTTTTTCCCCACTTTCCTAGATTCAACAATTTGGTGTTTTTTAATTGATTACAATTTGAATGTTAGTGTATATTATCTTTTGCTTGCTCATGTTGGATGGCAACATTGCCCCCTAGTGGACATATACAAGAATACAAGCATAACCCTGCCTGCATTTTCTGCAGAGCTCTCCCCTTTCTAAATGCCCAAAGGATTTAATTGAAAACAACTATTTTCATGCCGGGTTTATTGGACGATTGCTAAAAGGTAGGGTTGCATTCCTTTCAAGTTTCATGAAACCATTTTTAAAGTGAACCTGTTACGAAAAAAATAAATGGACCTTAAATCGTCTCTATATACATTGATTACATCGTGTCACAAATTTACATGGACTTACTATAAAATATACTTACTTCCCCTCTGTTCAAGTGCCGCCCTCTTCAGAGCTTTGTGGGTGTTAGTCTTTGTGTTACACCCACCTCCAGTCCGTCGTCTTATGTAATTTGCCCTTCTTGGGGGAAAAGTCCGAAACCTCCTGTGTGACACCAAGACGCTAACTTTGTTGCCGGCATCAGAATTGTAGCGTTTCCATAGCAACCACAGCATATCCGCTGTGGTTGCTATGCCTGGGAGAGCAGTAGAGCCGGCTGTGGGAGTTCTTGTGTGCTCTCCCTTCTCTGTAATATCGTCGGCATAGAGTCTGTGCTGAAGATTTGACTGAGAAATGGGAGAAAGACAGACCTATTTTTAAATAGATTTTTCTCCCAATACACTTACAAGCGAATCTGCTAGCACTCTATAGAGATGAAATTGTATTCTCTTTCAAAGGAGCATAAGTAGTTTGGGACATGACAGGTACCATTAACCCCGAAGCCGGGCTTTAAAGTCGAAGGGTAGTTATTATTATTATTATTATGATATTTATAGAGCGCCGTCAAATTCCGCAGCGCTTTACAATGGGTGGACGAACAGACATGTATTTGTAACCAGACAAGTTGGACACACAAGAACAGAGGGGTTGAGGGCCCTGCTCAATGAGCTTACATGCTAGAGGGAGTGGGGTAAAATGACACAAAAAGGTAAGGATAGTATTAGACTAGTGACAGTTGCAGAAGAGGAATCAGTCAGGAGCTATTAACAGTTTAATTGATACGTTTTTATGAAGAAGTGGGTTTTTAACGATTTTTTGAAGGAGTGGAGACTGGGTGAGCATCTAACGGAGGAGGGAAGCGAGTTCCACAGGAACGGTGCAGCCCTCAAGAAATCTTGAAGGCGAGCATCAGAGGTGGGAGTACAGACAGAAGATAGACGTAAGTCTTCAGCAGATCGTAAAGGCCTAGACGGGACATACTTGTGTATAAGGGAGGATAGATAGGTGGGAGCAGCATTATGTAGAGATTTGAAAGCAAGAACCAGAATTTTAAATTGAGCTCTATATTTTATAGGAAGCCAATGTAGGGACTGACAGAAGGGTGAGGCATGGGAGGTGTGGGCGGACAGGAAGATGAGCCTCATCGCCGCATTCATTATGGACTGTAATGGCGCAAGTTGGGAGCACGTAAGACCACTGAGAAGCAGGATTACAGTAGTCAAGGCGAGAAAGGACAGTGGAATGGACCAACACCTTAGTCGCATCTGGCGTTAAGTAGGGGCAGATGCGCGCAATGTTTTTGAGATGGAAATGACACGATTTGGCGATAGACTGAACATGAGGCTTGAAGGAGAGGTCGGAGTCAAAGAGAACACCTAGGCAGCGAGCCTGCGTGGTGGAGCTGATGGTAGCACCGTTGACTTGGAGGGAGACAGACACAGGAGTAACAACACTTGAGGGAGTAAAGACCAGAATTTCAGTTTTGGTCAAGTTTAGTTTAAGGAAGTGGGCAGCCATCCAGTTAGAAACAGCAGAGAGGCAGTCAGAGACACTAGTCAAGAGGGACGGGGAGAGATCAGGAGAGGATAGGTAGATTTGCATGTCATAGCATAGAAATGATATTGGAAGCCAAAGGAGCTAATGAGTTTACCAAGGGAGGCAGTATAGATGGAGAACAGTAGGGGACCAAGGACTGAACCTTGGGGGACACCAGTAGTGTAGAAGTCCTGCGTTTAGTGGCGCCCCCGCGGCATGGGTACTTACCTGCTGCCGTGATCCCAATTGGGGGGTGTGACGAAAGTAGTGCCAGGCGGTCCGTCAGAGGGGGAATGCCTGGTCTGCAGCACATCTGGCCCCTCAAGCACCCATGGGCCTTGTGATCGCTCTCACCGAGCAATCAGAGTTTGCAGGAATCTATGATCTGCAAACTTTCTTTATCTTAGGGATGAGCATAACCACCTGGCAAAGCTAGTGGGTATGCGGCAGCCTCCCGCAGTCAAATGCCAGAGCTGAAAAAACACACAGCAACAGCGTTTCAGCCAATTGGGTAATCAGGAGAGCCGTGCTGCGTGCGGGAATCCGGATTATTTAAGATTTTTAAATTGGGAAACTACCACGAAGCACTTAGAATATATATTACCCAAAGGGTAGAGAAACTTAATTAAACATCTAAACAAAAATAAATTATTTAATAAGTCATAAAGACATATGAGATGGACTTGAAAACTCTTGTATAATGCACACAGCTAAACAGATAACAAGGCAACAATGTATGAGCTTAACAAAGTATCAAATAGACACTGAAACTGGAACATCGTAAATTGCAACAAAATACGTTTTGTAAAGAAAAATGAAATGTAACAAGTCTCTGAAAGCAGATTTTTTATTTTTTAATACAAGGAGCACATGAGAACTTCGTATTGCAGATACTGCTAGTATTCAATCTTCCTACATAGGTGGATCCTTGGTTTGTTGGTCTTGTCTTGAAGTACGGTTATAGTTTGTAAAAACAGAAAACCATTAAAAATAGGTGGAATAACCACAAGATAACCTTATGTAAAGAAAAACAAACTATCACCAGCAGGCAAAACCCTTACCCTAGGGGAGCGTGAGACGGCGCTATTGCTAGGTGGTTATGCTCATCCCTAAGACAAAGAAAGTTTGAAGATCATAGATTCCTGCAAACTCTGATGTGTCCTCCGGGAGGCATAACCACCTAGCAAAGCTAGTGGGTAGAATAACACAGCTGGTGGTGGTCCTAAGCAACTAAAGGCGTTCAACTTCTGATGACCTCCAGTAAAATCTAACAAAAGGTTTTACTGGACAACCACCTTGCAGCTTTCAAGATAATAGGGAGGGGAAGGCCCTTTGCTGCCGCTTTGGAAGCCGAGACGCCCCTAATTGAGTGGCCTTTGAATACAGAAACATCAATACCAGCCAAAGACATGGCGGAAAGTATCCAACGTCTAATTGTATTAACCTTGGCTGGACGAAAAGGATTCCTTGATGTAATAAATAATTGACAGATATCATTTCTAGACGCAACAGAAAGGTCAAGGTAAGCTTGTAACAGACTGACTAAACATAAGCTGGGTTCAGAAGGATCTTGAACCAAATCCAATTCCACCGGACCTGGGGAAATATGGGATGGTTTTTGTCTCCCTTTTAGTATAATATGTAACTTTCCCGGGGTCCGGGACAACCATGATTCTGAAATATGGATTTGAGTTAACTCAACTCATCTAGCTGCCAAGGCCGAAGACAGCAGAGAAGCCAACTTAATAGCAGTCCATCTTAAATCAGTTTTAGCATTATCCAAAGAATTAAGGGAATTTAATAAGAGGTCTACATTCTAAGTAGATGTGTAACATGGAGTATATGGGCGGCAGACTGATAACCCTTTTAGTAATCTCTGCCGGATGCAAACCTCCAAACTGGGAACCTTAAAAGGTAGAGTTGTAAACCCCTTTGAAAAATCGTTATAACCCATTTGTCTGAAGAAATATCCTTCCAATTTAGTGGCATGTGAGGAGGCACACTTACTTGAATGCATAGGTATTCTCTTGGCAGCTGGGCCACCTCTGAAATGAGCTCCTCTGCCATGGCCTGGAAGTTTGTGTTTTCCACTGTAGTGGCGGTACTGGGCCTGGTGAGATGCTTCTCGGGATGCTCCAGCAGACCGATAGGGGTGACCCTCTGTCCGTAAGGGCTTTTTGTAGCCAGGAAAGGACTTTTTGAGCTCTGAAAAGGAACTCCTTGCCTTATAACGGACTTTACCCCCTGAATGAATGAAGGACCGCAAAGGTAAGAATCCTCCAAATTTGGAAACTCCTGTGATTTATGGGCTAGGTCAGAGATTCCTGCTACATGGAGCCAGCGGGTTCTGCAAATGTTTGAAATGTAATGAAAGGATTGGCCAATAATTAGCAATGCCCTGCCAGACGCTTTCAATAAAGCCATCTTAGATGCCAGCAGAGATGATGCAGAAGGTTTCTGAGCATTGCCTTCTTTTTCTGCTTTATCCAGCATCAGCAGTGGTGGGCCCACGGCATCAGCAATTTTAAACTGTATATTACTAAAAGTCTGATCTGTGGGATCTGTAGATACACTGCTCTCTGTAATAGATAACAGAGCAGGATCTACCTCATGAGCCATTGGTCTGGGATACCAATGTGTTTCCTGAGGAGAAGGTCACCCTCCTTAACCAAGGGGGATCTAAAGGCTAGTTTGGCAAAATCTCTAACCTCAGAATAGTGCTCCATAGCCCATCTGGAGTGAAAAACTTTTGATAGTAGAGTCTTTCCTATGAGACTCACTCTAGCCATCTGAACGTTGCTAAGTTTCCCTCACTCAGTGGAAGCTGCTGAACATACCACTTCCTCAGATACCCAGTCAAATTCTGGAGAGCTGTTTCTAGAACTGGATCAGCATTGGGAGGAGGAATGAGCAAGCGCTCTAGAAGAGGAAGGAGACTATCTAACCGCCAACAAGATTTGTCCTCTTTTGCGATCCTGTCACTTTAATTTATCGCTTACTCAAACGAGTATGAGGGGAAGAAGGAGCAGAAAAAGTTTCTTCACACGATGAACTGGCAGAAGATGAAGAGGATAGATACCTGGCAAGGCTCAGACACAGATATGGAGTCAATGATGCCATTTTAAAAATCTGAAATAAAATATTGGTCCTTTCAGAGTAAACCGTTTAATTATACAGTAAGCATACTCACATGCAGACACTGACATCTCACTGACCCACACCAGCTCATTGATACACAGCCTCATAGACAAACAATCTCACTGATATACATCAGCTCATTGACATAAAAACACAAGCTCACTCACTAGCAGACGCGCACACACACACAGCTTAATGTGGTGGTACTGGTGTCTATAGAATGTCCCTACAGTTTTTTCTACGTAAACACTGACTTTTCAGAGAAAAGGCAGTGTTTACATTGCTTCAAAGTGACACTGCTAGTGACAGTCATTCAGACGGTCACTAGAGGGGCTTCCTGTGTCTGTGCACCTACATTCAGGGCCTCCACACTCTGTAGGTGCTGAACGTTCCCCATAGAGATACATTGATTCAATGCATCTCTATGAGGAGATGCTGATTGGAGTGGTGTTTTGCAACCAATCCTATGGCAAAGCATTGGATTGGCTGAGATTATCAAGCTTGATGATCTCAGCTATAGAGGCAGGGCCAGTCGAGGGGAGACCAGCACGCTGCGTGGGGAAAAAAAAGGTGAGCAAAAACACTATTTTTAAACACACCTATACACCATGACAGACACAAACACACATATACCATGACACACACACATATACCCAGACGCACACACCATGACACAGACAGACACACCCCCCCATGACGGACAGACACACCCCCCCATGACGGACAGACACACCCCCCATGATGGACAGACACACCCCCCATGACGGACGGACAGACACACACACCATGACGGACGGACAGACACACACCATGACGGACGGACAGACACACACACCAGGATGGACGGACAGACACACAGACAGACAGACACACACACACCATGACAGACACACACACACCATGACAGACACCATGACACAGACAGACACACCATGACACAGACAGAGACACACACACCATAACAGACAGAGACACCATAACAGACAGACAAACTCACACTGACACACATTACTACTACCTGCCAGGGGGCCGTGCAGTGCAGACGGCTGTCTGTGCTGGCAGCTGCTGGGGCACCTGTGCTGGCGGCCGCTGGGTGAGGTCTGCTCTCCCGTCCTCGCGCGCTGCTGAATGAGACCGGGCCAGAATATAATGTCATATTCTGGCCCCGGTCTCCTTAAGCTGCACACCGGGGAGAAGAGACAGCGCAGCTCCCCCAGCGGCCACCAGCAGACCTCCGCCAGCAGACCCAGGTGTCTGCCCGGCCCCAGGTGCCGATGGCCCACCGGGAAATTTCCCGGTATCCCGCTGGGCCAGTCTAGCCCTGCTGGCCCCTCTATCCTTTGGAATCCTATTTATGGAGACACCTGATACAAGTCACAAGCAATCAAGAGCTCTTTAGCAGGGCTCTGCGCATGGGCTGCCCTGAAAGAACATTAAACCACAATGCTCACTTTGAGATTGGGCATGCTCGTCAATGGTGATGACACCACCTCACCACTCTAGTAATACTCCCTTGCACTGGGAGGATGCGGCTGGTGAAATGTCTTGGGGAAAGGATAATGGGGTAACATGGAATTTGGGGGACTGTATGGCAGAACCTGTCACTAGGGGAAGATAGGCAATTTTTGCACATGCACCAATTCACTAAAACACCATCATTCTATTAAGATAAATTAAGGGTATACGTACGTAAGTGATGATATGACAAAGTGTACATGGAGGTCCACAAACATAACTGTGGGCAGGACAAAAGCTGGAATCCCATCAATAGTGAGACATTAATAACTGGATGAGTTATTAATGAGCACCTTTCCTCTCCCACCTCTCCTATTCTGGTGGGCAGGGAAAGTAATGTATATGGGTCAGACGGAAGACCCCTTGGTCCACATACTATGTTTACTAAAGTATGCCTACGTACGCAGACGGCTACATTTCCAAACAGTATGACTGAGTCGTGTTCTCTGGCTTGCGTTTTATCACCAACATACATCAGTTTTATTATTTTTTGTCTGTTTATAGTGGATTTCCTGAGTTATATCTACCAAGATCTAGAGTGCTTCCAGCAGCTAAGATTCCTCATTTAATGAGCTTAGTTCTGGATTTTCACTTCTCAGTATTTCGTTTCTTGAAGAATGTGCTGTGTGTTTACTTTCTGAGGTTCATACCCAGTAGGGCTATATTAACGTTGGTTAGCGTGCTGGCTTATTTTGCTTTCTTGAACATCAAATAAGCCAACTGATACCCTGGGATACAAAGACTGTTATGTTGCGAACATAAAGCTTTTATGCTTTCACTGCAAATATCAGAGGAAAAGCACCAGTGTGAATTTACTGATAATGTTATTTCTCCAAATCCCATCAGTGTGTGAAAACAATTGCGGCTCAGCTTATTTCTGCTTCTTATCATAATAAAGACAAGACGTTAAAGCAGAGTGATGGGGTAGAAATACAGTGTAGAACAGTGGTAGGCAACCTTTTTAGCACCAGTGCTACAAAACAAGACTGTGAAGTCCCTTGCCTTGGCATGACAATCCTACTATTTTAAATTAACGTGTATGTTGTCATATTGTGTTTGCTTTATGTGTAGGTGCTGCTGCTTTGTAGAGTGGTGTTTGTGCGCAGGGCTGGCGCCTGGCGGGCTGCCTGCCCCTGTCTGGGGCTGCAGCGCTGGGCGAGCGGCTCTTGAGCCGCCCCCAGTGCCGGGTCGATCCTCAAGGTGTCTGTGTGTGAGTGAGTGTATGTCTGTCAGTGAGTGTGTTTGTGTCTATCAGTGAGTAAGTATATGTGTGTGTGTGTGTGTGTCTGTCAATGAGTGTGTGTCTGTCAGTGAGTGTATGTCTATCAGTAAGTATGTGTGTGTCAGTGAGTCAGTGTATATCTGTCAATAAGTGTCTATGTTTGTGGGTATGTGTGTCAGTGAATGTGTATTTCAGCTAGTGAGTGACATGAGGGGGCGGCAAAATGGATCTTTGCCTAGGGTGGCAGAACTCCTGTTTGTGCGCTTGTGGTATCCGTTATATTGTGTATGTGCATGAGCAGTTTGTGATATTGTGGGTGTTGTGTATGTACGTGCACTGTATATCATGTTTTATTTGTGAATGTAGTCTGCATATGGTAGGCTGCCTGTGGGATTGTGTGTGTGTGTGTGTGTGTGTGTGTGTGTGATATGTTGTATTATGTGTGGCTTTGTGTGTATGTGTGAGGGGTTGCTGGCATTGCTTGTGAGGTTGTGTGCGTGTATGTGGGTTGTTGTAGTGATGTGTTTGCATTTGGGTTTTGTTTTATTGCTTTGTCTGCAGCTATGTGTGTTCCTGTCTGTGTGCATGGCTTCCCTGGTGTTAATTCAGGACCAGACTGGTCAGGCAAAGGTCAAGGGTAGGGGCTGCACGGACTGCAATGTGGAATCAAAGTTCACATCTTAACATCATCGTACTATGCCACACGGTAATTAACCAAATCAGACACAAAATGTTCAAACGTTCATCGGACAGAGCATCATACAAATTATTCATTCTGATTTATTTATTTGCATTAAACTACATCCATGTTTTTACTCACTGCAAATAATGCAAAATCGACTTTCCTCTAAGCCTCTTTAAAGGGAAAGTAATTAGATACAAAAATAGAACATTTTAGATCTATATTACCCATAAACTTCTGCACGGTGTTGCTTTATTTAGGCCAATCAGAAGATTGTGCAACAAAGTTACTTGTAGCTCCTCATTCATTAAACAAAATTAAATGGATACAGCCTGTGCATGTGAATATCAGCCTGAAGAAGACATCACTAAGGGAGGGACACATTTCTTTTTTTTTTTATCTCAGAGATGGACATTTAAATGGAAGTACCACTAAATTGTATTTCTTATGCGGTAAATCCACGCTATAAAATAAGAGGAATTCCTTTGTATTTGGACAGTAAGGTATTTGGATAGATACAATAATCACAGAAATCTTTTTTCTCTCATTAGATTCAATAGATCCACAGCTTTCGATTCCGCATAGGTGTGTTTTCAACATATTGTACAAAGCTGCCCCTTTAATCAGCCATTCTGTCTCCATATCACATTTTGTTTACATATACACAACAGATTAGAATAACCTATTATACATATATATATAGTTATTCGTATACTTTACAATAGTTTTTTTTGTTTAATTGTTGACCGATCCATGACAAGATCTGCTAGGTTAATGTTGGTGAGTCCGACATGTTGTACACAGAATCTTTCAGTGCATTTTCTACTCTACTCTCCGATAATCTACAGTTCCGATCAGCTTCATATAGATACTCTGGCTGATGAGAAAAGTAGTCGAACAAGAGAAGGAAGTCCACTGTTGCCTATATTGGCTCTAGCTCCAGATGACGTTCTAGAACTTTGACCTTCTGAGGGATGTTTATCGATGTCCACAATATTAGCTGAAACGACTATCTTTACTAATGTTAACCAGTAAGTTCTCTTGGCTTCTGTATCTAATTTGCCATCATCACAACAGTCCGGTATTCTATCTGAATTCTTATTTGTGATTTTTTTTTTTTATAGTTCCTGAAGGTCCGTTACTACGTATGAGATGTATTTTCCATCAAGAATGTTTTCTATATCCCCATGTTTTACCAACCAGCACTTGGACATGTGCGTGCGTGCCGGGGAGTCCTTCATTGATTTCAAAACAAGAGTAGCTGGAGCAGTGTGGTTCTTTCGTGTCACGATGGCTAAGAATGTCAACTCGTTGCTTTCCTTTTTCTCTGTGACTTCTATTTGTGCATTCTGGAATTGACCTGGGAAATAAATACAAAGAACGTTAAGGTGTTTTTCAAAAGAAACTCACCCCTATTGTAATGCACTACGATGGACTAGTGTGATTTATATAAAAAGTGCTAGTCTAGCGGAGAAGATTGATATATCTCTGTAAATCAATTGTATTCATTTCAGATTATGAATATTATTCTGCTCAAATTGATATTTCATGTTTTGGTTTTTGTTTGCTTTCGCTAGTCACCTGGATAACAACACTCTTTGAGCAAATCCCAATAAAAGTGTTGTATAGAAGGCCCTTCAGATGTTGGTGAGCTACAACTCTCTGGCTATGTAATTCATTCAAAGAATCATGGGAGTTGTAGTTAAGCAACATATGGAGGGCCAGAGTTTGAAAAAACCCAGATCTAAGCAATAAACAAAGAAATGCATTATTTACAACACTTTTATTGGGATTTGCTCAAAGAGTGTTATCCATGTGCCTAGCTAAAGCAATAAAAGGGGGGAAAAAAGTGATTTGCTAACCTAGCAGACCGGCAGAATGTGATGATAGCCCTTTTCCATTCACAATGTAAAAGCCCAAGTGGTCCAATTGCAGATATGTTGGATGGCGGTACTGATGGAACATAATCAGTAGCTCCACATCATGCCCAATCCAAATGGTGACATTGGAGGAAGGTGACACTTTGATAGCAAGTCGTGGTTTCTGTAGAAAAGCTGGATGATTGAGCGGGAGGGAGAGCTGGTCTTCTCCTTTGAGAGTCAAAGTGTTGAGTGATATATTGATGATGTAGTTGGCATGTGTCTGGTTGACAATGATAGTGATAATGTCGAGATAGGTGCGTATTCTGTTTTCAGAGCCAATTTTAAAAGGGGCTTGCATCAAATGTCCATTCACAGTGATTCCTGTAGAAGATAAAGTTTTCTTTATAATAGGCAAACAATCACATAATTAACAAACGAACAGGTAATGTTTTGTATGATCCAATGAATATGCTTGATAAACCACTGATGTCATGCTTCAATCCGAATCTGACTTTATGTGAGAAATAATTAAGCCAAGGTAAGTTTTGAAATAAAACATCAATGAACATTTGGTTTCCTGTATGTGCGGCCCCTCAAACGAACCACTGTATAGGCTAACAAATAATGTACTGATTTCAATATAATTTCAATATAATACACTTCAATATATCCGCATATCCAATATGGTGATCATAATTATACTAAATCCCTGGTATTTAATTGTTTGTAGGCTTTTACTCTGTTAAATTACTCAATGATATTGCTCATAATGTACAATACGACTGTCATGTAATTCCATGTCAAAGAATAATATTCTGTCATAACAATGAGAACATGGACGACTGGTCCTAAGACCCTGTTACCCTCCCCCCCGCCCCAACCCTTCTTCCTTTCTGTACCGCAACAACCCCTTTTTATAACTTGAAAATAATAAAAACCTTGAATTTAAAAAATAAAATAAAATAAAAATTACTCAATGAAACTTCCATACGAACTCACTTTAAGTCTTTCTTTTGTTCAGTGTATTTAACAAGTGATTTATGTCTTATAGGTAATGATACAATCTATGGATCAGCAGTTGATAAGACTGTGTTTAACGACCCAATGCCCAAATATATTGATTTGCTCATGGGCATTATAACATATTATTTACACTCTTTTTATCTAGATAATGAAGGATCAGCATACTTATATATAGAAAGTTATCGGCCAAGAAAAAAACAAAACTCAGAATGTACTGAGATCTGAATATATATATATATATATATATATATATATATATATATATATATATATATATATATATCATTTTTATTATTATTTTTTTATACCTGTAGAAGAATCTGAAACAAGTCGCAGAATATCCCCTGGTCGTCCGTCTAAAGTAAAACACAGCTTTTCTTGGCTACGTGGTAGATTCACTACAAAATGTGGGTCTCCATCAACTGTTAGACAACAGAAGAAGATCAAAATTAATAAAATGAGAATTAATTGTAAATGCAGGAGAAATAATTTGTACGATCCAGAACCTCATTGCTGTGAACTGGTCTAGAACAGCTATTGACCAAGGACAACTGGTATTTTTTCCCGTTAAACCACTGGGCATTTGGCTATAGAATTATTTTAAAGAATGCTGCACCAACATGACCTGTATAGCGGTTCATTAGTTGTATCTACCATTGTTCCCATGTCCAACCCACTATTTAATAGACCCTCTAATTCATTTTGATCTTGTTTTAAAAGGATCAGTACAATAGAGTACAATAGGCATGTACTCTTCCCATGGGGCAAGCATCTGAAATAAAAAATTAACATAAAAGTTTCTCCCCCAACAGGTATTAGACACCAACCTGCCATGGACCCTCAGTACGTCCCAATAAAACATCACAGACTGAATACTGCAAAAATATCAAATTGTATTAATAAAGGGAGGGAGTGATGTAATGCTACCATATTAAGGAAAAAGGAATTTATGGTGAGTAAGATTGCAGTTTTTCCTGACATATGGTGGCATTACAATAGGGATATATCGAGATCCCAGAGCTATGGGCTGGAATCATGCTACCACCACTTTTAACACCTTGTGTCCGAAAGCAGCATCAGAGGCAGAGAATACGTCTAGTCTGTAATGCTTGACGAAGCAGATATCTTCAGGTGAAGCTTGTGCTCTTTCGGCCCAGGAAGCAGCCATGGCTCTCGAAGAATGAGCTTTCAAGGAGGTAGGCAAAGGCAAATTTGATGAAGAATAAGCTAATTTAATAGTGTCCACGAGCCATCTTTCCAGAGTAGTTTACTATCCCAGTACTACAGCCCCCATAAGGCATAGCGGCCGGGCAATTATGACGAGCTGATGACGCGCATGACGTGTTTCAGCAATCAATGCCGAAAATAAACCTATTAAATGCTTGTTTTATATAAAATTGTGTATATTTGGATTCCCTAATGTTAGATCTTCAAATATTTAGATTTCTTATGTTGTTATTTATATGCTTACATATTCTGCTCTATTATTGGACGAAGCAATTTTGGCACCAATTTTAATTTGTTTTATACCTATATAAACCTTAACATGCCAGGTTGAATGTTTTTACTCCATTTATAAAGCCTCTTATGGTGAAACGTGTTTGGATGTTTGCAATTGTTTTTTTAGCTAATAAATAGATTTTGGTCACTTTTTTATTTGTGCCACTATCTTTTACTATTATATTATTTTATTCTTAAAACAACATGGCACCAAAAACTTTTACCCTCCTCTACTCCAAAGAATCCCAGGTGGGGATCATACCACTGATGCTGTTGCCATAGAGCAGTTAGCCTGCTCTATCTTTTGTGAGTCTAATTTTTATTATATCTTACCGACTATTTATATGTTATTAAGAGCACTATTGTTGCCTTTTATTTTGTCATTTTGGGTCCCCAACACCTTCATCATTAAGAACACTCACGTTATATGCTTTAAGTAGGGATTGTACCCCTGTACGCTATACACACCAGAGCTGGCTTAAGCTCTACTAAATATGAGTGTAACCCTATTATTTTACTGTCTTATCTATACCCAGTGAGACTTAATGCACTATTCGCCTCTTCCTTTCTTATCGCCCCTCTCTGTATATATGAACATCTGCAAAGTGCAAATATCTCTATCTTCTGGCTCCAAAGACCCTATTGATTTCAAGTACCTTATACAAGACTCTTGGAACTATAAATACATATACCTACATTTTATTGTTGTACTGTGGCGCAGCCCTACCCTACCTTTGTGTTACCTGTCTTTAAATATGTATGACAGACTGAAGTCCTATTTGATTGACAGCCCATCCAGAACCAGAGGCATGTCTGCCTTGAAGAGTGAAGCAAATGTTTTCACCTTTGTATTTGACCTTCTTGCCATTAGATCGATGACTGGCAGGCCGAATATCTTCACCAGCTGATAAAAAATGACCGGATTTAGAGACCACTCGTTTTGGGACCATCTTGATCTGCTTAAGTCATCTGCAATAACATTGTCTATTCCTCTTATATGAGTAGCGGATATGTCTTCTAGATGACTTGAGTGCAATTTTTTTATCCTTGTGCCCCCTTGTTTGTTCAGGTAAGACACCTAGTCTGGTTGTCTGACTGAATTTTCACAGTTTTCCCCATATTGAGATCTCTGAACTGATGAAGAGCATATAAAACGGTTATCAACTCCTTGTAATCTGAGGATTCCCTTTTTTTTCTCTTCTGACCATGTACCTTGCCTTAAGTGATACTGCAAGTGAGCACCCCAACCTGTATTCAAAACATCTGTGGTGATTATGACCTTTTTGGCTTTTTTGATAGACCTTCTGACATGAAACTGGTCTTTTGCAACCAATCTAGTTGTCTTCTTACAGGATCTGAAATGTTTAGTAAATAATCCAAGTCTTCTTCTTTCTTTGACCATTTTAGAAGAATTTCCCACGGCAAAGGCCTTGATTCTGCTCTGGCCCATTTTACTGCTGGGATAGTGAAAGTGAGGTGTCCCAACACCTGCATAGCTTTCCTCACAGAGCATTTTGGCTCTCTCTGAAGTTCTTTTGTCAGCTTCTTTATCTTTCTTCTTTTTCCCGTAGGAGTGTCTGACTTGATCTAAAAAAACATAGACCCTGAATTTACCTTGTGGGATGCAGATGAGATTTCCCTAGGTTTATTACTTAACCATGTTCTTTCCAGGATTTTTAGTGTGTAATCCTCATCCGTCTCTAGTGCGTCTCTTGATTTTGCCTTTATGAACCAGTCGTCCAAGTATGTAACAACCGTGATACCTTGTACCCTTAAGAAGGCTGTGATATGCACGAGAACCTTTTTAAAAATCCTGGGAGCTGAGGTAAGACCGAATGGAAGAGCTTTGAATTGAAAGTGATGAACCTTATGACCCTCTCTTATGGCAAATTGCAGGTAGTTTTTTGAGCCAACGTCCATAGGAAAGTGAAGGTAGGCATCTTTCAAATCCTTTTTAGATCCATAATGGGAAAAAAGGACAAATCTGGTTTTGGGACCAGAAACGGCCTAGAGTAGACACCCTGATATAGCTGGGCTCTTGGAACTCTTTCTACAACACCTTTCTTTAAAAGAGTAACCATAGCGGAGAATAGAGCTTGGTTTGTTTTGTTTTTTTTTGGTCTTGGTACTTCCAAGAACTTTATTTTGTATCCTTTTGCAACTAGATTCAAAATCCATGGATTTGCAGTGGTCTCTCTCCATCTGTGAGCAAATTGTTGTATCCGTCTGCCTACTCGTATGGCATCAGAATCTTTTTGCTCTGTCAGTCTTGAAGTCTTTGTTTGCATCAAACTTAGGATCTTTCCTTTTGTTGATGAAAAGACCTGGGTTTTTCTTGATACCCCCTGCGGTTCTTGTATTGGAAGTTTTTGTATCTGGGCTTCCAGGAATACTTCCTGTCCTGATGGAAAGCTTTTTTGGTTTCTGACATCTGTCTGATTAATTCTACCAAAGGAGAACTAAATAATTTCTTCCTCTCCAAAGGCAGTTCACAACAAAGTGCAGACTTTGAGGCCGTTTCAGCCACACATGCTTTAATCCAAAGTGCCCTGCGGGCTACAGATGTCAGGCCCATGACACAAGCAGAAAGTTTAATCACCTCTGTGATAACATCTAGCAGGTAATCATAAGATAACTTCAAATTGTGGAACAGGTGAGAGAGATCTTTGTCCTGGTTTTCTATCAGGCTATCTTCCAATCCCTAAATCCAATAATACTGAGCTTTAGCCACTGAAGCTCCTGCCAATGCCGCTTTAGCGTGAAATCCTGCTGCCTGATATGCTCGTCTGCTGGACGTTTCAGCCCTTTTATCTATAGGGTCTTTAGATCCAGAGTCTTCTCCAATCGGTATAATGGTCTTTTTAGACAACTGAGCAACTTGTCCATTAACGACTGGCCAGTCTTCCCACTTGTCTTCTCCTTGCAGCGTTATGATGCTCTTGAAATGCCTGGAAATAAACCCCCTTTTTTCAGGGTTTTTCCATTCTCTGTACTTAAGCTCCGTAATCTGCTGTGGAACAGGAAAAGCTTTTTTTACTTGCTTTATCTCATGTTTCTTCTGAGACGGCAACATTAACTTCCTTATTACATTTTTCTTAATTCTTCATGTGGGAAACGGAGTTCTGTCACAGAAGAATCGCTGGAAGTTTCTGAATAGGAAGACATAGAACATCTCTGATCTAGAAGAAGATCTCTTCCGTTTTTGCCTCTGTTTGGCTGTAGCTTTAACGGGTGCTGTTACATTCAACTTTGCAGAATCTTTTACTCAAATGGCTGGGCCAGATTGTCTTGAAACCAAGATAAGAATGACCATGTCCTGTTGCTTGGACTTTTCCAGTGATAAGGACGAACAGTGGTTGCAGATTTTCCTTTAAGTACCATCTGGTAGTGGTGTGGAGCATTCACTACAACTTATAACTGGCTTTTTTAGCAGTAGGAGCAGGCACCTTGTCTTTATCCATAATATCTGGAGAGACAGGAGCAGACATATCTGCAAAATGTAAAGCAATTATGAAATTGTTGAAAATGTAAGTAAATTTAAGAGGTCTTAAAGATCAGAGACTGAAAAATCTCACCTCTAAAACCTCTGACCCGTGTGGGGGGCTGATGACATGTGAGATCCTTCCTGTCAAGCATCCATGCTGGACCTGGATCTGCACAGCTTAAATAGGCAGCATTCATTCAAATTTGGCGCTATTTCCGTGAATTCCGAACGGGCATGCGCAGTAGTGCGGTCAGAACTCCAGTGGAACGCATTACCTCCTGGGCGTGCGTTCCAGTGCTGTGTGCATGCATCTCACTCGGGCAGTGACTTGTTGCCGCTAGAGACCTCCTCTTTGCTTTGCCAGCATAAAGCAAGTGAAACATACCTGCTCCATTAGTCCTGCAGGATGCACGCAGGCCACTTAGCTCTCTACCTAGGAGGCTATCAGGCCGGATCCCCCTGGCAGAAACCCATGTGCCTCACCACAAATTCCAGATGCCGTCTGTTCCTGATGGCACAAGAAAAAGAACTGAGGGTCCATGGCAGGTTTGTGTCTTATACCTGTTGGGGGAGGAACTTTTATGTTAATTTTTTATTTCAGATGCTTGTCCCATGGTAAGAGTACATCTCTATTGTATTGTCACCATATATCCGGAAAATACACTTGTTGCTTCCGAGCTGTAAATCCAGAGTTGACCACTCTACATCAAGTAATTTTCCAAAGTCAATAATACGGTGATATAAATTAAAGGAAAAACTTAGGACATGTCAACGCTACAGTTGGTCTCTCAAACACGCACATATGTGTACTCTTTCAATTTCGGCTTAATTAAAAAGAGTTCAACATGAAACAGAAAATGTAAACTCACCTGAAGACATGAAAGTTTGAAGTCCAGGGACACCAGAAAGCAGCACTTTAAGAGAGAAAATATGAAGGTCACATATAGTTGTCATATAGAGCATGTTGCATTGGACAAACTGTTAAAAAGAGGTCTGACAGCATTACTATTACTTGTTTCCCAGGGGGTCCTTAAAAGAAGGCAGCACGAGAACAAGGCCAGTGCAAGGATTTTTGGCTACACAGGCAAAGATGCTGTGCTTTGTCCCCACAGCCCTTTTTGTGTATCTTTTTCTCCCCTTTCTCACCCCCTCTATGTGTCTTCATCCCCCTAGTCATTCTGTGTGTCTCTAACTCTCACCACCTTATCCTTTGCTCCCGTCAGCCCATTTGTGTCTGTTTGTCTTCCCCCAGCCGCTCTGGATGTTTCCCCCTAATCCCTTGTCTTTCTCTTTGTACCCCCTTCCCCTTTGAGGTCTCTCTGTCCACCCCCCTGCCAGCTTACCTGTAGCGTGGCTGAGCCGCAGTAGAAGATCTTCTATTTCCTCTACCCGGTCTGACAGGAAGCTGTTTGGTGCTTTCTGTGAGCACTTCCTGTCAGACTGTCTAAAGTAGTGTTTTTCAACCCAGTCCTCATGGACCACCAACAGTCCAGGTCTTATCAGTATCTCCATTGGAATAAAACAGGGAAATGCATAAATCCTGGACTGTTGGTGGTCTATGAGGATTGGGTTGGATAACACGAGTGTAGAGGTTACAGAAGCTCCTCTACCGCAGTCCGTGGCTCAGCCACACTACATTCTATGACTGGCTAGAGGGGGAGCGATGTGCTGTGTGCTTCCCTCCTGCCAGTCACTCGGATTCTGTGCTTCCCCGGCCTGGTGTGCCCTAAGGTGGCTGCCTGTGCCACTTTGTTTGCGCCGAACCTGCACGAGAATGTCCCATGGAGATATTGATTCCACAGCATGAAAGGGGGGACTTTATGACACACAAAATTTGTTTTTATTTATTTTTTAAAATATTATGAGAATCTTTACTCTAGTAATAGCCATTCAGGTTTATTCACTTCAAGTGAGAATTCTAAGGAATTCAACATGAATTGAAATTTAAGGCCAAAGTAGGCAAACTAGAAACATAGCTCAGTTGGAGAATTTTTCCAGTTTTGGCTATTTTGTCCTTAAATTTGGAATCCACTTTGAATTCCCGAACAATTCTCACTTCAGTGAATAACTCTGCTGTTATGATGGATTAAATTCATTCTCATGTGAGGATACATTATAATTACATGAAACAATGTTCACAACCCACCTACTACCAGCTGATGGTACAAATACTTACTATCAAAATCTTCATCGTCATCAAAACTTTTTTGATACAAAAGGTCTGAAAAATAAAATGTGGGTAAGGAAACCAAAATATGGGTAAGGAAACTAAAAGATCATATATCTCAATTTTCCATATTTAATTTCCCTGCAGTTTACGATTGTACCATCACTTTATTATAAATGTCCCCTATGCGATAGACAACTATGTAGCTCTCTCTAGAACAATAGTGAATGGACGCCTGTCCCATTGTGTTAATGTGATGGTGTCCCTTTAAGTTATGGATTGCAAAGGGAGACCGGGAAGTCTCATTTTTAGACTCTTGCAACACCATTTACTTCCCTATGAAATAGAGCTTAAAGGAACACTACAGGGCCAGGAACACTAACATGTATTCCTGACCCTTTAGTGTTAAAAGCACCATCTGACTCCTCCCCTTGCCTCCCTAAATATAGTAAAATCTTACTTGTATTCAAGTCTGCAGCTGCTGCCTCTGCCCCTGATCTGCCTGCTTAGCTGACATCATCAAAATAGATTCTGTGAGCCAATCACAATGTACAGTATTGGCTGAGACTGTCAAGGAGGCAGATCAGGAGCAGAGCCAGCACAAGTCAAACCCATCCCTGGCCAATCAACATCTCCTCATAGAGATGAATTAAATCAATGCATTTCTATGAGGAAAGTTCAGTGTCTCCATGCAGAGGGTGGAGACACTGAATATCAGTCACAGTGTAGGAGTTGCCAGTGGAGTTATCACTAGGCTATAATGTAAACACTGCAAAAAAAACCAAAAACATTAAATGCTGCACTGCACATGCGCAACAGTCGTTGAGAAACATAACTATGTAACCGCATCCAGTGTCGTCATGAAGCTAAACAGGAAGAATGTACATTTTTTACAGTCTTCATTAGGAAGTGCTTCTAGTAGCTTGACAACAACAAGAGGCACATAGACTGACAAATATAAACATTGCTATTTCTCACAAATGTCAGTACTAATACCTCAAAACATTCGTAGACATGAGAACGGGACTGATGTGCAGGACCTAAGTGGGCATTGCAATATTGGGCAGGCCTATCTGGAAATGGTTTTGTCTGCCTGGCATACAGCATGCCAGGGTGACTGCTGGAGAGCCTTTCTGACCAGCTCCCCAAATTGAGGACCATGTGGAGAGCGCTGCTGAAATGCCATCTGCACGGTCCAAGTGCCCATTTACAGTACATCAAATGGACTGGCCGTAAAGTGCTTACATTAGTCAAAGTGCATGGACAGCATCTAGGCACAGAGTACAATTAATCATATGGTGACCTTAGCCAGCCACCTAGTGTCCAGGGGTTAGACAGGGGGACCCAAAATCAGTAACCTGTCTAGGGACACGTGTTCTTAAGCATCATTAAATACAAAATTATATATAGCTAAAAAAAAAGGTCGAGGAGGCTGGGCCTTACCATCTGAATCGTACATTTCTGTTTCCCCTGCAAATCGAAAAGATCAGCATTAATAAAATATTCCAGTAATGTTATGTATTTAAATGTATGCTCAAAAACAAGAGGAGCACACTGCTAAATATAGGTGTGTTTTACTCATAAGATACATTTTGTTAGAGAGAGCTTTTGTTCAAACTACGTCATTATGAACAATGGGGAGTTTGTACACTACATCGAACATTAATTGTAATGAAATGTAAACTGCATACTTCCCAAGTGTACCTATTTAGGAGGGACAGTCCCTATTTTGGGCCCAAATCCCTCTGTACCTCTTTTCTATCCTAATCTCCCTCTTTTCTAGGAGCTCCACATGGTTGGTGTTGGTGAAATTGGCAATGGGTGAGTTTTATATACATTATGCAAATTAGTTTCATTGCCAGTTCACCAAAGGGGCCATTTAATGTAAAATACTGTGCCCATTTAATTTATTACTTGTTTAAAAGGCATGGTTAATTGTTTTGTGTCCCCTAATTTGTATACATTTTACTTTCTCTCGGCAAGTGTCACGATGAGTTTAAAGGGACACTCCAGTGCCAGGACAACAAACCGTTTTTCTGGCACTGCATTTCCCCTCTCCCTCCCACCCCCCATCCCAGGTTGCTGAAGGGGTTTGCATTTCCCCTCTCCCTCCCACCCCCCATCCCAGGTTGCCGCGGCGCTGGTCCAGGATCTGCCCACGCTCCTCCCCCGCCGTCATCCGACGGGGGAGACCGATTACGCATGCGCGGCCGCCGGTGGGGTGAGACCTCCAGATAGGAAAGCATTAAAAAATGCTTTCAATGCTTCCCTATGGGCGATGCTGGAGGTCCTCACATAGTGTGGAGGTCCTCACAAATCTGTGCTATGAACCAGGAAGTGCCCTCTAGTGGCTGTCCAGTAGACTTACTGGAGACAGCCACTAGAGGAGGAGTTAACCCTGCAAGGTAAATATTGCAGTTTATGAAAACTGCAATATTTACAGTTGCAGGGTTAAGGGTAGTGGGAGTTGGCACCCAGACCACTCCATTGGGCAGAAGTGGTTTGGGTGCCTGTAGTGTCCCTTTAATAAGGTATGGCTGTTGCTGAGACCAAATCTTTGCATTAATTAATAAATAAAAAATGTGCTTTTCTGTATGATACTATGTATCTTGCCTTGTTTTTTTTTTCAGGCAGTCCAGTGAAAAAGTTTAAAAACCTGTTTTCGATCTGCGCTGCTCTCAAACAGTGGGTTACTGCTACAGAGTCTGATGACCTGTTCGGTCTGTGAGTCAAAACTAACTTTGCAAAGGCAGCGTTGCAATAAAGAGACATTGCTTCTTACGTGGATAAAGGACAGGTAGAGGGCTTGATACCTGCTTGGAAGGAGGAGTGGGCAGAGGGATCAATACCTTTTTCATCATGGGCAAGGATTTCAGTGGTGGTTCCTATTGTTGGAGGAGAAGGAACGGACCACTTCACACAACAGGTCTGAATCTCCAGTTGGAAACCTATCACCCCAGACCCAGTGGCAATCCCTATATATGACCATCTCTAGTAAACGTTCCACAGTAATTATATTGAGAGAAAAAAGGTGGAAATGGAACAGTGAGGAATTCTGCATGACCTCAGAACCATTAGATGACTGAGCTCAGTGGACTTCTTGCTGAAGAAGAGTTTTTCAGAAGTCCAGAATAGAAATTTCAAGTGGACTTCTGGGAATTTATAGAAGACCTTGCCAGTGCTTCCGCGTGAGGTAAGAACAAAATGCTTACTCCCTAAATTTTTTAACATTTAATCTATATTCTATCAAGTCAAATAGAGAGCTGGACATTTTAATCTGGTCCCTGATTGTGATGATCCTCCCATACATATAAAACATTTAATGTATTGATGGTGCACCAGCAGTATCCATACATATATGGTGCAATGTGTTATCATTTCAATTCATTAATATAATGCATTACAAACAGAATGGGTCATGCCAGCCTTGCGTGACCTTTTAGAGTAGGGTTGTCAGACCACCATTCTAATTTTCTGGAAATTCCTGATTAAAAATGGTGGTGTAGTGACCACAGCCATGTGTCAGTTGTGCAGTGATCACTAGGAGTCAGCCTGCACTATTGCCAACGTTCTGGCTACTCTTTATGTATCTCTGCGATGTCTATCAAGGTAAAGAAAAGAGACTTCCCTTATAGTTCTACTCGGTGAGTCGCTAACAAATGCAGTGCTTAGAAATGACCTCAATTTACTTACAACAGGTAATAGTGCTACCCTGCAAGGAAGCAAGAAATATACGTATTACCCGAATCAAAGACACTATGGAGTGCTGTGTAGTTGTAGCTGTGTAGATGTTCAAAATTGTTTTTTTTCCTGCTCTTCCCAGTGGAATTCCGTTCCTTTTATGTTTATAGAAGGAACACACTTCTCTCTCTTCTTACTTTGAAAGGAGGAATACTAAATGGAGTACAGGAGCAAATGTGCTTTACCTTAATTTTTCTTTTAAATCCTGAGTGCTCTGAATATAATGCTTGGCTTCTCTCTTCACAGGCGAAAGACACCATTGTGACGGTTTGACCTACTGTCATGTTGGGAGCCCATTAACAGCTGCTTGTGATTGAAATGTTGACTTTCTGTGTGTGTTGAATATGTGCAATGATGTATAAATGGATATAAAATGCTTTGAATGCTTACATTGCGGAGGCGTCTGGGAACTCCTAGTACCATAACCACTACAGCGTGCTGTAGGGGCTATGGTACTTGGCGTGTTCCTTTAAAAATGTGCCCACGTTAAATGGGTATTTAAACTTTTGCATAAATTAACATACCTGAGACCTCCTCTAATAAACTATACATGGGAGGCGGATGCAGGGACTCCACAAATGTTGGTAATGTGACTTCATGGTACAGTTCTTCATCAGGTAGAATGAGAAGTCTCAAGGGAGAAGGGAAAAAAATGGGTGATGTAGGATCCGAGGTCACTTCTGCACCATGTTCAGACATAAAAAGGCTGGTGACCTCAGAAGGTGGAGACAGGGTTTCCGACAATAACTCTGTTCTGCTTTCTGCCACTGGCACAGTTGAGAAGCTAGCCGGACGTATTGAGGTCAGAATAATGGATGGAGATTCATCTGCTCTGTCTTTAGTTGGGGCCACCGATAAGATGTTCTGTGGTGGTATACTGCTGGTGGAATTCCTAGGAATATTATGATGAGAGTCTGGATGAGGGGTTAAAAGTGAGTAATTAGTTGGTGACACTAAGGTAAGTTTCTCAAAGGTAGAGGGAATTGTGGTTGGCCCTGCAGTAATGCCAGCATGGTCTTTGCTTCCTGTAACTGCAGAAATTGTTGTCCCAGGGGATGTTGGTCTAATTGTTGTTCTTGAGGATGTTGGTCTACTTGTTGTTCTTGGGGATGTTGGTCTAACTGTTGTTTTGGGGGATGTTGGTCTAATTGTTGTTTTGGGGGATGTTGGTCTAATTGTTATTTTGGGGGATGTTGGTCTAATTGTTGTTTTGGGGGATGTTGGTCTAATTGTTGTTTTGGGGGATGTTGGCCTAATTGTACTAATGATGGAAGTTGCTGATGGTTTGGCATTTTTTGTAAAAGGCTTGGTAACCTGGGACCCACCAGTGATTTTATTTGTCGAGACAGCAGTACTTGTAGAAGCAACAGTGCTGATTGTGCTAAATGTGCTGGATATAGTAGTTGTGGTGGTTTCTGTGGAAGTAGTAGCAGCTTGAGTGGTGGTATCCTCAGGATCTTCTGGCTTGACCACAATTAGGGAAGTAACAGGTGTTACAAAGTTATATTTGAGGGATAAGTTGGTAGCTTTCTCAGTCAACAGACGTCGTGCTACAGTGTCATTTGCTTTGATCCTGGCCTGCAACAAATCCTGGATGGTGAAATAGGCCCAGAGTCTCTGGACAAACCATTGTATTTCATCTATGTTCCCTGAACATCCAAAGCTGTCTTGCGTGGCATTGTCTTCCATGGTAATATCATTTTGCAAACTCAATTGTGCCTTGTGGTCATGAGCGGTCATATGAACTTTAAGATTCTTGGTACCAGGTCTCAGTTTTCCTGTTACCACCAGTTCTGAGCCCTGAAAGTAATTAGGAAACAGGGTCTGTGTCACATTGTATGTAGTTTCTCCAAGGTAGGCCAACTCAATATCAAATAGTAGTGGACTGGCAATTTCATCGTAAAAGCCTTTTAATTGAAGTGTGGCATCAGAATATTCATATATGCGTCGTGCAATGCCACGGTTCTCTAGGGACAGCCTTCGCATAAGATTGTAGTCAGCATCTTCTCCAAAAGCCAAGCAAAAAAGTGAGATATTTTCTCCCATGGCCTTGTGCACATTATCCAGAATACGATTGGTGGACGTCACACCTGACGTTGCTTCCCCATCTGTCAAGAAGATGATAAGGGGTATTCTCGGTTTGGCACCTTTTACTTGCTTTGGAGAGGTCTGGTTGAATACGGAAGCAGCAGCCAGGAGTGCAGCATTAATATCAGTCCCTAAAATATATAAAACAAAAGTTCCTGAATAATTCATTTTTTTTTAATGTCAAATTAGTGCAACTTCAAAGTCTGAAGAAACTGCCTTGTATATTGAAGGCAACATTATATCTTGAATTTTCATTGTTTATACTCGTCTCACAGATCTATTCATGCTAGCTAGCCAATCACAGTGTATATTTCTTTATTATTCCTATAACCATCTTCAAGAACACACCAAGAAGTTTAAGAACCTGTCGTAGTCGACTTACATCCGTTAGCTTCAATGGTATTGACGTACTCTTTAGCAGACTTCACGTTTTGAGCTGATGCTTGGATAGAATGTCCTGGTTTCCACACTTGCACCACGTCGGAGAAAGTAATGATGTTGAAAAAGTCATCACGGTGAAGATCATTCAGAATAACATGCATTGCACTTTTGGTCTGTCAGGGTGTTAAAAAAGCCAAAGTTGTGGTTGATTAATATAAAAAAAAATAGTGTGCATATATGATTTAAAAGTATTACTAATTATTAAAACCGGGGCAGCAGTAGATTAAGGAGCATAAGTGAGAACATATGGTGTAGTTTCCAAATAAAACAGTACGTTCAATTTACGCAAAATAAGTGTATTATCATCATATTATAATCATCTATATAGTGTCAGCATACTGAGCAGCACATGAAACAAAAAGATAAACATGTGGGGCATGAGGTCTTCCGGTATTAGCTACTCCGAGAAATACCTGGGGTATTTGGTAGACAGTGCAGATTTGTTCATTGGCAACCTGCACTCTTCCTCTTATCGGGGCACTCCAAGTCCTATAGCCACCGCAGCTTATATTAAATTCTGACTTCCACTTGTATTTAGTTTTCCCTTTTGTCACCCAGTTTTATCACCTTCGCTCTTCTGTCTCTTGAGTCTTCTACCTCAAGTAGTCTTCCAAATATGGCTTCCTCTTCATCTCTCAATACCTATGACCTTCCCTCAATTCATGCCTCACTCCCACTTCTGTACCTATTTCTCCCATATTCTTTTGTCTCTTCTCCATGCTCCTTGCCCTGTGTCTCTCTCTCTCTTTCTACACTCCAGTCACCGCTCCCACTGTGCATGGGATGGCTATCACAGCAAGGGGGTGAGGAGAGCGTAAGTTGTGGAATAGAGACACATGCACTGTAAGTCAGGTAGTGCAACAAAATATGGAATTGGATAAAGAACAAAGATAGATTGACAGAAGAAGAAACTAGAAAGTTGAAAAAATGGGAACATTGACTGAAGGCTGATGAGGGATATATGATGTATAAACTGAACTTTTGGCCAGAGTTGTAATATCCTTCCACCAATCCCAAGTTGACAGACATGTCCCGAAGCCCAGAGATAACTCTTAAGTGGTCTAACCAAAGCCCACCATCTGTTGTATGAAAACAGCTACCTTCTTTCCTGGGAATAAACCTGATGATTGGAAAGGTGGAACTGGACAGCCCTGGTTTACATACACATCTTTCATTAGTGTGTGATATAATATTATTAGAAATGTATTATTTATTAATGTTTTATTTTAGGTAATTGAATTAGTATAAATTCTATTGTATCTTAATTTTGATAAAATAAATTTTGTTTTTACTGATATGATATATATATTTTTGCATGATGTCAAAATGAATAAAACTTTTTTTTTTTATCTACAAGACTTAAGCGTTATTTGTGAACTATATATATGGGTTATGTTTAAAGATATCTGGTGATAATACGATGGGTAGCCTTAGCTACATGAAAGGCTCAGTAGCGCTTTGGTTGAATGATAAAATTCCTGGACTTACTAAGATTCTTTGGAAGGTTGAGGATGTGAGACAAATGGACAAACCCACAGCTCAGAGTCCTCATTCTCCAAAATGATATCATAGGATGTGGAATACTAGATTCTTGCCAATGTACAACTGTAGCTCAAGTTTTCTTTTTTTCTTGCTTGCCTTTGCAACTTTGACCCTTAAAGGGACACTATAGTCACTAGAACTACTATAGCTTAATGTAGTTGTTCTGGTGTGTATAGTGTGCCCATACAGGTTTTACAATGTAAATACTGGCTTTTAAGAGAAAAGGCGGTGGCTACATTACTGCCTAGTAACACCTCAAGGTGCAGCCACTCAGACGGCCCCTAGAGGTGCTTTAGATTTCAGTGTTGCATTGTATTCAGCATCTGCGTTCAGTGTCTCCATGCTCTGTATGTAGATGCTGAACACATGCACGCACAAAAGCCTCACTATGGAAAAGAATAAGAAGACTGCTTGGGTAGTCTTAGCTACACAAAATGCATTGGATTGGCTGAGATCATCAAGAGCTACATCTTCTATCCCCACGCACGTCTCTGGATACCTTTTGTACCTTTTTGCACCTTCTGTACGTAGTTATTTCTCTTTCCCCCCCCTTGCCATCTCTTTCCTGGGGTTTTTGATGTGTTACCATTTCTATTTCTGTTATTGGGGTACATGAAAATTAGTTACAACAGCAACACAGCGAAAAGCACAGATTTACCTGTTTCATTTTGGTGCCAAACATAGACCCGCTTACGTCTATGACAAAGATCACATTTTTCTGGATGGTTGGAAGCCCTCTTGGTGCAAAGTAGTGAACGAAATAACCATTGTAAATCTGAATGATAAAAATGAGAAAGTATTGATTGTAACATATAAAAAAGGAATGCTTCAAGAACCATAGTCACTGCACTAGACTCCTCCTCCAATGTAAGTACTTAAATCAATTTAGAATGGTTTGACTACTTACTTGGAATCCGCACCCCACCTCCAATTCTGCCTATGGAGATGCAGAATCTCCCTATCTGAGCTGAGCCCAGCGATGCAGAGTATAGCTAATTGACTGAGAGAGATCTGCTGACTACTTAAAAGCTTTCAGTTCCGCATAGAGATATGGAATGGCATCCGGCGTACCCCAGTTAAGACGTTAAACTGTTCTAAGATGGTCTGATTACTTACAATTGGGGGGGGGGGGGGAATTAGAGCACTCCTGGTGCTAAAAAACACTATAGCTAGCTGTAGTAGTTATGGTGCTTGGAATTTTGTTTTTAAACTGTTTCCAACTTATTGAGATCTTTACATCAAAAGATTTACCTTAATAAACACGCACATGCACACATATGAATTGTTTGTAGTTTGCGAAGTACATTTTTGATGATGCATGTGCATCATGGGATTTGGATCTTGCAAATATTTGCATGTATCTGCATTGTCAAATTTAGTCTCCATCTGTGTTAGGAGCAAGTACTTAAACGTCTCTGTCAAAAAATGCTGCTATTTTCTGCATATTTTGCAGGTTTTGCAGCTACTACAGTGAGCTCTAATCAAACCAAGAAGCAGTTACTATTAGCCGTTGAGAACTATTTTCACAGTATTGTATATGACTTGTAGCACTCACTCACTGTATATGTAGCCCCATGTAACAAAAGCACAGCTTAGGGGAAAGGGGCCTTGACAGAGCTAGGAGGCGGGCATAGGAGGAAGCTATGTAGGGATTGGTGGTTTAGAGGGTGAGATGCTGGACTGTATAAATAGGCAGCCATCTTAGAAAAATCGCTTTTAATCTGCCTACCTGGTTGAGTTTGTCCCTCCCTCCCTCCCTCCCTGGTTTTGCTGGCTGGGTTGTCCCATTCTGTCACAGCGGTTGGATAGTGAGCTGAAGCATAGGGAATAGGCTCTCCTTTATGATGGTTTGGAAATGGTTAATATGATTCTTGGTACGTTTGGTAGGTTTCGAGCTTGTCAGTGGCTCAGAACCTGGCGGGGTTGGGGTATCCGGGTATATCCCTACCATGGTTAATTAAAAATGCTGGCACTTTAAATTTTGTTCATGTTGAAAAACTGTTATATGTTTGTGTTTATATATGGGTCATTGCCTTTTATATCTAACTGTGGGAATACGGATGTGGTATGGCGGGGTGTAGGGCAATGACTTTTCAATGTTAAGTTATTACCAATACTATTATTTAATAAAAGATTTGGACAATTTTGATCCATATAAAAACAAAATACAGTAACGGAATAAAATAATATTTGTGTTGCTACAATCACCAGTGTTTGGTCACCCCAAAAACACTTAATAAAAACCAGTGCAAATACATAAATATAGGTGAGAGCACACACATAAATCAGTGTTATGTTACCACTTCAAGGCTTCTGTACACATAAAATCAATAGATATCTGTAATAAAATAAATAATAGAGATCATAGCGTAAAATGTAACAGAATATACAATCTTTAAAAAACCAATTGGTCAAACTCACATGGTGCTGAGCCTATTATTAGCAGGCTCAGACTTTCAGGCTCTTCAGTATATGTGACCTCCCGAACTCTGTTTACTCGTCCTCCTCTCCCATAAGGATACAGTCTCCAATCTTGGGTAGGTATAAAAATGTTTTATTGGACAACAAATATATATTAGGAGGTATAAAACACAATATACTAAAAAATAATAAAACCATAAATGGCACAACGCGTTTCGACTAAAATCAGTCTTTATCAAGTGCATACTGTTCTTCTGTTCTTCCCTTCTTTTAAACGCCGTTCCAGTCATTTCCCGCGTGTATTCCCGTTCCATGTCCGGGTTCGTAGGTTCATATGATGTCATATCCGCCTTCTACCTTCCGGCGCTCGGCAAGAATATCGGTCCATGTAGCGTCTCTATTTGATGACGTTTTAGTGTTATACATCCACCTTAACTATGGGCAACAGGCTGGAATAATGCCTTTGTCAATATTGTCCATATTATTCACGATAAAAAGATGGGATTAATAATTATTAATATAGAAACTGTATACATTGCTGACACTTGGGTTCTAAACCGCATATATTAAAGCAAACTCATAGAACAGGAGATATTTACAAAGTGAGGAAAAGGAAATGTAGATGATTCTTTACATATTACTCCATACAGAAGACTTAACAATACATCCATGGGGCTCGATATCCCTTGCTGAACTAGATAAGAACAAGATATATCTAGTAAAGGATGTATATTAAAAAATACACGCAGGAAATGTCCGGACCGGCGTTTAAAAGATGGGAAGAACAGTATGCACTTGATAAAGACTGATTTGAGTCGAAACGCGTTGTGCCATTTACTGTTTTTTTATTTTTTAGTATATTGTGTTTTATACTTCCTAATATATATTTGTTGTCCAATAAAACATGTTTATTCCTACCCAAGATTGGAGACTGTATCCTTATGGGAGAGGAGGACGTGTAAACAGAATTCGGGAGGTCACATATACTGAAGAGCCTGAAAGTATGAGCCTGCTAATAATAGGCTCAGCGCCATGTGAGTTTGACCAATTGTTTTTTTAAAGATTGTATATTCTGTTACATTTTACGCTATGATCTCTATTATTTATTTTATTACAGATATCTATTGATTTTATGTGTACAGAAGCCTTGAAGTGGTAACATAACACTTATTTATGTGTGTGCTCTCACCTATATTTATGTATTTGCACTAATTGTGACCCATATACCCTAGTGTCTGTGTTTTATTGGGGTAGGTATGTTTTTTTTTTGTGTGTTTTTTTAAATTCCGCCTGCCCATATGGCGACTATGCCCCTGTCAAGTACTTGGACAGTCAGAGAGGAAGCATTATCTTAAATCTGTGATGTCTGTCAAAGGGATATATATACTTTTGCAAATTGCTGAGGTTGAATCCACTGATATGCAAAGACAAAGGGTTAGTGGGTGGACCTCCTTGCACCATAACTTATGCAAGGAGCAAGTGTCACTTTAAATCATGTTAAAATGTGTGTAGAATGACATGTGATGAGAAGTCCATTTGGAAGACCAGGTCAGATGGATAAAGTCCAAACTATCTATAGAAAGTTCTTAATGACAGTGTCTGACCTGAACATCCCCAGCGAGGTCCTTCAGAGCAACATCATATTGGATGACGAAATCTGCTGCGATGCCGGAGCTGGACTGGGCAGTCTGCTGTGCAGGTGATGGTGAAAAAATGACACGGGCACAGTGTGGACCCTTCTCAAGCTTAGTGGATGGGGGTACTTTAGTCTCTCCTGAAGGGTAGAGAGCATAAACAAACCAAAACTGTGTTTAATTGTTTGGATCAAAACCTAGGAGAAGTAATTCAAGAAAATACTGCTGTCCAAATATTAAAGGGTACCTGCCACGACAAATACAACTTTATCATAAATAATTAAAAATTAAATTTCATCCATGCCTTGTGCTACCAGAATTTCTAGCATATGTCTAGATTTCTATACAATCAGAGATTAAAGGAACATTATAGTGACACAGGCCACTTCATCTTTATAAAGTGGTCTGGGCAGGGCTACCATCAGGGGGTTACAGGCAGTACTCTTGAAAAGAGCCTGGACCATCTCAGGTCCACTTTTGGTATGGCCCAATGCTTCATTAGCAGGTGGGAATAGTGTGCAGGCAGAGAAAAGGAGATGAGGCAGTTGGTGAGGATGTTAGACAGTGTTACACAGAGTGTAACACTAGAAGATGAATGGGGGCAATGGCTCTGGAGACCATGTGAGCATGTCACCCCACAATGTGAGAGGGAGCCTGCGCAGAGCGCCCACTGGACTTCAGTGATGAGGTCCTGCTGCTAATCTTGGGTTACATGCATCCATGTTCCATTCTCAGAGCTGGAACCACCTGCTACACCCTGTACTGGATCTGTAGCACCAACACCCTATTGGACAAACATTGCACAGTGAGTGGCTGGTGAGTACACTGGGATTTACTGGGATGGTCAATAGCTTGTCTGGTGACTGATGCTCTTGGCAGTCACCAACCAACCTACCACTTTCCCAGGGTTGTCTTAAGGACATTGGCTTGATGTGTAAGCCTTGTCTCAGGTTCCTTGCCATGCAGTGATTAAATGACCTGCTTTTATACTTCATAATTTTGTAACATGAATGAATATTACTTTGTCATCGCATGATCTTGCTTTCTCCCTCGCAACCATATACCTCTACATATAAATATATAGCTGGCTGTGTGTCTGTTTGACACTCTGTGTATGTGTATGAGCCGAGGTTGTGTGTGTCTGACCATTTGTATGTTTCTCACAGTGCATATGTGTCTGAAGGTGAATGAGACTGTGCTTGACTGCATGTGCATGACTGTGTGTCTGTTTGATGCTGTATGAGTGCATACGTGTGTGTGTGTGTGTGTGTGTGGCATGTGTTTTTGAAAGCTGGAATCTGTCTATGTGCCAAAGTATACCTTGTGTACTTGTGTGTATTTGTGTCTGGCATTGTGTATGTGTGTATTCTAGAATGCATTGTATAACAGTTTATGTGAGAGTATCTGTGTGTGTGTATAACATTTAGTGTGTATCTAAATGAGGGGGCCCGGCCAATTGTTATGTGTTGTGGAAGCTTGTAGGAAAGCATTGGGTGTACTCGCTGCGCATGCACATCAGGTCCCCAATTCTGCTCTATGACGAGCAGTGGATTTGACCATTGAGGGAGAAGGCCATGCCTCCTCGATGAAGTTACGGGAGGTGGAGTGATGAGCAGGGAGACTTGGTGCTGCAAAAAAGTTAAGTAAAAAGCTTTATTTTATTAAATTATATAAATAACTAAAATAACTAGTATATACACTGATCAGCCACAACATCTGTAGACAGGTGAAGTAAATTACCGTAATTTTTCCATGTATAAGATTTTTTTATTTTTCTAAATTTTTTTTTTTGTCTAAAATTGGGGTTCGTCTTATATACGGAATGTCAATGCAGGGGTTAAAAATAAACACTTGTATGTGGGGCCTAAGTTAAGATGGGGCCTAAGTTAAGATGGCGCCTGTCGCATTTCAGTGTGTCACGGCCCACACACATACCTGGCCTACCTCCCGCCCGATCCACTTCTGAATGCTGCGGCAAGGAGGAAGAGATCCCTATATGCGTGGAAGCTGTAGCAGACGTCAGCACTTACCACCAACGAGGTTCCAGAGACAAGCCACACCATAAAAGGAGCAGTCATGCTACACCTCAGGTAGGTCTTGCTTTCTGATTTATATTTATGGGGAAGGAAATGGGGATCAGGGAGCAGAGGGAACACTATTGTGATGTCCCAGCATGCCCTCACACCACCTGCTGTATAGTGGGAGCTGTAGTCTCCCAGCATGCACTATGGAGCCATTAACTTCACAGAGTACCTTAGCACAGGGGAGGCATGAGAAGGGTGTTGTTTTTCTCAGAAGTCACCTCTAAAATATCAGAGTTGTTCTATTGGATGTTTAAAAAATTGAATTCTTAATTTTGGGCTCAAAAAATAGGGGTCGTCTTATACATGGGGGAGTCTAATACACGGAAATATACGGTACTTCCCAAACAGGGGTATCCAGGAAAGGTGTGTCCTTCAGAACACACACTGAAAACATAATTGATGCTCTCAGCAGGAGACAGGAGTAATGGATATATATTAAAATATGAGCTTTTAACAGTATTAAGAGACAAAACTTTTAATTTTATAACATAAGTCAAGCCACGTGATTAGAAAACCGCAAACCTGTATTTAACATGACAGGCAGGGCCGGCGATACCTGTTAGGCGGACTAGGCAGCCGCCTAGGGCGCCCCTTGGGAAGGGGCGCCGCCAGGAGCGCTGGCCCCCTCATGCTGCAGCCACCCGAGCGCTCTGTAGAGAGCCTCAGGCGGCTGCAGCTTTGCCTGGGCGGTGCATCCATGAGGGCGCACCGCCCGGGCGCAGCATGAGGAGAGGGGCTGACAGGTGGGAAGCGCTGAGCGCTCCCTCCTGTCACTCCCTCACTGTAGCGTGGCCGAGCCCTCTATTGGTCCGCAGGTACAGGGAGCATCTGTCTCCTGTACCCGGCCGGACTAACAGGAAATGCACACTGAGTGTGCTCTTCCTGTAAGTCCGGCCGGGTACAGGAAACAAAAGCTACCAGTGCCCACGGATCATAGAGGGCTCGGCCACGCTACAACAATGGTAGGGAAGTGTGGGGGGGGAATTGACAGGGGAGGGGGGGTGGAATTGACCGGGAAAGGGGGGGAATTGACAGGGAAGAGGGGGTGGAATTGACAGGGAAAGGGGTGGAATTGACAGGGAAGGGGGGGTGGAATTGACAGGGAAAGGGGGGGAATTGACAGGGAAAGGGGGGATTGACAGGGAAGGGGGGGGGAATTGACACACACACAATGCACCCCTTACACACAGAAAAACACACAATGCATTACACACACAGACACACACACAAGCAATGCAACCCTTACACACAATGCATCCCTTACACACACAGAAACACACAATGCATTCCTTACAGACGCACACACTGCATCCCGTACATACACAGAAACACACCTTGCAGCCCTTACAGATACAAACACAGATTCACACAATGCATTCCTTACACACATATCAGGACATCCCCCTACTCCACCCCCTGTGAACAAACTCATTGGTGGAACATGAAGGTGGACCATGGGACCCAGACCTTGAGCTGTGTAAAGGGCCTTAAAAAAATGGAGCTGCTTCTCGTTCTCCCAGAACATTGATTTTTGTGACCACAGTTATAAACAGCCTCCAGAGAGCCTGTTCTACACCAGACCAGTGGAGCCAGACTGCAGCTAGAGCCCATCATCATCCTCATCTGGTTGTAAGTAGGCAATCTAGTATATTATTCGTGGCACTAATCTCTAGTCCCCAGAACCACTTCAGCTTAATGTAGTGGTTCTGGTGTCCATAGCCTGTCCCTGCAGGCTTTTTAATGTAAACACGGCGGCACTGCAGCACTGGCGTTAGTTAACATATGGGTGGGGCATTGTGATGTCACATGGGCGGGGCGGCAAACTTTACTTTTGCCTAGGGCGGCAAAAATTCTTGCACCGGCCCTGATGACAGGTTCACCCTAAAGTGAATACAGACATATAAAATCTTGAACATCTTTCCTCTTGAATAAACCAACCGATTTCTCGTAGAATGCACGTACCTCGCACTGCGTTTGTCATCAGGCGACTAGTACGCAGAGGTAGCACTTGGACGTATTCTATCCCTGTGCGTTCAGAAATAGTCACCTCCACGCTAAGATTCTGGACAATTTGCCCAGGTCTCACACTCACAGCGTGCTCGTATTTTCCAAGTTGCCTCCGCAGCAGTTCCTCGTAGGTCAGAGTGAACCCAATTTCTCCACCTGCTTCCACATTTACCATCACTCGGAACTTCTCAGTGTCTCTGTCCCTGGAGACAATCTTAAATTAAACCTTTACACTTTGAAAAAAAAAGATACAAAGACTACAGTATTTAAATGAAAGCCTCTTGGGTCAAGATCATTCTGTTACTTTCTTAGCATCCATCACTTCCTTCATTCTTAATGTTTTCTTGTTAAATAATATTTAGCAGGCCTGTTCCTGCTCATGTAATTACTCTAACGTCACAGAAAAACGAATCAACACCCGCTTCCAAGGGGTTATTGGTCCCCAAACAGTATTTCTTACAAAATGGCCTTTGGTGGCCAGGTACAACATGGAACGTATAAAATAACAAAAAAAGTTAAACATCAACTATGTATAACATAAAGTATAATACCGTATATTCATGTATTACAGATAATACGTTTTAAAGAAAAGGAGAAATGTTTTTTCATTTTTTTAATGGTGTTACATATAGATTGTTTCAAGCTACTAGTTGACTTTCCAAATTAGTTTAGGCATGTGCCTATAGACAATATATGACCCTAAACAAGTTTGTACATTAAGGGCATCTTGAATATCCAGAAGGAAGGGATCAGTGGCAAAGGTTGCCTACATCTCCCATAATGCTGTTAGAGCCAAAATTCTAGTAAAGCATCAGGTGATGTAGTCCACAACATCTGAAGTTCTAAAGGTTGTCTATCCTTGACCTTTGCTATAGATTGTTATCAGGCTTAGCCATTTGAAGGCAATATTACCCAGTTTGATCATGTCTGGAAGCTTGAGGTCACCATTTGAATTCTCACCTGGTCCCGACATGGGCAGTAGTTTTCCCCTGCTTTCTAGCTTCTTCATACATCTTTTTGGCTTGGTGTTTCTCCTTCACCTCGGCTATGTACGTCTTACCTTTAACTGTGCTGTAAGCAAAGAGAGACCAGAATGCATTGGTGCTTTTTCCAGCATCAACAAACAGAATAAAATAAGTTTTGTTATTTTTGAAGCTCTGGTCATTAAAACATCAGTGATATACTGCAGTTGAAATAAAGGAACTTTTAAAAAATAAATAAATAAATATATATATATATATATATATATATATATATATTTTAGTAGAAATACTCCTGATGAACGCATGCATTAATTGCTGCATTTGTCATTCATTGGGGTATATTTAAAAACAGCTTGCAAAACCTGCATTTCTCTGGTCTGCAGCCTTTGCAAGCCCTCCCCCTCTAGCCCTGCCCAGATTTTCTGTGGCTGTCCAATCACAGACTTCCCCATGCAACTCAGTGAGAAATCTTTGCAAGGCAGGTGCTCTGGGCAGTTGTTGCCTCTTGATTTCAACTTCTCTGAGTTAACCAAACCAGGAAGTAACAGGTCCAATTGTATGATTGACAGCCAGGTGATTTCAGAGGTTTTCAGTGTCAGAATGGATTGACAGCAATAATTCCATTCCCATATTACTCCAGCAGGCAGAAGGCTTTATAGCTGGGGGAATACTACAGTGACAAAAAGCAGGAGACACAATTGTAGGAAGGCTCTCCTGCTCAACTTTCTGCTCTACCCTGACACAAAATTATCAACATGTAATGTAACACAAAACCTTCTTCCCTAATCCACAAACGACCTTGTTTGAAAATGTTTTCCAAAGCACGGCGTGCCTATCCTTCATTGCCGGTACATTAGCATCTGAGTTGAGTGACTACGCTGTAGTTGTTGTAAAGAGGAGCAGGAGAACCTCCTCAGCAAGTACAATGTTGGTGGAAGTGATTGAAATTTGGAAGGAGTGGGACATTTTTCTATATAGATTATTTTTAGAAAATATATACATTTACAATAAATTCAGTCAACATGTTACAAAGATTAACTCTTATGGGGTTAATCACTAAAATCCCAAAATTAAAACCATCCGGGGCAATTCGGACAGCAAAGTCCTGAAATTTTTCACACTATTCATCCCAATGGGGGTCAATAAGATCCCTACATTACTATAGAGGAAGTTTAAAACGTCGCTTTGCCCCTACCTGTCATGCAACAACTGTTTAAAACTACGACTGGAAGGCCATTGCTGCCCAACTGCTTCTTACATTGTATGGTTAAGACTGCTCTAGTGACTGTCTACCAGATCGCCACTAGAGGCGCTTCCTGCTGTTTCACAGAGTTTAACTCTGTGAAACAACAATGGATGTCCTCACACTTTGTATGTTGATGTCTTGCAAAACCCCATAGGAAAGCATTGATTCAATAGTTTCCTATGAGCAAGGCCAAATGTACGAATGGCGTTTTCTGAGCTTGCTACTAGATTCCCCCTCGCAATGATGTTGGAGGAGGCAGAGACCGAGCCAGCGCCGAGGGACTTCACCGCTGGAATTGCTTAAATGCTTTAAAGGGTTTTTAACCGTTTCATTGAAGGGGGTGCTGCCGGGGCAGAAGGACCCTATAGTGTTAGTAACACAGCTTTATATTCCTAATATCATAGTGTTCCTTTAACCCCTTAAGGACCAAACTTCTGGAATAAAAGGGAATCATGACATGTCACACATGTAATGTGTCCTTAAGGGGTTAAAGAATCTGTCTGTGAAGATCTGAGCTAAGAAATAAATGTTTTCTTCTTCTAAAAAACATTATTAGTGCATTATTAAGCAAGCACTTCCGTGATCAAAGTAAAAACATACACATAAATAAACTATCCTTTGTATCTCAATCATTGAATTTAAATCTGGTACATCCTGTCCTAACCTGTGCAGAAACTCTAACAGTTACAAAACAGGGGCTAAATACGTCTAGCAATAGACACACTGACACAAGAATCTCACATCAGTTATTGGTCTATCTGATTGCAAAATAAACCTTGCACCTTTTGAAGAACAAATAATGTTGACTTTGGTTTCTCAATTTTTTGTTAATTATTTCTTTAAAAAAATTTTTTTATATATTTTTTTTAAATTCCCAAGCGAAAGACAGCAGCCCTTGTGTTTTCGTGTCTCTAAGCAAGCTGAGGTCTTAAGAGAGACACGCATAGATTGCTGCCAGCATAAATGTTTGAAGGATACAAGCTGGCCAAAATTAACTTGGCCACGGGGACAAAACATTTCCTTGTGACAGAGAGTTGTGTGTACCGGGATGCTTTGCACAATTTCTTTACTCTCCTCTGTTTATCCTTGGTTGGTTTCCAGCCATTACTTCAAAGAGAAAGTTAGTTATTTTTGAATTATTTTTTTAAAGCCAGCATCGGCAAAATAGTGTGGAAAGGGTTGCTGCAGTGTTTTTGTGAAAAATGTCCAATCTTCTAATTAAATTGAATTACACATGCTTATCCTAGGGGGCAAAGGGAGATGATTGTTTTTACTAGATACAAATAAATTTGCTGAGTCTAAAAATATGATATTCAGATGACTGTTCTATTTACCCAAGAAGATATACGACACATTATGGCAATGTGCTTGCTTAGAAGTGAAATTACAAACTACTATTTTTGAGTATTGACCTAAAAACATCCTTTAGGCTGTTGGCAAACAGAAGTAAATTGTGGCTGTGAGATTTAACCATTGCTGTACTGTGGAGGTAGCACATTGCACAAAATAAGGTAACCAAAACTTTTTAACTTTATATATTTTTATTTAACAAAAACATTGATAGGATTTCTTGCCCACCTCCTGGCTGTTCTAAACCTTTCTAATTTTTTTTATTTTACTGTGCGTATTTGCCTATGTGCATTTTTGTGTGGCAGTGTTTGTGTGTTTCTGTGTGTGGTACTATGAAATGTCTGTGACTGTAAGTGAATATGCTGATGCATGATGCAAACATTAACACTACACGCAAACGCACGACTACATTGAAATGCCAATACTACACACAAACAAACCACAGCATTCAAACACAAACACACCTATGAATGCAAATACTAAAAAAATAAACACATCACAGAATTCAAACACTATAGAATGTGTGTAAAAAGCTACAAACCGTAAAACTACCCAAAAACCTACCCCTGCTTTCAAACTCCAATACTACGCACAAAAAGGTACACAATGCACATTAGCATCATTGAGTTGTATGGCAGTTGAGGATCTACGCTTTGGCCACCCCTGCTCTACAGGTGGGGCTCCAAAAAATAGGGGGCTTGCAAGTTCTATGATGTGTATCACAGGTGAGGCAGTTAGAGTTGGTTCCTGTTTTAAAGAACCACTAAATGCACCAAGACCACTTCATCTCAATTTAATGATCTGGGTGCACTATCCCTTTAGTTTTAACCCTGCAATCTAAAACATTGCTGTTTAGTAGATACAGCCAGGGCTGGATTCTCCACAAGGCCACCAAGGCCGTGGCCTTCTTTAGCAGGTTTCAGAGGGGTGGCAAGGCTGGTGGAAGGATCAAAAGTCTCCCTCACATGCCAGCCAATTCTCATACTGGGGGGAATGAGGTGGGGGTAAATCACACATTTAATCAGAGTGGGAACTACAATTTTCCACTTTGCATTCCAAGCCCCACTCTGAAGTCAAGTGCCATGGAGACAGACTCCGGTGGAACAGCCACTCTCTATGGTGACATTGACCAGAAGAACCCAGTGATCAAAATGTTTGAAAAAGAAGTCAAACAGGTGCTCGGCTTTCTGAAAAGAACACCTATCACATGGAGCAAAGACCCAGCAATAGGACTTTAGAAGGGAGTAGATAGCAATTTATATATTTATATATCATCTCAGTTTCACTACTTGATTTATTAGAATTATTATGCAAATGCTACACAACAGCCTGAATAACTGCGAGACAAATTTATTAATGCCACAGGAATGTCTTTGAATTACTGTGGTCGAGGTGATCGCAGCTGCGACCAGGCTCGTCACTCCAGGGGGCCCAGTCGCCATGTGGACCCCTGCGACCATGATGCCCACCGCCGGCCCATGCTGTTAGGCCTACCCGATGGCAATGAATATCTAGGGGGCCCGGTCAGCGTTGCAGCACTTTAACAGCGCAACCAGACCCCTGTGATGACATCCTCCCACTTCTCACAGCTATCAGAGACAGCAGAGCGGGAGGAGGATGGAGAGCAGGGGGTCAGAGTGGGAACTCTGACTCCCATCAGCCTGAGCCACCACTGGACCCCAGGGAAAGTCACCTTCCTGCACCTAAAAGGTAGGTAATAGAAGGGTGACTTAAACATTTTGCATTTGTGTTTGTATTAGTGTATGTGTGTCTGTACGTATGTGTCTCTATATGTTTGTGTGTGTTTGTGTATGTGTGTCTTTATGTTTCTCCGTATGTATGTGTGTCTGTCTGTCTGTATGTATATGTGTGTGTGTGTGTGTGTGTATATGTGTGTGTCTATGTACGTATGTCTGTATGTATATGTGTGTGTCTATGTGTGTGACTGCATATATATCTGTTTGTCTGCATGTGTGTGTAGGGAGGGGGTGGATGTATGGGGGAAGCGAGAAGTAGACATATGGGGGCAGGAAGTAGACATATCGGGGGGTAGATTTTTTAGGGGGGAGGCTGGAGAGCAGGGGGTCAGAGTGGGAACTCTGACTCCCATCAGCCTGAGCCACCACTGGACCCCAGGGAAAGTCACCTTCCTGCACCTAAAAGGTAGGTAACAGAAGGGTGACTTAAACATTTTGCATTTGTGTTTGTATTAGTGTATGTGTGTCTGTACGTATGTGTCTCTATATGTTTGTGTGTGTTTGTGTATGTGTGTCTTTATGTTTCTCCGTATGTATGTGTGTCTGTCTGTCTGTATGTATATGTGTGTGTGTGTGTGTGTGTATATGTGTGTGTCTATGTACGTATGTCTGTATGTATATGTGTGTGTCTATGTGTGTGACTGCATATATATCTGTTTGTCTGCATGTGTGTGTAGGGAGGGGGTGGATGTATGGGGGAAGCGAGAAGTAGACATATGGGGGCAGGAAGTAGACATATCGGGGGGTAGATTTTTTAGGGGGGACGCCCCAGAGCAATTTTCGCACCGGAACCCCGAGGTTTGTAGTTACGCCTCTGTCCACAATTCACATGGACACAAATACTACACTGCAAACAGTTCTGCCTGCACAAACACACAGCCTTACAAAAGCCTTCCTTCCACATAAGCAACTGTACAAGCAGCCTCCCTATTCGTGCAACTGCACACACACTCAACCCCAAAAATAGCATCAACAGAGACATGTAAAACCAGAACTTGCTTTTACGCACACAGCATCACAAGCAGCCATACCCCCCACAACATACACACACCATACAATTAATGTCCCCACTAACATGAAGAACTACAAGTAACCCGCTGCCACACACAACCCCACAAGCATCCTCCACACACACACACATATTACCCCACACAGCCCTGTCCCACATCCAATCACCTACTTAATCACATTCACCATCCAACTGTATCCCAAACTCATCACATTCACCTATCCAGTCACATACACCAAACTTGCTATGTATATGTGTGGTGGGGGGTGACTTTGGACCAGCAATGAGGATAAATCTGGTCCTGGATAGAGCACTGTTATGACTGCAGGGTTAACACACTACTAATGGTGGTCTTCATGACAGCCACTAGACGTGCTTCCTTCCTAAAACTGAATCTCGGTTCTCAATGAAATGCTGCTCCTGGAGGGCATTTGATTGGCGCAGCATGGCATTTTGCCCGCATGAGCACTAGCCTCGAAATGTTTCCCTAAGGGGAAGCATTTGATTGGTTGAGATCGTAAAGACTGATCTTAGCCAAGGAGGCGGGGCAACAGGACGGAGAACAGATTGTTGATAGAGTTAAGGTAAGTATATTGATTTATTGAAAACTGCTGTTGAAGCCTCTCATATGGGCTGAATGCCCTAAGCTCAGATTGTATACATAAGCGCTCTTGGTAATATGCTCACGCTGGATACAAGGGAATTATACCCTATTCTCTTTAGATCACGGGTGCTCAAAAGGCAGATCTCTGTATGTTTAACTTGTTTTCACAATTATGTTTATGCATTATTTACTTTTATTCAGTGCATGTTGAATATGTTTGAGAAACTTTCTTAAGCTAGTATTTGAATTAAAAAGACTAGTTTTGGACATGGAGTCCTGTATGGCTCTCCTGCGGATCTTACGTTCATACAGTAATGGCTGATATATAACTATACACAAAAACATTTCTGTCATAAGCTGCTGTTGAGATGATGTTAGTTGTGTGACTATAAAGAAATACTCGAAGCACCAAAACAACTTTAGCTTCACGAGTGGTTTTGGAGTATAGATCATACCCCTGCAGTCTAACTGTTAAATTCTCTGTCATTTAGGAGTTAGTTCACTGCAAATTAGGAGCACACTGTAGTGGTTATAGTGCCAGGAGTAACCTGGCCCGTTTCATCTGCAATGGGGCAAACCATATAGCAATGGTTAGCCCTCTTACATGGGTCCAGTCGGACTCTGAGGGTCCTTTCACCTCTGGTGAAGACAACCGGCTTCTTCAGAGTTGTTGAAGCCAGAAGACAATCCAGTCACTGTGCAGTGAGATTCCAATCATCTTGACCATTTTAAATCACTGAAGTGGTCATGGTGCTTGGATCAGCCATTTAAGCCTAGCATATCTTTAATATCACATAGTTTAACGGTGGCTAAACTATAACCCGGTTATGGTACTTGGACTGTTCCCAGGGCCAGATTAAGAGCCCAGTGGGCCTGGTGCTGACAATTATGACGGGCCTAATTACAGAATCATATCAACCAAAAACAGTAAAACACTCCCAAGCGTCATGTATCTGATGGAGATGGTGCTGGAGAGAAATAAAACAGCAGCTCTAAGAAAACACATACCCTAGGCTAATCTCTCACTAATTTATGTTTTCATCTTTCAAGTAAATCCATAACCCCTAACAGCAGTGTCCAGTCAAGCAGGAAGTCAATGGGCACGGTAAAAGGGTGTGCCACTGACACAAATCACGTAACCTGCCAAAAGGGGCGAACATGCCCAAAAAGAGGGCATGTCTGCCCAAAGAATTAGAAGGCCAGCCTGGTATGAATGCATGTCAGGCTGCCTGCCAATCATGCAGCTGGCCAACTAAGGGCATACTATGCAGACAGCACCCTGAGCTTGGCATAAATGCATCTAATGATCAACGCTTTCTAAGGACTGTCCCCTAGCACTCACTGGTCCACTTGTCTCCTTACCTTCTTACTAGCAGGCAGAAGCTCCTGGTATATAGTCTGGGACAGAGAAAAGCTGTATGTAGTGAGTGTAGAAGAAAGGGAACATGCCACAGTGTTAGAGAGACCAAAGTCAGCATTACCTTAAAGTATCACTATAGGGTCAGGAACACAAACATGAATTCATGACCCTATATGTTAACACCACCATCTAGCCCCCCTGGGCCCCTCATGCCTCCATAAATATAGAAAAATCTTACTGTATTCAAGCCTGAAGCTGTAACTCTGCATGCTGTTAGACTCATAAAAACAAGCAGTCTGCTGACATCATTAGAAGTGGTGGCCTAATCCAATCACAGTGCTTCCCCATAGGATTGGCTGAGACTGACAAAGAGGCAGATCAGGGGCAGAGCCAGCATGATTCAAACACACCCCTGGCCAATCAGCATCTCCTCATAGAGATGAATTGAATTAATGAATCTCTATGAGGAAAGTTCAGTGTCTGCATGCAGAGGGAGGAGATACTGAATGTTTGTTTTGAATATTTTTATTGTATGCATAACATAGGTTCATACGTCAAACTGATTTGTAACAAAGCAAGTGGTTGCCCACGCAGGGGCTCAAGCATTGGTTCAACACAGTATATAATTTTGGTTGCCTACGCAGAGGCGAATCCGTCTTAGCCTGTTTAGCTTATCCTGTTTTACATATACATTTAGTTGCCCGCGTGGAGGCGAAATTGTCTTGTCTTGTGTTTGTGTTCACATGTGGTTGCATTGTGGTTTATACTCTCATGTGCCGTGTTGCTATATTATTTCGATTCTAGCGTTAAGTAAGTGTTTTATGTTGACAGACAATGGTTTGACACTGCGTATACATTTGGTTGCCTGTGGATCGGCGACATCGTCCTGTCTTGTGTTTGTGTTCGTATGTGGTTGCTTTATGTTTTATACTCTTATGTACTGTGTTGCCTTATTATTTCGATTATAGCGTTAAGTAAGTGTTTTATGTTATCTGGTGTATACCAGTGTTGCGTGTGTGCTAATTGGTAAATGCAGATTGTCTCCCATACAGAGGCATATGGATTAGCTTGCTAGTTAGGGTCTGACATTAAGTAACAATCTAATGTATCAAAACTTTTTCAACTTTCAGCACAAAGAGCATATTTGTTTGCAATTTGTTGCCTTAATCAATACTTAAGCTATTTGGATATCAGGTATGCAGTTATAGGCGACTGTCCCGACTCTCGTGCGGCAGTCAGTGAATAAATATTTATCAGTGTCTACCTTTGGCCCTTATGGGCATTTTAGCATTTACTGCACATTCAATTGGTAATTTAGATACAGCATCATGTAAGCGGAATAGATGCGGACTGCATGCAGCTGTTAAAGCATAGGTTGCGGGCTATTCCTTAAAAAAAAAAAAATTTGAACTGGTATTAACTGAGAACATGTATAAAAGCCCCTAAGTATTCTTTATATGTATCGAAGCTCAGTTGAGAAACTGCTCAAGTGTCCAGAATTGCACGTGAGCTTGCTTATAGGTATAGTCCCGTGGTTGTCAGCGGTGCATGTTGAGCTGAATTATAGAGCTGTAAGCTATCTGCATACTGGATCGGTGCGGTCCCTCAGGGTGTCAGTCTTCCGTCTGTCCACCCCTTGGACTCAGGCCCCCGCGGGGCGTTCTGCGATGCCGTGGGCACTCGGGGTCCGGGTCAGTCCATGAGACCCCCCACAAAAGTCCCAGCACTCTCCGTCCCCTGCACCTCCCCAGCGTCGTTTGCGCTGCCACATAACAACTGGGCCCGCGAGTCTCACCCGGCGCAGGCCTCACACTTAGAGCCGGTGCGCCTCCTCCCTCCCGGCCACCGGTAAACCGGAGGGGTTCAGAGCCCTCTGGCCCCACAGGACTCACTGCGTCGGGGACATCCTTCTCCGAGCCACCCAGAAACTCAGATGCAGGGTCCAGTATCGTCACCAGGGGGTAGGCCCTCCGGGGTGTCCGTCCGTGGGCCGACAGCCGTTGGGGCCCCTCGAGCCTCATACAGAAGCCTCCACATAAAGGTGCGTAGTTCACTTCGTGCGTGCTTGTATTCCATCTGCCCTTATCTGCTGGCGGGCTGTTCCTGGGAGCCTTTGCCAGTGTAGGTGATCGACCCGCACGGGCCTCCGTCGCCGCGGAGATCATCACCATGTGGCCGGGATAACCCCCACCGGCCTGGGGGGGGGAGCGGGGCCGTGCCGCCCGCCGGGCCCATCCGTTCAGCTTTGGGTCCAGGTCTCTTTTTCAACGTTTGCCCCGCCGGGCCGCTTCGCCTTTCCTGCCTCCCTCCATGTGCGGCCGTGTTTGCCATGTTTGCCTGCTTTTTGCTTTTTGCTCTCTTGGTGCGGGATTGGCCCCATGTAGGTATCCTACTGGTGCAGGATGCGTGCATTATCGTTCGGTTACCGGGGTGTCCCCTTTTTGATGCTGCATGACCACTTTTGAAGTCGTTTTTTGGGGATCGTGGGACAGAGCTAAAGCTCATGGCTGCCATCCAGCTCGGCGGCCCGGCCCCGCCCCCGAGATACTGAATGTTTGGATGCATTTTAGGATCTCTAACAGCCATCTAAGGAGTGGCCAGTGAAGTTATCACTAGGCTGTAATATAAACACTGCATTTTCTCTGAAAAGACAGTGTTTACAGCAAAAAGCCTGATGGTAATGATTCTACTCACCAGAACAAATTCAATAAGCTGTAGTTGTTCTGGTGACTCTAGTGTCCCTTTAACTATATTCATTGTCAGCCAGTCCACACAAGTTTTGTTCCCATACATCCCTCTTAAGTTTCCATACTTAAGTAAGAGTATGTGAAAAGTAGTTAGGGTTGCCACCTTTCTTGGAAAAACATACCGGCCTTACTAATTTGCATAATTAAATATGTATGGGTGACATCACATGATGTAAATCACAAGGAGTGACATAAGAGAAATGCTGTAAAATCACCCAAAAACTACTTAGTTTGATTCTGCTGTATAGATGGATTCCTCCCAGTGGCCCCATGTCTCCCAGTGCCCCTATGTGTCGATTACTCCAGGTCTCAGTGCCCCATGTCTCCCATTGTCCCCTAGTGTCGTGTCCCCAGATCTCCCAGTGATCCTATGTATCACAGTGTCTCAATGCCCCATGTCTCCCTGTGTCCCCATGTATCCCAGGGTCCCCATGTCACTAGGAAGACGGGGAGACCTAGGGACACTGAGACACCAGTGACACTGGGAGACTAGGGGACTCTGGCTGGGACACATGGGGACACTGGGAAAATAGGGGACACTTGAAGACATGGGGACACAGACACTAGAGACACTGGCTGGGGGACATGGGGACATTGAGACATGGGGACAAGGAGACACCAGGGCAACAGACACTAGGGACACTAGCTTGGAGACATGGGGACATTGAGACACTTGAGGCACTGGGAGACATGGAGGCACTAGGAGACATGGAGACAGTGAGACACTGGTAGACTGGGGGCACTGAGACACAAGGGACACTGGCTGGGAGACATGGGAACACTGGGAGACATGGGGACACTGTGTCCCCATGTGTCTGTGTCATAATGTCTCCCAATGTCCCTTAGTGTCTCAGTGTCCCCATGTCTCCTTGCAGCCTTTCCCCCCATCCCTTATTTCCCTGAGCTGTAGGCTGTCTCTGCAGGGTGGGAGTTGCTGTCTGGACTCTCTGTAGCTGCACCCCTGCAGATCAGTGAATAGAGATAGGCAGGGAGGGATATGCTGAAACTTCCTATCCCTGCCTGTCTCCACATACAGCGACCCCTACTGGCCAGTGCTGGCATTACATAGTAATCTCTTGTTTATACTGAGAAAAATACCAGCATTTGTATTGCCATTATCACTGTAATATTGGCACCAGTCAGGCAGCCTTAAATACTGGCTGTGCCAATAAAATAAAAGCCAGGTTGAATCCCTAAGAGTAGTGTGTAAAAAAAAAAAAATTAATTTTTATTTTTTTTTTATAAATCAATGGGCCTATTCCATGGGCCTGGGCCTGGAGCTGCAGCTCCATCAGCCCCTATGTTAATCCGGCCCTGACTGTTCCTTTAAGCCTTATTTTAACCTTTAGATTGTAAACTCATGGGATAAAAGAGCTTCAATTGCTAAATCTCAGCTAATGGCCTTCTTTACCTTTTGTATTGGTCTGTGTGTATTGTACATTCCCCCTCCCCCTTTATTGTATTTGTGTTTATTGTACTGTGCAGCAGAATATGTTGGTGTTTCATAAATGCCAGTAATAATATTAACAACCTTAAAGCAACAATTTAAAAGCTGCTTCAACTGCAATGTTTCAGTGCATAGTAATATCCGGCGATTTGGCAAGTTTTTAAAATACCAGGTGGGAAACTTACAGGGTGAAGTTAGATATGAACGCTGAGCTGGGCAGATCCAAATCAAAGATGGCGTCCTTAGCTTCAGAGTGAGGGTTGAGCATAACAGTCTGCACCTTTGTGAAAGCATATCTGGAGACTATAGTGGACTGAATGAAGAGGCTGCTGATGGTCAACTAGAAGAGGGGAAACAAATTTAACAAATTAAATAAAAAATAAGGACTAAAAAAAATATTTTAATTAGTATTAAAATATATTGAAAAGGGGGTTCAGTCATTCAGTAGTGAATAGTGGTGAGCCAAAAACCATTATTGAGGCCAAATTAGCACAAGTGGGAAAATAACTTGGGGTTAAATATATTTTGTAATTTCGTCATGCAATTCCCTCGTGAAGTTACCACAATGCCTTGTTAGTGAATACTTAATATCTGCTACATTTGTAAAGAGACAAGAAGCAATAGACAAAGAAAATTAAGGGGACACTCTAGGAACCTGTCACATATTCTTCGTCTCCATGTGACAAAAGCGGAGATAATAACCTTCCGTAGATAGAGGGGAGTGCCGCTCGGCGGTCTTCTGCTATCATGCCTGGCTTTTGCGGCATTTTGGTAGATGATGGCCACTGCGGACCCATGCAACTATATAGCCCCACGTCCATACACGGTAAAGACGATGTTGACGTGCAGGTGACGTCACGCAAAAGACAAACACGCACGTTTTGGGGTCAAAGGCTAGGTACAGCCAATCGGATCTGCAAAATGGTTATTTAAACACTCATGTTCCCTTAGCTCATTGCCCTGTCGTGGTTTCCCCTAGATGGTTAACCGAGAGTGTGTTCCTGATCAGTTTTTATGATTTTTGACTTTGGCTTCGTTTTGACTTCCCTGATTTCTGGTACCTTTGACTTTTGTCTTTTCCTTATCGCTGTGTATCATTCTGTGTCCCTGTCCTCGGCTAGTTTTCTGACTTTTCTCGGTTACGTTAAGTCCTTCCATTCTAAGGCCCGGTAAGACCTTAGTACTAGGGTATGATACTATTCTGTGTGCTGGATCAATGTAATCCTGACAGAACCAAAACAACTTTAGCTTAATGAAATTGTTTTGGCATATAAATCGTGCCTCTGCAGTCTCGTTGCTCAATTCACTGCCATTTATGAGTTAAATCACTTTGTTTATGCAGCCCTAACCACACCTCCCCTGGCTGTGACTCAAGCAGCCTCCATGAAAAAAAAACAACATTTATTTTCAATCAGATCTTACAGCACAGTGTGTTTACTTTAGAAGTTATCTCCTTCTCTGTTAATGAAACTTTAACCATATTAGACACATTAAACACACTGCTCAATAAGTAAGCTAAAAAAACAACAACAATTTTACAAGAAGTGTTTAGGGAGGCTGTGTGGGTCTTATTGAGGATTCTTTGCTGCTCTTGACAAGCAGCCTGTAGAGGTTATGCAGCTTGGAGTGTTCTTTTTACAGTATAATACAATACATGTATATATTAAATGTCTATAATATATGTAAAATAAATACAGCCATAAAATAAATTTCCATTCCATCGAGTTAGGTCAATACAAATTAGATCATGTGCAATGGAATGCAATTTTAAGAGTGTATCTCTATTGCCTTAGATATTCTCAAGTTACCATGAGATAGAATTTATTTTCACATTTGAAAATATTCACACACACATCTACATAAGACAACTAATTGGGCCCAATAGTATGAGATAATATTTAAGATTTTTTTTTTCTCCAAAATTTTCCAGTGTTTTATTTAACCTGAAAATTACTATTTCCTGTTATATATTTTTATAATAATTATATATTTATGTATCTTTTGGAGGCAGAGAAAGGGGAACTCTCTAAAATAAGTAACCTTTTCTTTAGCAATCCATATGTTTTAGCTCTCAGACACTTCTCGTTTAAGGAAGGGTATGGGATGTTACTCTACACCGGCGTCACAGGAAGCTTTAAAACACTTGCTCCCGTTGGGCTCAACTTTGGAAAACTTACTTGGCTCTGTGAAATTATCCATTACCTAAGTTATAAAATACATACTTAAATGACCTTCTATCTTTCCTATATGCTCGAGGAACAAATTCACAGGAGACTACAGCTTGTGCCAACCAGGGTAAAACCAGCCATCATTCCATTGAGGAAGACAACTTTCTATATGAGGGGCAACTCAGTCCAGTAACACGGTAGCCAAAAAATACATCTATTGTACAAATTTCCAACACAGTTAGAAAAAAAAATACTTTTACAGAACTGCTTCTGATGGAGTAGCTAACCACGAAGACTATGCATCGGAATTTGGAGGTATAAACAAGGGTCAGAAGTTGACGACTGGAGCCCTTGAGAGGAGATGCAAACCTTCTAAAATATATTTCCTAAGGAGGCTAAATATTGGAACAAACATTATATATTTCAAATAAAAACAAAGATTATATTGAGGAGAGAATTGAAAAGGGTGATCAATGATATGTAGTAAGGGAGTCCATAATTCAGGACAAATAGTACAGAATGGAGTTCAGCATAAAAAGGTTTGATAGGAAGGTCAAAAGCGGGACATATTTTTTGTGTGTGTTTGGATAACGATACTGAAGTATGAAAAGAACTAAACAATAGGTGTTTGGTTTTTAAGGATTATTAGAGCCCAATTAGTAGTTTTGGGCATGATTGCATCACTGATATGTCTACAAACTAGTACAATGGACATTAAACTTGTGGAGGTCTTGGTTATCGCAGTCAGGTCACAGCACTGCAAAAGCAACCAATGGTTGGAATATTTAAAAGGTTCATGAATCCAATAGCATCTAGGATCGCAGTGATCTTTTTATAACTTTTATCTCATACTCATTTTCGTTTGCTCCATTATGATGAAAGGACCAAAAGCCAGATAAAAATGCCCCAAAATTCTAAATTGAGTAGATAAGTGTAGAAAAGCAGGATACACATATACCTCGCAGGGAGCTGGAGATGCAATGCCAATGGATAGACATTATTACCAACTCGATTGAAAATCTTTTGTTGCTAAGCCAGCTTCTTGGAATATTTGGAATTCTGAAGTAGGCAGCCAGAACCTCTCTCTGTTTAACCCCTTAGTGTTCAGACCGTTTTAAAATTTTCTTACTGTTAAGGACCATTTCTGTTTTTACATTTCTACGGTGTTTGTGTTTAGCTGTAATTTTCCTCTTACTCATTTAATGTACCACACATATTATATACTGTTTTTCTCGCCATTAAATGGTCTTTCTAAAGATACCATTATTTTCATCATATCATATAATTTACTATAAAAACATCTACAACCGCCAAAAAACCACCCATGCTAAATTGTTTCTAAATTTTGTCCTGAGTTTAGAAATACCCAATGTTGACATGTTATTTGCTTTTTTTTTGCAAGTTATAGGGCTATAAGTACAAGTAGGACATTGCTGTTTCAAAATATATATTTTTAAAATGTATCAATAGTGACATTGAAACACTGTTATCTATTATAAATATCTGAATCACACCTCACATGTAAAGTTTTTTTTAAAGTAGACAACCCAGGGGATTCAATATGGGGTATGTCCAGTCTTTTTTAGTCACAAACACTGGCCAAAGTTAGCATTTATATTTGTTTATGTTAAAAATGCAAAAAACTATTATGAACGCTAACTTTGGCCAGTGTTTGTGACTAAGTGGCTACTAAAAAAGACTGAACATACCCCGTTTACAATACCTTGGGTTGTCTTCTTTTGCAAATGGTATGCCATCATGGGGGTAATTCTCATTCCTGGGCTACCATACGCTCTCAAAGGCAACATAACCAATCTGGAAAATTTCAATGTGAAAAAATGGAAAATCAAGCCTTATATTTGACCCTGTAACTTTCAAAAACACTATAAAACCTGTACACAGAGGGTATTGTTATACTCGGGAGACATCGCTGAAAACAAATATTAGTGTATCAAAACAGTAAAATGTATCACAACAATGATATCATCAATGAAAGTGCCGTTTGTGTGTGAAAAATGCAAGAAACGTCACTTTTACTGACAATATTATTGCTGTGATATGTTTTACGGTTTTGAAACACTAATATTTGTGTTCAGCAATGTCTCCCGAGTATAACAGTATTAAGTCGACCAAGTAAAACAGTATGTACAGGTTTTAGGGTGTCATGGAAAGTTACAGGGTTAATTTTAGTGCTAGCAAATTAAATTCTCTGGACTTTCGGCCTGGGTTGTCAGGCAGATCCCCCAAATTGCAATCAATAAAATTACTTAATTATGTAAAAATATTACATAAATATGCACATTAAGTTTAAATATATATATGCATATATTTTTAAATTTGAAGTCTACATGTATATTTATGAAATTATTTATGTGATTATGTACATATTTCGTATTATTTTTATTTATTTATATATACATAGATATATATATAATTTCACTCTAAGTGTATTTTGATATAAATATATATATTAATATCAAAATACAGTAAGAATAAAATTACATATATATATAAAATTAGTTTTTTATTTTTACATTTTTTTATTCTAATTATTATTTTTTATAATATATATATATATATATATATACAGAATATATATAGTTATATATACTTATTTTATATATAGATATAATATATGTGTGCATATATATATATATTTTTTTTTTCAAATTTTATTTATTAACTTTATTTTTTATTTGAAAATTTAAAAAAAAACTTTTTTCACCAACAGGGGGACTGCCTGTCAGTTCAGGCAGTCCCCCTGCAGGCAACACTATGGACGCCTATCGGGCTATTGTGGCCATTTGACTGCTCTTTCAGAGCGATTACATTGCCCGTGGGGGCCTAATTTGCTGAGGTGGGACTGTCAGGGCTGTCAGACAGTCCCCACAGAAGGAGAGGAAGACCGATAGCTGGCGGCTGAATGGCAGCAATCGGGTAAGTAAGTAGGAATACCTCGGATTTACTAGGTACGTCCAAGGTCCTGGGGGGTTGGGGGGGAGGGCTATTTACACATATATATATATATATATATTTTTTTTTTAAGAACTATTTTATTTTTACTGAGTGCCTCAACCCCTCGAGCCACTCAGCACACAGGCAGTGCATCGGAAGCCTGTCTGATGGCTTCCGATGCTCTGCCTTACTGCCGGGCGCCACGTGGGGCAACCCAGAAGGAGGAGCAATCACCCGGTGGCCCGGCAGTTGGGGAGGGTATTGCAGGATGTCTCGAGGCATTGCTGCAATACCGTTAGAGCGGCTGAAAGCAATCACAATCGCTTCCAGCGCTCAGATTTCCTGTGGACGTATCCGGTACGTCCGAGGTCATTAACGACCATGTTTTGTCGGACGTACCTGATACGTCCAAGGTCACTAAGACGTTAAATTTAACAACCAGTAATGTTGCCTGATAAACATAACCTGAGCCTCAGTCATGGTTCAATTCATGGAGAAAACACAAATAATGTCTTGAGGCACTGGGCACCAGCAGACGGGGTCTAGGAATAGAAGAACTCAGAAGCTATTGTCGGTGTTGGTATAGCTTCTTCTGTGACCATATTTAATACAAACAATCTGTGTATAAAGTATTATCAAATGTACAAAATGCTACAAAGACTTTTGTGCGTGATAGTGACATTTTAAATTGAAGTACATTTATTAAACCGTAAAGAAAAAGAACCATTACAGAATGTGCATCACCCAGATATGAAGTAGTTAATGAAGTTACACTATATTTGGAATGTTGGCTGACTCACAATCATAAGGTAACACATATGGGCCTACTCACAGCAGTAAAACTGACAGATGTAAAAACCACATAAGGGGCAACCCAGTCCAGTCAGTTACAAAATCTAGCTACTCAATGCACAAGACTCCAAGTTATACAGATAGACACACAGACCAACTCACAGCCACACAGTAAATTCAACTCAAACTTCAATCTCTGCATCAAAATATATCTCCAGGTTCAGAGACATATAGTAAAATGGACAGACCCACTCACAGTAATATAACACACGATAATAATCATTTTATTCAGAATTTAGCTTATGCAGCAATCTTCTTTTTCAATGATAGAAGCTAGTTATTCATTCAGCTTATTATTCATAAACTGCTTGGATTTCTGCTATTTAGAAGTTATATAATTTTATTTATGCAGCCCTAGTCATACCTCCACTGCCTGCGACTTAACGTTTAATTAACAGAGTGGGAGATACAAACTTCTAAAGTCAACACACTGTGCACACTGTGTAAGATATGATTGGAAATTAAATCATTTTTTTAATGGAGGCTGTGCGAGTCACAGCAAGGGGATGTGTGGCTAGGGATGCATAAACAGAAATAAAAGTGATTTAACTCCAAAATGTAAGAAAATTGAGCAGTGAGACTGCAGGGGCATGATGTATACCACCAAACTGCTTCATTAAGTTAAAGTTATTTTGTTGATTAGAGTGTGCCTTTAAATAGATTAAAACTGAGTCGGAAATTATGCTTGAACCAACGGAATAAAGTCTAAATACTAAATAAAGTCTGTCTTTCTTTGCCGTTACTAGTGAAGTCTGCTTCTTTAGGCTGCGTGAGTCTTCCCCTCCCAAGGGAGGTGTGGCTAAAGTTACATAAACTAAGAGATTTAACTCCTAAATGGCAGAGAATTGAGCAGTGAGACTGCAGCTGCATAAACTATACACCAAAACAACTTTATTCAGCAAAAATTATGTTGGTGCTTTGAGTGTCCCTTTAAGTATGTTGAAATTCAGTCAGAAAACATGTGCCTTCAAGTCTGAATAAAATCCTCCATTACATGGTTTCTCATCAAGAAACTGGACATCCGTTCTTTGCGGGACACGAAAACACCTTCATCTCTATTGTTTTGTTTTTTTAAAATTATGTACACTTTTTTTTTTATATAATACAACTGACGACTGCTCCATCCCACACCCCCCACCTGCCCCACCCCCTCAAAAGTCGAACAGTTTTTTACTAATTAAAAGTTTTACCAGGTTTATTTAAAAAAAAATAAAAAATTAAGTGATAGTGGAGAAAAGCTTTCTTAACTCACTGACTTTTAAATGGAATTTGTGATGAAACTGCCATTGTTTTTTATGGAAAAATGATCTTGGCTGACCTCTTGGCATTATTTTCTTTACATTGAAAGCCTGGGCCAAATGAAATTATTCCATTAAATAGCAGCAAACCTGGCACTTGCTTTTCAGTAGAGAATTTTTGGATCCTACCATCATTTTCCCATAGGTAAATGATCTTGGATCACCTGTGTTGTAATTCTTACATAATCATTTGGGACTTTTATAATAAAATAATAAACTATATGTTAATTTGAGCAATGCATTTCAGCAGAAATTCCTTCATAAATAATCAGTGTTTTTTATTTTATTTTTTTTTATTTATTTTTTATAAATGATAAAGTCATACTGTTCAGCATACATCGACGTGGATCTATTAAATAGATGGCTGATTGCTATACACATGAAGTTAAATTTTCTCAGTTCAAAGAAAAGTTTCTATTAAAGTACTATGTATTCAAGTAGAGTAGTAAAGTTATATTTTTCATTAAAAAAAAAAACCATCAAGGATTTATACATGCAGTATATTTCTATGGTATCCTCTTTTGCGGACGTGTTATTTGTCACAGTTACTAGGGCAGACCACACTTTTATGAATCTGTATTGACCTAAGTGTCCAAACGTATGGAAACAGTAGTGATGGTGGAATTTAAATGGAAATATAAAATAAAAACCGTGGACACAGAGATGGCAAAAATTGCGATCCAGTATATAATTCCAGGGGCAATTCAGGCAACTGGAACAAAAGACAAAAGAGTCGACGTCTACAGGCAGTGGCTGTCTAAAGCCAGACTAATCCACTGGACCAGTAGAGAGTAACACCTTATAAGACACTCCAGAGGTGTCTTGGGGCATAACCCCTGATAAAGGAACTACAAACAAGATTCTCAAGATAACAAATATATGAGTATCAACTGGAAATCTAATTACTGAAAAATGATAAATGTAAATAAATAAAAATAATATAGATGGATAAATACAAAAATAGTAATAAACGGTCAGACAAAAGGGTAATACAAGCCAAATGGCTAGTTCAGTTCGGTCAGAAATTGCTAACAGAACGACAACCCAGTATACTAGCTAAGCGCTGAATACTTTGTAATCAAATAAATAAAATGTATCAAAAAAAGCCTTTAGTTACAAACTCCAATTTCATAGGGTATAGAGCAATCACAGAGTTAAAAAGAAAAAAGTGTTGGAATTAAAGCGTGCTAATGTGCAGAACCATACTTAGAGTGTTGGTTGCCTGCACATAGTGATAAAGTGCCCTGTGAAGTGAGAAAGTGAGGGGAAAGGGTCGAACTGACTATCATTTATCCCCTATAGCCTTTTTCGTGATGGTGTGTTACCATCAATTTTTGATATAGCCTTTCTTTTTGCTCAATATCTCTATTTTTCCTATTAAGGCGATTTATATCCTTAGACCACTGACAGTGGTGCAGATTATGATTACATTTATATTACTTTGTGCATTTCTGAACTCCACTGGGTTTAAGCATGTCCCTAGGTCTCTTATTTTTATTTATAGCCGATAATAGTCGCAGACATTGACCAAACCAGGATTATATTAAAGTCTAAGTCTGTGAGTTTTAGTGACTTATTTAGAGACACGAGGAAGGGAGGTTAGCCATTTGGCTTGTATTACCCTTTTGTCTGACCATTTATTACTATTTTTGTATTTATCCATGTATATTATTTTTATTTATTTACATTCATCATTTTTCAGTAATTAGATTTCCAGTTGATACTCATATATTTGTTATCTCGCGTGTCTTGTTTGTAGTAACTAGAGATGTTGCGAACTGTCCGCCGAACTGTTCGCGAACTGTCCGCCGGCGAACAATAGCGTGTTCGCGTTGGGCGAACATATCCGATTTCCGGTCCGCCCCCTATACGTCATCATTGAGTAAACTCTGACCCGGAACCTCACAGCCAGCAGACACATTCCGCCCAATCAGCAGCAGACCCTCCCTCCCAGGAAGTGTCTGCTGACTGTGAGGTTCCATGTCAAAGTTTACTCATTGATGACGTATAGGGGGCGGACCGGAAATCGGATATGTTCGCCCAACGCGAACACGCTATTGTTCGCCGGCGGACAGTTCGCGAACAGTTCGGCGGACAGTTCGCGACATCTCTAGTAGTAACTGGAATAGAAGTCTTGGGCATAATTCATGAAACCCAAAGTCACGATCACACAGTAAAATACAGAGTGATGGTTTGTATTAGTTATAGATGCTTCTAATAATGATCAAGAGGGGTAACGATTATTAGAAATGTGTCGAATACCAAACATTTTAAATAAAAGATCATTGTAGTGTGTCATCTTAGCATTATGTCATCAGCAAACTCTGAGATATGAAACATGTCCAAGATTTGTAGCAGATGTCAGGGCTTCGTTATACTTTTCTTAATGTGATATAATCATTGCAACTAACTGATTCAATCTGCTTTCATTACGGTAATGAATGCTATCTGCAATTTACCTATTATGTAATATTGTTTAATCACAGTGGCGTAATCTGTGTAAACGACTGTTTCGGTTTATAAAACTCTGCTGTTCCTGTAACAGTGTTACATTATATGGACATTTTCCTGTGAAGTTACCTGCTGTATGTAACTTTACCTTCTAACATTAGGAGATATGTAATGGGTATGGGTGGGAGCCTTCTAGGTGGAGGTCGACAGTGACGCAACTTGACAGCCTTCGACAGGCACCCTATTTGCTTGACCATGCAGATCGCGCTGCTGAAGCTCTCTTTAAATGTTCCTAGTGTAAGTTGCACGGCGCAAGCACGTCTAATGAATGCTCACTATGCTGAAAATTGGGACTGTCGGGCAGAAAGCAGGACTGTTAGTAAGTACTGTGCGATCTTTTGAAACATCCTGCTTTGCTGATCTACAGAAATAAACCCACTATCTGCAGAGAAGAAGCATGCCTACTCCTACACCGGGCAAAAAGCATTTTAGTTATATTTTTCCAGCCCTGAGTTTACATCTCTCTTTCTTTTCTGTCCAAAGTGTCTCATTATTACTATTATTTTATATACAATGGACCAACAAATTCTGCAGCATTGTACATTAAGTGGACTAACAAACAAGTGGCTGCGACAAGACAAGTTGGACGTACAGGAATAGAATGTGCTGAGACCCCTAACACAAACAAGACACACAAATGTCATGGCTAATAAACCGGCGAGGTGTGATGGTCTTGTCTAGGGTACATTGCGTTCTACAATCAAATTAATAATGGCGGAAGTTCTGTCGCTTCCTTATTCCTTATAACAAGGGTGCCCAAAAGTTAGATCTCCAGATATTGTAAAACTACAACTCCCATGTTGCTTTGCATGCCTTTAGAATGCTTTAGAATGACAACATCTTGAAATCTATCTTTTGGGCACCCCTGCCTTATAAGATATGTTATTTATTATACTAAAGGCAGTGTCAGAGTTGTGGTACGTATCACCAAGCGCATTCCTCATTATGTTTATTCTCGAGACGATTTTGGAACATTGAGGCTCTGCCATGATTGGAAGTTCTGTACCCTGTCCCAGCAGGAAGGGACCACAGTGTTATTGAGTAAACATTCTGCCCACCTCACATTCCTGAAATGTTTCTTTCTTTAACTAGAAAGGGGAATGTTTTTTTTTTTTTTTTACAAGTGCTACTGTCTAATCAGTTAGAAAGGATATGCATGTGACTTGCTGAAGAAGTAAAGCTGTGTGTGCACAAACAGAGCAGAAAGTCTCAGTTAATCTAAAGATATACTGGGTTATTTAGAAATAGTGGCACATTTACGTCACAGTTTGAATCAATGAAAGTAATGTTTAACCATTAAGAGTGCAACTCTCCAAGAACCATCAAGGGACGCTCCAAGTACCACAACCACTATAGTTCAATAAGTGGTTTTGGTGCCACGTGTAAATGGCACCCTCCCCCAATGTAACTAGTCAAACCGTTTTAGAGCAACTTGATTTTCACCTTATGTCTGCCGGATGCTGCTCCGTGCCTCTTCTAGAAGCTTCCGACCTCCAGCCCAGGTCTAGCTCATTGGAACAAAGGCTCAGGAGAGCCGAAATGTTGTCAAAATGTTTGTACTCCACAAAAGTCTACCTGCTGAAGAAACTTCTGGGTGTGCCTACTTTTTTGTTTCACTGGATTTGTCTGGGCTGGGGCCCTCCCGTGTTTTAGAGCACCCAAGTGGGAGAACTCCCCAAAAAAGTGTGTGTGCAAGATCCTCTGAAAATTCCACAGGCCTGTCTCATTGGCTGAGAGCAAAAGTTGATCAGCAAATCTCAAGCAATCAGCTAAACCCTGCACTGCAAGACTTGGCTCAAGAGAGCTAACGGAATCTCCTAAAGAGGAGCTTTGTGCTTTCGGCCCTCTGATGGCTGTAGTGGAGGAGGGGAGCGACAACTCGCAAATCTTAAAGCGGTTTGACTACTTACATGTGGGTGTTGCCATGCCACCCCTGGCACCAAAACCACTACAGAACACCGTAGTGGCTACTGTGCTTGAAATGTTCCTTTAAATCTAGACATATTTTCTAAAAGTCAAAAACTGAGAAAACATTTTACGTAAATCAACAAAATATAACAATCTACAAATCTATGTTAAGATAATCATCAATTTTAGTATTTTTGTTAATTGCCGATGCACATACCAATATTTATTTATAATATACGGAGGAAAAAGAAAGTCAAAACAACTAGACAAAGTGTATGTTGTTACACAGTGTTTCCAGAGCAGAGGGGGCTGTTAATAATTGTTTTAAGAAAATCATTCCTTTGGTTTCAGCTAGGCAGTTTGTTTTTGTATAGTAACGCCAACGCTTTAGGGTCAAGCTGAGTTCCCTAATGGACTATTTTCCTGCCATTAAAGAATTTAAAAACAAATCATAAATAACTTAATGGAAGCAACAAATTTTATATCATGAATTGGTAAATTTGTGCTGTCCTACATGGGTGGTAATATTATATTGTTGCTCCTACGGTTAGGACATATCTCATAAAAAAAAATCCCCCCCCAAATCTATGGAAACAAATACATTCCATATGTTCCATTTCATATTCTGCTACTACACTACCGGGGCGGTTGCTAGTTTGTTTCTCTTCCAAATGCAGAAATCCCAGAGCATACACCATGTATAAATATTTGGAAATAATATAACTTTTTACTGCAGACCTGTGAAGTCTCACGTTCCCTGGTGTGACGCAAGATGTTCAGAAAAGTCCTCCTGATCACCAAACAGAACGGTGTCTGTAGGACCACTATAAAGTGCACTTTAAGTAAATTTCTGGGAATTTCAGCCCATAAGTAAGTCCTTCAGGGGCACTCGGCCAATGGGAAGCCCTGATTGGGCACATTACAGTTAGCCCACCATCTTGGTGCTTATGCGTGCAGGGGTGACGTGCCCCCTTTTTCAAAGAGCCCATCGTCCCTGATGCTAATTCCTTTACAAACCTGCCCATGTGTTAGGCCCATCTTCCTGAATTTGGACCTGCCACATTTGGTGCAGTAGCTGTGGATACATACACAGAGACACAGACTCAACTTGTACCATAATCTATACAATGACCATAGGATGATAGGATGCGTCAATGTTCCTTTAAGCCAAATAGTAAGAATAGAATAATAATTTTATTACGGCGCTTGGAGTCTCCTTCTATTAAATGCTATTGGTAATGAAACAAATACAAAGTGTCTATAAATGATTTTGATAAAACCACTGTCACAGTCTTAAAACATATAGTAGCTATAACTATTTTTATACGCAGCAGATCTGCTTTGGAATTCAGCATCTAAGTCAGGATGTTATGTTATATCATTGGTGACTATTCTGTATCATTGTCTTCAAGATCAATATCTCTTCAATGGGTTTCTTTAACACTAATGTAAAAAAAAATAATATATTAGAAATAAATTACAAAATGCAATATTCTCCTTACCTCTGTTTTGGATGCTCTGCTTTGACGCTTAAATCTCTGTAAGAGGGGGGAAAAAAACATGTTAGAATAATTTCCTAAACAATCATGACTTAATAGAGTCCACAGTGGGAAGGAGTACAGAGGCAGAGGGACACAGCATTGTATTCCTAACACTATAGTGCTCCTTTAAGAGTACACTGTAGGCACTGTAACTGGTTTATCTCATTGAAGTGGTTATAGCGTCTAGAGTCTTCTGGCACCTTCCTTCCATTAGCCTTATAGCCTTTAACGGTTTTTAATGTTTTAGTGCTAAAAGATAGTCCTGAGCAGCCAATCCCCTATGCGTTGCTTGGGCTTATAAGGAAGCATTAGCTTGAGCAGCAATGGCTGGTTGTGATTGGCTAAGCGTGTCCACCTATCATAGTGGTGGCTATATTAGTGGTACTACCCAACATATATGCCACGCAAGTAATACCCATACAATTAAAAGACCTCCAGTTTATTACTGAAGTGAAATCTAGTGTGAACAAGGTCAATGTCCATGAAGGAGTTTGGTCAATGGTAACACTATGAGTTCCAAGATATATCTACAACTTATGGGGACTGGGAAAATATCTGAATTGGAATTGTTTTCCTATTCGGATTTATTGGCTGAAAATAACTTGGTCAATTCCCAATGATTCACAGTTTAATCAATACAGTTGATTCAAACTAAGTATAAAACACTCATAAAACGGTGGGATATTGGATTTATAACTTTGGAGATTGGATAGTCTCTCCTGGAGAGTCCTGGCTAGTGACTTTTAATGTCGACTGGTGTTTGCAGAGTCATAGAACAGAGGCAATTTGTTCTCCTTTTTAACCAACATAAACTCTATTTCTGTGAGCAATTTCTAACACAAAAGAATCTATTCCGACACAGAGTTACACCAAGTCAGTCAATTTTCAATCAGATTGCCTACCTGGTTTAAAATCTATGCAACATGGAAGTGTTAATTTAGAGCCCCAGTATTGAAGTATATATATTTTATTTACAGGCTATGCAGCAGTGCAAGGGTAGTAGGTAGACAGACACAGCAGATTCCTGTCTGGGGGAACCTCCAATCTAAGCAGGAGTTGTCTGCAAATGTGTTTCAGAGGAGGACGTGAAGTTTAATGCCTATCTCACAATATGGGTGTGGGTGTGACATCAGCACAGGAAGGGACAGGTGTAGATTAGATTGTGGCGAAACAGACCTCGCCACGTGTCCTTGGAGGGGGCTGCTTGCCCGCCTCTTGCCTTTGGACTATGGACCAGACTTTATGTGATTGTGTTAACCCAGATAGCTATGCCATGGAGCCCATTCGTGTAGTTAAAGACTTCGGCTCCATGGCAATTGAACTGTGTGAATAGGATCTGAGCGCTATTCGGTAGTTTTGTGCGCTCAGATCCCAGCTATCTGGGGATATGTGACATGTCTGTGTTTTATGTATAAAAGGTGACTTTATGTATTTTAAAGTGTTTTGTGTCTTTTTGCAACCATGTGCTTAATGGAGTCTTGTGTCTGTCCTGGGAGATAATTGAATTACTTATCTCCAGGATAGAAGACTCTGAAACTGGTTTGGGCCGGAAAGCCATGCTTCATTTAGTCACAAAGGACTTTCCCTTAACTTTTGAACCCCTGGTCTGATTCGTGCCATTTTTTAATATGTTGTTCCCCTGAATGGATTGATTATGAAAATGTATGTTTTATGTTTGTGACATTTATATTTTAGAAGTTATAAATATTGTGTAAAAACTGTATTCCTCTGCCGGTGATAATGAGATTACCCATTGTGTTCAGTAATCATATCACATGCAGAGGGGAGGGTTTTGTGTGGGAGTGTCTGGGTGTATTGTACGGATTGATTGGTTGTTTTGTAACGCCCTGTGGGCTGTACTATGTTTGTGGATTGGGAATAAAAGAGACTGTATGTGACAGTACAGGAGTTCCTGTTTTAACCCTCAAAGTGAAGTGTCGTCTCATTATTGGGGGAAGGATTCATTGTATGCTGTTCCAGTTTGACTGCTAGGAGAGTAAACCTATTCGTATGGTTCCTATTCAACTGTCTACAGCATTCATATGCTTGGGAGAATTTATTTGTTTCTCCGGTTTAGTGATTGTGGTGTCTGCCAGAGTGCTTGGAGTCCTCAGGAAGCGCTAGGAGCATCCTTCAACGGAGTGCCAGGCGATCCGTTACAAAATAAATCTTATAATAAAACAAACTCCGGAGCGGAGTGTCTCTAGTAATAAGCCAACTCAATTAGGCAAACTATACCATGAACTATCCAAATATACACTGCCAATTAATTAATAGTGTTATAGTAGTATTAAATAATACTAACTGCAGCTTTCCTCCAGAGAATGAAGCCATCTCGCTGAGGTTAAATTAGAGATGGAAGACAAGATTTTAAGATTAGACAGGAAAGGGGAATCTATGAAGTACAGGTTTGACTATTGAGAAGAATGTTGGGTAAAATATCTCAGACTTTTTGTAGCATAAGCCTGAACTGCCATTTGGACCAGCAACTTTGAAATAAATAGGCAGGGTTGTTCTGCTGGTTCCTGAGTGGATATGACTGCATCCAACACTCAATACCTCCCAAATCTCCCTATTTAGGACGGACAGTCTCTATTTTGGACCCAAGTCCCTCTATCCCTTTTTTCTATCCTAATGTCCCACTTTCTAGGAGCTCCATATTGTTGGTGTGTCTGAGTGCATCACGGAGCTCCACAGCAATAATACTCCCAGCAATGTGTCTTTAAACTACAAGAAACATGTTTAGAAATCAGTCTGTGTAAATAAGATACATTGTTTTCGTTCTAAATTACATTTTAGTTGCAAAAATGATCAGTCACCAAAACATTTTCAGAACAGTCCCTCCCTTGGCCACACCCCACTCACATCCCTGAAATCACAGTGTCCCTTTTTGTCCATTTGAAATGTATGTTAGGTACGCACAGTCCACAGTGTCCCTGTGTTTGGTGAAGGTATTACTGGTCTTCACTTCTATCAAGAAATTCTTCTCAGACTTTGTTCAATCAGATTCAAGCCCAAGGAGCTCTTCTTTTCATTGCGGCCTACATGTGGACAGAGACTTCTGGATCCTATGTCTAAATTTTGGATGGTGCCCAGCCACACTGCCAGTCCAGCACTGAGTGATTCCGAAAGCTACCAGTAGCCACTAAACAACAGAAAATCAGTCTTGGCACCTGGAGACACAGGTACCCTACATACATACATACATGTGCACAACTGAGAGTGGCACCACAAGGTGACAAACTGAAAAATGCTGCTGCCAGGCCCTTCACCCCTTTGCCAAACTCTACATTGGCTTTCTGTACCCCTCGGGATCCAACTCAAACTGCTAACATTTACTTACAAAGCCTTCAACAACTCCAGCTCTCACTATATCTCCTCTTTACGCAACAAATCTTCTCGGTACCTTTGGTCTGTGAATGACCTTTTTGTGACGTCTTCTCGTTACTGCCAACTTTCATCTGCAGGATTTTTTAATCCTTGTCTTTGGAGAAGTCACTTGAAAAACACCTCTTTAGGAAAACTTACCATCTTCCTGGGTCATGCTCCTCTTGTTATAATTGCCCTCCATAGTACCTTCGCCTCCATATACCAGCTCACTCTACCTCCTTCCATTATTCGGTTCTTCTACAAACCACTTTGACTAGCTTAGTTTGACTGAGGCATCTAATCCATCAATCCCTCCTCCCCTCTGACATGCTTTTACTCCTCTCGTTTGTCTATACCCTTTCCTCAAAGATTGCAAGCTTATTTGAGCAGGGCCTTCTTCACCTCTTTGCTAATACTTTGTATGTCAGCTACTTGTTGTGATCTATCCGCATTCTAGTAATTGCAAAGGGCTGTGGAACATGTTGGCGCTATATACATAGTAATAATAAACATGCTTATTTTGGATACTCGGTTCCCTCCTTCCACCCCCTTGGCCAGTGGAGGTTCAAAAGTGAGTAAAGTTATCATGATCCAAAACACAGAAGGACCTTCTATGGACTATTTAATGTTGTCATAATTGCTGATAATGAGTATTATCTACCAATGATTTCCACACGATTCATAGCTGGAACAGAGAATTGTTGGACATCACATCAGTTGGATGTCATGCCAGTAGCTCCTCACATAGTTACATTGTAATCTAGGTTGAAAAAAAGACTCTTGGCCATCAAGTTATTAAGTTGTTGGAGATAAGAAGGTCTAACTTAAACACACTGCGCTGTAAGATCTGATTGAAAAATACTCTTTTTTCCCCCACATAAAGGCTATGTGAGATACAGCCAGGGGAGGTGTGGCTGGTGCTGTATAAACAAATCGATTTACCTAATTAACCCCTTAAGGACCAAACTTCTGGAATAAAAGGGAATCATGACATGTCACACATGTCATGTGTCCTTAAGGGGTTAAAGGACAGAGAATTGAGGAATGAGACTACGGTGGCATGATCTTTACAACTAAACGGCTTCATTAAGCTAACATTGTTTTAGTGTTTGGAGTGTCCCTTTAATACACTTGTGAAATACTAGGATCACCAGCATTTTTCCAGTACTGGAGGATTGAGCTCCAGGTAGGAAGTTCTGTGGGACTCATGCCAGTATGGGAAGGGAGATTAACTTACATACAAACTGTCAGTCATGATTTTGTCGGAGTCGTTTTGTTTTTTTATTCGCTCTAGTAAGCGTGGTTCAAGTATTTACTTGTGCCATGGAAAAAAAAAGCGAGAACACATTTTTATAACTTCTTTCCAAGTATCTTTAAATAATGTTGGTTATTGTCACCAAGACTACAATTAGATAATTCTCCAGTTTTCTACACAAAAACTACAAAATGGAAAAAATAGTGCATTATTTAAGAATAAATATTGTCTTCTCTAACACAACATTAACGTATGCCAACACTTATAAGGTCAAATTAACATGTCGTAAAAACGAATGATAGACTTTAGCTTGTGCTATTCAATTACAGCTTGTGATGGCAGATAAGAATCCATTCCTCGATCTGGTCTGAGCAGAACGAAATCCAAGGCTGATTTTGTTTGTTTATTTTTTAGGCTTGCCTTGTGCATGTCCGAAGCGTTCCGCTTTACTTTACTATATAAGCTAGACATCTATTTTTTTGGGCTTATATTTCCCCAGATACTATTTTCTTCTCGTACACATTTGTTCCCAAGATGGGACATCGTATGGCAACAATTAACTGATCAACAGATTATAATTTATAGGCTCACTAGTTGACTAGTTGTTTTTCAGATAAATATATATAGTATCAAAATTCCTAAAACTCTTATTTTCAGAAGTTCCGAGCAAGTTATTTCATGGGATCAGTGATTTCCATGTAAACAGTCGTCTCGTGATATTGTCTGAGAAACCTTCACAAAATACTTTTCAAATACCCTGGAGAAAAAAACAGTAAAATGGACCATAATTGCACAAGTTTCCACCAGTACTGTTGCCATAAACGTTAAGGGAAAAACTTTTTTTAAAAATTATTTTAAGAAACTGATTGCAGTTTCTGTTATGCTAGATATTTTACAGGGAGCGTAGTCCACCTGTACTAAATATATAATATATACCATAAGAACTCCAGGGGACATATTCACTAAACTTGGAATTTTGGCAATATGAAATTAGAAAGGTGAAACCTAAACTAAAATAACCAAACTGTGACTATAAATCAGCTACAGATTTTTTTTTCAAGCCTGTCTTTTATCCCAAATTTTAAGTTTTTAATTTCAATCTGATACAATTCAGAGTTTAGTCAATAAACCCCTATATCACAACAGAGCTTTGCATTTGGTTTATAAACCAGAATAAGTTTTTTTTTTCCCTCTTCTTGGTATATTTGAATTTTCATATACACTACAAATTAAGTGTGCAATAAATGACATTTTGTGTACATACAGAAGGTAAATATTCCGTCAGTTACTTTTGATTAATGTAATCCTGCTTGAACCTAGTTAAATCTTCCTTTACCATCCGTGTTTAATGACATAAAGAAAAATGCCTCATTATTTAAAAAAAAAAAAAAAAAAAAATAGAACATTATTCAAGGTTGTTTTAGATTGGATATTGCTATAAGCAAATTTTTCATAGTATTTCAAAAATGTACAAACACATTTCATTCAGTATGCAAGAGAAGAAGGCATATACTGTTTCCAAGAAGGACTTGTTAGATACATTTAATGTGTATTAGTGGCTCACCTGTTGGTATATACTTTCTGATCTTGTCCATCCTATAAGGGTCAGGTGTACGAGGATAACCATAAGAAAAAGTACGCAGCAACGACTTGACAACATCCCAATTCTTGGCATGATAAAACTGTTCTGAAAATATCTAAGGAGCATCTTAACGAAGGCTCTGGAGTTTAAACTCTCTTCGTTCGGATGGACTTTCCTTTGCACTTTTAAACCTTGCGGATTTTTTCTTTTGGGTGTTAAGGGCTATAAAAGATGCATTCATTCCTTTACAAGTCATGATTGTCCAGATGAGTTAGACTCGGGACGTTTAATTGGAGGCAGGCCAGATTTCTTCCAAACCTCCCCCCGTCTCTAAATGAAACCAAAATATTTTGAAGCACTGCCCAGTTTCTGAAGTATGTCAATAGCTCTTCAAATTAAGTCAAATGTAGTGGAAATCATCAAAGAAACAGGCAGCTTTTTCGCGTATTTACCGTTAGGTCTAATGTGGCATTAGCCTGCGTGCCATTAATCGACTCCTGGCTACCAACCTCTTAAAGAAATTACCCTGCCCAATAGATCAGTGTTACAAAATGCATGGAGGCTAACATTTTCTTTTTATTAATACTGAAGGATCAGTTGAATCCATATATTTTTTTATTTTTTTTATTTTTTAACAGTCTACACTGAGTGATTCAGTTTTGTAGTAACATAGTTATTTAGATTGAAAAATGATTTAACTGCAGAAATAGCTGATTTGCACACAATTTTCAGACTGAGTGTAAGTGATTAATTGTTTGAAGAAGTACAGTGTACTGATTAAAGGACCACTCTAGGCACCCAGACCACTTCAGCTTAATGAAGTGGTCTGGGTGCCAGGTCCCTCTAGGATTAACCCCTTTTTTTTATAAACATAGCAGTTTCAGAGAAACTGCTATGTTTATAAATGGGTTAATCCAGACTCCAAATCCTCTAGTGGCTGTCTCATTGACACCCGCTAGAGGCGCTTGCGTGCTTCTCACTGTGAAAATCACAGTGAGAACACGCAAGCGTCCATAGGAAAGCATTATAAATGCTTTCCTATGAGACCGGCTGAATGCGCGCGCAGCTCTTGCCGCGCATGCGCGTTCAGCCGAAGAAGAGGATCAGAGACGGAGAGGAGGAGGAGAGCTCCCCGTCCGGCGCTGGAATAAAGGTAATTTTTAACCCCTTTCCTTGCCACCCGGCCCGGCGGGAGGGGGTCCCTGAGGGTGGGGGCACCCTCAGGGCACTATAGTGCCAGGAAAACGAGTATGTTTTCCTGGCACTATAGTGGTCCTTTAAGGAAAACACGTTCCTTTCTTATTGCTACTTTGAAGTTACATTTATTTTCTGACGTTTATATAATTTTATGCAATATTTGGACATCGTCTGCTTCTCCTAGACCTCTTTGTATGATTGCTTAATGCAAGAATTGTAAAAGCATTTCTGCCACTAGTGAGATTTTTTTTGTAGATCTAAATAACAGACTTAAATTTAGCTATTGGTTTTGCTATTTATTTTTAATTTTTTTTTTAGAAAACTTGCACTATTTTCCAGGCACAGAATTAATATTAGATTAACCCCTGGGGCGTCATGTACACGGTGCATGCAAACATGTGGGACTACTAAGGGAATATCTGAGTATGTGTTCATACTGTCATTATGCGTGCCAGAAGTATCACTTCCCTACGAGGATGTGAAGGTGAAGTGTGTTTTTACTTAACTCCACTTCTTTTACACCCTGGTAAATGCTGCAATAGCATTACATAGTGTGGCTGACAAGTAACTGAGAATTTTGCGTTAAAAGGGATACACCAGAAACTATAACAACTGAGTTGGAATGATGTTGTTGTGATGCAAGGAGGACCTTGGATACTGCTCACCTTAAAGGGTTAAATTAGTATCGGACAGTTTAACCCCCAAAGTGCTGGATACAGTGTTAATCATTCTTCCCAACAAAAATCCACCAGATTCCAAGGCTTGAAAAAGGAAACCCCGGAGAGAGGCGCCACTGCTAAGCTGAGAGGGCCAGTAGCTCGCCTTTCATATAATATATTGAGAAATGTATGTATTTTTCTCAAGCCATTTTGTGAATGTGGAGCTGCTGATGTTTGTGAGCAGAACCGTTTCAATGCTTTATGGTTACAATGTTCATCAATGGTTTAACCACTTGGGAACCTCCTTGCACCATAACAAGTTCACTCAACTTAAGTTGTTCTAATGCACAAATTTGATCAAATGGTATACATGATCAGCCTCAACATTAAAACCACTGACAGGTGAAGTGAATAGCATTGATTATATTGTTACAATGGCAGTGTCAAAGGCTGGGATTTATTAGGCAGCAAGTGAACAGTCAACTCTTGAATTTCATGTGTTGGAATCGGTAAAAATGGGTAAGCAAAAGATCTGAGTAACTTTGACAAAGGCCATATAGTGATGGCTAGATGACTGGGTCAGAGAATCACCAAAATGACAAGTTTTGTGGGATGTTGTACTAACTATGGCATGCAGTGGTTAGTACCTACCAAAAGTGGTGCAAGAAAGAACAACCAGCGATTCGACATCGGGTTATGGGCACCCAAATCTCACTAATAAATATTGGGCAAAGGCTAGCCCATCTTGTGTAATCACACAGAAGAGCAACTGTAGCTCAAATTGCTGAAAAACGTGAAGCTGGCCATGATAGAATGGGGTCATAACACACAGTGCATCGCAGTTTGTTGCTTATGGGAGCCGCAGATTATCCCTGTTGACCCTTGTTCACCGAAAGTGCCTTAAATAGGGATGTGAGTATCGAAACTGGACCATGGAATAATGGAAGATGATTGCCTGATCTGATGTAGTACGTTGTCTTTTAGACCAGGTGGACGGCCGGTTGCATGTGCGTAAATTACCTCGGGAAGAGATGGCAGCAGGATGCACTATGTAAAGAAGGCAGGCCAGTGGAGATAATGTTATGCTCTGGGCAATGTTTTTCTAGGAAACCTTTGGATCTGGCATTCATGTGTATGTTACTTTGACATGTACCACCTACCAAGAGATTGTTATAGATCACATAAACCCCTTTATGACAATGGTGTTTACTGATGGCAGTGGCCTCTTTTAGCAGGATAATGCACCCTGCCACACTGCAAAAATTGTTTAGGATTGGTTTTATGAACATGACAAAGTTCAAGGTGTTGCCTTGGCTTCCACTTTCTGGAGTATCCAAAACCCGGCCATTAAACTTGCGCAAGAAACGCTGGCAAATTCCCAAGTCCTCCTTCATGGGTTCTGACACCCTGATGAAATTATGTGGTGACCATACACGACAGGTGGCTTTTGCCAAGAATCTATTGAACACGACTGTAACATGTGTAAGGTCACTTTCTTTGACCCCCGAACCTCCGTGACGAATCCCCTTACTGCAACCAATTTGTCCTGAGGTAAATGGCATTCGCCTGCCACAGTGTCGATCTCAAGCCCCAAGAAACTCAAACACGTTGATGGCCTTACCTGTCACCCGCCAATTGCACCCAGCAAACATTCGCCACCCATTCCAGCGTTCTTAAACCGATCCTGCAGGCATTAGAATTGGAGGGACCGACGCATAAGAAGTCGTCCAAGTGATGGACCACCAACTTAGTGCCCATACCAACTCAAAGTACACACATGAGATGGAACAACCCATGGGCAGACAGAGATCAACATAGTATTAGTTTTTGAAGAAGCAACCTAATAAATGGTGACACATGGGATGAATGGGCAACAGGCAAAATGCCGATTCCACATGAGCTTTTGCCAACAGCGCACCTGGCCCGCCTTCCTAACCAACTCATCTGCTTGGTCAAATGATGTATAGGAAACTGAGCAGAGTGACGCTTCGATATTATCATTTACTGATGACCCTTTAGGATAAGAGAGGTGGTGAATCAAATGGAACTTGCCTGCATCCTTCTTGAGCACAGCACCTAAGGGTGAAACTCGTAAATCCTGGATCGGCGGTTCCACAAAAGGCCCCGCCATCTGTTCCAATTGTAGTTCTTGAAGCAATTTGTCACGCACGACTTCAGGAAAGTCATCCACCGAACGTAGATTATGTAAACGACGAACCTCCACCTGATTTTGAAGCAGAATCACAAACCCCCCAGTGAAACAGTCCCGAAGAAGTACTGCATCCTCACGGTTACCGTATTTGTTTAGCCATGGGAGCACCAGCAAGAACCCCATTGGCAGAGGATGATGCCGTGCCCACTGCAATGACTCCGGCTGGCGCATTTTTTCCCCTGCTTGAAGCAACGATTGAAATCGTGTCCACAGCCGTAAACCTGAACATTCATGCTTAAAGCGGCATCATTGAAGAGCCAGCAATATTCCCTCCTATGCATACCCAATGAGGTGGAAGAGGAACCGACGCCAACTCCAGATTGAAAGGGGGCTGCTTTTTGAGCCATCATCAATTTCATCCAGAGCGTCAGGTATATTTGATCCCAACGCATACCTGGATTGACCGACGGATGCTGGCAGAACTGCTAGTCATATCTCAAGCATCTCCCAACATGCTAGCCAGGATACAGAAAGCCCTAAGCCAATTTCCGAAAGTTTTAGAAATCTTTCTATACTTACGTCTCTTCTCTTCCTCCTCCTTCTTGGAGTACTTCTCCTCCTCCCCTTTAAGTCTAAATATTCCTCTAGGGCAATGATGACGAACCTATGGCACGCGTGCCACAGGTGGCACTCCGGGCCCTCTCTGTGGGCATGCGGCCATAGGTTCGCCATCAATGCAGAGTAGGCACCTGCCTGCCCATAATGGCAGGTGCCTACTCTGCTTCTGTGTCGGGAGGCAGGGGGAGGGATCTGTGAAGCAGCTCCCCTGTCCTCCCGCGAGCAAGCTGTGTGGAGCGTTGCCGCGCTTTACCATGGCAACTCTCCACACAGCATCGCGCAGGAGGACAGGGGAGCTGCTTCACAGATCCCTCCCCCTGCCTCCCGACCCGGAAGCAGTACTTACCACCACCGGACCACCAGGGATTTCTGTGTCCCCCCCCCTCCTTCATTAAAGGTAAGAAGGAGGGAGGGGAATACTGATTTAGTACACTTTTTTTTTTTAAACACGTTTACCCCCCACACCCCATCCCCACACACACAGCACCCCTACCCCCCCACAGCACCCCTACGCCCCCACACACAGTACCCCTAACCCCCAGCAGTACCCCCCCACAGTACCCCTACCCCCCCAGCATCCCTCCCCAGCACCCCTCCCTACACCCAGCATCTCTCCCCTCACCCACACCCAGCATCCCTCCCTCCCCTATACCCCTATCCCCCACACATCATCTCTACCCCCCACACAGGACCCCTACCCCCACACAGGACCCCTACCCCCCCACACAGCACCCCGACCCCCACACACAGCACCCCTACCCCCCATACACAGCACCCCTAAACCCCACAGCACAGCACCCTTACCCCTGCCCAGCACCTATACCCCCTACCCCCACATAGCACAGCACCCCTCTCACACACACAGCACCCCTCATACACACACATACACACACACATACAGCACTCCTCATACACACACAACACCCCTCACACACACACACACAGCACCCCTCACACACACACCACCCTCATACACACACACAGCACCCCTCACACACACACACACACACAGCACCCCTCATACACACACACACACCTCACACACAACACCCCCCACACACACACACACATCCCCACACACACAACACCCCCCACACACACAGCAACCCTCACACACAGCAACCCTCACACACACACACAGCACCCCACGCACACTCACAGCACCCCCCACACACACAGCACCCCACACAAACACATACACTACACCCCTCAATGCAGTATGTGTGTGTATTCAGCAGTCTCTGTTGTTGTGTTCTTTTAAAACAAAAGTTGTTAATTAGTTTGGACAACAGTACGAGTTGTTTTTTCTAAACTTAAACCTCAGTATTGAAGTTTAATTGCCGTGTTGGCACTTTAAGGAAAAAAGAGTTGGCATGTATTGCGGTTTGGGCACTCGGGCTCAAAAAGGTTCGCCATCACTGCTCTAGGGGGAGGAGGGAGAAAATCTCCACAAACTCACCTTTCCATATCCTATCCTTGACTTTGGGCTTCAGATGGCAGCCCAAAGGTCCGGCAAAAGAGACGTGCACGTTTTGGCAAGCAGCCTCAGGAATATCCCCTACCAACAACACCCTTTCAGTCGCTGATTCAGTTAAAACCGACGTTGACAAAGACTCGACCGAATCGCCACCCACATTAACTGCTCCAGCCTCGTCTATTGTACTCACTGGCACCACCGAGGTAGCTTGCATAACCTTTTCTCCCCCCAGCGACCTTGGAGCCCACACCTAGCCAAACGATCTTATGTCCCTTGTACCCTCCCTCCAAGAAAAGATTGTAAACACTCTCTGACATCCCCTGTATGTGGTGCAGGAAGTGACTCACCAACCAAACCCCGTGTTATGTCCGATCCTGGAGCTACTCCCTGACTTCCGCTGTGTACATGTCCTAAAAAGCCATATCCAAACATGATCGATCATCCTGAAGTATTCGTAGGTCTGCAGCCTCATGTTCTTCATTACGGCTGCTTGTCCAGCATACCCCCTACAGGTTGATTATGTTCCGTATTGCTACATTTTTTATTTCTTAACACATAAATATATAGCTACTGCACAGAACATAGTCATAAAATATAACACTTAGACTTGGGAAAAGACAAGTAGAAGTATAATATGATTTGTGCTTTAGGTTTTTTACAGTTATATAAGAACTTTCACATAGAAACATAGAAACATAGAATGTGACAGAACCACTCGGCCCATCGGGTCTGCCCAATATTTTGAAATACTTTGAATTAGTCCCTGGCCTTATCTTATAGCTAGGATAGCCTTATACCTACCCCACACATGTTTAACCCCTTAAGGACCAAACTTCTGGAATAAAAGGGAATCATGACATGTCACACATGTCATGTGTCCTTAAGGGGTTAAACTCCCTCACTGTGTTAACCTCTACCACTTCAGCTGGAAGGCTATTCCATGCATCCACTACCCTCTCAGTAAAGCAATAATTCCTGATATTATTTTTAAACCTTTGTCCCTCTAATTTAAGACTATGTCCTCTTGTTGTGGTAGTTTTTCTTCATTTAAAAATAGTCTCCTCCTTTACTGTGTTGATTCCCTTTATGTATTTAAATGTTTCTATCATATCCCCCCTGTCTCGTATTTCCTCCAAGCTATACATGTTAAGATCCTTTAACCTTTCCTGGTAAGTTTTATCCTGCAATCCATGAATCAGCTTAGTAGCCCTTCTCAGACCTCTTTCTAGAGTATCAATATCCTTATGAAGATACGGTCTCCAGTACTGCGTACAATAAGATGGCTTTTCATTTTGGTTCCATGAAAACTCTATGTTTTAATCTTAGAACTGTCCCATCTTGGATTCATGCTGGACTACCTGAGATATTGTCTATCGTTTTTATGTTGTTTCCACTCAACATGTGCAAAAATCTGTTTCGTCCATAAACAAATTGATTTGTTTGAATCAAAATCCTTTTATTGGCACCCAAACGATTTAATCTGCCTGGGATATAAATGGGAGAATCGATTGGCTTTGGTGTTGAGTAAAAGTATTTTGATTCGATTTGTTGATGGACGAAACAAATTTTTGCACATGTCTACTTTCTAGTAGACAGAAAGAGAAAGTCTTATTATTTTAAAGGGATACTCCAAGCAACAACGAAACCACAATAGCTCTGTGTAGTGAATATATAGTGGTTATATGTTGTCCCCAGTTCAAGGAAACCATTAAGGATTACAGATCTCTCCATGGCACCAGGACACTGCTCTCTCTCTCTCTCTAACCTCATTGCTAAAACAGAATGTTCACCACCCAGTGACACCTAGTGAGATATATATTTCAGTACCTATATAAAGATACAAAATGTTTTTGAAGAAGAAACTAAACACTCTTTATAAGTGAAAAGATTCTAAAGAATTATTTGATTATATAACAATAAAAGAAAACACCCATGGCAGAAGCTAGCTGTTATAAGACAGCATTGGATGTGGGTTTGGTAGATCTATAAGTAGAAAGGTACTATTTTGTCAAACTTGTCCACATAGCAATTATGAAAATATTGGATAGTTAACCGCAAAAAAAAGGATAAAAGTGACAAGTAAAGGAGTCAAAACAACCCGTTTGGCTCGAAGTTCTAACTTCACAATTGGTTGGTGTAGTGGATAATTAAAGGGACACTGTAGGCAATATAACCATTACTTTTTCCTTGAAGTGGTTATAGTGCTTGGAATCCTCTGTCACTGTCCCACCATTCAATGTTAAAATGTTTTCAAACAGTTTAACACTAAATAAAGGTCCTTGGCCATCCACATACTTGGCCCAACTGGAGGCGAGACTAAGGCAGAGATTAAACACCTTCTTTTAGCCATACCAATTCAAACGGTCAGCTGACACACTCAGCCACTCATAGCCGCCTATTGCTGTTTAGACTTATGTTTTGTTATTAGGGGGAATGGGCCTGCTGAGGATCCTATTTAGCATTAAAACAGTATGTAGCGGATGGTATTAAGGCTGTCCTGAAAGACTGTGTTAAAACTGCAATTTGTGTGTTTATTCTTCTGTATAGTTAAAACTGTATATAGTATTCGTATGATTGTTCGGTAGTTTCCATCCGTATTCCATACGAATGAAAACTACCGAACCAATAGACCACCCCAGAGAGAAGTGTGCAGCTTATTAGGCTTCACACTTCTCTAACCGCAGGTTAATTGGTACTTTGTGCATGTATCTGGGTGGCCGCCGTTCGGCATACGAACACGTGGCGGCGGCCCTCTTACGCACGAAAACCTCAGCGGTGTTTGGCCGTCGAGTGTCTGGAACTCAAATCGGGCCCCGGAGTGTGAGCAGGCATTCCAACATCTGAAAAGTGCACTTATCAATGCCCCTGTCTTGGAGGCTCCCAATCCAACTAAATGTTTTCTTGTTCACACAGACGTTTCTATGTTTGGATTGGGGCAGTACTGAGCCAAGTTGGGGCCGATGGCGGAGAACATCCCGTAGCTTACATCAGTCGCAAGTTACTACCCAGAGAAGTGAGCTACGCCGCCATCGTGGTGTGGGCCCTGAAGAAATTACAACCGTATTTGTATGGACAGCCCTTTTCATTGCTCACGGATCACAACCCGTTAGTATAGCTGAACCGGGTGGCTGGGGACAATGCCAGGCTGCTGCGTTGGAGTTTGGCACTGCAGCCCTTTGACTTTAACATTCAGTAACGCCCGGGGAAACAGAATGGGAACGCTGACGGGTTGTCGAGACAAACAGACCTGGAGAAATGATCCGTGAGCATCCCCGGACATCCCCAAGCCGATACGTGTTGGATCAGACTGTGTATGCCGGCTTGTGGGCAAGGGGGAGCAGTGTAGCGGATGGTATTAAGGCTGTCCTAAAAGACTGTGTTAAAACTGCAATTCGTGTGTTTATTCTTCTGTGTAGTTAAAACTGTATGTAGTATTCGTAGAAAATGTTTTTTTGGTACTTAATGGAAGGACAGTGCCTGGGAACTCCGGACACTAAAACCACTTCAATGAGATGAAGCTGTTATGATGCCTACAGTGTCCCTTTAACTCTGTCGATCATCGAATAGCAAGACTTGACAAATTCTCAACAATTCGATGATGAATAAGCCAGCTATAGTCAGAACTTTGACTTTTTGGGGGGCTATCAAATGTAGATAGTAAACATTGCGTAAAATTAGGTAATTCGGAGACCTCTACTGACTCTGCTACCTATAATCACAATCCCACAATTTGACAGTGTTGTAACTCCTATGGCGCATTACGGCCAGGTAGCAGTGGGAAGTATTTTTGATTTGAAAGTTTGAAAAGGCGTCAACTTTAGTATGAAGGTCCTTTCACAAACAGCTGTATATAAAGTGTGTTGGGTTAACCCTGTGCTACCAGCCTACTACTAAAACTTATACTGATTTAGTATTGTCTATGAAGAAGAGTAAACTCCACAATAAAAATTAGGGTATGGAGTTGTCAGGTAATGGGTGGTAGCTTAGGGTGAGGCTCACATTTTGCCACACTGCTCCTACTGTATGCAATATAATATGGTGCTGCACTCATACTCAATTTGAACCATAATCACTGCACTGAGCTGTAGTGGTTAGAGTCCTTAGGGGGCCCATTTAATCTTTGCAATGGATATGTGGCCTGGTAAATCTCTTGTATTGAAATCTCACTTGCGGTACATTTGATAGAAGCTGCTATATGAAATCCCATTGGTGGCATCCTGCCCTTAGACAGTGCGGCAGAGGGGAAGTAGCCACACAGGGTTTTGTGAGGACAGTTTTTAGTCCATGGTACGGCACAGTCAATATATTCCTCAAGCTACCAGCCCCATCATTCTCAAATCTCTGCTCAGACTATGAACGTCTCCCTTCATAAGGTATGAAAATGGATTTGGGATCCAAAATAAACCCAATAGTGGATTATATAACAATTGTAACCATGATAAATAATGTAAATAAGAATAAGAATATAATGGACAGTGTGGAATGGTTCAAATAATTGGGGCGTGTGTATATGTTCAAATCGATAATGACCTTGGAGGTATGGTAAAGAACAGGTGTGATGAAAGCCAAAGAAAGACGGGATCAAAAAAAACATATAGTAAATAATTAATTGGACACAAAGTGGGAATTAACTTAAAGTATTCATTAAAAAACAAACTCCTATGAAATGTTGGCCTTCATTATGGCAGTGCTATTATGTCCCCACATTGTCTGTATTACAGTATTAGGCAGAGGTTCCTTCATCAGAATGGATGAATGGACCTCTTGCACAAGCTCATGGTAGCCCCAACACAATGTTTTCTCAACAGAGCTGTAGATGCAAACATGGAGCCACAGGTCTCAAACAGTCAGTTTGAGAAGGTGAGAACGTGTATAGTGTACATCTACTTGTACTCACAGGGGGAGCAGAAGCTTGTGGCTATGACATATGTGTGGAGGGATGGGCTTACAGATACAAACAGGTGACCTCTTTGCACATTAACCTATGCAAGGAGTGTGGAATATCTATGGTTTTGTTTCCTCCCAAATACATGCTTATTCTGATGCTGTGCAATGTTGCATTAGTGTATATGTGCACATTATAGAGATGTAATTCAATATAGGGCTGATGTAGAATTAATCCCAGAGCTTCTATTTATCCCCAGTCCTGTCCCACTCTTTGGATTGTTTCCCCATGTTGTAACGGAGATGCAAAGTCTTACTGTAAGCCCATAATGAGAACTCAAAGTCATGCAGTTATGGGGTCAAATGAATTAACTATTCCTTGGGTCTGCTTTTTCATTTAAGATACTTCCTCTTAAAGAATGTTGCGCGTGAAATGTATCCCTATTTATGCATCGTGTACCATACGTTTTTATTTTATAAGGCATGTCGTTTCGTATCCCTTCCCTATTGCCTGGCCCCATTCTTCATCTTCTTCCCTGTCAGCTGGTTTTGATTGACGGACAGTTGTAACAAGCCACTGCCTCTGTGAAGGGAAATTAACCTCGACTGATGTTCGGCCACGGAAAGGTGTCCTTTGGAAGCCATGGTAGAAATAAAAACACAAATATAACGTCCAGTAAATTGTAAATGAAGGATACTGTAATGTGTCAATTAGAATCAAGGTTGTTTATACTATAGTGAAAGCCCAAGGTCATTTTAAAATGGTTCATGACATAATATGTATCCAACTTTTGTTTACTCTAATCCGAGGAAGCTTAATCCTTACTCAATGTTAAATAAACCTTTTTTTGGATGAGAATCAAAAAATATCTAGATTTGATTTTATGGTCAGGAAGAGGAATATATTTAAAAGAAAAATACCGTCAGTGACACTTAATGTTTGCCAGCCGATTAAAAACCTGTTGGGTTCTAAAAATTTTATTTTTTAAATGAGTTTGTAGAAAGAAATAACTACCCCAAATTATGCACAATTGACCACATCAAAATTTAATATCTTTATTCTTGTGTTTATTAGTTCCGTGCGTTTTGGCTTTAACCCCTTAAGGACCAAACTTCTGGAATAAAAGGGAATCATGACATGTCACACATGTCATGTGTCCTTAAGGGGTTAAAGAAGAGCTGTATGTGAATGCTATATAATACAGGACAACATTTTCATTGCATGCCCATCATCGTGAAGAAAGCAAATAACCTAGAAACCTGATGGATCCGGCAATCCTAGCTTCCTCTTTCCCAAAAACCCTTTTTGAAATATATACAATGGTTTTTAGATGCCTGGGAAGAGCAAACTTAATAGGATGGATTTTATACATTGTCTATCAGAGCATGCCTGCTGTAGTTCTGATTTAAATTGTTAAACTACAGGGAAGCAGGGACGTTTCCATGTAACAAGTCTTACAGAAGAAAAACAAATGAAAAAGTGGACATTCATTTTATACAAAGACAGAGGGGATATTCAAATAGGCGAGTCCTCAGAAAAGCATCTTTTTTTGTTCAAAAATCTGTTCCACGATCATGGATTAGACATCGCAGAGAAAGGCTCTGCTCTCTACCCACCGTTTTAGTACATTTATATAGTAAATCTGCTCTGGCTTCCTTCTGCCTGGTTGTCTTACTTTGTAATATACCTTACTGACCTTTTCAATTCTTTCATACAGTCCTTGTCAGGTTGCAAGGAACTTGCATTCACTGAAGAAATCGATACTAGAACGTTTTCCTCAGGTTGGAAGACCCTTACCCGATTGTAACAAACTTTCTGAGCCTTCCATGCCTTTTCCATATTTTCCTTTACTACTTTACTACATCCATTATGGCTTCCATATGCTCTTGCACTTGTGCAATGTGTTCTACTACACTGCCTGTTCCCATGTCTCTTGAGCAACATCCGATATACCTCTGAGATGTCTACCATATAACACCTCAAAAGGCCAAAACCCTGTGAAAGATTGTTGTACCTTTCTAATAGAGAACACGAGATATAGCAATAAAAAAATCCCAATTCTTTCCATCTTTGTTTATTGTTTTCCGGAGTGTGGACTTCAGTGTTTTACTAAACCTTTCAACAAGCCCATCATTTTGGAGATGATGAACTGACGTTCTAAGCTGCTTAATTTTGAAAAGTTTACACGATTTCTTCATTACATTTGACGTAAACTGGGTCACTTGGTCCGTAAGAATCTCCTCCACAATAACTCCACATCCTCGGTCCCTTTTTTTTTTCTATTCTATAAAGCAAGTCATGTTTTTCTTAAAATAAAGTAAAACACAAAGTTTTATTAGGATCATTGAGTTCCTTGTATAATCTGTACATTTTCCTTTGCAGTCGTTAAACTTGGGTCTTCCCATCGGGCTGTGTGAAAATGACCAGCAATAATTTCTAGATCCTGTAAGCGTTCATTTCTTATAGAACGAGCATTGCTTTTTCACTGCCTGACTCTAAATCAACATTAGAACTGACTTTCCCTTGGAACATTTCCTAACTTTTTAAGACCTTTTCACATATTCAAAATGTTTCTTTTTTATCAATGGGCAGTTACTGATTGGTTTAGAGTGTCCGCTGACCTCCGGGACACCACGCTCCCTGTAACTGAGGTTCAGAAGCCGGATGCCACCCGGGAGACCTAGAGGCAACTTTTGGGGTTAATCCATTTGAGAAAGTTTTTTCTTTAAGGTAAGAGTGCACCCGGGGGCCTCCTGGCACCATAACAACACAATTTAGATAATGTTGTTACGGTGACCGAAGTCTCCCCTTAAGGTAAAAACAGCCAAGGCGGAATAATTCTCTAAGCCAACTATGCTTTCAGTTCAGCTATTCTGGCCTTAAAGGGATACTGTAGGCACCTAGACCACTTCAGCTCATTAAAGTGGTCTGGGTGCAATGTCCCACGTCCCTTAATCCTGCAGTGGTAATTATTGCAGTTTCATGGTTAACCCCACCTCTAGTGGTTGTTTACCAGACAGCCACTAGAGGGCTTCCTGGCTTGAAACGGACCTTTGTTTACGTTATCTGATGCTGAACGTCCACACGCTTTGCATGAAGACTTCCAGCGTCAGATTTCCCCCCGAAGGAAAGCACTGAATAATGCTTTCCTATGGGGAAATCCTAATGCGAGCGTAGCCATTGCCGCGCATGCGCATTAGGTCTCCCCCACCCTAAGCCGGCAGTGGAGGAGCCTGACCCAGAAGGGTAGCGTGAGGGAGGGGAATTTGTTTTCTTGGCACTATAGAATCCCTTTAAATTTGACATTCACTTTGAATTCTCACTATAGTAAATAACCCTGCCAAGATTTACGGTAAATCATGGCTTGTGTTGTTATCACCTTCCACCTCTGCATGGTATGCCCACCATATACTTTCCTCTTCTTTCCGTATTTATTTTCTGTGGCTTTGGTGGTTTGAAAAAAATACCCTATTAGACTTTCTATATACTTCAAGGGACACTATAGTCACCTGAACAACTTTAGCTTAATGAAGCAGTTTTGGTGTATAGAACATGCCCCTGCAGCCTCACTGCTCAATCCACTGCCATTTAGGAGTTAAATCCCTTTGTTTATGAACCCTAGTCACACCTCCCTGCATGTGACTTGCACAGCCTTCCATAAACACTTCCTGTAAAGAGAGCCCTATTTAGGCTTTCTTTATTGCAAGTTATGTTTAATTAAGATTTTCTTATCCCCTGCTATGTTAATAGCTTGCTAGACCCTGCAAGAGCCTCCTGTATGTGATTAAAGTTCAATTTAGAGATTGAGATACAATTATTTAAGGTAAATTACATCTGTTTGAAAGTGAAACCAGTTTTTTTTCCTGCAGGCTCTGTCAATCATAGCCAGGGGAGGTGTGGCTAGGGCTGCATAAACAGAAACAAAGTGATTTAACTCCTAAATGACAGTGAATTGAGCAGTGAAAATGCAGGGGAATGACCTATACACTAAAACTGCTTTATTTAGCTAAAGTAATTTAGGTGACTATAGTGTTCCTTTCAGGTCTATCGAAAATATTTCATTTTTTTCATTTCTTACTGCCTCTAGGGAATTTCCCACTTCCTGTTCCATTTGTTGCACCTCCTGTTACACAGCCACGCTGGTCTCTCCAGAGACTTGCTAAACACTTGCTTTTTCATTCTCCATCGTGGGTTGGTTCTCTCCCAGGTAAACAGGAAATGTGAGCGTTTCAAAATAGCCAAATTCTTCCTATATGCTTTAACTTTTACAAGCATGGAGTGGTATTTTGCTGTTGGACTCAATAATGTGTCTTGTCCTGTTGTTGGTGGGAACATCCAGTTTAATTCCAACTTCCAATTTGATCTCAAACTTCCTATCTGTAAAAATATTTCAGATATAGAAAAACACTACATTTTCAGCTCAAAGATACAATCTAAAAAAAGCACCGTATAGTCCGTAGTGTCTTACTATGTGTACAGTTGCAAGAAAAAGTATGTGAACCCTTTGGAATGATATGGATTTCTGCACAAATTGGTCATAAAATGTGATCTGATCATCATCTAAGTCACAACAATAGACAATCACAGTCTGCTTAAACTAATAACACACAAAGAATGAAATGTTGCCATGTTTTTATTGAACACACCATGTAAACATTCACAGTGCAGGTGGAAAACGTATGTGAACCCCTAGACTAATGACATCTCCAAGAGCTAATTGGAGTGAGATGTCAGCCAACTGGAGTCCAATCAATGAGATGAGATTGGAGGTGTTGGTTACAGCTGCCCTGCCCTATAAAAAACACACACCAGTTCTGGGTTTGCTTTTCACAAGAAGCATTGCCTGATGTGAATGATGCCTCGCACAAAATAGCTCTCAGAAGACCTACGATTAAGAATTGTTGACTTGCATAAAGCTGGAAAAGGTTATAAAAGTATCTCCAAAAGCCTTCCTGTTCATCAGTCCATGGTAAGACAAATTGTCTATAAATGGAGAAAGTTCATCACTGCTGCTGCTCTCCCTAGGAGTGGCCGTCCTGTAAAGATGACTGCAAGAGCACAGCGCAGACTGCTCAATGACGTGAAGAAGAATCCTAGAGTGTCAGCTAAAGACTTACAAAAGTCACTGGCAAATGCTAACATCCCTGTTAGCGAATCTACAATACGTAAAACACTAAACAAGAATGGATTTCATGGGAGTATACCACAGAGGAAGCCACTGCTGTCCAAAGAAAACATTGCTGCACGTTTACAGTTTTCACAAGAGCGCCTGGATGTTCCACAGCAGTACTGGCAAAATATTCTGTGGACAGATGAAACCAAAGTTGAGTTGTTTGGAAGAAACACACAACACTATGTGTGGCGAAAAAAAAGGCACAGCACACCACACCAACGTCAAAACCTCATCCCAACTGTGAAGCATGGTGGTGGGGGCATCATGGTTTGGGGCTGCTTTGCTGCGTCAGGGCCTGGACGGATTGCTATCATCGAAGGAAAAATGAATTTCCAAGTTTATCAAGACATTTTGCAGGAGAACTTAAGGCCATCTGTCTACCAGCTGAAGCTCAACAGAAGATGGGTGTTGCAACAGGACAATGACCCAAAGCATAGAAGTAAATCAACAACAGAATGGCTTAAACAGAAGAAAATACGCCTTCTGAAGTGGCCCAGTCAGAGTCCTGACCTCAACCCGATTGAGATGCTGTGGCATGACCTCAAGAAAGCGATTCACACCAGACATCCCAAGAATATTGCTGAACTGAAACAGTTCTGTAAAGAGGAATGGTCAAGAATTACTCCTGACCGTTGTGCACGTCTGATCTGCAACTACAGGAAACGTTTGGTTGAAGTTATTGCTGCCAAAGGAGGTTCAAACAGTTATTAAATCCAAGGGTTCACATACTTATTCCACCTGCTCTGTGAATGTTTACATGGTGTGTTCAATAAAAACATGGCAACATTTCATTCTTTGTGTGTTATTAGTTTAAGCAGACTGTGATTGTCTATTGTTGTGACTTAGATGATGATCAGATCACATTTTATGACCAATTTATGCAGAAATCCATATCATTCCAAAGGGTTCACATACTTTTTCTTGCAACTGTATGATATACAGGATATCTTGATACATTTTTCATTTATCCTAAAACATCATTATATCCCAAACACAATAAAAATGTTGCATAGCAACTTCATAAATCCATTTAAACAAATACTATCAGATGTTTTATATTTTCTCATTAAAAAAATAAAAATATATATATATATATATACTATTTAAAAGACCAAAACTATAGCATATATAGAAAAAATGTACAGCTTTATTTCAAACTGTGTTTATTAAAACCAAATGTTATAAACAGATCATGTGAAAGGCACATTCCAAGATTTCGGAGGCAATAGTCATGTTTGAGATTAAGACAGACCTGTAGAGTTGGGAAACTCATGCAGCATGTGTCACCGGCAATGCCTTGAGGTGTGGGCTAGTCTGAAAAGAGAGCCCTAAAAAATGGGCATGTCAGCTTGGCATGGATCACGCCAGTCTGACTGGCCATCACGATGTTCAGCCCAGCTCATGGCTGCACACGTGCAAATCACTGTTAAAATGCTCTGCCCATTGGCTGAATACTCAGAGTGCAGTTTGGGCGGTGCAAGTGCATTTAAAGATGTGCTTGTGCTGCGTTTGATGTGGACAACAGGGTTATTTACTAACGTGAGAACTGTCATGATTTCAAGGTGATTTTTAAATGTAAGAGGACACCCATACCACTTCATCGCAATGAAGTGGTCTGTGTGCAATGCCCCTGTCGTTTACATTGCAGGGCTAAACACACCTCTAGTGGTTTTCTCCCTGACAGCCACTAGATGGTGCTTCTGCACCCACAATCATGAAAGTCATACTCGGACATTGAAAGATCTATGAGAAAGTTTTGATTGGAGTTGCACATGAACTTCTCATACACAGTGCTTCTCTATGAAGCATTTGCTTAGACGAGATGTTGAAGGTCTAAAGTGCAGGGAGATTTATTGGATGATTAGCAGCAACGTTTCGACTCCTAACAGATCCTTTATCAAGCCTTTCTCAAGAAGAAGAGTCAGCAGGCAAAATTATGAAATGGGAGGAGGGGAAGTTGCTGCATGGACTGAGACTCTGCCCTGGAAACAAGGCAAGTAAACTATATTAAGCATCCTTCAAATAGCAGTAAACAGCATGAACATTGGCGGATTCAAGGAAGGGAGCACCAGGGCAAATGCTCCCCCTGAGAGGCCAGTGGAATTTGTCAAACTGGCAGCATGGGTTAACTGAGGTGTCAACACCAATCTATCCCTAAATTTGCATGCCTTAAATGTGTGCAGGTATTTGTCGCTATAAGCATTTTTGTAGTTTGGGTATATGTACCTGTGTGGGGATGTATGTGTCCACTTTTGTCAAAAACCTTAGCAGTGTCTCTCTCGAATTCAGGCTCTGGATCATCCTATTTGCAGATACAGGGGGATTGTTTTACAGTATGGAATGGGAAATTGGTTTCAAAGGAAAAAACGCCTTTCTTAATCCATAATCACTATACATCGCAAACACGCTTATTATGAAAAGAGTCCCAAGACAGGAACTGTTATTAAAACTATTTTATTAAAATGATCTTAAAAATACCCTTAGAACCAGCTTAATAAATTTAAAAAAAAACATTGGGAGTTTTGAAAACCTTAGATTATCCAACAAAATAATGCACAAATTAGTAGGTCCAATGGATCCAATAGAAACCACTGTGAGAAATTAACCGGTTTCTTCAGTGTGTGACATATATTTGCATCTATTGTACAGCGCTACGGAACCTGATGGCGCTATATAAATAATAAAATAATAATAATCTAAGCAGCACTACTGGTGTATCTTTCAACAAGATGTGGAATAGAAGTATAGGATAAAATACTACTCTAACTGCTGTAGGTCCCTGTGCTGAGGGTCTGCCATGATCTGAATGGTCCTCGCTGAATAATGAAATGAGTATTTATTACAGTAGTTGGCGTGTGTCATTTGTTTCAGACAGTGAAGGCAGACTGCGAATTAATGGAGCGTGATTTTTTACATGAAGACATGTTGCAGAAAGCCAAATATGTCCTAACACAATGATTTCCAGATGATTACTCAATAATTTACTCAGGGTACGTAAAAGTTTCGGTATCGACACCTCTTGCGAAATCACAAATCAGGCTGCTATTGATACCGAGGAAGGAGCCAACTGAGGTGGTGGAAAGACACAGGTACATTCCTCCCCAGGTGACAGCAGCAAGAAGGATGGCAGGCGGGCCGAACCTCCCTGCTGTTGTGGTTATGGTGCTTGGAACGTTCGTATAATAAAACTCTTCCATGATGGCCGCTGTAATGGACAGATATAGATTTAGGTGCATTTACTGACTTTCAATGCCTGGAGCAGAATACCAGCACGCCCGTTGAAGGTCATACATAATGGGGTGTTGTAAATGTACTGGTTTCAGAAGTTTGTTTGTCAATTTTATTACACCTGCCACATACAACTTAAGGCTAAAAAAAAACATATTGAGTAAATATATTATGTATTATAAAAATAAGTGTTTTTTTTTTCTACAGGTTCACTGTAAATGCAAACAGTGAGTACCGTATGTCATTTAGAGATGTATTATATATTGAATTGCAGGGCATTGAAGACAAAACTATTGCAAATGTTTATGGACAATTCATAACAAAGTATTCGTTTTTATTCATTGATTTATTTTTTTACATTAAAACATAATACTTAAAGAAATAACTAATTTTATCGCAGTTCATGAAAGGTTTAAGCTTTGCAAGAAACATTATTCATGGTTTTCACCATTTCAGATCCTGGTATTTTTCTAAATAATAGCAGCTTATAAAATATAGCATTAGCTCTTATCAGTCTCCTAATAGTTGTGTAGAACAGGGGTTTCCAACCCAGTCCTCAAGTACCCCCTTCAAAAACACCTTAGAAACAATTGAGTAATCCTTAAATCCTGGACTGTTAGGGGGTACTTGAGGACTGGGTTGGGAACCACTGGTGTAGAGCAGTGCTCTTCAACCCTCTCCTCAAGGCACACCAAACAGTCCAGGATTTAGGGGTTACCTGGGTGTATTTTAGGTGTTTTGTGTAAAAAAAAACCAAAACAAAAAAAAACACCTTAGAGGTTTTTTAACATATGGACACACCCGGGTAATCCCTAAATCCTGGACTGTTAGGTGTGCCTTGAGGAGAGGGTTAGGGTTAGCACTGCTGTAGAGGATACTTTGCTCATTGGGAGATCTGGTAGAATATTATTATATACCATGACACACATCTGAAGAAGAAGAGCAGGGTATGGCTTAGGACTTTAGAGAAGACCCTATCGCAGGAGTAGGCAACCTTTGGTAGGCCAGATGTTGTGGACTACATCTTCCATAATGCTGGCAAAGCATCAGGGGTGATGTAGTCTACAACATCTGGAGTGCTGAAGGTTGTCTACCTCTGCCCGATAGTGCCTTGAAACATCGGACAGCCTGTCAATGTACTATTTGTAGACAATGTGTTACATCTCAGACAGTTTCATTTCTATAAAAAAAAATAAGTGAAAACCTAATATAAATAGCATGTTGCAATTTTTAAAATATAATTTGTAAGTGTATTGGTCTAGACCAGAGGTACCAATAGCATACATATGGGGACTGTGAGGGGCAGTCCTTCCCCCGTCACTCTTTGTAACTGTCATTGTGGCATTTGGAGTGTTCCATTAATAATCTGCGCAGTGGGCGGTGCCGCCTTCATTTTCGTTAGAGGCATATATTGACAATGCCCTAAAAATATTTTATAAAATAAATCTAAAGATAAAGGTGTTTACTGCTTCTGTAAGAGCAAGATAAATAAGCAAAGCATTGTGCGTTACGCAACCCTTGATTACACAAAAAAAAAATATTTCCTTTCCAAATTTTACACAAATATCATCAATGCCACATGTTGCTCTCTAAGTATTGTTGCGATAGTTGGACTTTGCAGATGGTCTACATAAGCCTACTACCCACGCCTTGTTTATTGCAAGTCTTGCCTCATCTCTTTTAAACAGCCATCATCACGCAACCTCCACAGATGTTTCGGCTACAACCAACGAAGGCTAAAGGTGACAACTTATTTCTCAAAGAAAACAAACAAGACTTAGGGAGTAAAATAAGGTTCTTTCATATTATGGATGCAGAAGCTTGGCTATAACCAAGGCAAATATCCGTTAATAAAGAATATTATTATGTACCACGTGTTAAAGGGATACTGTCCCTCTACTGGAAGTAACACCACTAAATAATATTAAAATACAACTACACCTTGTGTTAACATTTTTTCATGTTCTGCTCCATTTTCTTTTAAATGTATATTATACTATATTAGCAAGTGACCACAATCCAGTTAAGTCAAGGCACAGCCAGGGCACAGAATACATTGTTACTGCTTCTACTACTCTACAATACCAAAAAAGGGAGTGGCTTAGAACAGGGATTAATAGGGAGCCAAGATGGAGCCGCTCAGTTCCAGGAAAGTCCTAAATACATTAATGTGAATTTCTACATTTTATTTGTTTATTCTTTACTACAGATCTCACAACTGCATGTTTGATAAATGTATAATGATAGAGTATATCTATATACAGAGAGAGAGAGAGATGTAAAAAACAGATACAATTTGTATCTTGTAATACCTTTTTTATTGAACTAACATAATAAATGAGTTTGTTATTTTCTAACAAACCTGTGTCTTATCTGCACTCATGTCGCTTTAACCCCTGTATCACAACTCAACTTTGAATTCTATGTGTCGTCTTGCTCAGAAATGCTTCAGACTTGAAAAAGGGAGGTTCTCCCGAAAGCTTGTCATTAAAAAATTCTGTTAGTCCAATAAAAAAGGTATTACAAGATACAAATTGTATCTGTTTTTTACATCTACATCACTGGACTAATACGGATGCGCTCCCCTCCTGCCGGTCACAGAATGTAGTGTGGCCGAGCAGGCAGACCGCGGTAGGGGAGCTTCTGTTCCCCTACCTGGTCTGACAGGAACCTGCAAGCGAGAACGCTCCTCCTGTGAGCAGACAGGTTGGAGAGTTGCCGTGCGTTACCATGGCAATGCTCCGACATGCCTGCTGCTCTCGCGGAGGAGAGCGAAGTCAGCCTGCAGCCAGAGGAGCTGCAGGTGGAACAGCACGTGCCACCACTGGACCACCAGGGATTTGAAGAGTAGCCATTCCCCCTCTCCCCTGACCAAAGGTAAGGGGAGAGGGGGTAATATAACGCTTTTTTTTTTTTTTTTAAATATATCAATGCTATAACACTCCCCCCCACCATACACACACTATACCCCCTCCCCCCCAACAGCACTCCTTGACACATAAACAGCACCCCCCACACACAAACAGCACCCCTCCACACACAGCACCCCTCCACACACAGAACCCCTTCACACACAGAACCCCTCCACACACACACAGAACCCCTCCACGCACACAGAACCCCTCCACGCACGCAGCAACCCTTCACGCACATAGCACCCCTACACACACAGCACCCCTCCACACACAGAACCCCTTCACACACACAGAACCCCTTCACACACACAGAACCCTTCCACACACACAGAACCCCTCCATGCACACAGCAACCCTTCACGCACATAGAACCCCTTCACACACACAGAACCCCTTCACGAACTACAGTTTAATGTATTGGTTATGGTGTCTATAGCCTGTCCCTGTAGGCTGAGCACTGTAAATGCTACCTTTTCATAGCACATCTCTAGTGACAGTCACTCAGACGACCACTAGAGATGCTTCCTAGTCCAGTACTGCACAGATTCTGATGCTGATTGGTGCGATGAAGCACTGCGTTTTGCCACACATGCGCAATTGCCTCCCAATACTTTCTTGTGGGAGATCATCCAGTTGTCGGCCAAAGTGAAGAGCACACTCGTTACTTCAAAATGAGCAAGATAACATCATTTTTTTACTGCTGTGCAATAGCATACATTCACAATTTCAATCCAAATGACCAAACATTTCTTAATATATCAAGGTAGTTGGACTGAAACATGGATTACATGCAAATGCACGTCTGCTTACAATAAATCTGCTCTGCTTTATTTTGAAGCTCTATGAGTGCTTTCTTTCACGTTTGAGTGATAGTTTTCAGGTTTTTTTCTCCCGCTTTCATATCTGCGCACTATGCTGGCGCGATGAATTATGTAGCTGGTATGGAATTTTTTTCCAGGGCTGCTTTTCATTCCCAGTCCGGCCCTGATCTTCAGAAATTTGAGGGCAAATGTGCAGATAGGTTAGTACTCTATTTTGACAGTTGAGTTAGCACTCTATTATAAGGAAGATGCACTGGTCGTCCTTGGTTTATAAAGATGGTGGCTGGCCATGAGCTTTAATATTGGCGACACATGCAGTATTAACTCATTGGCTGAGCGAGTCGGCCGAGGTAGGTCAGTGTAGAGAGTTTCCTGCTCTCCTGCAGATGGTGGCACTCAAAAATATAGAGTCAACGTAAGTCGGCTATAAACTATGCAGGCATTTTGTCAATATTGAGTTGATGCAGGATAAAGTGCTTTAATGTCAGGTCCCCCAGAGAACAGCAATATTCCTATAATAATATAAAGAAAAATAGCAAGCCAAATAGAGCAACGTGTTTCGAACTAAATACAAAGGTCTTCCTCAGGTGCTTATAGCTGTACATGTGTAAATACCTCTATTTGTACCCCCTTAATGTCCTTACTAGAACCCCAAATCTAGATAAATCCTAATATGGTCCGATTAAAAACAGGAATGTAGAAAAGCTACAAAGTAGGCCGTTTGCAATTTTCTTTCCAATTTGACGTTTGCCTCCATTTGTTGTGAATAAAACCACTGATATCTGGTTTCTTTTTCATAGCTTCTATTCTATCACTTTATATGTCTAGCCATTTCTAACACCGGCTGCCTTGACTGCTGCACTGTATTAAACAGGTCTCTTGAATTCTGTTGTCTTGTACAAAGTTAATGTATACAGTGCTGGTGCTAACATCTAATATATGGAGCCTATACTCTATCTGAGCTCATTAAAGGCAGTGGGGTCATCATATGGCTGTGACATGTGTTCCTTGGTTTTCAGTTACTCTACCCCATGCAGTCTGCCCATTACAATTATATATTAAACATTTCTCCAAATTTCCTCCTTCTTCATAATACAAAACAATTTCGAGAGCCCCAAGTTACACATCCCTTTCCACTTTCCCCCCTTCCAAGTAACAGATCCCTTTCCACTTTCCCCCCTTCCTGAGCACACTACTACAGAATGCAGGCTCTAGATAATGTCATTATATCTCAGCAGCCTCAATTTTTCCCAGATCCGAGTCACACAAAGAAACTGGAATTGAAATCATGGCTATATTGGGGGCAATATATCTCAGACTCCCGCACACTAGACATCTGGAAGTCCGTAGCAAGGGGTGAAACAAATACAAACATGGGACCCCTTTCTGTCTTATGTCACCGAATTTGTTGAGTGAAATGGCCGTGTAGCGCACTAAATGTCTACGTCAGCGGGAAAATATTTAGAAGACTCTGAATAATGAGACAATGTATACCCAGGAGGTAGCAGAAAACTAGCGAAAGCTGGATGTATCCATGTTGGTGATATAATTATTATATTCCATATAGCGTAGCAATGAGGTCATGAGAAAGTCCCAATTGTCTTCATTATGCAATTAAACTGTATGAGCAATTTGTCAAGGACGCACTCAATTATACGGGTTCTAATGAACCGTGAAGAGGGGAGAGTCATTAACCCCTTCACTACCGAGGGCTTTTTCATTGAAAAGAAATATTAGCATTACATTTATTTGAAGCAAGGGATGCATAGCTAGTATATAAACATATTGTAACACGGCAGTTGTGTGAATAGATTGCTTAGCAGCCAAACGTAAACATTTAAATGATATACATTTACACATTTTTTATTTTTTACTTATTCGTTACTCCTCCCTTCATAAAAATATTTTGGAAATAAACCGCTCTAGACCGTATACAATGTCCTTTATCTCGCAATATTTCACACAGAGTCTGAAATGTTAGAGTGAAAGCAAAAATTAGTTTTCTCACATACAGTAGGTGTGATGAAATTGGTAAATAAAATGGTCAGAAATTGTGTTTATAGGTATTTGTAAGGACACTGAAGGTATTACTAGCAGTATAGCTTATTGGAAATGGCAACAGAATGTAAAAAGGATGTCTGCATTTGGGCATAAAGTCCACATAGAGTAAATGCAGTTAAATAATATATTTCTAAAATAAAGGTATGTTAAACTGCTATAGCAACCTATATCAATGTCTAAACTGCTAATGTTATGCTAACAGTAAAATTGTAGAGTGCATTTACTTCTACCCCTCCTGTCTATATAGGAATGGTATGATCCATTTAAACATCCTGTACTATTTGAAAGCAGGAGGTGAGCTGATATTTTCGACAACTTTACAGCCAATACATCAGTGACTAGTGGCTTTGTTTTGGACCAGATCAAGTGTCTGCCTGAGTATCTGCCCCTGTCCAGATCTTTAAAGTGAGGTAATGCGTGCACGCTGAAGAAATCACACTGACAACAAGTTCAGATAAAATGAAAACTTTTAATAATTTATTTGGGGGGCGGCATAGCCCCTTATCAAGGCAAAGGAATGCATTGTGTGCAAACATGAAGAGTAAACTTTTAATTGGTTAAATGTAAGTGTTTTATCTTGATGTACTTCCTCCAAGGTGTGATGTCTTCATGTAGCTCCGGATGGAGACGCCATCTTGTTACATGAAGGTTTTGGTCGATGGGAGGGGTTGCTCTAGCGGCCATTTTGAGTAAGGCATGAGCACAGGTGCATATAACAAATAGTCATTTTACATACATTTATTTCTATCCATCGCAGCTTCTGGCAGAGAAATTTGTTCCTCTACAGGCTGATAATCATAAATAGTCGATCCGCTACTTGCAGAGATGCTCCTGTTAAGCCAAACACTGCTGGGGGAAGTCTCGCACCTTGCCAGACTTTCTCTATTATAAATTCAACTTGCTCTCACCCTTGCTAAACAATCAGACTTTTCCTCTCTCATTAGTTCATGCTCCCACAATCCCAGGCATCTCTTTGATACCTTCAACACTCCTCTTCACCCTGCTGTGACCACCCCAAAAACTAACCTTTCAGCCGATAGCTTTGCATGCTACTTTACCGACAAGATAAAACAGTTAAGGAAATAATTCTCCTCCCTTTGCTCCTCTCTCTCTCTTAACCGCACTTGTACGATGCCTTTTTTACCCTTCAGACCTTCTCCCTGGCTACTGAACAGGAGATAGCTGCGCTTCTCATTTGCTCTCTTCCCACCACTTGTCCACTTCATCCTGTCCCATCTCATCTGATCAGATCTCTCTCCCCTTATCTTGTGCTGTCCTTAATGCATATCTTCAACTACTCTCTTTTGTCTGGCATTGTCCCCACCCCCCTTAAACATGCTACTGTCTTACCTGTCCTTAAAAAGTCATCTCTTGATCGTCCTCCCATTCCAACTATTGTCCCATATCCCTGTTCCCTTTTTTCTCAAAGCTTCTAGAAGTTGTCTTTACCCGTTTGCCTTGCTTTTCTCAATTCCAACTCTCACCTTGATTCTCTTCCATCTGGTTTCCGCCCCCTCCACTCTACTGAGACCGCTCGAATGTAAGTTACAAATGATCTGATTGTGGCTATATCCAAAGGCCACTACTAGATACTAATTCTTCTTGAGCTACCACCTGTACGATGATGACATCCAGATATATCTATCCTTCCCTGATCTCTCCCTCGCTCTCCTAGAATGTGTCACTGCTTGTCTTTCTTGCTTTCTTTATATTCAGCTACAGCATCTGAGTACAATGACACCTGATGGTGGCCATCTGAGTACAATGACACCTGATGGTGGCCATCTGAGTACAATGACACCTGATGGTGGCCATCTGAGTATAATGATTGTGGCCATCTGAGTACAATGATGGTGGCTTTTGCCACCATCCTGTGAAGCTACAGTGCAATATAAGAGATTTGACCATTTCAGTTTTTACAGTTACAATTATGATGGATTTTCAGGCATTGTAGCACTTTGGCTGTTCAAATTATCCCACACAAGCCTATCACTCGGGAAAGTAGACACTCCGGAGTATATTGTGCCGTATCGTAACGCCATTTTTTTTTACCAGTTTATGTCAAAGTTTGTGGTAATTTATTTTACATTGCATTTTTGCTCAGCATTTTGTAAATCTGATATGTGCCGCTTTGATTGACCTCACCAAATTATGCTCAGCTAACTTTGTTGAATAAAACAATAAGCCCAATATAGATTTACACGGATGCCGGAGGTGCGACGTCACTCCAGTGGAACGCACAATGCGTTCCACCCACGACCGAAGACCGAAACCAGGAAGTAACATCAAGGATCCATGTGACCGGAACCAGGAAGTGAAACGCCGACGGAGGAGGAACCAGGTGTGTTCCACGGGAAAAAAAAACGTGAATTTTAATCAGACACTTCGTTTAAAGACCGGTATGGACTTATCAATAAGAATTCAGCCAACTGAGGAAGCCACGTGAGGCGAAACGCGTTTTGGCAATATTGTACTCATCTTTATAGATTTTAAATTTATCTGTATCAATAAATATAGTTTATACTTTTCAACCATCTGGATCCTTTGCAGTCCATTATTGGGAGCAATTTTCCACACTACAGATTGGATATCCAGACCAGCCATAGAGGGATTTGGATCCTGGAAAGATCCTAAGGCCACCTATACCAGAGCCAGGTTCAATATTGGCTCTAATTTTGTGAGTGTTTCCTTACATATGTTATCTTTGTACTGCTATTTTAGAGTTATCTGCACTATTTGTGTACCTCTCTGTCTCCACAGCATTATTGAATATATTGAGAAAGATCCTAAGGCCACCTATACCAGAGCCAGGTTCAATATTGGCTCTAATTTTGTGAGTGTTTCCTTACATATGTTATCTTTGTACTGCTATTTTAGAGTTATCTGCACTATTTGTGTACCTCTCTGTCTCCACAGCATTATTGAATATATTGAGAAGAGAGGAAAGTATAACACTTGCTCCATCCATTGTGTTTGTATTGTATGTATTTTTGGTGTTGGTATAGGGGATACCACACGGGTGTTTTAGAGCATTATTGTCACTATTAGATATACCATCGAGATTTGTTTCTCTAAGTAACATAACCAGGGCTGCCATCAGGGGGTGACAACCATGATGGTTGACACGGCCCGGCAGCCCTGGAGGGCCCTGCCCCCACATGGAGCGGCAAAACTCCGGTCTGCCGCAGGTGCATCTGCACCAAGGCCCATCAAGTGGCCCAAGCATTTAGGGCCACCCGATTAGCCCTATATCTTCAGGGACCCGGTCAGCACTGCAGCCGTGTAATAGTGCGACTAGGCGCCTTTAAAAAAAATTGCGGCTGCACGGCCGGTCACTTCCTCCCAGCTTACTCCGTGCAGGGGGAGAGACAGCTGAGGAGAGGCATCCGCTCCCATCATCCCCAGCCACCCTCCTGCAATGAAAAGGTAAGAAAGAGGAGGGTGGCTGAAAAATTATGTGTGTGTGTATATATGTATGTATCTGTTTGTGTATGTACAGGGAGTGCAGAATTATTAGGCAAGTTGTATTTTTGAGGATTAATTTTATTATTGAACAACAACCATGTTCTCAATGAACCCAAAAAACTCATTAATATCAAAGCTGAATATTTTTGGAAGTAGTTTTTAGTTTGTTTTTAGTTTTAGCTATGTTAGGGGGATATCTGTGTGTGCAGGTGACTATTACTGTGCATAATTATTAGGCAACTTAACAAAAAACAAATATATACCCATTTCAATTATTTATTATTACCAGTGAAACCAATATAACATCTCAACATTCACAAATATACATTTCTGACATTCAAAAACAAAACAAAAACAAATCAGTGACCAATATAGCCACCTTTCTTTGCAAGGACACTCAAAAGCCTGCCATCCATGGATTCTGTCAGTGTTTTGATCTGTTCACCATCAACATTGCGTGCAGCAGCAACCACAGCCTCCCAGACACTGTTCAGAGAGGTGTACTGTTTTCCCTCCTTGTAAATCTCACATTTGATGATGGACCACAGGTTCTCAATGGGGTTCAGATCAGGTGAACAAGGAGGCCATGTCATTAGATTTTCTTCTTTTATACCCTTTCTTGCCAGCCACGCTGTGGAGTACTTGGACGCGTGTGATGGAGCATTGTCCTGCATGAAAATCATGTTTTTCTTGAAGGATGCAGACTTCTTCCTGTACCACTGCTTGAAGAAGGTGTCTTCCAGGAACTGGCAGTAGGACTGGGAGTTGAGCTTGACTCCATCCTCAACCCGAAAAGGCCCCACAAGCTCATCTTTGATGATACCAGCCCAAACCAGTACTCCACCTCCACCTTGCTGGCGTCTGAGTCGGACTGGAGCTCTCTGCCCTTTACCAATCCAGCCACGGGCCCATCCATCTGGCCCATCAAGACTCACTCTCATTTCATCAGTCCATAAAACCTTAGAAAAATCAGTCTTGAGATATTTCTTGGCCCAGTCTTGACGTTTCAGCTTGTGTGTCTTGTTCAGTGGTGGTCGTCTTTCAGCCTTTCTTACCTTGGCCATGTCTCTGAGTATTGCACACCTTGTGCTTTTGGGCACTCCAGTGATGTTGCAGCTCTGAAATATGGCCAAACTGGTGGCAAGTGGCATCGTGGCAGCTGCACGCTTGACTTTTCTCAGTTCATGGGCAGTTATTTTGCGCCTTGGTTTTTCCACACGCTTCTTGCGACCCTGTTGACTATTTTGAATGAAACGCTTGATTGTTCGATGATCACGCTTCAGAAGCTTTGCAATTTTAAGAGTGCTGCATCCCTCTGCAAGATATCTCACTATTTTTGACTTTTCTGAGCCTGTCAAGTCCTTCTTTTGACCCATTTTGCCAAAGGAAAGGAAGTTGCCTAATAATTATGCACACCTGATATAGGGTGTTGATGTCATTAGACCACACCCCTTCTCATTACAGAGATGCACATCACCTAATATGCTTAATTGGTAGTAGGCTTTCGAGCCTGTACAGCTTGGAGTAAGACAACATGCATAAAGAGGATGATGTGGTCAAAATACTCATTTGCCTAATAATTCTGCACTCCCTGTATGTCTGTTTGTGTATGTATGTCTGTTTGTCAGTATGTATGTGTGTATAAATCTATGTATGTATGTATGTGTGTATGAATATAGGTCAGTATGAATGTATGTCATTGTCAGTATATCTATCTATCAGTATGTATGTATGTGTGTATGTATATATGTCAGCATGTATGTGTGTATGTCAGTATGTAGGTACATATCTATCTGTATGTGTGTGTGTCAGTATTTATGTATGTGTATGTATGTCTGTATGTAAATTTGTATGTGTCTGTTTGTCAGTATGTATGTATGTAAGTCAGTGTGTGTGTGTCTGTATGTCAGTCAGTATGTATGTGTGTGTATCTGTATCTTCTTATGCATGTGTGTGTCTGTATATGTGTGTGTCTGTTTCAGTTTGTGTGTCAGTATGCCTGTATGTCTGTTTCAGTATTTGTGTCTGTTAGTATGTGTGTATCTTTCTGTGTGTCTGTGTCTTTTTGTGTCTGTGTGTATTCCTATGGGCGGGATTTGGAGGCGGGCACCCGGGGGCCCAGACCTTGAGCTGTGTTAGGGGCCCAAAAATGTCTGATTTGGCGGCCCTGAACATAACCAACACAGCACGCTAAGAGCTAATTTTTGCTAATAGTGTTATTCAAGGGTGACTAAACATCAAATTATATCCAAGTGAAAACTGAACTGCAAACTTGAGGTGAATATAGATGATTCTATAGTCTTAACTTGGCTATTTTAGCACAAATTTTGCAAATGTGTTTTTAATTTTCAGCTATTTAGTATCTATGCCTTCCCACGCACTCATGTAAGTTCAAGTACCAGGGTTAACGCAGCTGCGTCAATCCAGCCTGTTGGTACTCGCGCAAATTTGAATGCATGCGTGTTAATTTAGTCAGCCTATTATTAATGCCGCCATGTCTATTTGAAATCCACACTCGTGTAAATGTGGACGCTGCATCATTTTCAGTAGTACATGGCCACGTGATTCTAGCTTGGAGCAAATGTAAATAACATTTCTGTTTTTATTGTAAATAACATTCGCCATAATGTTCGCTCCGTTTTAGATATCTTAATTCTCGGCGTCACGATTGATGCTCAACCTGGGCCTATATAAACCTGTGTTATCTCTGGACAAGCGCTCTTGCGTGGTTCCTGGTGTCCCGCTTTTTTTGGGGGGAACTGTCCCCAACAAGCATAGTGTGAGCGTATCAGACATTGAGATGAAGTGGTCTGGATGACATTAATAGTCCTTTAAAAATGGTTTAATGTGGGATGGAAGGCCAGGGAACTCCAGACACAATAACCACTTCGATGAAGCCGTCATGGTGCCTACAGTGTCCCTTTAAAAAAACAGCTTGGGCACTGCGTCATCGACGTTAAGTTGTTATGGTGCCAGGTGGTCCCGGGCTCACCTTTAGGAATTTAACTGTTCACACACGGTTTAACCCCTAGGTCTGCGCTCCAGGGCCTCCCTGTCCGATATCTGATATCCGCCATGATGGGAGGAGCCGGCATGGGCAACGCTGACGCGCTAAGCCAGCGATGGCCAACCGTGACACCATTAAATTGTTTCTGGACTACATTTCCCATGATGCTCAGCTAGCTTTATAGACTGTAAACACTAACTGAGCATCATGGGAGATGTAGTCCAGAAACAATTTAACGGTGTCGAGGTTAGCCCTCGCTGCTCTCAGCCAATCCGGGAGATACGGAATGGGCGTTGGCCCCGCCCGAGCCTCTCGCCGCAGCAAACCATCCGGGAATGGAATTTCAGGGGCTGACTGCTGCCACCATAACAACTTCATCTGGATGAAGTGGTTATGGTTCCCACACTGATCCTTGATGAAGTGGTTATGGTGCTCACTGAAGCAGTCACGTGGTTAATGGCTGGGAGTGCAGGGACCAGGGAGCCTTGAGGGCCTTTTCTCAGTTCGGGGCGGGGTTACAGAGTATGACACGCCCTTATTGAGGCCTGGGGGCGGGGTTAGGGAGCCTGGGGGCGGGGTTAGGGAGCCTGGGAGTGAGGTGAGAGTTGGGGGGCGGGGTTAGAGAGCTTCGTAGGCTATTAGTGGAGTCGTGGGCGGAATCGATCGCCACTTCCGGTTGAGGGCGGAGTTAGGGAAGCTGGTAGGTTATTATGGGAGTAGTGGGCGGGGTTATATGAGTAGTAGGCGGGGTTATAAGTCGCCTTTCCGGTTGAGGGCGGAGTTAGGGAAGCTGGTAGGTTATTATGGGAGTAGTGGGCGGGGTTATATGAGTAGTAGGCGGGGTTATAAGTCGCCTTTCCGGTTGAGGGCGGAGTTAGGGAAGCTGGTAGGTTATTATGGGAGTAGTGGGCGGGGTTATATGAGTAGTAGGCGGGGTTATAAGTCGCATTTCCGGTTGAGGGCGGAGTTAGGGAAGCTGGTAGGTTATAATGGGAGTGGCGGGCTGTTGGCGGTATCTCTGTACATAGCGCTGGGGTCTCGGTGCAGCGAGGTCGGTATTATTTCTCACACTGCTGGGGGCGGGGGGCAGGGTGTAACTGTCCGGCATGGAAGGGGTTAACCCAGAGGGCTGTGCAGGCCAGTGCTCCCCTGACAGTCTACCTGTGGCTGGTCTCCATGGAGACTGGCTGGCTGAGCATCATGGGTGGAGTCCCTGCTGCCTGGCTGCCTGTTTTCACTCTCTCACTGATAGATACACTGTCTCCATTAGTGTTTGTACACTGGGCCCCCCATTTAAAAGGGAGGTGGGGGGGGGGATTAGACATAAAATGTATCTTTATTGTGGAGGTCAGACAGTATACTAAGTTGTTCCACATATGATAAAGTTTTATAAGTTTAAAACTTTTTTGTCCAATCCAATGCTTCTCATAGAAGAGCTTTGGGGGCACAGTGTGCATGCGCGTCAGTCACTCAGCTTTGCAAATCGAATGCCTCTCACTGAGAAGCATTAAATCCAAGGATTTTCTATGAAGCGCCTTGGATGCGTTTGGCATCATGCTGCACCCAATTTTTTTTTTAATTGTGGTGCAGTGGGGACTGACTGTGGTTTGTATGTGGACTGATTTTGTGTATGTATATGGGTTTCTTGTAGTATTATTTATTTATTTTTTTTTTTTTTTGTGCGGTACAGCCTGCCTCTTCTGTTATGTTTGTGGGTTGTGTGCATGTGAGTTGCTTGTAGTATTTGGTGTGCGGTTATATGTATATTGTGTGTGTGTGTGTGTGTGTGTGTGTGTGTGGAGGGTTTCCGCATGGGTGGGTTCTCTACTAAAATAAACTTGTTGCAAACTTATTTCGTACCCCCCATCTTGCCTATTTTTTTTTGACCAGGGAGGGGACAGGAATCCTCATTCATTTCTGGAAGACCAGTGGTGGAACATGCAGTCTGTACCTGTGGCATATCCCTACTTGCTCTCACTCCATTCCGGGAGGGAGAGTTTCCTGTAGTGTCTGCACTTGCTGGAAGTAAAGAGTCCAGGACTCCTTTGTCTCTGGGCGGGCTAGGGAAACCCGCTGATTTCTCTATTTGGGCCAGCAGCCTCTCAAGCCATGTATAGACATTCCGCCTACTATTGAGTGCCGACACCTGCTGAAGTGAATGTCAGTTTGTTTTTTGTGCACTGGTAAACGGCAGTGTTTACATTTGTCCGAAATCATTCCTCTATCCCCTTAAGGACACAACTTTTCAGAAATAAAAGGGAATCATGGCGGAATATTTCCATCGTGTGTCCTTAAGGGGCTATTGCAGGAGCAGGCAACTTCTGTACTCTAAATTGTGAACTACATCTCCCATTATGCTCTTTATTATTATTTATATAGCGCCAGCAAATATGGTACTTTAATAATCAGCAAAAATGTCCTAATGCTGGCATAGCATCAGAGGAGATGTAGTCACTAGCATCCGGGATGCCAAATGTTGCCGATCCCTGCACTAGAGGATTGGTTTTGGAAAAATTCCTGTATTTGTGTTGTCAATTCCATTCCTGTCACCATAACCACAACAGTGGGCCATTGTAGTGAACCTATACTGACCCTTTAAAACCACATGTACGATAGCTACAACCTACACTTGCTCTGTAGTCAGTAGTACTCCTCTGAGGCCCACAATTTAAATTAATATTTTTGTTTTCTGTAACTTCTTCAATTGTAGATAATTGCATGCATTATATTTATTTCCTGCAGACTCTGAATAAGACACATTTGTTTTCTTCACTGGCACTTTGAGCAGTTCCTTTGGATACAATAACTATGACTCAGCCAAAAAAGAGGGGCCGTCCAAGCATGAATCGAGATGTATCCACGCTGCAGGTAAAGGCGTTTGAGTTTTAAACTGAATAAATGTGCGCTTTTGCAATAATGACACTACTTTCCTAGGGCAGAATTTTCATTACCCACCTGGAAAGAATCAGAGTTAAAAAGAATGTCTGGGTTACAGCTGTGTACCCCACATTGTATGTTTGGGAAAAGACCGAAAAAGTCTACCCAATATCTCTAATATTTTTCTTTTAATTCTTTAACTGCAAGTTTGAGGAACTTAAAAAAAAACAAAAAAAAAACCTAACAAGCATGATATTGTCTGTAACAGCACCTACATTTTTTTTTTTTTTTGTTACATGGAAAAGCCATTGATAGAAAATTGGAAAATTAAAGGGCAGCTAACGTCACTTAGACCACATCATTGCTGTTCTTGCAGGAAAGGAAATTGAAAAACTTTTTTTTTTGGGTTAAAAACACCTATTCGCTGTCATACTGACAGCCACTAAAGGCGCTTTCTCTGCACTGATATCATGTCACATGATAAAATCCAGGCCCACGCTCAGCTGACAATCTGTGCCAATGAGTATGTTTAGTAGTTTATCCCCAAGGAGTAGTTCCAGTCATCATATGATCACATCAGGATGATTGGAATAGCTCAAGAAATTGATAGCAGCCAGACGGATTTGATCAATTTATACACAGCGCTACTTCACTTTATAGTAGGTAGGTCAGTTTTTTTCTACTTTTATGAAAAGCAGCAGATTGCGGTAGATCCCCCAGAGATTGTAGAACTACAACTCCCATGATGCTTTGCATGTCTTTAGAATGACAACGCATCATGGAAGCTGTAGTTTTAAAACCTCTAGGCATTTACATTTTGGGCACCCCCTAGTCTGCATGCACAATATGGACAACTGACACTGGCAACAAAGAAACAAAGTATTCCAAGCTTTTTTTTGTTGATTGCTGCTGTTGTGAGTAGGCTCGGTGTACCATAACCACCATGCTGTTTCCAGTAAAGCAAAGTGCCTGTGGTGCTTTAGAGTAACCCTTGAAACACTGATCAGTTATATAGCGTGTAAAATTGCAAAATACTTTTACTCCAATCCTTGAATTTGACTTCGCTAAGCTAATGAATTGTAGGAATGATTTTTTGTGTGGTTTTTCTCTCTAGTGTTTGAGTCTCTGATATAGAACACATAGCTTTTGATACTATCCCTGTTGGTTCCCATGTTAATTGGGTGTGCTCAGAGCAGCCTGTGGTGAGTCCCCTCTCAGGCTGTTTATACCACACCCCAGAGAATCCAAATGCCGCTGCTTTCAGGAAGCATCAAAGTTGGTAGCTTTCCTGTCCTAGCTGACGGCATACATACCATCTCCATAAATATTAATTCTGAATTTCACTTTTTCATGTTTATTGTTGGTGAACCAGAAATTGCACATTTTTGGCCAAAATAGTTCCTGTGAATAGTTCTCCAACTCTAACTAATTCTTTGGTTGCTTTGTGTAATTTTGGATACAAATGATTATTCTTGTATTGTAATGATTTTCATTAACAGAACTCTCTTGTCACTGTAACCACTATAGTTTGCTTGGCTGCTGTAGTGAGGACAATATCAAGGCAGGAAGCCTTTGGTCTGTACCTCCAGTGGTTGTAGAGCACAGTAATCGTCATCTGAGGTGTGGCAGTCACTAGAGCGCGCCTCTGGGATTCCCAGCATGCATTCTGACTTAGAATGCATGAGAGTGATTACTATGGTCTGCACCTGTGGGTATGCTCCTAACCTGTACCATTAAGGGATCGCAACCCCCCTGCAGAAAGGTAATCAGGAGCTCAAACACATCACACATACGGCCAGTAAAATATAATGCACACACTCTACACACTGCCAGGAAATTACTTCAGAACATTGTAGTGGTTATGGTTCCTGGAGGTTCTCTTTAATTAAACTAGATGTGGTGGTTATGGTACTTTCATAAAATAAGCTCGCCTTATCACAGCTTCTCACGTTTAATTGTGGTTCTGCAAATGATCTATTTTTTTCTATGTATTTGAAATAAAACCTTGTATGTCAATTAAATGTATTATTCATATAGTAATGTTCCCTAGTGGCAATGACTGCCAACCAGTAATTTTGGTAATGTGTAGACTGTAGGGCCAGATGTTGTTTGTTAGGTATGTACTGCATTCTGCTCATAAATATATTTGAACAATGTTCTTGTCAATATCATGGTTAATGTCCGTGTGCCTTGAACAATGAAATTGTGCTTTTATTAATGGCTCGAGCCCAGCAAACAATTAGTAAGGACTAAATATAATGGCCAGCGGGTACAAGATAAGCCATTAGCAATATTTGCATTGACTCGTTCATTTTTGTTTTTTCATTAGGGTGACGATATGGAAGACGATTCTATCATTCAGACACAGACCCCATCACAGGTGCAGAAAAATCTGGACAGACATTCACCAGATCAACTCAATCTTAAGGTGATCTTTAGATGAGCCCCTTGGTGACCTATATATGGTGGTTGGGTAGATGAATTTTGTGTTCTTTCCAGAATATGGTAAAATTAAAAAGGCGTATGCTGATTGAAGTTGAATAATATTGTTTTCGTCATCATAATGTTTAAACTTTGCAATATAGTGATATCACACTGGTGCAATTCATTCATCACATACCAGCATTATTTGTGAAGTTTGTCTGACAGGCAGTTAGGTGATAAGACACAGAACTAATTGTTTATGTATATATGTATGTGTTGTATATTTAATCCAAGACTCCTAAAGTTGAGGACTTTTGGATTGTACATTGTTACTTGAGGGCCTGACACCACGAGGGGCCCTGGCAGCATGCACAGAGTGCCACCAGGTGCAGGGTCAGACCTCAACTTTGAGAACACAAACATCCTTTGATGGAGAGTGACCTAGACTTTATTTTGTGGTTACTGTGAGTTAACCGTGTCTGGTCAAATTTCACAGTTTCTTGTTTAAGTAGGACAAACGATGGCTTTGTTACCCCAGTACAGAGGGGACAGACCTGCTGCTCACTTTATAATGCAAAACCAAAGCACATCTGGTTACCTCCTATCATTATTCAGTTCCTGGAATTGAGAAGTCATCTGAGACCAACAGGACTGTTAATCGGTCTTAAAGAACACCTTTCATGTAGAGACCGCCAGTTTTCTGTACTAAACACAGCAGCCTTTAGAGCAGGCTTCCCCAAACTCTGGCCCTCCAGATGTTGCTGAACTATATCTCCCATGATTCTCAGCCCCCCGTCAATTTCATTCATAGAATCATGGGAGCTGTAGTTCAGCAACATCCGGAGGGCCGGAGTTTGGGGAAGCCTGCTTCAGAGTTTACACAAAGCATGAACCTAAAAAAAACTAAATGTTTTCTGTTTTTGTTTTTTTTTGTTTTTTTTTTTTTTCATTGCCATCTCTTGAATTTTAGGAGTCATGTGTTGGACCTGTTACAGCAATCCTTCAGTAGTGATGTTTTCTCTTAAAACAGTAGGCCAGATGAAGACCACATGGCTCTTTATTAAGGACAGTCAGGTTTATATGTCCTGTGTTACATCTTGCGGAGAAGAAAATCAAAAGGACATATGGTTGGCAGATGAGTGCCAAGATATTTTACATTGCTTACAATTGCTCCGCAAAACAAGTAGCCGATGACCATATAATTCAGGAATGCAGGAATTAAAAGTGACAGATCTGTGGTTTTAATAGAAAAACAAAGAAACCAGCATGGTGGGTCCACTGCCACTTCAAGCACCATAACCACTTAGTATTCCAGCTGACTGACAGTCCAGGGAAATAATTTCCCTGTGTGGCACTATTGGTTTTGTGCAACTTTTTTTGGCACTCATGTAAATGATATCCCATCAAAGTGTGTGCAAGAGTCTGCCTATCCCTGCTAGAGTTCATCTATAACGTTCTGTGAGTTGGACTGAGGTTGGTGGGAATTAGAATGCCTATCTGGTGTATTGTCATAGTGAGACAACTTATGTGGAATATAACTCCTGCCAGCCTCATCCAGTGGCTGGCTGAATCTGATACGAATTATAGTCCACAATAGCTTTATACAGCAAGTCGTTATTTTAATGCACAAGTAAATAATATTTGAAAATGGCATTTAACCAAGACTGACTTGAAGCATGAAACCAACCAAAAGCACGTTTTTGGGGCAAATAGATGCAAAGTCTGAGAGGTTTCCTGCATTTGTGTAGGTCGTAACCTTTAGGTCCTGCTATAGGTTCACTTTGGGACTTTCTGCCTGTTCTGTGAACTGTTTAGAAATACTTGAAAATGTTAAAGCATTGACATTGATTTATTTTTTCCATCCCATTATAGGTGGGAGAGGTAGTACAGTACCTGCTGATAAAAGATCAGAAGAAGTTGCCTATCAAGCGGGCGGGTGAGTTAGTATTCTTCACTGTGACTTGTATTTATTATTGACACCATTCATGTGGTGTTAAACCAAACCATTTAAAATAGCGCTCTTACTTTCCATGTTTTTTGTTTGTTTTTTATATTGGCATTTAACTCCCATTTTAATGCAATCTGTCCTTTCTTTACTTCACGTATAAGTGTCGAAATATTGCAAAATGTAGTGAAGAGTGGATTTTCAGTAAATTTCTCTTCTCCCAACCCCAAGTCTCTGCATTGAAGCAGATATGTCTTTTTGCAGTAATCTATACTTGAACAGAAAAAAAATTTTAACGCTGCATTGTCGCCTTCTGCTGAAGAGTATTTCATAAAGATATAATCTTTATGAAATACTAATCTTGTCTGTATTGGTATTTCAGTGAAAACAAGATGGCTGCGTCCGCGATGACGATCCCCAGTGGCGGTTTCACCATTGGGCGTCTTTGTGAATTTGGCAAAGTCCCCAGTCGGTGACAGTGCCCCTTCAAGAATGACTAAGACCATGTTTTTGAACATTTGCTTTCTAATAAACTGCAATAATTATATTTTTAAAAGGCAACTACACACAAAGTGGCTGTCCACTAGAGGGACTTCCGGGTCGTTGGGTGACTTCTAGTCGCCTGATGCTAGACATCCAGCATCACCCGAAAACCCATAGGAAAGCATTGTATAATGCCTTCCTATGGGGGGGGGGGAGGGGAAGAAGTCCTAATGCAATCCCGAATCAGTCTCGAGAGACATTGGCGCTGGATTCAGGTAAGTGACAGGAGATTTTAACTTTTTCTTGAGTGGGGGGAACTATAGTAAGCTATAGTGCCAGGTAAACAACTTTGGTTTCCTGGCACTATAATTTTCCTTTAATAAAGGTTGGAAGTGTGCCAATGTTAGTGTAAAATGTGATCCTTTTGTCTAAAGATGGAAGCACTCTTTTAAGGTTGGCAGAGTAGATGCTGGCTATGCAAGTTTGACCATTGAAGACGTGCAGTGGCTGCTTTATAACACAAATGGAATTGTAGATCCAGCCGTTCTATATTATATCCATAAACCATGTTCAGTGGAAAGACTTGTAATTGTCAATACTTTCCTTGTCTAGATATTGTAAAAAATGTATTGAAGGAATTCAAAGATGTATACCCAGAAATACTGCTCCGTGCCAAGAAGACTCTGTTGGAGGTGCGTTAACTGTTGGATATATTTAGTATTGTTTAAAGGGACGCGATAGTCCCCAAAACAAACAACTAAATTCTCTGCCATTTAGGAGTTAAATCACTTTTAGTGCAGTCATAGGCACACCTCCATGCTTGTGACTTACACAGTATTTCTAAACACTCCCTGTAGAGTCCTCTAACGTTTACACTTCCTTCATTGCAAATTATGTTTAATGTAGAATTTCTTATATATTGCATTAATAGCTTGCTAGCCCCTGCAGGAGCTTCCTGTATGTAATTAAAGTTCAATTTACAGAGCAGAAGATAAAAACATTTCAAGTAAGATACAGCTGATCAAAAGTTAAATCATTTTGTTTTTATTAAAATTAAATGTAGAAACAATTCAAGCATCTTCTTGCATTTATCAATTTCTTAATATACAGGTGTTTGGCTTTGAGCTGATGGAGGTTGACACAAAGATCCACATATACATTCTTGTCAACAAATTAGAGCGTGTAACTGGTGATCACATGAGAGTGTAAGTAGGTGATTTCAGATGAGAAAGATATCCGGTGCTTACAGATTTTGATCTTGTTTTAATCGATGATGCTGTGGTGACACTTTATTTTTTTTTTATTTTTTATTTTTTATTTTTTTTTTAGTATATAGGGGAGAGGGGCGGTGGTATGTCCCCACCAGCTTCTTTCACTGCTGTTTTACATTTGATAAACAAACATGTCTTTTCCAGCACCTTATGTCTTGTGCCTTTCTGCATCCCCGACTACTGCAAAAAAATAAAATAATTCCCTGTGTTCTGATCTTGTTCTGCTTCAGGTTTTGGACAGAGTAAGTGCATAGAGGCCAGTATTTGGGTGCTATAGAAGTCCATATAGTCAAATGGCTTGACAAAAAGCTGGGAGGGCTGACTTCACCAAAAGGCATGATATTCTGTACAGCAAGATGTAGTGGCTATAGTGCTTAGGCTTTTCCTTTAAGAACTTCCTGGCTTGGGCAGAGTGTATATTTACAGCAACATTTAAGGATCTTTTATTTATTTTTATCACATTACTTCTAATGTGTCAACTCCAGGCTAATGTCCTTTGAGCAAAATAATGTAGAGTATGTAGATCCACCATTGTCGATCGGTTAATCTGACATGCACAATGTTTAGCTCACGGTGAAGCAGGAAGAAAAAAATAAAATCTTTTTTCTCCTAGAGCTATTGGATATGGCATCGTTATATATTTAGAGATGGTTCCATTCTATGGTCTCTTCATTTGTAAAGACTATAAACAATTTCCATCATTATGAGTATAGCATTGTAAAGAACCGCTGCTTCCAAACCTTTCGAGTGATGTATTCATTCCACAACACAATCACTCTCGGTGGGTTTTATTCTGGAACTGCTTTGTTAGAGCATCCGAGAAATGTCTCCTCTAATTTAATGTACTGCTCACCAGGTAATTCAGAACTTCTTCCTTACAGGGACGACCATACGGCTAAGCTGGGTTTACTCACTGTTATTCTCAGTCTCATCTTTATGAAGGGGAACACCGCAAAGGAAAGTAAGTAATCAAAACCCTAGCAATCTAATCCAAACATAGATACATTTATCGTATGAATTTATCTGAAATGTTTATTTATCTTCCTGTTGTGTAAATATTGTATTTACGAATTTAGAGGAATATTGACCAAGCTGTGTCCAAAGCATGGAGGCCTACAGGTTTAATCGAATTGGTGTGAATTTCCCCCATAATGCCTTGTGGTTTATTTTGCAGCGGCTATCTGGGAGACACTGAGGCGTTTGCGCGTTGAACCTGGGTGAGCATATTTCTTTTCATAAATCTCCATTTTTGTATGCCTTCACAACCGGAATAGGTCCAGCATTTCATAGTGGTAAGAAGAGCATAGGTGTTGACTTTGGCATAGGAGACCACTTATTGTGGCAGTAGGTTCGTGGAATTAAGGGACACCAGGATTTATTTGGTTTTTCATGTGAAATGTGTTTACGTTCTCTTCAGCTATCTCACCATTGACTTTTTGTTAACCCCTTATTTTAATCAGGATTATTTTATTTCAAGGGAGAAACACCCTGATTTTGGCGATGTAAAGAAACTTGTAACTGACGAGTTTGTAAAGCAGAAGTAAGTATAGGATGTGCAGCACTGCTCTCCCACAAACCCCCTGCAGCGTCAGGATCTGCTTGGTGTGTTCAGAGCAGGCTGCGGAGAGAGTGCCCGGGCTGTTTACATCACACCATAGAGCACTGTGCAGCTGTGTCAATGTCAGTCGCTCTAATGAACGCTTGGATGACAAACTGCAAACAATGGTTCTCTTAACCCTTTAATTGCAAATCTGTTGCTTAAATTCTATTTGTAGCAGCTCATATTGACTGGCTTGGAATTTTCTTTCAATGCACCTGACAATGTAGGGTTTGATTTAAGTGTTAAAGATCACTTTTATTTTCTTCGATCTAGATACCTGGAGTATAACAAAATCCCACATACAGATCCTGTTGAGTATGAATTGCGCTGGGGGCCGAGGGCTTTTAAAGAAACCTCAAAAATGAAAATCCTGGAATTTGTCTCGAAGGTGAGTAATAATTTACTTGCACAACTAATTGGTAATAATAAACATGAGAATCCTTGTAGGTTGTTCACGATTTGGTCTGTATAAGAACCTGCACTGCCTTCCTCTGTATCTTTAATTGATCCCTGTGTAAGTAAATACCTTGTGCTAGTGGTAATAATGTATAAACCACACTGCGATCCAGGACCACCACTTAATAACTATCAATGCATTAATATTCTATACAAATGGCCAAGCACTGTTATTTTTTTTTACAAAATGCTCTAATTTCTTGTAAATTTTATATTAAATATTTGAAAAAGTATATTATAATCCAGTTCAGACAAGGCAAAGCCAGAGAAAACATTGCAAATGAAGAGAAGAAATATAAGCTCTGTAGTATGCTTGTTTTTTACAATGGTTAACAGGGAGCTAAGATGGAGGTGCCCAGTTGCATGATAGTGTGGATATCTAAATTTCATTTTTTATTTACACCTTACAAATACATATATACATTTCTCTATAATATGTAAGAAAACTGGGTTCCTCTCTTTAGCTCCCTTTTGGCAATGTTTATCAGCTTTATGATTTCTCTATGCTGACTGCTTCGTGCAAAAGACAGATTAGAAAAACATATTGTCAGGAAAACATATTCGTTTCCCGGCACTGCAGGACCCGGCCGTGCCCCTGTTCTCCTACTCTCCTCTCCTGGTGGGGGAGACCTAATGCACATCCGCACACGCGCATTAGACCTCCCCCTAGGAAAGAATTCTTCAATGCTTTCATATGGGGATTTCGGCAAGACTGGAGGTCCTCATATAGCGTGAGGACATCCAGCGACGTTTAAAACACTTTTCGTGTTCTAAGAACACGGAAGTCCCTCTAGTGGCTGTCTGATAGATGGCCGCAAGAGGAGGACTTAACCCTGCAAGAGTAATTATTGCAGATTTGATAAACAGCAATAATTACACTTGCAGGGTTAAGGGTGGTGGAAGTTGGCACCCAGACCACTCCAATGGGCAGAAGTGGTCTGGGTGCCTGTAGTGTCCCTTTAATTTCATTTGCGATGTTACCTTTGTTTGGACTGGCTTATGCTGTAAATTGCAAAATATTTAATAGAAAAAGCATCTTATTGGGGGGGAAAAAAGGTTATAGGTGACTGTCAATTGTTTATTCAATTATGTAATTTCTAGGGAAGAGACACTTTCCCCTTTAAAAACCATAACTGCAGCTCAGTGCAGTGATAATGGGAATGGAATGTCTTACACAAACAGGCGGTTGGCAAAGCCTGGGCGCACGAGCTCTGTGTTAATTATACCTACCTGAAAATGACCAGAGTAAATCTGAGATGGGTTTGTGAATGATTAGTTCTCTTTAATGACTTCCTCTTGCTCTCGCCAGAAACTTTATGCATCATTTGTATATTTTTTTTAAAATTTATTTCTAAGTGTGCAACAGCGCAGCCGACTATAGTAGTGTAAAAAAAATAAAATATTAAAATATTCCCTAAAATACTACAAAGTGCATATATTTTAACTGTTTGTTAGAGTGGGTTAAAAAATGCATCTTTATAACCTAGCCATTTCATTTAAACAAATGACTGGAAAATAAATCCCCCTAATTGTACCTTGCTCTTGTCTCTCCAGATTCAGCAAAAGGATCCCAAATCCTGGTCCACTCAGTACAGAGAAGCACAGGAACCTGCAGTGGCTCCGTCGCAGTCTGCTGGACGCTGAGTTGACTTATTCTCATAAACCCGTTGTTGGGTCTCTCTGAAGGCTGGGGTCAGGACCCCCATAATGTCTGGGTAGCTGAGTTTTCAATGTTTTCTATTGATCTCTACAGTTTTTAAAGTTAGACACTAGAACAGCTTGTTTCCTGTATAGTGAAGTAACATGCATCAACTGTTACATGTTTTTGCAGAACCTTTTAATTTGTACAACACTTAAAAAAAAATATATATTTTATTTACCCAAAACGTATCAGATAAATACATTTTGCCTCTACGATATATGGAGGCTCATGTTTTATTCTTGCTTCTGCTATACAATAATTCCTCGTGTCACTCTCCAGGAAGTGACGTTTCTATGTGCATGGCCGGATTGCCTAATTTGTTTTGTAGAGCCAGCCTACTGTGTGGTGATGTTTGGGGCCAAGACTGGATGGATTGTTAAGAGTCAGTTCTTTGTTAATTTAAGCAGGAAGAGAATAAAGTAATTATTTTTCTAAATTCTAGTTTTACTTTTGATTTTGTCTCTTGTATTTGACTTATTGCTTTTGTATACAGACCATACCTATGCCAGACCAGAGGGAGCTTCAAATCTTAGGTCAAAATAATCGATTTGGAAAAATTCAACTCCACTAGGTTTCCAAACGTTCTATTCCTTTTGCATTCCTGGCAATGTGTGTGGCTGAACTCCATGGCTTAAATAAAAACCTGTAAAAGTGCAACTCCATTAAAGAAGTCAAGGACTGAGAGCTACACATGGGTTTTACTTTCTAAACTCAAAAGTGAGAATTCATGGAAATGCAAACGGAGTTTCAAATTTAAGGCCAGAGTAGCTGGAAAGTTACATTTTTCCCAGTTTGGCTTATTTTGATCTTAAAAAGGACTATAGTTACCCAGCTCGTCATCTCCATGGATTAGGTGCAGGGTCCCTATCCTCTAAATGGACAACATTGACTTTTTTTTTTTTTTTTTTTAGAAGCTGCAATGTTTGCAGGTTTAGGTCCACCTCTAATGGTGGTCAGTATGATTTTATTATTTTATTTTTTTCACACCAGACTTTATCCTGTTTTGCAATTCAAATATAACTTGCTACGGGGAATGTAGTGAACAACTCTAAAAGTGAGCATGTGCCTGGTATATTTAAATATTTGTAATTTAGACCCATAATTAATAGAACAGATTGTTTTCCAACAATAACATCCATTTTTTTTGGCTTTAGATTGACTCCCTTTAGCTAAACTGCAGAGGAGTGCCTGCACAATCTAAAGGAACATTCCTCTGCACCCCCTACTGTTTCAAAGCTGTGAGCCAAGGCTGTGAGTGCAGGGCTTAGCTCAGGAGCTTCTGGCTCTCTATCAGATGTAATGGATGCAGAGAGCGGCACCCTGTGTACTTGAGGTAAGAAATCAAACCTTATACAATGGGGTATCCGCACGGTACTGTAATGTTATGGTGCTTAGTGTTCCTTTAATGAACAGCATTGTGGTTACAGCTTGTACCTTATTTGAAAGCTTACTCTTAGGCCATGGATTCATGTTGAAGGACCACTTCATAAGTAACGTGCATTAGTGCTTTATGGATGTAGTATCCCATCTTAATAGAATTTTATTAAAAAAAGTGTCTGCATTAATGTGAAACATGCATTTTTTTTTTTTTTTTTAATATAAATTCCTCCCTCTTTGTAAGCTGTTTAGATATAACCAATGAAAAGCATGCATGCTTTTCATTGGTTATATCTAAATTCTAAGCGTTCCTTTAAGCTAGTCTCCATCCAGTGGCACACCAGATGTTCGGTGTAATGGTGATCCTGTTCTCAGCTAAATATCACAGGAAATGCAGTCTAAAAAATCACATGCCAAAGATTAAAGCATGTTCATATGCAGTTTGGAATTGTGGTTTATACTGTGTATGTTTCAGAAGATGCAAATCTGGCATACCTGCTGTAGCTTAAAGCAAGAGTTCAGTCCACAAGCTAGATAGTAATACTGGTGGACCGGTATGGAAGTGCCAGTTAGTATTTATACTGAAACGACCATGAATACATAAGCTGTGCATGCACATAGAACGTCAAGACTGCATTGTGTCGAATTCTGTAAACATGCAATGCTAGTGGAGGGCTCACTATTTTGCAACTGCAGAGCATCCTTCTGTCTTATCAAATACTGTGCAGGTAATGTGTTGCATGTCATTTGTTCCTTAGGGTACCAAAGGGGGGGAGGAGGAAAGAGAATTAATGGTTGCTGCCATTTTTTTTCCCTCTGCAACCAAGAAGCTCAAATATACAACTGCACCAATGCATTTTAAAACAATCAAATGCATCAGTGCAGTTGTATATTTGAGATTTTAAATTTCCTAGTTACTTTCCCTTATTCTGTTTTTGGATTCTTGGTAACCCAAAGGGAAGATTCAGTATCCAGCACGCTGGAGCACTCTACTTTTGGTGCCAGTACTGGATCTCAACCTTATTTATTCTGAGGCGCTTAATCTGAGCCCACTTTAGCAGGCTCTACCATGTGAGTGAGACCAATTTATATTTATATATTTTTATTGTACATACAGATCACTATGGTCTACCATTTGTCTAGGTTTCTAACTATTTATGGTAATATTGCATGTGTGTTTTATGTACACCACTAGTTTTGACACTTTGTATTTTTAATTCACTATTCTTGTGAGGTTTGGGTGACCTATACCAGCTGACTTTAGCATTTTGTACTTTTTAACCCTTTGTTAGTATTTAGCTAGGATATTTGATAAACTTTTTTTTTACAGCATAGGATTATGGAAGCTACTCTAGAACAGGCTCTGCACAAAACTCCATGTGCAGGGCTAGATTAAGGGCCCGAGTGGTAAGGAATTTTAGTGTTTCATCAATGTCCAGTGAAGCATAGATGATTTCAGTGGGTGGGGTAGGAGAGTGGGCCACTGACACAAATCATGTAACCAGAACCGCCCAAAGGGGCAAACATAACTAAACAAAGTTATTTCTGCCTGAGGAATTAAGTCAGCCTGGCATGAACACGTCAGGCTGCAAGTCATGCAGGCTGGCCAACCAAGGGCTACTATGCTGACTGCAAACTCAGCTTGGCATAAATGCATCTAATGATGCACTTGCTCCACACTTTCTAAAGGACTGTCCCCTAGCACTCACATGTCTCCTCATCTAACCTTACTAGCAGGCAGAAGCTCCTGTTACACTTTTCTTCTGTCCCAGACTGTATGTAGAAGAACATACCACAGTGTTACACCAGAACAGCAAGAGGGTTTGCAGAGTGCGCAAAGTCAGCTTTACCTTTAACTAACTTGTCAGGTAGTCCATGCAAATTTTGTTTCCTCTACATCCACATGTGAAAAGTTCCCCCTGTTAAAAGGGTCAGCAAGCAATGGAGTGGCAGCTCCATCTAAATCTGGCCCTGTCAATGTTCAGAGGTATGGGCTTAGAGATTGAACACTTGCCCTGCAAGGACAGCTGGTGTCCTTGGTACCTAGAGGCCAAGAGCTGTGGAAAAATAGTACGGTTTAGGTTTGTCATTCTGAGAGCTGGAAGAGGTATATTCTGAAGATTCCCTCTTCTCCCACCCCCTCCCCCCAATTTGAAGGCATGGACTGCTTGTTCTTCAGCAGACATACACCCCCCCACCACACACGTGGGAAAAATATAACCACATTACAAGGGAGACCCAGATAAGTTTGGTTTGTTTTTTTTTAAATAAGTTGGTTTGATGAAAGCTGGCCACTTTATATTTAAGGGACCTATAAAGTCACCCAGACCACTCTTAATGAAGCATGGGAGGGGGGTAATTCCCAAAATAGACCTTTCTAGCACATTCTTGCTAGGTTGTCATTGGTCAGATGACTTTACAGCCATTTATGCCAACAGGAGGGCTGCGTAGGACAAGGCTCTCTTTCCATTTTTTGGTTTGGATTTATTAGGCCTGGCAGTAGCTGACAAAGACTGACCTCACTTCTGCAAGTAAACTGCACTGGTTATGGTACCAGTGGCAGATTGTCCCATCCTTTCCAAAAATATTGGATTCCTATAAATTTTGTTTCATGATCTGGATAACTGCCATGTGAACATAAGTTTCTAGGCTTGAACAGCAATATTAAAACTGGTATGTCTCAACTACAAGCAAGTGACATTCTAAATTTAAAAAAAAAACCACGTATTCCTGACCCTAGTGTTAAAACCACCATTTAGGTTGCTTGCCACCACATCTGATCCACCTCTTTAACAGTTTGATTTTTCCATAGGGAAAGCATTGGATTGGCTGAAGTCGGCATGGAGGTGGGATGAGGTCAGGCTAAAGGCTATTTAGTCCAATCACCACTTCCTCAGAGATGCATTGATTTAATGCATCTGAAATAATTTCAGCGTCTCCATGAACAGCAGCACTGACCCAGCCGCCAGGAAGCCCCTCCAGTAGCCACAGGTGTCTAGTGGGCAATGTAAACACTGCCTTCTCTGAAAAGACAGTGTGCATGAAAACACCTGAAAGAAATTCTACTCTCCAGAACTAGATTAAGTTGTAGTTCTGATGACTATAGCGACCCTTTGTCATGAAAAGTCTAGGGCAGTTGGCAGGAATATTCCTCCTAATCAAAGACTTTGCATTCCTTCCCATCACAAATAGAGATCTACAAGTGCGTCCTTTTAAAATGGTTACCCTTGAAATGTTTAGCATAAGAGGTCACATGTAATATAGTTCTCTTCTACACATACACTGTTAAGGAGTGGGCTAAACACCTTTAGTTTGCCGACATGCTTTGTATGAAAAGTCATTTTACAAGGAGTGCAGATTAACAAGTTAACTCAAGAGAACTGCATTTTTTCAAGCAGTTTTAGGATATCCCAATGAAGATCGAAACCCCCTCAAAGAAAGAAAACAAACCACATTCATTGGGAGTGTTCCATTGGAATGTTTAATCTTGTCCAATGGGACAGCCATCTTTTCAAGTGATTTGGTCAGAAGTACCACTCATCCGTCCAGAGACCATGCAGGTACAAGCTTGTTTGTATGAAACCAGCTCACAAGTTCAGGAAAAGCAAGAATTCACAAGTTTAGTGTGGTCTTTGAAAATAAATTCTTTGGTTTAAAATTGGCTGCACCCACTGCGCAAGAGTAATTGAGGATTGATGCAGACTTCCATGTTCCAATGGGTTGGATATTTCCAGCTTATGAATAACCAGTGATAACAGATTGACACAGAGACAGATTCTTGCAAACACCCCTGTTTAATGCAGATAAAATAGGTGTTTGCAGGCATTTGAACTTGTCATGATTGCTCCAGTTACTCTTCCTTCAGGTTACTGACCAGATTAAAAACAAAACTACCGTAAGTAAAAAAAATTCACACATTGCAGTTTAAAAAAAAAAAAACCAAAAAACAGTCCAGTTAAAAGTGTTCAGGTACAGTACGTAGTGCATCTTCTGGGTCTCGTGACACTTCCACATTCTGAAAAGCCAAACATGAGATTAGTCAGTATTTTCTGAGAACTTCAATCATGAGAAGTCACAATTGGCAAAGTAGGAATCGGCTGTCTACAGTACTATAAACATAGGATGTTTGGGTAAGCCTTGAATTGGATTTGCCAGTGTCTGAATAGATTTAGCAATCTGGCCAGTGTGGTGGTCCAAGATCAGAACGTTCCGGTCTATTGCACAAGGCAGTGGATCTGTGCATGTCAGCTAGTTTTGAACAACTTTCTGCATCAAATGCCCATTAATCTGGGCTCAAAACCAAACCTGATTCACAGGCAATCCTTATGATTCGCCCACACCAACCTCTTTGGCGCCCAGTTTTCCCATTAAAGACTTTGAAACTATTGGCAAATAAGAGCATGCGCACAAATTAAAAAGGGATTAGAGACCAATAGAAGTTTGAAACTTTAAACATGCAAGTGAAGGTGAAGCCAAAAACAAAATGAAAGACTAGTTGTGTAGTACAAATAAAGCGGCATGCACACCTGGCGCAAAAAAAAAATACATTTGTACCCTAGACATATCCTCAAGATGGGTCACCACATGCCAGTAAACAGAATCCCACACATCATACATTACAGGGCATATAACTGCCAATCTCACTTAGCGGTCTTAACCTATTAAAACAAAAAAAACATTCCACATGTTTATATAATGCTGACGTGTACACCTTTTTTTATGTGGTTATTGGGTGTCGCTTAGACACTACAGTATTCTTTGTGATGTTCACTTGCAGAATGATAAATTAAAAATATATCAAGTGCAGCCACTCATGACATTTAAGGTTTTACTGCAGCCTGATATTGTGCATTGTTTCGCACACCCCCAAAATAAAAAAAACAGCATGCTTATTTACAGAACCATGCAATGTGTTGCCCTACTGGAAGACAATTATTCCTCATTCAAACAGTGAATTGACAGCCACATTGCAACAGCCTCTGAAAGAAGTTATGCACGGGAAATTAAAAATATATGGGTATACCAGGCACTGGTTGGAGTTTCCTGAAATTTGGGCACCTATTAAAACCAGTAGAAGAGAATGGTCACTGTAGTATACAGTTTGTACCACTGTCAAGGGGTAAATGTAATACACAATTTGACCAGGAGGAGCTGCTTCTACCCAGTAAAGGCATCTCCTGTCTGGCATAATGCATTGGACACTCCATAGAATGCCGTATCAGAGTAGTATGCACTTTAGATTACAGTAGGAACATTGATTGCTTAATGCAAGGGTCTACTTTCTGGCTTGGAACACCATTGCCAAAGAGGCCATGATGGATAGTTAGGAGGAAAACAGATACTGGTGATAAGATGGTAGAATGGTTTTGTTTACAAACTTTGGAGCTGTGCAGCTGAAGACTGTCACAGTACGGCAGCCATTCGTAAAGGGTTGTGCTGAAAGACTAGCGTGTTCCTCAATACAAGAAGGTAGATTAAAAAAAAAATAAAAAAAATAGTGGGTTAGTGAGGCCAAGCTGTGGGTTGAAATTTGACAAGAAGGCAACTTAAACCTATTCGAGGTTACAATGCAAGCCATTAGTTGGTGACACCACGCCGGCATGCTCAGTCCTGCTGGTGCATGTGAGTGTTTCAGACCCCAATTACCTGCAGGCACTGGGACTCTACCACACCCAGATCCTTCAAACAGGGTGATTTGGTGGGCTTTGGGCTGGCTAAGGGTACAGCACGATAGTGACGATACAGTGGTGCCTGGCTGGGCTTTCTGGATAGATGCTAAAAGCAGGAGCAATAGTGAAATATATGGCAGGATACAGAAGCCCTATACATTGCACAGGCCAGCCATCTCAGTCAAGTAAAGACAAGAGCTACTGCATGGAGATCGGCAAGACAATGTGCAGCAGATATCACGAACCAGGTCTACTGCACAGTGTAATTCAAGATGGCTGCACACCATAACTAGATGCACGATGTCTCCCAAAAACAGAACCATGGCTGAGACCAGCGTTTACTCACCAAAGGCCTCTCCCTATGGGTGTTCACAGCTTCTATATTCAGGTAAATGGATTCCACTTTACAGCCTAGATTCAGAGAATGCATGGGATTAGTCTGAATGGATTATCCACAACCAGTTTAAACACAAAGCCTAGATAAGGTGCCAGCTATGCACTCATTATGCAGCACGGTACCAGTCGGAGAGCACTCAAATGGTTTTACTTAAATAATAAGCACGCCATTTCTGGGTGCAAGATGCCCCATATGAGAAACTTTTTTAGTTTCCATGCCAACTGCTCCTTATTAAAAGGCTCTCTGCTAAGGATACTAGGAAAGAAATCTATTTTGAGTTCTCCCATTTTATGCTGTGGGCTTAACGTTTGTGTCCAGCAGTTAAAAGCAGGAAGGATAGGTTTTCATGAATTCCCATTCTAGATATTCATTTCACTACGGCTACAAACCATTTTGCTTGTGGAGCCATCAATACTTTTGGGAGTTTACTTTGGTTTCTCTAAACTGAATTTAGACTTAAAGTTTCCAAAGGATCCCGAAACATTACTTTAGGTCATCTTATTTGATTGTCACAGACCATTGTCACCATTTGCCAATTGAATTTCAGCAGTTCACTTGGATTCCCAATTGGCAGTTCCCCCCCCTCAGACTTGCTGTAAGACCAGGACATTGTGCAATAGCAGACATTAAAGTCTACAAGTTCTAGAACTTTCACAGTAGCATTTTACAATCTGCAGCGTCAGAATACGCCTATAAGCAAGTCATTACAAACCCATTAGAGTTCATGCCATGCTCTTAAACTGCAAATCAGAGGGGGCGGGAGGGGGTCAGAATAGAAGTTAAAATCTAGAAATCCAAATTCACCTATTCTGGGTCTACCATTGGGCATCCCTGATCTAGATCTTAAGGAAAGGACTACTGGAAGCAGCTGGGAAGATAGTTCTACAGAGGTAGATTTTAGAATCCATTTATTTACATTGTGTATTTTAGATAAGCAGCATGCATTTTCCATTGTCATAGAATATATCAATAATTGATCTCAACAGCAGGTAGATCAATCCAAATTACACAACAGATCATAAGGCAGGCTAATAAAACAGTCAGCTAAACCCAGTTATCTGATAAATTAATGGGATATTATGCATCAACTCATTGGGTGGTGTTTTCTTAGACGAATAGCTGCATTGGAACATTTCATTTTCTGATCCTGGAATAAAACAAGTACCCAAGAAAACTATTAACACCACTCACCATAAGCCACAGGGGTCAGTTTCAACACCGTGTGCAAGGGGCATTTCAAATAGGGCAGTTCTTCTGGAGGAAAGACACAGAAATTAGTCTATTTAGACAGACAAGATAAAACATCCCACACTGGAATACAAGGGGAATTCTAAATTTGACCAAATTTTTTATTTTATTTTATTTTTTAAACCACACTTAAAGGGAACCTATAGTACCAAAGAGACTTTCCCATGTATTCAGACCCCCTCTTCACATTAAAAAACAAAACAAAAATGTGATTAAAATACAGGTCAGTGATACAAATACATGTGTTTAAGATAATGTTAACAGATTAACTTGTGAAGTGTCTGGTTAAAGTGTGTGGTCACCTGCACTCTTGTCCAGAAAGTAGGCCAGGAGACATCGCATGACAGCTTGGTGACATACCACTAGGACATTTTCTTGACGTTCCAACTCCATCATCACTGGCTCCAGTCTCTGTACCAAGTCTTCATAGGACTAAAGGAAGATTCACATAAGCATCATCATAGCAAATTGTTCTCTTAAATGGGACACTCTAGGCACCCAGACAACTTCTGCCCATTGGAGTAGTCTGGGTGCCAACTCCCACTACTTTTAACCATGCAACTGTAATTATTGCAGTTTTTTTTTTTTTTTAATAAACTGCAATAATTACTTTGCAGGGTTAACGCCACCTCTAGTGGCTGTCTATTAGACAGCCACTAGAGGGCACTTCTTGCTCTATAGCACAGAAAACCTGTGCTAGAGCATCGCTGGACGTCCTTACGTTGTGTGAGGACCTCCAGCGTCGCTCAGTTCCCCATAGGAAAGCACTGAAAATCATTAGGTCACCCGGCCTAACGCATGCACATTAGGTCTCCCCGACCGGTGGGCGGTATACGTCTTGCCCACCGGCCGACGTAACGACTGGGAGGAGCGGCGGCGAGAAGAAACCACTGCCGAGGGACATCGGCAGTGTTTCAGGTAAGTGACCTGAAGGGGTTTTCACCCCTTCAGCTACCACAGATTGGGAGGGAGAGGGGACCTGCAGTGCCAGGAAAACTGCTTGTTTTCCTGGCACTGGAGTTTCCCTTTAAGTCAGAGCAACACATCTTGGAGTATTTGTACCTGGCAAACCAGCTTGAATGGATGGCTTTTCCGACCACAACCAGGATTTGTGCCAATATGAATTTGTTCCTTTCTTTGCATTATCAAGTTGGAATGGTTTGCCAGCATTTGCTAGCCATGCATCGAACTTTACTAGTTCTAGAACACAGGCAATCACAATACAACACGCAGAATCCTGAGCACATGGTCAATATGGGAGTGTTCGGCATCCTTTGGCACTCCAGATTATATCTCCCCTGATGCTTTGTCAGGATTGTGGGAAACGTAATCTGACATCTGGAGTGCCTAAGGTTGCCTATCCCTGCACTAGACCCCCACTTGGTTACAGTGATTTAAGTGGAGTTAATCAAGGGGTAATGTTTGGGGAGGTTAACGCAAGTCACTTAGACATGGCTGGGGAAGTGCACCTTTGGCACTTTGTAGCAATACAGTGGAGTTCTTCCCGGCTAGGAACATAGGACATACAGATGTACCATTACACTCCTGGTGTTCTGCGAGCCATGGAGCTCTTAGGGTTTAGTCACTCCAGAGTTTTTTTTTTTTTTTAACCCAATTCCAAAGCCTACTAATGGTTACCAAGTACTTGCCTCTCCCTTTGGATATCGATAACGGTATTTGTCCTGATCTCTCAGTGCAAATTCTTCAGGGTAATTCACTTGTATCTCTTCATACATCATCTCTTCACAGACTCCCTACAAAAGACGTTCACATTAAAAAATAAAAAAAGCTTCAGGAAACTCCAGTTAAAGTTAGGTGTTAACTTTGAACACAATGTAGTTTGAAATTTGATGGCAACGTGTAGAAAAAGAAAATATATATAAAACAAACATAAAAAACACACTAGCTATTAAAGCCAATCCGGCTTTATAGCCAAGGCCTCTCTTTAGGGATAAGATGGACCAGCTAGGCGTCTACAGAGAAAAAAAAAGTTACAAGGACAGTCCTCTACCCACCGCATCAATTTCATTTAGTGCCTTCCACTGCTCATAGGGGACACCCAGCGCTTCAGCCGTTTGGATGGTACGTTTCATGTGACTGGTCCACACTTTCAGGTCTGGAATCTTCTGAGACTTTACAAAGTTACCCAGTGCAATTGAAAACTGCAGATGAAAGTTAAAGGTTAAAGTGTTAACTGTGGTTTGACTGCAGCAGCTCTAGAGGTACAGATGTTGTGCAGCAGATGAGTGTATTTGAAGTTCTACAATATGGCTTTGCAGCTCATACAGATATTGGGTTATGTGGGGTGCACTAAACTTACAATAGGAGAAAAGTCAGTAATGTCTTTACAAGGAATTACAGACTAGTTGTCAATCAAGATCTAGCCATCACATGAGAGTGACTGCTGGGTCTGAACACTGAATGAACGAGACTTTGAAGTGTAGGTTACACATTTAGCTATGCTTTAACCAATTGTTGATACTTTTAGGCTAGCCTTGACCAATCTTCTATAGAGCTTGTGTCGAAAGCGACCCCGCCACTGGTTTTTGGAGGGGACTGATTGCCAGCCTCATGCCTTGGGACTATAGCCACTGGGAGATATGGCCCTTTAAGAACAGCATTTGGGTTTATGGACTTATATTGGACCGTTCTGGCCCTTTAATAACCATCTGGGGACAAAGACTTTGTGTGACAATGCCCCCAGACCTTTAAAATCCTTTGTGCTGGGAGAGGTAAATTGCCCACCGCTGGGTGGCCGCCGTTCGTGCAAACACGTGGCAGCGGCCGGCATCTTTATTCATTCGCACACGGTCAGCAGTGTGTGCAGCCAAATTCATGGAACTGAAATCGGCTGCACATTTCAACGAACACTGCTGACCCTTACCTTCTCCTCCACTGAGTTTTCAGCCACAGAGACTAAATCCCGTTCGGCTATTTAAACTCCCTGCTATACCAAGCTAAACGCACGAACGGGGCCGTTCGTGCATTCTAATGGGACTTCGTCATTTTATCAGTGTGAAATTGACCGACCGCACAGCCCAAATCTATGGAACTGTTTTGGGCATGAAAATGTGCCTGTGATAATTACTTTAACCCATTGTGTACAGTAATTATATCACAGGCAGAAGGGAGGATGTGTGTGTAATTGCTGGGAGTGTTTTACTGTAATGGACGTGTTTGATTGGTTGTTCGTCAAAACCCTGTGGGCGTAACTAGGTTTGTAAAATGGGCACAAAATCAGAGTGTTTCATTAAAGCTTGAGTTCTACTTCACCCTCAATTTGAAGTGCCGTCTCCTTTTCGGAGAATCTACTACAAGGGATTGCAATGCTAGTCATATTCTCTTGCTATATCACTAAGCAATAGTAAGAGCTTGCTCCGGTCTTGCACTCTGAAGGAGTCTACAGTGGTTATGGTGTCAGCTGGAGTACTTTGAGACCTCAGGAAGCGATAGGAGCATCCTTAAACGGAGGTACCCAGTCCGGGTGCCAGGTGATCCGTTACAGAGCTGTTTGGAGATGCCCCTGGATATAAAATCTGGCTACAGGACCAGCTAGAAGTAGGTGGGAATATCAACAAATCTGTCAGATAAAGCCAGTTCTTAAAAAGTTGACTGTGCAAGTTTTAGATGTCTGGCCATTCATGAAGTGGTTATAAAGTCAGCCCAAGCTATGGGAGTGAGTTCAACACCACAAATCAGACTGTAGTCTGAAACCATGACGAGTGTGAAAAGTGGGGCAAAGAAACTCCTTGGACAAAAATTTACATGGGTCACCAGATAATGCTTGTGACTGACTACTTTGGCGATATCAGCCTCACCTGCTTGCCACGCTGTGAGAGTCCAGAGTCCCCCCCAATTCTTCCCAGGAGGTTGAGCTCACTCTCCCCATGTCTGCACAGATAGATGGAACGCGGGGTGACGTGTATATTCATGAGGTAGTACACAGTACGGCTCTGCACGTGGTCCTGTACTTTGTTTACTAGGTATCGGTTCCCGACGTCAAATATTTTAATGTAAGACAGAGCCCTGGAACATAGAAGCAGACAGGTAAGGGACCTTTGTCTTTACAGTAGTTGAGTCTAGGCAAATACTGTCCTAACAAACACGTTACCGCTATAAAAAATAAAAAATAAATAAATAAATAAATAAATAAAACACCCCACACACCAAACACCAAACCTAACAATATGATTGCTATAACTGTCAAACAGCTGCAACATTTAAGAACAATTTTAAAAAAGCCCTTTGGGTTGGGTCAAAATGTTGCCAGTTCTGTACAGGTGGAATAAATCTTTTCGTGTAGTGGCTTTTTTTTTTATACCTTTTTGCGAGGTGATTGGGAAACCTTGGAGATTTGCACACATATCTTAAGTGGATGTTGGCCTTCCCAGTTTGATTTGTATATTGCATAGAGAGTCACAGCCCTTTTGTAGACAAGACATAACTCCACTGTATTGCTATAAAATAGACCAATGTTTTTTCATCAGGATCTTAACCATGGGTCAACTAGTACACCAGTAATGTGGGGGGTGGGGTCTGCATAGTCATTATCTGTAGCATGGTCGAGCAGGATGAGGGCTGAGGATCTTTAGAGTCCTCTAGGGCAGATGTAAACAACCTTTGGCACTCAAGATGTTGGGCTACATTTCCCATGCTGCACCAACAGCAATAATTCTGGCAGCGCATCAGGTGAGGTCTAGTACAAGACATCTGGAGTTCTGAAGGTTTTGTACCACTGCTCATTGGTGTATAAAAAAATAAATAAAAAAAAATTCTATTAAAACTACCAGTTTCAATACAAGATATGGCCAGAGTTTGTAAACAGATTTATCAGCAAGGTAAATATGTGGAGGCAGTTAGGGATTTTTGCTACCAATCCTCTAATCTCAGATAAATCCAAAGAAGTCTTGAGGTCTACAGTCCTTTTAGCCCCGAGGAATGGCATGTAGGTACGCTTTGTTTGCAGGGTCCATAGATTAAATAAGACTGAACAAATGGTCCCCAGGTCAGCCTTTTCTGAAAGGAGCATGGTCTTATTATCTGGAGCAGAAGAGGTTAAGACTGGACACTTTTGTAACATTGAAACGCAAGGTTTTACTCCCATTCAGAATACGGACTTAAAGGAGCACTATAGGGTCAGGAAAAGCCAAACGTATTCCTAAACCCTACAGGGTTAAAAAACACCATCTAGCCACCCTGGTCCCCTCACGCCTCCCTAAATATAGAAATCTTATTTTCACCCAAGTCTGGAGCTGCTTGCATTGTCCTGGTTTCCTATAGACCTGGCCATTGACTCCTGACACCAGAAGTCGTGGCCTGATCCAATCACAGTGCTTCCCCATAGGATTGGCTGAGACTGACAAAGAGGCAGATCGGGGCAGAGCCAGCATGATTTAAACACAGCCCTGGCCAATCAGCATATCCTCAGAGATGAATTGAATCAATGTATCTCTATGAGGAAAGTTCAGTGTCTGCATGCAGAGGGAGGAGACACTGAATGTTTGGGTGCATTTTATGCAGCCATGACCCAGGAAGGATCTCTAACAGCCATCTGAGGAGTGGCCAGTGAAGTTATCACTAGGCTGTAATGTAAACACTGCATTTTCTCTGAAAAGGCAATGTTTACAGCAAAAAGCCTGAAGGTAAGGATTCTACTCACAAGAACAAGTTCAATAAGCTGTTCTGTGACTATATAGTGTCCCTTTATTGAATCTTTCTTTTTTTTTTCCAATTTATAATCTTTATTCGGAGATATCAGCTCCACTTTTTTTTTAACACAATAGAGTTGACAAAAAAAAAAGAAGATACAATTAACAGAACATCCCATATATAACATGTACAGTAAGACACACATATCGGTAAACATTACTTTTACCCACATAGGCATGAAGTGGTATAGTTACATTTAGTAAAATCCCTATGTTGTTTAAAGATCTCACTGTAAACAACTCACATACAAAAAGGACATAACAAGACAAAACATCAAATGGTCATATGTGGTCACACTTAATATAGTGTCAATCTCAACTTAGGCCCAGAGAGATTCAGGACATCTATCTATAAGTCAGCAACAGCCTCTAACTTCACCAACCAGGAGTTATAACGTTCCTGGTATTTTATATTTAACCCAGCTTCCATTTTCAGTTGATATTTAATTTGTTCCTTAACTGCTGGCCAGGAGGGCACCAACTCCATTTTCCACTACCTTGCGATAGAAAGTTTCTCGGCTAAAAGTATATGAATCTTTCTATTAGTCTCTAAACCAGAGCTAGAATTGTCTTTAACAGATTTATGGCAGAAAGACTAATGGCTCTAGCAGTGTAATCAGAATTAAAAAGGGAGGGGGAGGAACCCATATCAGCCAGGAGCAATACAGTGCTTTCAGATCTATACTGATTAGTTTGAGTAATGTTCAACCTTTATGCATCAATATTAATAGTACAATGTTGCCGCGAGCACTTTGATACAAGCTAGGAAAGCTCATTGTAACCAAGCAGAATCTACATTACTCAAATCGTGATCTGGAGAGCTGGTTAGGACAGTGTTTATTCAACAGCAGTACGAGTAGTATACTCAACACAATAGGTAAAAAAAAAAACAAAAAAAAAACACACAACTAAAAAAAAACAAAAAACTGTCGAATATCCAACAACATTAAATGTCAGTAAGCACCACCAAACTCAGAAATTGACTACTGGTGCAAAACTATTAAAATCAAAATGTTAGTCCAAGTGGTTTTGGCGTAGCAATCATGCCCATGCAGTCTCACTGCCAAATTCTCTGCCATTTAGGTGGTCACACAACACAAGATTTTCAACTTAAAGTAATTCAAACAATGAAAGAGGTTTCAAAGTATGCATTTTGGTAATTGGTAAAAACAGAGTCCAGACTTTAATAACATTCCAGATTAGATGGTATTTTAGGATTTTATTAATTCGGTCCAGAGCCCTTGCTCAAAATAAAATCTCACACACACACAATTATCCGGTCAACGCAAGTAATATCTAAACAGATCAATAGTCTGATATAATCACACATCGTAGCAACTTACGCTTTACTTTGAGTCTAGTGATCCAGAACGCAGTCTTGCTTTGCATCCAGTATCGGATGAGGCGTGAAAGGTTATGGAATTAGATGCAGGAGCAGGGAAATATAACAAGGAGGGGGATTAACTCATCCCCCATCCTTTATAATCCAGCCCTAGCTGGCTAGCGGCCAGTTCTTAACCTGGAATGAGTAGCTCTTGTACTGCTGGGTGGGGGGAAATTAAATGACAGCTATTTGCAAACATGTTACCATCATTGGAATGGTGAGAGGTTTATTAACTCAGCTGATAAACACAAGCTATTTACTAAAGTGATAGGGAGATTCTCAAAGTAAAGTGTCCTGTGATGCATGGACTGTGAATACAAACAAAGTGACCCAGTCATTTAGAGGATTGTGTAAACACTGGATACCTTGAGATAATCTAACTGCCAAACAAGGCAAGTCCATCAGTTTATGCAAACTAGTTCTCATGTACGGAATTACCTTGTACAGAATATAATTTTTTTATTTATTTTTTTTAAATAGTAAAAAAAGTACCCTGCATGATTGATGTTGCCATGCTAAAATTGTTTTTCCAATACTGTGTTTTAAAACAAGTTTAAAAAGTGCAAGTCTTAACTTCTACAACTCTGGATGTTTGATACCTGTCGTGTTCCTCATGTAGAGGCTCGTAAGTGATCTGATAACAGTCAATCCTCTTCAGAAAGTCTTCCACCACTTTCTCGCGATCACAGTCCTTATAGTCAGGGCTGGACAGTTTCACTTGCTGTGGGGGATGATACACCTTTAGAGACTTAAAATATGTCACACACAGCAACAAGAAACTCATGGTTTCCAAAAATCCTTACCATGATATTTTCAGCAATTATACCAGGGTCATCACATACAGACTCGATGAAAAATACCTTTGTAATAAACAAAAAAAAAAAAAAACAAGTGTTTATGGAAGAAGGCCCGAGAAGAGTAAGAAGCAGCATGTTTTAGCCATTTTCCCCCCCAAGCACTACCCTTATTACCAGACAGTATATATCGATACCTTGAATCCATTCTCCCGAGCAAACTGCAGAATCATAGATCGTCTCTCTCTTGTGGTGTTTGTGGCATCAAACACCTGCAATGGAGGAAGATAAAATAAAAACCTCTAAGTTTTTTTTGCAAAAAATAAATAAATATACCGGTATATATAAATAAATAATTTAATTCCTATTTCTACAAGTCTATAAGTGGTCTATGCTGCAAGATATCAGACCCACATATCTATTGGAGATGCTAGACATGTCACTAACCACTACATTTGCAAGTTAATCCTAGCTTAACACTTTTATCCTGACATTTCTTTATACCACCTTCACACCCTTTTAGGGACAGCTACCGGTTAAAATATTGAGGCAAGGCCTAGTCGGATACACAGATGGTTTATTTTCTCTGCATCTTTCCATAAGGGTACTGTACACGTTCTCTTATGGTATATATGGAGGGAGGGTCCATGATAAGCAATTCCGAGACTGCAATAGCTTGGATAAATTCTAATTTAGTTTTTAGAGCTGCATGGTTCCCTTTTGGTTACAGATTGGACAATCACCCTTGAGAGAGAGAGATACAGTTAATTTCCCCTGCTAGACATTCCATTAGCTGGATTTCTACATCTAGTGCATGGCCAACGCTTCACCACACTACCATGAGGAGTGTCCAGGTGGCTTGTCCAATTCCCCAATATCAGATTGGTATTTGGGTAGGTTTGTAGAACATAAGATGGCATATTTGAGTGCATTTCAGATTGGCTTGTTATCTAGCCAAGGTTTCTTTAGAGGCCACAAAGTGTTTAGCTTGAAACACATTCTTCACTTCGTTCTTCCCAAGATTTGCATACAGGCTGAACCTTTTAGACCTGATTATGGATGATCTGTGTGCATTCAGACAAGAATGCAATAAGATTCAGCCAGAATACTTTCTTCTCCATGAAGAACTATGCTATTTTTGCATTCTGTTCAAACAAGCATTGCTTTCTCATAAGAGACTACACTGCTTAAGAATAAAAGCTCTGCATCATATTAGAATGACCTTTGCAGATCAGAAATTCACTCCTGTAGGACATTTAATGATGAAATTCAAAGAATGGGATGGCTAATTTAATGACTGCCCAAAACATAGGAATTCAGTAGAGTCTGGCCCACCATTTCTGGTGCCAAATAGGGACTTTTAAGACAAGTGGAAAAGTTATATTCGTTTCTAATTGACTGCCTCAGTTGTGACCTGAAAAAGTAAGCGTCTACATTTCGACATGGGAACCCAACAAATGATCTTTGCTGTGGTCTGCAAATCAGTCCTGCACCAGTAGATACCCCTTCAATTATTACACACACACACACACACGTGTATGTGAACCCTTTGGAATGATATGGATTTCGGCACAAATTGGTCATAAAAATGTGATCCGATCATCTAAGTCACAATAGACAATCACAGTCTGCTTAAACTAATAACCAAAGAATGAAATGTTGCCATGTTTTTATTGAACACACCATGTAAACATTCACAGTGCAGGTGGAAAAAGTATGAACCCTTGGATTTAATAACTGGTTGAACCTCCTTTGGCAGCAATAACTTCAACCAAACGTTTCCTGTAGTTGCAGATCAGACGTGCACAACGGTCAGGAGTAATTCTTGACCATTTCTCTTTACAGAACTGTTTCAGTTCAGCAATATTCTTGGGATGTCTGGTGTGAATTGCTTTCTTGAGGTCATGCCACAGCATCTCAATTGGGTTGAGGTCAGGACTCTGACTGGGCCACTTCAGAAGGCGTATTTTCTTCTGTTTAAGCCAGTCTGTTGATTTACTTCTATGCTTTGGGTCATTGTCCTGTTGCAACACCCATCTTCTGTTGAGCTTCAGCTGGTAGACAGATGGCCTTATGTTCTCCTGCAAAAGGTCTTGATAAACTTGGAAATTCATTTTTCCTTCAATGATAGCAATCCGTCCAGGCCCTGACGTAGCAAAGCAGCCCCAAACCATGATGACCCCACCACCATACTTCACAATTGGGATGAGGTTTTCATGTTGGTGTGCTGTGCCTTTTTTTCGCCACACATAGTATTGTGTGTTTCTTCCAAACAACTCAACTTTGGTTTCATCTGTCCACAGAATATTTTGCCAGTACTGCTGTGGAACATCCAGGTGCTCTTGTGCAAACTGTAAATGTGCAGCAATGTTTTGTTTGGACAGCAGTGGCTTCCTCTGTGGTATCCTCCCATGAAATCCATTCTTGTTTAGTGTTTTACGTATGGTAGAGTCGCTAACAGGGATGTTAGCATTTGCCAGTGACTTTTGTAAGTCTTTAGCTGACACTCTAGGATTCTTCACCTCATTGAATCATCTTTACAGGACGGCCACTCCTAGGGAGAGTAGCAGCAGTGCTGAGCTTTCTCCATTTATAGACAATTTGTCTTACCATGGACTGATGAACAGCATGGCTTTTGGAGATACTTTTATAACCCTTTCCAGCTTTATGCAAGTCAACAATTCTTAATCGTAGGTCTTCTGAGAGCTCTTTTGTGCGAGGCATCATTCACATCAAGCAATGCTTCTTGTGAAAAGCAAACCCAGAACTGGAGTGTGTTTTTTATAGGGTAGGGTAGCTGTAATCAACACCTCCAATCTCATTGATTGGACTCCAGTACTGATATCTCACTCCAAATAGGTCTTGGAGATGTCATTAGTCTAGGGGTTCACATACTTTTTCCACCGGCACTGTGAATGTTTACATGGTGTGTTCAATAAAAACATGGCAACATTTCATTCTTTGTGTGTTATTAGTTTAAGCAGACTGATTGTCTATTGTTGTGACTTAGACGATGATCAGATCACATTTTATGACCAATTTGTGCAGAAATCTATATCATTCCAAAGGGTTCACATAATTTTTCTTGCAACTATATATACACACACACACACACACTATTTTGGTTGTATGGGAAGGTTTGTGAAAGGTGTCAATAGAGTGAACTCCAACGTGCCATCTTATTTTATACAAGACGAGTTCTAAGGTGTACTCCATTTAAAGAGCTGGACAGCCAATGTGTGTGAAAAGCAGACTTCATACATTTTGGGTCAAGTGAGCTTATGCATGTACCCCACAAACAGATCTGGAAACAGTACACAGGTAAGATGGCAGATCTTACCGCCACGTGGCCTCCCTCCTCCAACAGGTAAGTCTTGACATCTTTCAAAGCATTGAGGGCACATTGCCTACAAAGTACAGATTATATCGTTAGACAAGTCATTTGTTGTGGGACAATCAGGTGTCTACTCAAGAGTAGATCCAATTAAGAAGTTGCTTTGTAAGAAGTGGGTATGGCCAATGATGGGTTACACTGCAAAAAGCTGCACAGTTCTTAAAAAGGAACACTAAAATTAATAGAAACTTGTTTTCACAATGTCAAGTGCCCTGTAGATGTTTAGGTGTCTGCCCCTTTGCTTACTTGATAGGCAAGATCTACTTCCCCCTCTCTGCCATGCTGTTGGTCCCAACTCCTTGGCAGAGATCTGGATGATCTCAGCCAATCCAATGCTTCCCTATAGGGATGCATCGGGATCAGTGCAATTTGCAATTGTGAAGAAACCACCAAGTTATTTTGCTTTTTACTTTATTCCATTTGGTAGCTGTAACTACCGAACACCGGCCAGCGCCCTGGCTCGCTAACTTCAAAGATAAGTCGTTTAAGCCCTCTCCTTGTGTTGCTGCTGTTCATATAGGCGAATGCCACGTGCATGAGAAAACGGCGGCCATCTAGTTTGCACGAAAGGAGGCAGCAGGACTTTGTCGTTGAGTGTCTGGAACTAAAAATCAGATACTCTACTTCCCAAACACCAGTCCAAATGCCTGCTTCCTTTTCCCAAACAGTTAGGAGAGCTCTGTTCAGTAGTTTTGTTCCCAAGAACTAGGGGAACAATCACTACCATGAGCCAGGGGGAGCAATTTGTGCATTTGTTCGGTTTTTCAGACTTTACTAAATAGACTGGCCAAACCACTGAAACTTAAGGAACCGTTTTGGGCAGGAGCCTCGTGTGCGGCCAGTCACCTAAGACTTCCATAGAATTCCAAAACCCCTGAACTGATCTGGGCGATTTTTGGATATGTTGGTCACCCAGATCAGGGCATTTGTGGGAATATTGTGTGTTTTAGGGTACACATTTCAAGTTTTGGGGAAATTGTAAATTCTGCCTGGAGATAGTTATGTTATTACTTTATCTGACCCAATTATCTCCAGGCACAGAGGAGGGGATTGTATGTTTGTACTGGGAGTGTCAGAGTTTTCCCCTGCATTATTATTGGCTGTATGCTTTGTGTCTCTGTCCCCCACAAGGTCCACGTAAAAGCCAGTGTGGCACCATTAAAATTCAGTCCTGTTACACCCTTCATCTAGTTTCAGCCGAGGCTTGGGTACCTGTCTGCTTTAGTGGGAGAATCTACTTGGGAGGCTGTTATTTTGTATGGAGAACCGTTCACTTCAATACCCGAACTGCGAGCTATAATAACTCATGCTCTGGCAGTTCGGGAGGAAACAGACGAACAGGTATCGGTTGTACCAGCATTTTTTTTTTTTTATTTATTTTTTACAGCAAATTACTACACTGTGCCAGTTAAATGCTACACAGCATTGGATTGAGAACCTTGTTTGACTAGATTCTCAACGGAATAGCCAGCCACTAGAGGTATGTTAACACTGCAATAGAGCAAAAAAAAATAAAAAATAAAATAAACACACACAAACACACAACCTTTAGTGGTCCTTTAAGGAAAGCTAGAGAGCTTTTTAAATTTGGTGAAGAGTTTTGTGCACCCAATTGGTTTTGGCCCAGTGTTAGTTTTCTTGGTACACAGTGCCTAGAGAGCCCCTTTAGTGGGGACCAAACATTTGTTATCCCTTGATATATATCAAGCAAGAAGCCACAATTGAGATGTTACAGTAAGTGTTTGAAGAGATCTATCGACCAACTGTGGTCTTTTAAGATACAGGTTTGTCTTTTTACCAGAGTCTACACATTAGATAATAAGTATGTTAACTTACAGCAAGTAAACAGTCAGATAAGAGACTGCACATAAGTGAAGACTCACTTGCGGATCTTCATTGCTTCTTCGTTATCAGGACGGAAAAACTCGTAGTTTTTGTAAGTCTGCACAGCTTCACGGCGGTACTGACCCACATTAAACACTGAGGGGGAACAGAGAAAGTTAAATTAGCAGTTAAGTTGCTCTGATTGCCTCATTTTATGCAAGCCTAATTTGTACCCATTGATTATACTGCTCATGTAAAACTGGGTCAGAGCACATGGCAAACAGCTCTTAACCTTAGGAGCCTTGGTAACAATGTTAATCAGGGACATCTCAATATAAACTAATTGACAGTAATTGGAGTGATAACTACATTGTTAAAGAGTTTAATAATGTTCCATGTCATTGGAACATGGAATTCAGGAAAGTTACATTCTATTTTAAAACACTGCAGTATAACTTTATAATCTGTCAGGTCTAAGCCATTTAGTTTTGGCTAGCTAATTGACAGCATAGCTGAAGGTGGATGGTAGACATACAAAAAAATAAAAAATATATATTTTACTATTTACATACAAAATTGTGAATTTGTGTGCTTCGCATGCAGCCTTCCAAGTGCTAAATAAGCAAAATAACCCGTTCCCCTACAGGTCCAAGTCACATAGAAAATCTCCAAGCACACCTTTCATATTACATAAAAAAAAAAACCAAAAAAAAAAAACCATGCAAACAGATATACGAACCCAGAGCTGGAAACTCACCAATGGCTTAAAGGGACCCTGTAGTCACCAAAAGCATTAGAGTTTAATGCCATGATTCTGGTGTCTATAGCCTGTCCCTGCAGACTTCAATGCAAACTCTGCCTAGTAACACATCTAGCGGCAGTTACTCAGACGGCCACTAGAGGCACTTTGTGTCAGTGCTCCTCTATGACGAGATGCTGATTGGTACAGCATGGCGTTTTGCTGCACATAGTCAATAGCCTCCCAATGCTTTTCTATGGGAAGTCACTGGACTGCCCAGGATCATACAGATTGATAACAATTGAGGCAGAGCCAGCCAGTGTGGGGGAAAACCAAAAAACCCAGAATAAAACTTATTTCAGAGCGATCTGAGGAGGGCCAGGGATCTGTAGGTTTGTATTTTTGGCACTAGTATGCCTTTAAAGGAACACTCCAATGAGAGGAGGGGGGTGAGTAGTTGCTGCCTCAGGAGTTTAACCAGGAATTAATAGGACCGGTTGTCTGACAGCCAGGGGGAGCAACAAGGTTAATTGGCAAAATTGACAGTTTCTACTGAAATTGAACCCCCACCCTTTTTTAAAAGATTTATTTTTACCCAAAAATAAAAAGACCCACCATTTGCCCAAAGCACCTTAGCAAGCTAAAAATGCTTTATACAAGTGGAGTGTCCATTTAATACTGCTTAGATCACTAAACAGTGAACCAGGCTAAAGGTGTAGGCTCAATAGGGCAGAACTGCAAGTTTCTAAAGTCACAGAACTTTGACGCCAGCTGAAAGTGGTTTTATACAAAAATTGACCAAGTCTGAGACAAGCAATGCTTTGCCTACTCTACACTAGAATCTATATTTAAACTTATCTGCAGTTAATGTTTGAAGAGATTAGGTCACTAACCTGTGTTACAACCCAGTCTCTGCAGTGATTGGCCAAAATATGTCAGTTATTTATCCTCTGTAAACAGTTTTTTAGTACAAGTGAGAGTCAGGGAGTCCAGACAGGTGGCACCATTCTATGTTAACGTTACTAGATTGCAAGACTATGGTGAATTCTATACTGCCTTCACTTTACTATCTAAAACCAGTCAGGCAGAAATGTTTTGTCTGCCAATAGTGTAACAAAAAAAAAATAAACCTTCAGAGACGGCTGGTACTACCTCAGTGTATATTTCTTTTAGTGTTGGAAGGAGTGTCTTGGGTGCAGTTTTGCCAACACCAGTTCTATGCATATATCCTAATACAGGTTGCGTACCCCTTACCTTTAGTGGGTGTTCCGATCCAGTTGAGGTAGCGAGTCAGTTTTTTGGAGATGTAGGTTTTCCCACGGGCAGGAAGTCCAACCATTATCACCATAGTGGGAGAGTTGGTGAACTGGGGGATGGATGCTGAAACAGACAGGAATTCTAGATGAAGACAAGGCGTGTGCACACAGGTTGCTGAACCATTAATACAGGATTCCTGAAGCAACAGATATTAAAAGCCAATAAGGACTTTATGGATCAGAACTGCACACCAGATAAGAGAAAACGTTGAGATATTCCCTTGGACGTGTCCTGCTGCTCTGGGTATAGGAGGTAACTGTACACTTCAGGCATAATGAAAGTTTTCATTGAAGCCTAGGCTGGGTTAATTACCAAATTAATACTTCAACAGCAAAGTTCGATGATCAATGTTAATTTTGATCAGTAGTATAAAATACATTTCAAGTTAAAGCAGCGGTTGTGCAGCTCTACTTCCAGGGTCAGTACATTGGACAGCTATGAGACATAATCTAGGATATTGATAAACCTTTTATGGCAAGGTCTGCAATTATTACATTGTGTTTTTCTTGCAAAGTTTAGGCGCCTCTAGTCATGGCCTTCAGGTCCTTGCCAGTTCCCAGGTTTTTTTGGAGGCACAGACTGGTCATGTTTAGTGGGAGAGGTTTGGAGTTTCTGGACACTCATGCAAACCAAGTCTTTACTCTTGTTTACGCGCAACATATACCACAATGTTTATTCTTTTAAAAGGTTGCATTTCATATGACATTCTTACCAAGTAATCCGGTTTGTTTTACAAAATTTACAAACATAGAATTGTACACAACACACATACAAACAAACCGCACAGCCCCACATTGTTGCCAGATGATCCAAGTTAGAACAGTAAACAATTCATGCCAATTTGATAAACTGCGATAGGATTATTTAAATATTCCTGCAGTTTGAGACCCTGTCCCAGACAGTTTACAGTCTAGAGCAGGGGTAGGCAGCCTCTCTGCACTCCAGAAGAGGTGGACTACATCTACCAACATGATCTTACAGCTGGCAAAGCATCAGGGGGATGTAGTCCACATCTGGAGTGCCAAAGGCTACTACTAGTCTAGAACATTAAATATTCAATCCGAATTATAATTAATACAATCATTTTAATCAAGGCCTTGCAGTTATCAAGAAAGTGTTTAACTGTCAGGGGTGCAGTCATGTATATAGGAATTTATGAGTGATCTTGCATGAGAGCAGTGTTCAGTATGAGCTGAGCAGGATAATGCTGTCAGTATGGAGTCCTGCCAGGTTCCCAGGCTCTTTTCCCACAGTAAAGGAAGCTCAGAACAAAACAGATTACATTGTGTGCACCTACAGCACAGAAAGTTAACTGGCACGCCAACAGTTTGGGACTACAACTCCCACTATCCACAGCCACCTCCAACATGTTAATCATTAGTCCACAATATAGTTAGTAGCCACCATTGATGGTTAACCATGAACTACCCTCATCACAATGCCCAGACAGCTTTAATGCATTATGGGAATTGTAGTTAAGAAACCCCTGGGGTGCAAAGGGCAGCAGTCACTGTCCCCCTATGACTCACATCCTCTCCTCTGCTGCAGTCTCTCGCACTGTTGGGGGATCCATATCTTCTGCAGCCGTGTCTGGGTGAGCTCTCTCAGCCTGTCTGCCATCTGCTGCCTGGGGCTCCTTCCCGGTGGCTCTGTGTGCGCTGCGGCCGCCTGGTCTGCCTCAGAATGCATGGTCGGCGCTGTGCCCGGGCTCCCTATGACCAGGGAAGGTCACCTGACCCGGTGTGCTGAGTGTGTGCTCAGCGCGTGCTGTGAGCAGGGCAGCCCAGCCAAAGGGAGCCTGCAGTGAGAGTGTACACTGGGGGACTCTGCCTCCTCCCTCCCTCCACCCCCCAAATCAGACTCAGCCAAAGGGTGGGAGGGACAGGAGAACCAGCCAAGCTAACAAAATAATAAATACTCTATATTCCAAGCTGTCACTGCAGGATGTGGAGACAATCCCATAGATTGCAAGCTCCTCAGATCAGCAGGCTTCACCTACCAGCCGCACAACAGAGAGGAGAATTTTATTCACCATTTATGAATAACTAGCACTCTTAAAATTAAAATCAGTCTAAACAAGTAATGAATAATCCCACAAAGCAGAGATAACCGATAACAGTTCCAATTCTCCCCCATTTATAGGGCAGGTTTTATATCACAAGACTTGCTAGAACACCATTAATAGCAACAGCAGTAGAGACAGTAAATTGATACATAAATCAGAATAGGGAGTTATACAATGTAACTACATAGATCTGCTGAAATCCCTTGTTTAAACAATGAGATCTCAATCTACAGTCCCAAGGTAGGGCGGGGGACCTGGAGGGAGGAGCTGGTGTCATCACCCCATATGGCCATTCTGGGATTCACCAATTAGGGTTTCTAACATGGTGGCCCAGGTAGTACAATGTTTTACTTTGAACACCCCCATCCTGCCCCCCCCCACCTGAGTAATTATTGCACCTTGTAGATTTACAATCATGGCCAGAGTTACATTTGGCCATCCCTGCTGTACAATCTATAAAACCCCAAAACATTCTGACCCATACAGTCTGTTTGGTGACACACAACACCAGCAGCACAGGGGTTAGCAAGGCCACATTCCTGCTTGGGGCCCCAAGGACAGTCTATTCAGAGCTGATAAACAAGAGTAGAGTTTAGTTTGTAGCATCATAGACTGTGCTTAACACCAAAGCATTATGTAGCCTTTATTACATTGTAATAATAACAATGCCGCCGTCCTATAGAAACATGTTGGAACATAGAGGATCATGGTTGGAGTGCTCCACACTGACCAGAGAGTGACTTCTGTCAACTTCCTGCTCATGGAATGAATTGGAGCTAAATATTAGACAATATACCCTCTGTATCAAACTGCTCAGACCGAGCCAAGGAAAGATGTTCCTTGGCTCGGACATGTTAAGGACATGTTGGCATCAGAACCAGTACAGCAGTCTGTTCTGATCCGGTCCAGTTCAGATGGTCTAAACGCCACCATTGGCCAATTTACTGTGGTGCTTAGAACAGCCATTTAATGATGTTGCATAGTCAGCAGGAACATGACTGATTCCGTGACAATGTCACTTGGAGCAGCAAGGCCTAAAGAAACCTTAGATCTGCAGTTTTTGTATTCAGGGGAAGAGGGAAAAAAACACTGCATTGTTGAAAATCATTAACTTGCTACAACCTCCCCTGCCCCATTCAGTGTATAACCATAATAGCCTGGCTGGATTTAAGATGTTATGGGCCTGAAACGGAAAGTAATTAGCCTAGTTATAAGTAAGTTCACTTGTCGCAGCAGATATAGATTACATGGCAAAGCCAACAGTGATCCATATGGACTGAATTCTCTCTTGCATGAAAACAGCTACCATACAGTACAGATGTGTTATGGAAAGGAAACTTAAACATGCATCTCAAAGTATTAAATAGAATGATAAGGGCTGTGGTCTTGATTGCAAGGGATTTTTAAAAGATATTTAACTTAAAGTAAATTTACAGAACTTTACAAGCAATCATAACACATCCCTGGAATACCACAACATGGTTGGCTTTTAATAACCTGTACAACACCATGTATAAAAAGTTACCACTACATTTATTTAGGCAGACAAGACATTCAAAGTTCCGCATTCTGATCGCAATCCACGTGAGGCCACAGTCGTAATAACCACAGCCTTCAATAATGGCTTGGGAATCGTTGAAGACTTCTAAATCTAGATCAGGGATATGAATCCCACGTCTCCAAGGCCCTCACGTCCACCTTCTAGCTCCAAATAGCAGAAAGAAAAATCTGCCTAGAGAAGGCAAGAATTTCAATAGAGCCTGGTTCACGTTTCTTCTCGCCCTCTAGAGCAGGGGTCCTCAAACTGTGGCCCTCCAGATGTTGCGGAACTACAACTCCCATGATTCTTTGAATTACATAGATAGCCAGAGAATCATGGGAGTTGTAGTTCAGCAACATCTGGGGGGCCGGAGTTTGAGGACCCCTGCTCTAGAGCTTTGAGATTGGGAGATTGAAGCCAAATAAAATGCAAAATTCTTTACAACCATACTAATAAACCACCTGGAGATTGAACTGGTATGAACTCAAATTGATTTGATGGCAAATAAAATGTGAATTGATACAACAGTTTTCCCCTGAGTCAATCACTTTGGCATTAGGCCATGGCAACCCGTGTGCACAATCCATAATGGTCAGACACAAACAAAAGTCCCTTGCATACCCCTCAAACTAATCCAGAATAAAAGAAATCTAGTCTTAAAAATCCAAATTTATCATCCTCAAAAAAAAAAAAAGGGGGAAAGTCATCTTATACCTAAAAAACAAACAAAATGGAGTTTAAAATAAGCCAGCTTCCTTTACCAAATCTGTGTTTTGGAAGAGGGTAATAAAAGTTTGCACAAAGTTGTCACAGATTAAAATTTTTCAAGTGGGAAACCAGTTCCCCCACGCATTCTAAAACCACCAAAAATAAGGCCAAAATAAATGCAGTAGACATTATGTAAAGAAACAATTTTGAAATATTACAAAAAAGTTGTTTTACAGAATGCCTGTTTTTCCCCTAAACAAACTAGACCATCACTCCTTTAAAATGAATGGTAAAGCAGCCTGTAAGGAATTACCATAAGGGTCATGTTGTGGACTGACAACTTCTACACAAACCATCCAAGCAGGTAAATAAACTGCCCAGGTAGACAAGGAGAGAGTTCTTCAAAAGTTCAAAAATGATATGCCATCTACTGATTGTTGTTCCCCTTATGGATACATACATACATAATTTTTTTTTTTTTTTAAAACCCACCCCAAAGCATGAGAGAGTCTGATTTTTCTTACTGGGGATAAGACATGCTTTTATCCCAATATGTAGGTGTCAATGACCCACACTACACATGTAATCACATTTATAGAGCAGCTTTTTATTAGCCAACTGATCGACCCGCAATTCCAATGCTACAATAGGAAAGAAGAAGAGACAACAATTACTCACAGAGAGGAAAAAAGTTATCTGGAGATGAAAAGTATCCTCGAAGTAACTGATACTATGCAACAAGAAACATTGAAAAAAGTGATTAAAAAAAATTAAAAGTATTTTATTTTCTCATCATGTTTCGATGTTATAGTATCAGTTATTTTTATTCAAGGATACGGTTTTATCTCTAGGTGACATTTTCTCTCACAGTTGCGAGTAATGTCAGGCATGCGGACTGCATAAGGAGCAAGCCTCGTGAGGTTTGATGGAGCAGAGGCTGTTGGGTAGCAGCAGAGCATACTGCGGGTTAGGTGCAGGACAGTACTCGCTATTAGCGGAGCAGGATCACAGCACGAGATAAACAGCAGCGGAAAAATGAGTATAAATTTAAAGGCGCCAAATCAGTTTTGAAATAGAACGGAGCTACTGCTCCCATCCACCTTCCCTTCTTGGCGTGACCTTATTATGGGATACAATTCGCCCTCATGGGCATCACAGGAGGGTGGATTTGGTTTATAAAATTGGCTTTATGATCTATATTTATGGCTCCTGGCTTTGGTGGGGGGCAAAGCCTTGGAATGTTTTAATTGTTAATATTTCGGTTTGGTTGTAAAATTATGAAATCCATAATAAAGGTTCACAGCCATTCTCCAAGGTGTAATATTGAAGTATTGATTAACCCCTTCAGGACGGGTGACGGACGAGGTCCGTCACACAGGGGAGACCCTTAACGACGGGTGACGGACCTCGTCCGTCACGCGGTAAAATTAACCCCGGATCGCCGCTATCGCGGCAATCGCGGGGTTAATGGTGCTCCCGGTATGCCTCCGCATTGGAGGCATACCGGGAGCACCCGGTCAGACTGCCCAGCACATGTGCTCGCTCTGACCACAAGTCGGAGCGAGCACATGTGCTCTGCATACTTACCTACCGGCTCCCTGCACTTCCGGGTTCTGTGTGAAGTGCAGGGAGCCGGATCAGTGCTGATCCTGCCCCCTGCTGGAAAAAAAAATAAAGTTTATTTAAAGTGTCCCCCCCCTTACCCATTTTAATAAAAAATTAACCCCTTCCCTGCCAATTGATCACTGACTACAGTGATCAATTGGCAGGGATTCCATTTTACTATGATCTGATTTTTTTTTTAACCCCTGAGGGTTAATTCTTTTTTTTTTTAACCCTCAGGGGTTAAATTAATTAAATTAATTAATTAATTTTTTTTTAATTATATATTTAGATAGCTGGGGTGGGTGGAAGTTAGTGGGGAATTGGGGGATTTGGCGTTAGGCTAACTAGGGGTTAACGTTAAAAAAAAGTTTTAAAAGAAACTTTAAAAAGTTAAAAATTAAGCTTAAAAAATGTTTTAATAACATTTAAGTAAAAAAACAAAAAAACACACTTTACCTAGTCCAAATAAAAATTAACCCCTTCCCTGCCAGTCGATCACTGCCTACAGCGATCAAATAGAGATCACAGTATTATACTGTGATCTAATTTTTTTTAACCCCTGAGGATTAACTTTTTTTTAACCCTCAGGGGTTCAATTTATTTAATTAATTAATTTAAATATTTTATAACTATATATTTTGCTAGCTGGGGTGGGTGGGAGTTATGGGAAAATGGGGAATTTACTGTTAGTGCTGCGTACTGCTAGTTGGGGGTTAACAGTAAAAAAAATAGCTTAGAAAAATGTTAAATCTGTAAAAAAGTTTTAAGAAAGTTTAGGAAAGTTTAAAAAAAATTTATAAGCAAAACAAAAGTTTAAAAACTAGTTTTTAAAGTAAAAAAGTTATAAAAAGTAAAAAAATACATTTTAAAAACGCTCATTACCACTACACCTGGAGCAAACTAGAGAAAAAATTATCCCACGCCAAGGTTCAAAATATGCCTTTTGAATTACCCCAGGGTGTATTCTTTAATAAATAGTATGTGTTTGTGGGGAAGTTTCAATAACCAACCATCTAAACTACTCCAAATTGGAACATGGACACAGCGTAAAACTTCAAAGTTAGAAAAAAACTGAATGGCTGCGTCTCAAATGCGCCCCTTCAACATCCACATATACCTGGCAAAGGTACATACGGGGTATTGCTGTACTCAGCCGACATAGCTGAGCAACATATGAAGTATTATACAGTCGTAGCACACATAAGGTTTGCAAAATATACTGTGCAAACTCACTTTGTATGTCAAAAAGGCAGAAAAAACGCTTATTACCACTACATCTGGTACAAGCTAGCGGAAAAATGATCCCCACGCTAAGGTTCAAACTATACCTTTTGAAACACCCTGGGGTGTCTACTTTAAGAAATGGTAGGCCTTTGTGGGGTAGTTTGAATTTAAAACCTGCGAAGATGCTTGGAAATTGCACATAGGCCCAGCGTCAAAATTCAAAGTTTGGTAAAAACGGATATGGCTTGGTCTGCTATATGGCACTGTAGCTTCACGAAATAGTGCCAAAGACATTCATATGGGGTGTCATTTTACTCAGAAGACTTAGCTGAGCATAATTTGGGGGTTTGAACTTAGTGGAACATATGAAATATACAAAATGCCCAGCAAAAATGCAATCCGTATGTAAAAAATGCACAAAATTATTTTTTACCACATACTTTGGCATATATTGGTGAAAAAATGGGGGCATGTTAAGGCACAATATGCACCTTATAAGATACCCTGGAGTGTCTACTTTTACAAATGGTAGGCCTTTGTGGGGGGTTTTTTGAACAGCCAAACTGTTATAATACCCCAAAATGGAAGCTAAGGCTCATTAAATCCATCTCTCAAAATTCTACTGTGAATACTGAAAAGGACAGGTATCCTGTATGGCACTGTAACTTCACGAAATAGTGCAAAAGACATACAATGGGGGTGTCATTTTACTCAGCAGATGTAACTGAACACAAAATAAAACTTTGTACAGGAATAGCACACACCAACTTTACAAAATATACACGAGAATTTCTCTGTTATAAGTTTGTGTGCCAAAAACCAAAAAGAACACAATTTTACTCCAATATTTAGCAGAGGTTGGCGGTGAAATGGCTACGTAGAAAGTGTCAAAATAACCTTAGGTAAATAGCCTGTGATGTCTACTTTATATAAATATATACTTGTGTGGCAATTTTGTTTTCTTTTATGGCTATTAAGCTTACAAGACAAACATACCAAATTCTAAAATCGCTCCACATTAAAAGTTTATTTTACTCCTTGTGCTTTGTGACCTGTAACTACCAAAAAAAACTTAAAATTCCAGACACATTATATATTCTGTAAATCAGAACAAATAAATAAATTTATTTTTAATTACTTTCCTTAACCTGCACTAATTATGCACACATTATTGCAAAAACTGTAAAAAAAACCAATATTTTTCATTTTTTTTGTATTTTTCTGTATTTTTTTTATAATAAGTAAGCATTTATATATCTATATGTTATATCAAATTAAAGCCATTTCTGTCCTTTAAAAAAACAGTATATAATGTGTGTCGGTGCAATAAATGAGAGAGATGCAAATTGCAGTTGAACGCAAACAGCAAGAAAATGCAAAAATTGCTTGTGTCATTAAGCGTAAGTCAAGCTTCTGAAGCTGTGTCCTTAAGGGGATAAACAAGTTGGACAAAAGAAGTGGTCTTGTGTATTTATATTATGTATAATTAAGAATGCAACATTCAAACCTCATGGTCTTCTCTTGTTTCATTAATTCTATTGAGTTAGTCCCTGAGACACTCCTGGAGTGTACCCCTGGCATATAGATTTAGTGGAGGCTTGTGGGCAGATAGTCTGCATACTGCCCTCTGCTGACTCTGATCTTGTTTTTGTTTACAATAGGAAAGAGTTCAAACAGAACTCTAGATTGTAAGGTCACAGGCTATTTAGCAAATTACTCTGTATAAGATCTTCAGGGGCTAGATCTCTGCTCACAGGCAAGAGCCCCTACCTTTTGTATTTGTTTATATTTTACGGTCTCGATGAGGAGATGCTGATTGCCCAGGGCTGTGTTTGGCTTGTGTTGGATCCAATGCTTTCCTATAACAAAGTATTGGCTGATAACAGATCGGAGGGAGGCAGGGGGGATAGATGTGGTTTTAACACGATGGGGTCAGGCATACAGGTTTGTGTTCCAGCCCCTATAGTGGTCCTTTAAATAAAACCATGTTCAACAAACCCGCATCAGACCAATTTTGAGACCATTTACCCAATGCCCATTCGTTGTGCCAACACAATTCAATACCTTTGGAACCAGCAGTGTCCATATATAAGCCAATTAACTCATTGTTCATAATATCATTATGCCATAGTGTGCGACCATTGAAAGTGTCCGAGAACATATCCCAGACCTTCGTGTCTTATTCCCATTGAACCCAAACATGAAAATGCTGCAGGTTTTTTGCAAAAGCTCTTGCAAGGTTTATAGAAACTACTCTGCCCATGGGCATAACTCGAGCTGCAAAACAACATAGCCCTAATAAGAATTGCATTTTTTTTTAAATCACTTTGTTGCCTAGAGACATATTTAAGCAACCTTTTAATTTACCAGTTTTTGAACCATGCTCCACCTCAGGAGGCAGTACTGCAGGCACTAGACATTGCCTGAGCCAGTCCTAACCATCCTCAGCCAAGAGCCATTTTTGAGATGTAATTAGTAGCTCCTCCATGAGGCAAGCTGCATAGATGTTACACTTTTTTTGGCAGTCTGAGATTTACCTCCCAGATGGCTTAAATGGACAGCACGAGGCAAAAGTTCCCTGATAGGGAAGTACTCTGGCAGCTCAGCCAAGGATTAGCCCAAACCCAGGAAGAGTTGAGGGATGAACCATTGATCACCAAGTTCCTTCCACACATACAGACAAGGGACTATATGCCCACTGTGCCTAATAAACTTTGTGGCTGCTTTAGGCCTCTGTCAGTAAGGGCCTGTAGACTCTGCTCCATTTGCCCCCATTGCCCTGACTGGGGTGTATGCTTCTTGATTAACCTCTCTCTGAACTAATAGGAAAGGGAGGCCATTTAATCCTAAACCAAAATCAGACTAATGCTTGCGACCCCATCTGAGCATTGTAATCCCCGAATGATTTACCTTTATATAATAATTCCATCTCTAACCCGGTCTGAGACGTTCAAGCAGCCATTCACTTGTAGCAAGATACAAGTACACAGGATTCGAAACTGGATTACAGAATGTGGAAATCACTTCCAGCTCATAAATGAGTGATGTTTGAGCGCAAAAGAGTTATGCTCTATTACAAAATATCTGTTCTAGACAAGTACTACAGGTTTTGAAATCCAGATTTAAGGAAAGCTTATTCATACAATAATTCTGGGAAAGATTGCTAGACGTGTGAACACAGCACTGTTTTACATTAACCATTCAATTGCCAAATTGTATATTCAACTAATCTCTAGCTTACTTTGTTAGCAAGATCCCTAGAATAATCATGTGCCTTGGTTTACAGGCAGCCATTGATTGAACCCACAGGTTTAGGAACTGGTACAACTTTTTAAAGCAGTTGGAATTTCATTTAAAGATGGGAAAACCCCAAGACATTTGTTAACAGTTGGTTATCCTATTAATAAAATCCCTAGTTATACCATCCCCCCTTAGAACTGTATGCTCCACAAATCAGATTGCATTATGAATGGCTGCCCCCACCCCAATTCTGTGTCATTCCTACCCAGATTATTGAACTACAGTTTAACTTTCAGGTCCCACACAAATCCTTAACCATTCTGCAGGTGTGGGGGATATATGTATTTTTTTTATTTAATGTCACCTTTTTACAAGTTTCTCCATTTATCAAAATATGAATGATTTTGGGACTACAGCTCCCATATGCCCATCAGGTTGTAGCGAACATTTGATTCTGAAAGTTTAAGTGAGTGGGGAGAATTCAGAGTGAATGTCAAGTGTAAGGTCAAGTTAGTTAAACTGGAAAAACCTCAAGAAATCTATGCAACTACTCTGGTCTTCATTCACTTAAAAAAAATAAATAAATAAATAAAAATCTCCCTTTTGTAAATAACCCTGACAGTCATTGAAGAGGTCAGGCTTTCCTCCATATGAATTCTAGCAGTAGGATGGCTTTTGGGATAGACACAGGTACAGCCCTCCTACAGTTTCCCCAAAAGCCATTGAAGTCAGGGTTTATTTCAGCAAGGCTGACACTGGTACTATTCTGGGGGTAAAGTGTTGCTAGACGTTCTATCGTTTCCATGGTGATCATTCCTTTATCTTTAGTACCAGTTTGTTCAGTGTCAGGCTACATGTTACACCAATATTTATACACAAATCACAATCTTGCAAGGCAGAAAGCTCAATTGAGATTTTTCCTTAGCTTAGAGGAAAAAGGATGAAAACAAAAACCAGACAAAACAAAACAGCCAGCCCCACAATAAAACACATCTAAAGACCTTGAAAGAGGACTAGGGTTTCCTGGAAGCAGACCCAAGCTGTTTTATTGCTACAGGTCACATGATGATCTGCCAGTCTTGGGGGTGGCAAAGCATCATGGGAGTTGTAGTTCCAAGTCAGCTTAGGAGGAAGTCTACCTCCTGGCCCTGTGTTTACCTGGGATTTTGCTGCTGGTCTTCTCCTCCCACATCTTGTGGCTTCCTTGCCTTGGGGACCGGTGGCCCAGGACAGACAGACTGCAGCTCCCTTGGGCTCAGGCAGTGGGAAAGGTCAGCAGTGACATGAAGGGCCAGCCAGGAGGAATAAAAATAAAACCAGAGCCTGCCCTTTAGGTCTTATTGACGCGAGCTCAGGAGCCTCTCCCAGCACCTGCTGTCCTTGCAGCATGCAGTAATCCTCTGGCAACCTACAGGGGACCTACCCACTCCCATACCGGCCTGAGATCCGGTGTGCCAAGCTTGCACAGGGATAATGGCATCTCAGCATGCCTGCCAGTTTAACCCATGCATTGCCCAGCTAGCCAGAATGGGGCCCCCAGTGCTGCTCACACCCTCCTGGGCCTTCAGCAAATGGGCTCTCAAGGTCACAGTCATTGGGAATGGGAGTGATTTGTAGCTGTCTATACAGAAAGGCATGGACTATAGCTACAAGGAAAAACAAACACTACAGGTGTTTAATATATGCTTAGCTCACATGGTGGATAATATTACTAGAAGGAATAACAGCTACAATAACTGGTCATTAAGATTGTAAGTGTAGCATTAGGTTATATGAATCACTGATATGCATGATCTCTTGTTTTTGAAGTAGTTATGGTATATTGGCCAGCCACAGGCTTCCATTGTTTACAAACAGACATGCTGCTCTATACAATGCCTGTAAAGCAATAGATATTTAGCAAGACATTTAGAGTTTCCCCCCCCCCTCATCCCTACAGACAAGGATATCTGGAGTGAATGTACACTGTCAATATTGAAGGTCAGGAGATAAATTGTATCTAGAACAAGATTAGGGAGCACTTCATATCACAGGCTGCAGTAGAATCAATATATTAATGACCCATGGTGACAACATGAATGAGATCTATATACACACAGACACACTTATGCCTCAAAAGACAATTGGGTTATAACAAAGCAGTAGGAGGAGAGGGGGTTAAAATAGCAAATTCTGAATAAACCGTATATAGGAGTCCCCATACCTTCAGAAGACCCCATAATGGAAGTATATCTCACTAACTGAAAACAGACATACTACAGCCCTGTACTAATTATAAGGAGAGTTACTCAAATGAGAGGCCAGTCAGGAGGACAAGGCCAGGTGCATGCTGTTAAATTCTACTTAGCCCAATAAGATAATTAAAGTGGAAATGTGTTACTGACCCTTTAAAGACCAAAGAGTGACGCACGCTATCATGGCTAATGACTTACATGAGCCATTTTAGATCATCATTTTAGCATGAAAAAAAATACACAACATTTTACGTACATGCACTGTTATTCAATATAGCATCACATTGTAGTGAATTGAAAGCCAAATTGTAAAATTTAGGCTACATAACCAAACAGTAAATATGAGCTGTGAGTTTGGAGACTTTTTGCCTAAATTTTACAATTTGATTTTCAATTCAACACAATTCGGTGTTTAGTGAATAAATCCCTAAAGTGTGAAATGTTGGGATTTTAAAGTGGTTTTAGTCACTAAACTCGGATTTGTACGGAATTCAAATCCGTATGAGGATCTTTTCAGTGCCTTTGGTGCCAATCCAGTCATCATTCATTGGTTGAAAGCATCAGCCGATCACTCTCAATGAATGCCATTAAACCTTTGCACAGAATTGGCATTGGCCAGTCCTGAACTCTTGTTTCGGGCTGGCTAATGATATCATCATAAGTGAAGTTAAACTTCTGGCAGCAAAGAGATTAAAGTCTGTCTGCGCAGTGTTTCACTATGAAAATTCCAGGCACCTTGACTAGGAACACCTCTATGCGCAATAACTCAGACGGCCACTAGAAGTGTTTCCTATTCCAGTGTTAAACAGTGTGCAGCATTGGCATTCTGCATCTCCAAGCTGTGCATGGAGGCACTAAACATTCCCCATAGAGATGCACTGATGCTTCTCTACAAGACGTTTTACCGCACATCTACAATACCCTCAAAAAAGTGATTTTCTATGGGAAAGTATTGGATTGGCTGAGATCATCAAGATTGATAATCTCAGCCATGGGAGCAGCCAGCCACTGGGGGCGCTTCCTGCATTGAAATGGACCTTGAGAACATCCAGTTCCAGATTTTCCCCGTAGGAAAGCATTTTTAATGCTTTCCTACGGGGAGGTCTAATGCACACGCATACAGCTTTAAATTCCTGACACTATAGTATCCATTTGAATTATGGTAGAAATTAACTTTAAATGAATCCTAAAGGACCACTATAGGCACCCAGACCACTTCAGCTCAATGAAGTGGTCTGGGTGCCAGGTCCATCTAGGGTTAACCCTGCCTGCTATAAACAGCAGTTTCAGAGAAACTGCTATGTTTACATTAGGGTTAATCCAGCCTCTAGTGGCTGTCTCATTGACAGCCGCCAGAGGCGCTTCCGCGCTTCTCACTGTGATTTTCACAGTGAGAAGACGCCAGCGTCCATAGGAAAACATTGAGAAATGCTTTCCTATGGACTGACTGAATGCACGTGCGGCTCTTGCCGCGCATGCGCATTCAGCCGATGACGTCGGAAGGAGGCAGAGAGTCCCCAGCGCCGAGGGAGCCCGGTGCTGGAAAAAGGTAAAATTTTAATCCCTTCCCCCCCCTTCAGCCCAGCGGGAGGGGGGCCATGAGGGTGGGGGGACCTATTAACACTATAGTGCTAGGAAAACAAGTTTGTTTTCCTGGCACTATAGTGGTCCTTTAAATTCTCACTTTAGTGAATAACCCCAATACAATGTATTAAGTGCTCCATGCACTGTTTTCCCTCATATAAACATATGTAATATATATAGTGGACCAGGTATAAAGTGACGCGCACACACAGCTGGTTTTCAGCTACAATGTGAATGTGAACATTGACAAAGGTGCTGGTGCAGCATGACTGAGACACAGCTCGGGACTGCTCCGCCGAATGCGAGCCGCTCGGCATGTGTACAGCCTGGCGCGTCATCGGAAGCCTCCCACAGCAGCGTGTTTGGGGGTCACGTGACGCTGCCTGCGCTGTTGCTGCTGCACGTGCTCGCAGGCCGCGCCCACACACACACGCCGTGACGCGCTCCAGCCGCGCCGCTGTCGCGCAGCAGCGTGGTCAGAGAAGCTGCCAGTAGGCGGGAAGTGGGAGCTGCCATGCTGGATGGCTCAGGTTTCTTGTTGGAGCTCTGAGCTGATCTGACACTTGTCAGGGGGATGTCGGGAGACTCGGAGGAGAGCTGTAGGTCCGTGAATTTTATGGAGGACAACTTCCTAGCTCTAAAGTCCTCTTATACTATTAATAATTATATACCAATAATAATATATAATGTAACAAGTCAAATATAATCTGTAAATATTGATGGGGAGGCCAGGAGTATGAAGAATATAGAATTAAAATGCCTTAGGTTGGATATTAATTCAGTAAATGGTTACTCCAAACACCATGACCACTTCAGTGACTTTTTTTTTAAAGTGGTTATGGTGCTTTTCCAGTGAGAAATGCTGAAGGTACGTAGAAGCAGAAGTTTGCTGTGGCTGGACGTATTACTCCGCCGGTCCCGTTAGCTGTCCGTAATGACAGTTCCGAGACGCTGATGTTAAAAAGTGTGCTTCTTTATGCGGGTGACGGGTGACCAATGGAAGCGCGACGCACCCCGCCGTTCAAGTCCTCTCTTGGCCCAGCTTCCTGAGCGTTCCTCTCGCTGCAGCTAGGACATCACTAAAGGAGGGTGGAGCTGCGGGGAGAACTTGGCATCGATGTTGGATCTCAAGGTTGTTTTTGACAAAAAAATTATTTTAGCAGAGGGGGGGGGACCATCCCACCAATGGCTACTATAACCTGAAACAATGTTTTGTTAAAATGCTTTTTTTTTGGTTAAATTTTTTTGGGGTGTATCCCTTTAAACAGATACTTAGCAATAAAACTACTTCCATCTTGTGGGGGTTTTTTTTTTTTTGGTGCATATATACCACCCTTTTTGCCTTGTGTAAAACATTGCCGAGCAATGAAAACATATACATTTTGACATACATCCAGTCGAGACATTTCCATTTGATTTTCTTTTTTCAAGTTCTTTACATTCAACGTCACATGCAACTTGATACCGAGCAACATTTTAATGTTAGTTATCCATTAGTCATTGAGGGATCCTGCAGAATATTCATTCTTCATAGTGCAGGACAGCACTTTTCATACACTGTCCTGCAGCATGAAGAAATTGTGTGTCCTTGAAAACAAAGGTCTGGCTACCTTATCTGTTCTTCAGTTATGCAGTCAATTTTATTAAACAAAAGTTATTTTTTATTTTTTTTTATGTCAGGAACACAGCTGGAGGCGTGCGGATTGTGAGTTGGAATATTAATGGTATTCGAGCCACCCGTGCAGGCATTAAAGATGTATTGGACTCGCTTGATGCAGATATTATCTGTCTGCAGGAGACTAAAGTGACAAGTGAGTGCTTTTAAAGGCATTGTTGGATTGTGCCTGCAGTTTTATTTATGTGGAACAGGGGTGAAAAGGCAATTGTTAAAACCACTGGACTTAAAATTTAGAATTTTGGGGGGATTAATGACATAACTGCTGTATTGTTTATATTAAAGGGTTACTAATAGGACATTATTCTTTAGCTTCCACCCGACTCTAAAAATAGCTGTAAAATAATATTTACTTAAATCCAGTGCCAGGCAAAGCTCCTGATGCTGTTCGATAGCCCCCACCTGACGTCACAGGAGCCACACAGTGGTCTATCCAATCAAATACCTCTCATAGGCTTCCAGTCAAGGCGTCTCATCTGACACGACCATTTAAACGGATTCTTCAGTGCCAGGAAAACAAACCTGTTTCCCTGGCACTAGAGAATCCTGGAGTGCCCCGCCCCCATCCTGCCCCCTCATACCATGTTGCTGAAGGGGTTAAAACCGTTATGAAAGTCGTTATGAATCCGGAAGCGCCTCCAGTGGCTGTCTGCTAGTCTGCCACAGAGGGCAGACTTAGAGCTGCAATGTCAGTGTCATTGTAGCACTAAGTGCAAAAGGGTCACAGCACCCAGACCACTTCAAGTGGTCTGGGTGCCTACTGTGTCCCTTTAACAGTCTCTAAGCAGGCATGGGGAAAGGAGAGTTAGGAAAAGAAAATGTACCAATTTGGATAAGGGAACCTGGAGCTTCCCCTTGCGGGCTCTGCAAGGTAGACGCAGATTACATCTGTCAGCAGCATGCAGTGCACGCTGACAACAGACAAAAAATATGCATAAAATTGGCATTCGGCTGTCCGGAACAGCGTTGTGGGCTGCCTAAATCATGTGTGCTTGTGATGCAACTAGCCCCCGGCACACCAGGGCAGATCATTCTAGATGTGCAGTGTTTTAAGCTGAAACACTGCACATCCAGACTCCCAACACCATGACTACTTCAAAAAGCAGATGTGGTCATGGTGGCTGTTGTAAAACTTTAATTTAAGTCTCCAAGTTGTCATCTTTGGTTTAATATTAAAGCTTTTCACAATAGTTTGACATGATCTAGGGGTCTTGGAACCAATGGACCTTCCCTATGCATTCATTGCCTTTCTATAATTTATTAGAACTAACAGGACAATATGCTTGTGTTTGTGTTTAGGGGACCTGTTAGATGAACCCACTGCTATAGTCGAAGGATATAACTCATTCTTCAGCTTCTGCCGTGTGAGGAGCGGGTACTCTGGTAAGATATCGAGCAGTTTTTTTCCCTTTAACTTTTTTCCACTGTCAAAAAAAATTAGAAATTTTAGATAATTTTCAACAACGCAGTCATTACACCACCTTGCGAGTAGGTGTCCTTGGGTAACATCAGCTCCTCATTGATCGTAAGCCATTTGAGCAGGGCCATCTTTACCTCTAATATCCCCTTTATATAATTGTAAAGCGCTGCAGAATATTTGGGCGCTATATAAAAATAACATTAATTAAATTACTTCTGTTAATGTTCTTTTTGCCGCGCGTCGTTTGATATAATTTAGAGAATACATTTACAGGACTGGTCGTTAAAAAAAACCCCCAAAAAACTATTTGTTTTTTAAGCTCCTTCTCACTTGATCACTTTCCCTTTAATTCAAGGAGTTTCGACTTTCTGCAAGTGTAGAACAACGCCATGGGCAGCGGAGGAAGGACTTTCCGGGCAGCTGACCGCTCACAAAGGATCCATTGGCTGCTATGGGAACACAGAGGAGTTTTCGGAAGAGGAGCTGCTTTCTTTGGACCAAGAAGGAAGAACCGTTATAACACAGCACAGGATCCAGTAAGCCTGCAGAATAAACTGCGTAATCCTAGTTCTCTGATCCCACTCTTGTGTGATTCCTGGTAACAATATCTTTTATAAAATATGTATCCAATATAAGACAGTGCAAAATGTGTTTGTTTTTTTTTGTGGGATGTTTATTTCAAAATTGTCTTGATTTTACATGTTTCTTATCATAGCATTTTATTCACACATAGAATTGAAAACTGGAATTTAAAATTCAGGCGTTAACAGCCGAGTTAGAAATATTCCCCAACTCTGCTATAGTAACAGGTTGACTATTTTAGCCTACATTTCCTATTTGAAGCAATTATGGATTGTCCTTTTAGAATGAAACGTCTTTAAGAATCAAGGATTAGGCATATCATTCTTTATCGTTTTTGGCAAGCCATTGTTCCTTAAAAGAACACTCCAAGCACCATAACCACTACAACATGCTGTAGTGCTTATGGCACCTGTGGTCAATATGTGACTTTTTCGCCAGCACTATTTCCTATGGAGAACTTAGAGCTTCCTTTAGCTCTTTTGAGCCAAGTCGTGCCTAGAAAGCTTCTGTCTCTTCATAGAATTAGTGGAGGAAGGGATTGGTGTCTGGTAGACCCCAGGTAAGCAATCAGCCCATTCTAAAATAACTTAAGCTCTAGCAATGGGGATGACAGGTCACTCCTTGCACCATAAAAACGATAGCGCTATGTAATAGATACTTGGAGTGTTCTGTTAGAGAGCTAAAACACTTTGTTTTTGAGACTTAATCATATTTTGCTTTATTGCATCACATTGCCCTGTGATTACATCTGCTTTTATAGCATACAGAGTGTATAACAAACATGCTGACAGATTGAAGCAGAGGTGGCAGCTTATAATCGCTGGCGGACTGCTAGATCACCATGCACTACGTGGCAAATGTTTCTGCTGCAGTGCTGTCGTAGACTGTTATTGATAGAAGCCACAATGTCTCAGTCCTAGAAAATCTAGATAGAGTGCTTTGTCATGCCATAAAACATCTGTACGAATCCTGATATAGTGCTCCTGGGTACCACATTCGAGTGTTGCCTTTATGGTATAATAAAGCATTTTATCCTAGTTAGCTTGGTGGCATTTTCATTTGGGATCTTCCTAGGGGGAGAATGTGAGTCTGTCGCTCTGTGTACCAATACACATCCAGGCAGGCCTCTGTTACATGGGTTGATGGATTGACTGCCAAGTGCATTTTTATTCATTGTAAATGTATGTTGCTGTATTACACATCACTTTTATAAGATATGCCATTGATACTGGCTAAAAGATCAATTTTAATCGAAATGACCAAAATTAAAATCAGCTTTTAAAAAATATATATATATTTTTTTTTCGTATTCGGTTTGTGCAATTCAAGTTATATGTAGATAGCTTAGCTGGTTAGTGCAACAACTATAGACCTATTTTGAAACCTCTGGACTGCAATTTATTTTACCATTCGAGGAAACATATTTGTTTTATTTTTCTGTGGTTGATTTTTGAAAATGTACTATTGTACTGCATTCAGTAATACCATCTTTACCCCAAGACATACGTTAGAAAAAAAAGTATAGAAACATTTAAGATTGTTAAAAAATAAATATATATATATATATATATATATATATATATATATATATATATATATATATATATGTATATATAAAATGTCTATGTACAGAGTTCTTTTTAAGGTTTTTTTTGATCTTGTCTTGCTGGTTGGGAAATTTTTCTCTCTGGAGAAAAGTCCTTGCTTTTAAAGGACCACTATAGTGCCCTGAGGGTGCCCCCACGCTCAGGGTCCCCCTCCCGCCAGGCTCTGGGGAGAGGAAGGGGTTAAACTTACCTCTTTCTCCAGCGCTGGGCGGGGAGCTCTCCTCCTCCTCTCCTCCCTCTTGTCTTCCTCTTCGGCTGAATGCGCATGCGCGTCAGGAGCCGCGTGCATTCAGACAGTCCATAGGAAAGCATTGACAATGCCTTCCTATGGACGCTAGCGTCTTGCACGCAAGCACCTCTAGCGGCTGTCAAGAGACAGCCACTAGAGGCTGGATTAACCCTAACATAAACATAGCAGTTTCTCTGAAACTGCTATGTTTATTTAAAAAAAGGTTAACCCTAGCTGGACCTGGCACCCAGACCACTTCATTAAGCTGAAGTGGTCTGGGTGCCTATAGTGGTCCTTTAAAGTTTGCAATAGTGGAGCCGTTACAAGGGGATTGCAGATTTTAGAGTAAATAGAAGACATGGTATAATTCTCCAACTGGGCTATCAGGAGTTTACTAAGATTGTGCAGTGGGGTGGCATATAATCTCTTGTCATTCTAGTGCAGTAAAGAGTTAGCTTGTATTGAGCCTAACCTTAGAAATATCAGAAAGGGCTCTAAATCTGCCATTCTGGCCGAGTCTTTAAGATCTGATGTTACTCTTCCTGTTTCAGAACCTCTGAAGATAAAGATGAAACACTAACTGTGATCAATGTTTACTGCCCTCGGGCTGACCCTGAGAAGCCGGAACGGAAGACCTACAAACTGCGCTTCTATCACTTGCTGCAAATACGAGCAGAGGCCATCTTGAAGTCGGGAAGGTGAGACTCTGGGTCAGTGAAAATGTTAAGACCCGTTATAGGAGTAAAATAAATCTCAATGGCTAAAAATGTCTGATATCTCTGTTGCAGCCATGTCATTATCTTAGGAGATGTGAACACCTCCCACAGGCCTCTCGATCACTGTGACCCAACGGATCTGGTGAGCTGGGAATCCTTTTCTGATATCCAATGTCTGTTTCCTGTGTATCGTCACCCAGGAATCTATATTCTCCATCGTAGCTTACATTGTAAAGGTTCCTTCATTTTATTAATGCCGCTTATCTAGCACATTGCCTCGGTTTTACCTTTTTAATTATACTAAGTTTGGGTTCTATGCTCTGTTAGTCCTGGGAAATGCAACCTGGACTTTTTTTTTTTTTTTTAGAGTCTTCTCTTTTATCCTTCAACTTCTCAACTCCTTTGTAGGCCGTCTAGCTAACTTTGTTTATTTCATAAATAATATCCTCTATTCACAACCTCCTGTCTTTGTCCTATTTTATTCCATTTAAGTAAACTTGCATTGTAGAGCAGGAAAACATTAAAGTGGCTCTGGGTACATTATCAGCATACCTTTATTGCATTTTATAGATTTTGGAAACTTAATCAATGTGTGTTTCTCTCCATACTCCAAAACGCTACTACTAGTGCTACTACCCCCAGAAAAATGTTGCTACTTTCTGCCACATAATGCCTACCCATTAGCCACACCTTATTTTCAGAAAACCACTTTCCGATTGGAAGGTAAGAAGTTTAGCTCAGCCAATGGGAGAGCCAAGTTGCTGACGTGTCTCCAACCCCCAGCAAATCACTGTCCTCTTATTATCTGTATTGTATTTCAAAGATGTGCTAAGCGGAACTTGGGAGAATAACAAGAAATGTTGTGATTGGCTCCGGGGCGAGTCATGTCAGCAATTTGGCTCATTCTGCTGGCTGAGTTGAGTACGCACGAAGGGTTCTGATAAGATATTTTGTGTGTTATGAAAAGGGGAGGTGTGGCTAAGGAGCTGGATTTATGCTGCAGAAAGCAGCAAAACATTTTTTTTTTTTTTTTTTTTTACAAAGCTAAAGAGATTTTAATTTGGAGAAGAAATACATAGAAATATGAGGCCCAAACCATCAAATTAACTTGCCCAAAGCATGCCTGGAGTGTCTTTGTAAGGTTTACTGTCCTTCTCTTTAATTCAAAACTCCAAGGCTTTACCAGAAGTTCTTGGAAGCTGCATATAATTTTTTTTTCTGCAATCTGCTGTAGCTTACTTTTATCTTACGTACAACTCTCTTTTTTACTTAGGAAGCTTTTGAGGAGAACCCAGGACGTCAGTGGTTGAACCAATTTCTCGTTGAGCCAAAAGCAGTACAAAGAGAGGATTCCAGTCCTGTAACTCCATCTAAAATGGATTACTTCTTGGACAGTTTCCGGTACTTTCACCCCACTCAGAGAAATGCCTTTACCTGCTGGTGTTCAGTGTCCGGGGCACGGAAAACCAATTACGGAACCCGTATAGACTACATTTTAGGAAACAAAAGCCTTGTTGAACTGCAGTTCTTGGATTCCATTATCATGCCAGAGGTGGAAGGATCAGACCACTGTCCTGTTAAAGCATTTTTGAAATGCCATCCTCTGGCAGCATCCAAGTGCCCTCCTCTCTGCACCAAATATCTCCCAGAATTTGCAGGTAAGCAGCAGAAGCTTTCTCAGTTTCTGGTGAGAAATGACAAGGATTTGGGGGGCAAGTTTGGAGAAAACAAAGAACTGCCAGATTCACAATCTTCTACGGAAGGAACTGAATCTATTTTTGCTCGGAAACGGCCTTCAGAGAAGGTAAATGGAAATATTGTTAAAAAAAGCAAACCAGCTGTGAAGGGGGGACAGGGAAGCCTCCTGGGATTTTTTAAGCCAGTAGTTCACAAAGCAGACCAATCACAAGGACAGACAAAAAGTGAGACCTGTTTTGAACAGAACAAACCGAAAAACCCAGTCCAGCAGAATCCTGCACCTCTTTCTATCATGTCCAAAGGAACTCAACCACAGGCAGCATTCTGGAAGTCATTGCTGAAGGGCCCACCTCCCCCACCCAATTGTAAAGGCCATGGTGAACCCTGTGTCCTGCGAACAGTAAAGAAAGCTGGACCCAACTGTGGCCGTCAGTTCTACACATGTGCAAGACCCGACGGTCACTCATCCAACCCACAGGCACGGTGCAACTTTTTCCTTTGGGTTAACAAGAAAACCGGACATGAGAATGCAAGTTAAATATTGTAATTCTTCCAACTGCTCAAAGTGAAAATGAGAGCAGAGCTTACAACCACCTCCACCTATCTTACAATTGAAGATTACATCCACATCCTCTAGCTTTCATCAGACAACAGTTTGAGATCCACAACCCACTATATTGTGGATGGAGATGACTATTATACTATTTGGAACCACATTCTAAATATGGTGCTAATTAATAAAAAAAAACATTTAGGTGACGTTTGGTTTTATACCAGAATGTGTTAAACTGTAGTTTTACAAAAGCTAGGGAGTCCACCTTTTGGTCATACCTTTTCTGTCCAAAATGCACATTTAGTTTTTTATATACAAGTGTCCTCGCTATACAATATGCATTTCTAATAATGGTGTTGGCATTTATACTTCAATTGTGTTGACATGTTCAATAATAATTTTTTTAAAATATATATATTTTCGAGCAAATCATTTGCTCTTAAATGTACTTCTAACATAAAGTATAGTTCAAAAGGCCTTTTGTCCACTGTGTGTGTGTTTCTTTCTTGACTACCTTTTTTCTGTATCTCTGATATTTTAGAGAGAGCACCAGCTCATGGGTTTTAAACTGTTTTTGAATGGCCTCTCAGGCCTCTCTACTGCTTCTGCATTAGCCCGTCGACCCCTCTCAGTTTATGACAGCTGCCCATCACTGGTTTGAGTTGGCATGGCTAAGGCAGAGTGTAACTCCACTTTAGCCGTACCTCTAGTGGTAACATGATTGGGGCAGCCAGGGACCCTTGTTCAGTGTTAAACTGTTCGAAAACAGCTTAACATTGAACTGTGAACTCCAGGTACTATAATCACTTTTGTGAGATTGTTATGGTGTCTCGTGTGTCCCTTTAATCAATAATATTCTTTGGGGAAAAAATGCTCTACAAATAAAGCTTGAAAACGTAATTTATCCCTTTCATAAAAAAATATTTTAAAAATGTGCATAATATTTTTTGGGGGGAAAGGCCAAAAAAGTGCCTTTTTTTTTTTTTTTTCTTTTTTTTTTTTTTCAAATTACATGGCATTTCTTTTCATTGACGCTTCTCTTTATATGTGAAATTTTCATATCGGTTTTCCACAATTCCTGTTTTAGTGAATAAATCCTTATATATACATATTAAGGCTCGCAACATGAAGGAGCCAGGTGCAGGATCGGCGCGTCCTATATGCGACTTAGGCAGTCGCCTAGGGTGCACCAGCCCAGGGGGCGCCAGACTTGAGTAACCCGGTAGGAGAGAAGTGCACTGCGCTCCCTCCTGCCAGTCACTCAGTGTAGGGTTGCCGGGCGGCACGGACCCTGGCACAGTAGTTCTGTTTCCTGTACCGGGCTGGATTGAAAGGAAGTGCTCTCTGTGAGCTCTTCCTGTCAGTATGGCCGGGTACAGGAAACTAAACCTCCTGTACCGCGGTCTGCGCCACCTGGCCACGCTACAAAGAGGTAGGAGACAGCACTGGGGTGTTTGGGGGAAGGCTGCACTAAGGCACACTGGGGGGGGTAGGTGGAAGACTGCACTAAGGGACAAGGGGGGAGGGAGAGCAGTAAGGGAACTGGGTGGGTGGGGGGGGAATGTGCAGGGGAGAGCACTAAGGGTCAGAGGGAGCAGGTGTTATAGATCCAATTTGATCTTTTTGTTATATTCGGGGGAACCCAAATTATTTTCAAGTGCACTTGGAAAAGTGTGACTTAGAAACCAGACTCGTTGGTTATCAAAAGAAGCCTCTTACCTTTATTTTGTCAGTTGTGTTTTTATACATTAAAAAGTCAGTGCTTACGAGCAAATACTCATAGAACAGTAGTAGTAGTAAGGGAGTGAAAGGGTGAAGCGAGTATAGATAAGACAGGGATGAACGTCATGTACATATAACAGATAAGTTCCGGGAAAGAGAATGAACAGACTGATTTAGGAGAGACAGCTCAGGTGGGGGCTATCTGCTCCAGGAACTAGACATATATGGTCCTAAGAGTCGTTTTAAGCATTTTTCAGAGTCCAAGTTAGCCCATTTTAATATAGGCTATCTAATAAGATCCCTATAAGCTTGAACCTTGGAATCAAAGTAAATTCTTTCACATGGGGCAGGTGAGATCACTAAGGGATAAGAGAGGATGGGAGAGAACTAAGGGCAGGACGGGAAGGGAGAGCACTTAAGGGATGGGGAGAAGTGGTAGAGATCATTAAGGGATGGGGGGGAGTGTAAGAGTCACACAGAGAGACTGAGGAAGGGGTGAAAGAGAAGCACAGAAGGGCTGGTAGGGGAAACAGAAACACACAGAGGCTCAGGAGAGAGACACCCCCATCGCTTTTGAGGGAGACACACAGAGGGGCCTGGGGGGAAAAGAGACACACCAAGGCGCTGGGAAGACTAAGACACAAAGGGGCTTGGGTGAGTAAGACACGCAAAGGGCTTTGGAGGATGTAGGAGACATACAAAGAGGAGGAGAGATAAGAGACACATAAGGGGCTTTCAAGAGATACATTAAAGGGGGGAGTAAGACACAAAACTTAAAAAGATATACAAAAAAATGATATTAACAAAATAAATATAATAAAAATAAATAGCTGCTCCCCTCACAGCCTCTATCCTACCCTGCAAACTTCTTTCACACCACACACATACACAATGCATCCTTACACATACACACAATGCATGCCTACACACACATGCACAGAAACATACAATGCATCCCATCTCGCATATAGACACACCGAAATAGGGGGGAGCGGCAAAAATCTTTGCACCGGCCCTGGCCAAGTATAAATGTTCATCTCAACCAAGTATCTCGCGCAAAACCCCTATGAAAGGAAATGTATCCAAACTTAAAAGGATAGTCGAGCCCCCTAAAGCACTTTAGCTTGCTACGGTGCTCTGTGTGAGGAGCGTGTCCTTGTGTTTTGTTTTTTTAAAAAAGGGGGAGGGTGCAGATTTCAATAGAAATGGTCACTCTATAAATGAGCCTTTTTACACCTCCTAGGCTCTCAATCAGACCACAGGTCCTGTTTCTTCCTGGTTTGGTTAGCTAAGTGGAGCTAATCTCATGAGGCAGCAATTTCTTAGAGCACCTGCCTTGCCTTCTCATTGAGGTGCTTTGGGAAGTCTGTGATTGGACAGCCACAGCAAACCTGGGTGGGGTTAGAAGGGGAGGGCTTGCAAAAGCAGCCGATAAGAGATATGCAGCTTTCACAAGCTATTTTAAGATATTCCCTCTATGAAAAAAAATTATTATTAAATGAATACAGGTTTTCATTTGTGGTATATCTACTAAACAGTGACTTTTTTTCTGTATTTGGGCAATGAAGTGTCCTTTCAATTTTTCACCTAATGCATTCCGTGCTCGATGCACTTTTTTCTTACGCTATTGTGACTGACAATTGACAGTGTGTCTCTACAGGTGTTTAATGCCAAGAGAGAGGAAATTGCTATCTCTCCCTCCTGTAAATCTGCCAACTGTTGGCCTCGGTGTCTTTGAAGTCCCCAGAAGTTATTTTCTGTTACCTGCAGTTCTGTCGCCTGCTACAGTGCTGTTCCTGGAGTGTTTGTTGTCCCTGTGCAAGAGGAGGAAATGAATACCTTTTACTGGGCACCAACCCCCATGTCACCTGGTTGACTGCAGGAGGTGGTTTAAGGGTCTAGAGTTGCACAGAATGCATGTGTCCTGGTTGATTATATTTTTCTACCTGTTCTATGTTAAAGGGACTCTCCAGTGCCAGGAAAACAAACCAGGTCCCCTCTCCTTCCCAACCCCCATCCCAAGTTGCTGAAGGGGTTAAAACCACTTCAGTGACTTACCTGTATCCAGCACCGATGTTCCTCGGTGCTGGTTCAGGGTCCGCCCATGCTCTTCCCCTGCGACATCATCTGGCGGGGGAGACCTAATGCGCATGTGCATTAGACCTCCCCATAAGAAAGCATTGATAAATGCTTTCCTAAGGGGATTTCAGCGACGCTGAACCGCCTTACACAGCGTGATGATGTACAGCGACGCTATAGCACACGGAATGCGTGCTATACACACGGAAGTGCCCTCTAGTGGCTGTCTAGTTGACAGCCACTAGAGGAAGAGTTAACCCTGCAAGGTAAATATTGCAGTTTATTAAAACTGAAATAATTACACTTGCAGGGTTAAGGATAGTGGGAGTTGGCACCCAGACCACTCCAATGGGCAGAAGTGGTCTGGGTGCCTGGAGTGTCCCTTTAAATGTTGTATATATTGTGTATCAATATTGTTTTTGTATTTTATTCTAACCTTTTGTATCAATGCAATGTTTTGTGAACCCAGGACATACTTGAAAACAAGAGAAATCTCAATGTATCCTTCCTGGTAAAATATTTTATAATTAAATAATATTAAATATCAAATTATGCAGAAACTATTCCTTTTACTGCACATTGTCAGCATTAATTCATTTACACCTGATGGTCATGTGCCAATTATCATTGTGTGCCAGGGTCTTCCCAGGCAGTGAGGAGCAATTCCACACTTCCCCGGGCAAAACGTTCACTATTTCAACGGCTAGTCCTGAGTGGTAATTCAGATCCTGCTTATTTATACACCGGGACATTTACTAAACCAAGAATTGTGGTGAATTCAACAGAGAATTTTACATTTTATCCCACATTGAAATAATAGTTGACTTAGACATTGATTTTTCATTTTGTGTATACTGGTCTTAAATTACTGGTCAGTTATTGGTTTAATGACTAATCTCCCCCCTAATCTCTTTTTTTTGTGTGTAAATTTCACCGTGAAATTAAGAACCCATTCCTATTATTTTTATTTTGTTCTAATCGTTTATTCCTGGGTGGTTTCTCCGTAATTAAATCTGGTTGGAATTATTTGTTAATCCCTCTGCTCTAATTTGAGGGATTAAGAAGATTCTATTAAGACGAACTTTCCATTCAGTACCCTAATTAAAGGTTAGAGATATGCCTGAATTTTAATCTCTCTTGTGAGTTTTCTACCATCCCCACCCTATTCCCTGTGCTTGGATTACTACAATATATATCTTTGTATTTTTTTACAGATAACTTTGCTATTTTGACTACCACAGTCAGGTTGTATTAAGATATTTCTGTTTATATTCACTTTGGTGCCACTTGACGTTTTTCCCATTATGGTCTTTTGTTTGTCTTTAAAAAGAACACTAAATATTCCCCTGAACATCCCTCTTTTACAGCTGACCTTTTTCCCCACGCAATCCCAGCCCTTCCTTGTGGAAATGTACGGATATTTCTGTATCTGAGTTCTTTGCACAGGTGATCCGCATTCAGTGATTGTTTGATAAAACATTTGTACGTTTCATAAAATATCCAGCTGTGCATGTCATTCACTTAGATGATAACCTGTGGGACACATGATGGGAAAAAGCACAGACAAACTTTTTTGACTCTATTTGAATAGTGTTGGACAAGGGAAGAAATCTAAAAGGTGTGTGTATATATTTTTTGTTTTTTTCATTTATCAACAGTGTTGTTTAGTGTTTGTACAAGAAAGGACAGTCTAAACACCAAAACCACTTAATTGTTATGTAGTTGTGTATTATTTGTTTTGGCATACAACATACCCTTTTTTTCTTTTTTTTTACTGAAAATGTAAAGCATTACTATTTCAGATAAATGTTTACATTGGCCTGAGGATATGCCACTAGTGGCTATCAGATTGACAGCCACAGGAACACAAACATGTATTCATAACACTATCTAGCCCGCCTGGTCCCCGCATTGCCCCCCGAAACCTAGCAAAATCTTACCTTTACTCCAGTCTGCTGCTGCTGGCTCTGCCCCTGATCTTCCTGCTTGGCAGACATCATCAGAAGTGATTCTGTCAGCCAATCACAATGCTTTCACATTGGATTGGTTGAGATTGTCAGGGGGCAGAGTCAGCACAAGCCAAACACAGCCCTGGACAATCAGCATCTCTTCATAAAGATACATTGAATTAATGCATCTCTATGAGTAAAGTTCAGTTTCTCCATGCAAAGTTTGGAGACCCTGAATGGCAGTGCTGCGCACTGTGCAGCCCTGCCCCAGGAAGCCCCTCTAGCAGCCAGTGGAGGTATCCCTAGGCTGTAATGTAAACACTGCATTTTCTCAAAAAAGACAGTGTTTACTGCCAAAAGCCTGAAGTTAATGATTATACTCATAAGCACAAATACAATAAGCTGCAGTTGTTTTTTTTGGTGACTATAGTGTTCCTTTAATCCTTCATTATAAACATTGCACCCAAATCACCTCATTGAGATGAAGTGATCCTCAGTGTCACAAGAAGTGTGATTTAATGTATGTAGCAGAACATTTGCAGAGAATATAGGCACGTTTAATTAAAAATACAAGTCTTCCAAAAAAATAAATATAAAAATAGAGATCACACCAGTGTTAGGTTTATTGTCAGTTTTCTTTGTGTGAACACTTTAAACTTCAAAAGTCCTTGTTAAACCATGGACCCCTCAACACCTGGAAACAGATGCTAGAATATTTAAATGTGCTTATTTATAGACTGACTGTAACATTACAAAAAATAATGAACACAATGGGCATTATTTATTTAACAGTCACCTGAAAACTAATATATATATATATATATATATATATATATATATATATATATATATATATATATATCCTTTCAAAACTTGATAAAAAGGTGATTATATTTATATAGTTTTTGAGGTGACATTTGTCCTTTAAGACATAACTAAGTGAACTTGAAAATATACTTGTGCATATGAATATGTATTTAATGTAGATATGTTTAAATAAATGCCCTATTTGTGACTAAGAACTAGCTTTATATGTTATATAAGTTATATATGTATAGGAGGCAAGGTATGGGAGCAGATAACATTTGCACTATGCCACAATATATAGAATAGTGCTGGTGGGGGTTGGAGGGTGTTGGACTCTTGGTAGACCACCAGATTCCAATATGTCAGCTGTTAGTATTTGTCATCTCGGCACACCTAGTTGGAACAGAACTAGGAAAGATCTTCATTCTGAATTGTTGATGTGGCTTATGACTGGTTGGGTTACCACTGCAATGTCGGATGCCCTTCTATAAAACAGATGGTAATTGAATTGGCATAGTATAATACTGCATCTAAATCAATGCTGCTCTTTAGGACACAGTTTTTATAAATAGGCTCCCATTAAAGGGTAACCTGACCCCCCATATTATGTGAGGTGTAGGTGTAAGGAATAAGCTGGTGTTCGCTGGGATAGGAAATGTGTATATATATAAATCACGCGTATCTTCTGATATGATGGTTTGCGGAGGTTTCATGGCTATTTTCTGGACTTAGTGAAGATATGAGGTTTGATTTACGCATACATGGTGATGTACTTTGGTTCCATGTTCCCAAAGTAGGTGCGCTCCCATTCGCTCATCAGATCAAAGTGCAGGGGACGGTGGCAAAAATTGCATTCTGCGGCAGAGGGCAGCTGGGTAGGCATGCCAACTTCTTTCCATGTTTTCAACAGGCTCTCTATAACAAATAGAGGGTGGTCAGTCATACCAGTAGTTTGATGGTAGCAAAACTTCGTTAAGCTATTTGTTTTAAAATAGCAGTCTGTGTTGTTAATCTGGCAAACGCACTATATGCTAAAGCAGAGCATTCTGTGGTTTTATTTTATTGCCTCTTAAATATCGTATTGGAATGTGAAAAAAGGAAAAAAAAAAAACATTCTTGTACTTACCCACAAAGTAGCTCATCATTACTGGAGTGTGGTGTGGAGAGGGAGCCAGTCGCAGCAGCTCTTCCCCACGGGGGACAGTCGGGTAATTGATAGCCTGCACGTAGATGTTGTATTCGGACAAGAGGACATCACAAATCCTGGTATTTAGAGCTGCGTTCCCAACCTGCGGGTTTAAAGAATAACAGCTTCAAAATCTCCAGGTCCCTTCCATACTCAGGTTTTTAAAGATTCAAGTAATTTAGAAAGATTGATTTAGGATCTGGTGTAATTTAAGCTAAAGTGCATAGTTTTTCAGTGGTTACACCGTTTATCTTTGAGAACTAGGTCTATGTGTTAAAATCCAGTCACGTGGTATGCATTAAAGCAAGATAGAACATGGTGCATCAGACACATGGGTCGCTTGAGAGTCGAGACCTACCTCAAATCCAGAATCTAGGTACGATCTAGGCAACCTTCAGCACTTCATATGTTTTGGACTTCATCCCCCATAGTGCTCTTACAGCCATCACTGGTGGAAAAGCATCAGGGGAGATGTAGTCCACACCATCTGGAGTGCCGAAGGTTGCCTACACTAGATCTAGGTACAGACAACATAACTGGTGTCATATTTTCTCTCAAATATCAATACGCAGAACAGAAATGACGATCTTTTAAGGTTCTACAACACATTTTTTTTCTTACGAACTGTATTTTGACAATGAAGCTGTAGTAATTTCCAAGTACATTCCATTCAACAGGCACCATAACAATTCCCCTTTCATTGCTCATGCATACCAGTAACATTAGATTTGGCATGTATCCATTCATTGAGTAATTAATCTTGGCACCAACCTTCTTTTCAAAATGTTTCCGTAGTAAACAACCATTTAATAAATAATCCCATGCATGAACCTAAAGGACCACTCAAGGCATCTGGACCACTTAATAATAATGTACGGGTCTGGGTGCTGTGGCCCTGTAGTTTAACCTTGCAATTTAAAACATTACAGTTTTATGCAGGGTAAACACAGCTCCATTGGCTGACTTTTAACTAGATTTTCCTACAGTCTATATCCCAGTAGGGACACCTAGAAAGAGATCCAAAGGCAACTTTCAAGAAGTCTCATGCCTTTTTTTCTACAGGAGCCCAGACATACAATCAAGCAATAGCATGGAATGCTCTGTTGCAGAAGTGGAATTTTCACATAGCGAATATTTTACCACTGATCCTGTTGATTCTCCAAGTTCTGGAATCAGAACTTGTTGAAGTTTTCCTTCCTACTCCTATTGCTGTTGTAGAATATTGCCTATTCTATGTTTCTATTGAGTATATATGGATGTGTGGATTGACATAAGTAACAGATGGTATAAGTCACAAGGCTTTCTTTGTCCGAGAGCTCTGGAATGTGGATTTGAGGGTTTTGGCCTTATATGGCTAGAGTTATACTCTGACGTCAGTATGGGCACTTCTATATAGTAACTGAACAAAGGGACACGAGGTCTATCGGCTCTTGGCTCTCTTTCCTGTGCAAGATGTAACTCTCCTATAAGAGGTCCAGCAATTACCATCTGCTGTTGAATGTCCATTATCCTGTAACATCCTTTGTTGTTTTATTATGTCTCAGTAACTAAGAATAAACCTGAAGAAACCGTAAGTCAGATTGCATATTAGTACTTTTCATTAATATTGACAAATATTAACGTGCGAGCATTTGGCCAGATTTTACATTGGCGAGCCAGCCAGGAGAGAGAGAGACCTCGTGTCCCTCTGTTACTATATAGATGTGCCCATACTGACCTCAGAGTTTAACTCTATCCATATAAGGACAAGACCCCCAAATCCACATTCCAGAGCTCTCAGACAAAGAAAGACTTGTGACTTATACCATCTGTTACTTATGTCAATCCACACATCCATATATAATCAATAGAAACATATAATATGCAGTATTCTACAGCTGTGCTCTACCAATCCCTTACTGTTTCTATTTTATGGAATTGAGAATGGTGAATTTCATGGCTGTGAGTAACAGAGTGGACGTGATTTGATACTTTTGAAGATAGGTTCTGGTCCCTCCCTTCATACCGTTGAGGATTGTCTTTTTTTTCTTCTGTGGCCCAGATTCCTCTAGTTCAGGCATAGGCAACCTTCGGCACTCCAGATGTTTTGGACTACACCTCCCATGATGCTTTGCCAGCAATATAGGTGTAAGAGCATTATGGGGGATGTAGTCCACAACATCTGGAGTGCCGAAGGTTGCCTATATCTGCTCTAGTTCTTCTTCTTCCTTGGAAGATCAATCGGAACTGACCAATATTATAGGTCTGCTAATCCAAGGACCACCTGTATATCCAGTACCACCAGCACTGAATGACCGGCCTTGAAATTAGTTTTTTTCTAAACTTTTGTATCTATGAAGCAGTGGTGGATACTCAGATCTACGAAGGCTTCTACTTCTGCATCAGTGGCACATTCTTCTAATATAAGCAAGGATGTTTTCTGTACCCACCCAGAAGTGATATCTTAAAAATAATCTCTAGCTGTTGAGTAAAAGAGATGTAGACAATATCTTGTAAAAAAAAAAAAAAAAATACACTCTGTTGATTAAAATAAAGTTGTATTTATATCCATTATAAGGCTTTCTTCCTACGGCAAGTTTGACTTCGCTTTGCAATTACACGGCCTGGAGGAGGGGTACCCTTTTATGCTTTAATTAGAATTTCTTTTTTTTTGCCCTATCTTGACAGTTGAGGATGGAGCAAATCCATAATCTGTCATGGAGAATAGCCAGTGAAAGCAAACTATGGTAAGTACTAGATATATTTTCTATTTTTTAAGGACATTTTGCTCCTACATGATAGGATTCGAGACTGAAGAAAGCTACACTTGTTAAACCAGTAAGTGCTCAAAGCAACCTGCTACTTACCCTAATAGGGATGATGTGGCTTGGGCAGTTGATGACTGGTAGCCCTGCGTCCATCAGCAGCTGACGCATGTGCTTCACGTTTCGCTGATGAGCACGACGGAGTGATTGTCCTTCTTCACTCTTAAGAACCCGCACGGACTCCAAAGCACCAGCGAGCACCATTGGTGGGAGGGATGTGGTAAAAATGAAACCAGCTGCGTAGGAGCGCACTGTATCTATTAGAGAAGCTGCACTTGCCACATAACCTCCCACACAGCCAAATGCCTTCCCTAGAGACAAAGGAAATATATATGATTATTAATGATAATTGATCATCACAGTTGACACCATGTGACCAGCACAATATGCTAGTCATCCCCACATGAGTTTGAAACATTCTAAGAATGGAATGACATAAGTTATGGTAACTCCTGGAGCACTCCTCCACCATGACTGCATTGATAATGTGGAATTAACACTTCTGCGTCATCATTGGCAATTCAATCCAACCTGCGTGGAAGTGATTGGTTGATAGAGCTTGAGGCAGATCAAGATTTGTGTCCAGATTGGATGAAATTGCCATTGATAATGTGGAATAATTCTCCTAAAAAAATATCAAGATGACCAAGGAGGGTCTTAGGAAGAGCAATGGTTTCACTTTAAAATTAGGAACAGCACAAGGATACTCTTGGCAATATAACCACTCCAGACAGCTACAGTGGTTATGTTACTTAGTGTCCCTTTAATTTGAAGAAACTGTCTGCACTGGGAGAGAAGATGGTTAGTATGGAGTGGCTAGCTATACACGTCTAGGTGTGTGAGAGAATGGCTAATAAGATATACTTGTGTGTGATTTAATAGGTTTGGGTGAGAATAGGCCTAATAAGGTGAAAATGTCTTGTTTGTATTTTTTCTGGCTGACACTTGTTGACCATCAATTCTATTCGAAATTTGTCAAAGAAAAATTATTACTCTAGATCATGGGTCGTCAACCTGGTCCCTACCGCCCACTAGTGGGCGTTTCAGGATTCCAGGTGGGCGGTAGGGATTTTCTAATTTTGAGAGACTAGGCGGGTGCGAGCCGGCGGTACCCCTGCGACTGGGTACCGCCATCACCACTTGCGGCCCCGGCCCGCGCGGCAAACCGCCGGGGACGCATATGGAGGGGTCTATCGGGTGGCCCATGCTGTCAGGGCCACCCGATGGATATGGATTGTGAGGAGGCCCGGCCAGTGCTGGGCGCTTTAACAGATTACATCACAAAGCTGGGAGGAAGTGACTGCACGTCACTCCTCCCAACTAAAACTGAGAGCTGCGCGGGAGGAAGACCAGGGAGTCAGAGTGGGAACTCTGACTCCCATCCACCTGAGCCACCACTGGACCCCAGGGAATGTCACCTTCCTGCACCTAAAAGGTAGGAAACAGGAGGGTGACTAAAATATTCTGTGTGTGTTTGTTTGTGTATGTGTCTTTGTATGTATGTCTTGTGTGTGTCTGTCTGTATGTGTGTATGTATGCGTGTCTTATGTATGTGTCTTTGTATGTATGTGTGTGTCTTTGTATGTGTCGTGTGTGTGTGTCTGTCTGTATACATGTGTGTGTGTCTGTATATGTGTTGTGTGTGTATGTGTCTTTGTATGTATGTCTTGTATGTGTCTTTGTATGTATGTCTTGTGTGTGTCTTTGTATATGTGTGTCTGTATGTGTGCCTGTCTGTGTGTCTGTATGTATGCATGCCTGTCTGTTATAGTGGGCTTTAGTAAGTAATAGTAAGTGGGATACCTAGCTCAGCCTTCCTACTGGGCATTGATATAAGGAAGGTTAAAAAACAGAGAAGTCGTCTGAATATCACCGAAAGAGGAGACCTTTGTTTGTTCCTTACGAAAATCAAACCAGATATCAAATATTTAGTCTCGCAGCATCAACCTCAAGGATCTCATTAATCACTAGTAAAGGTAATTTCAATTTACTTTATTGTTTTCTCATTAAACTTTATAAAGTTAAAAACATTATAAACATGCATTAAGTAGAAATAAAAAGATAAATGTACATACATTTATCTTTTTAAAAACACCCTCCTTTCTAAAAAATATTCCGCACTTGCGTGAAAACTGGTGGGCAGTAAGGAAATTTTTTCAACCAAAAAGATGCATTAGTGGGCGGTAGGTAGAAAAAGGTTGACTACCACTGGTCTAGATTATGTTCTTGGAACACCTTTTTAATAAAATTATTTTGAGATAATCCGTGTCTATCAAAACAATTTTTGAAACTCCTAGTTTATAACCTATTGCATTGGCACAAACATTCTAAAATACTTTTTTTTTTACACTGTTCAGTATATTTAGTATAGTCATAGTTAGTCGGAATAAATCCTAGTAGGAGATAATGTTCTGCTAACATCAGACCCTGCTGGCCTCTCAAATAAGGTGCAAGTCATGTGGTAATCTGCTATATCTAAGAACACTTTCTTCTTAGTCCACAAAAATGATTACCATGCAGTGTACCTCCCAACAGTTCAACTGGTTATAAACGAACACTTGATTTAGGTGGTGTTGGTAGGGAGATGAGCATCGAGTGGGCTGTTTATTCAGAGAAGTCATATAGCACAAAGCTAAAGTCTTTTATCGCAGACTAATGTATAAACCCATGTATATAGAATGATTGGAGTCTGTAACACTTCTAGTGGCCATTGTGACGTTCCAGATTTTTTTTACATTTGTTGAGGGTGAGAGGACCACACCTGTCTTCAAAATCAGCCATTGTTCTCAGGCAGTGAAGGCCTAGTTTCAAGTGAAGAGCGATACAGTCAAGAGAATTCCATGTTATGTTAAGGGATTATACATAGGGATTAGAGCGTACAGCCCTGCATCATGGTCTGTATCGACACACGCCATTATTACTGCGCACTAATAACCGCCAACACCATTAACATTGTCTCTGCAAGGACAAGCGCTATTTTACTCTCATCATTTTATCATTGATAATTTAGCCATGATTGAAATACATCAGGTGCTTTTTAATTAAGCAATATATTATCACACATCTAAATTATTATATAAATGAACAGTTAACCCATATCAGCAGCCAGTCCCTGCTAATCACGCCATTTGGAGTTGAAATGGCCATCAATTTTTTAAACAGCTAAGTCTAATGTAATTTGTCAGGGTACCCACCTCAAGCCAGCTTCGTTCACTCACCTGTTCTGACACAAAATCACCAAAATGACACAGTGTGCCATTCTGGTGACAGAAAATTCATTGAGTTGTCCTCACACAGTCCAGTGTCGAAATAATGATCCTGAACATCGTTTCAGCCTCAAGTATGATGAGGCAAAATGGTGTAACCATACTTGTTTATAAAGCCAGGAGGACGCAGACTGTGTCATTCTGGCGTTGCACTTGTTTGACGTTTTTCCATTGTTCTGACAACATCAGACTCTAGGTCTGTGCCCTGTTGAGGTCTTTATAGTCTGATAGTGTCTTCTGTTTTGTTCTCTGATTTTTTAGTTATTGGCTTTGGCTTGTTTTTGATTATAATGATTTCTCCATTCCTGACATTGGCTTGTTTACATGTTTTATCGCTATTCTGTACTTCTTTTGACCTCCCTTTGTTCCTTGGCCATTCTTTTCTTTATATTAGCCTGGCCACCTTTGAGGACCGGTAAATACGCACTTTCCTTCGTACTGTTCTGTATGTGTGTGTTGGGACTCTGTATCATCTTGACACAACTCCTGTTATTTGTGTCTATATAATAAAATCATGTTAATTTGCTTACCTAGTGTTCCTGAGATAATGTCCATCTTATGCATGACTCCATCTCTCTCTCCAACGCCTGCTCCCCGGGCCCCGTACAATCCCACAGCATGAACCTCATCCACAAACGTAAGGGCCCCGTACTTGTGTGCCACATCACACATCTCCTCCAGGGGGCAAATTGCACCTGTAGGAGAATTAAAGAGAAAATAACGTTTATGAATACAAGCTTGCACTAGAAATGCGCTCAGAGAAATAAACATCACAGGTTCAAGTTTTAGGGAAAAAAAGTAGCCAAAGTAAAAAAAAAATCTCCTACTCAGCAGTTAATCCAGATCAATGGGTTTGGCCTTAAATTGGAAATGTAACAGTCAATTTTAAACAATTCATATTTTAGTGAATTACATTGATGGTAATGAGACGTTTGTGAAGACCTTTTATGTTCATTAATTTCTTTCACTTAAAATGGGCCTTGCATTTCCTAGTAATGTCCTAGTAACAGAAACATCAGATGAAACAAACGTACAACACACACACACACACACACACACACTCTCTTATTTGTTCTGATTTTAGTGCACACTTATCCAACAAATACAGTGAATACCTAGAACCGGGGTCAGCAAACTATAGCACTCTAGGTGCCTTTGCACAGCGCTCAAGGAAGCTAGAGACAAACACGCTCTGGTCTATCCGGAGTCCCAGTAGAACTTCAGTTAGCTACTAGAGCAAACAGAGGGGTGATTGCAGGTGGTGAGGGACAATTCTCAATTTACTCATTGCAGCACATAGAAGATGTGATCTCAGATCAATTCATCCAACCACTTGTGAACGGGAATCCACGCTGCAGGAGAGCATTCTTTAGCACCTATCTCAGCTCCTGCCCTTGACATGTACCTGGCTAGCCCGGTCCCCAATGGACCTCAGGGAAGCCACCCACACTTCTAGATATACACAGAGCTGCAGAATAAGGCTCCCCCTCACACAAAAATAAAAAAACAGCACACACACAGTCCCCACAAACACAACACCACTGACACTCACACAACCCCACAAGCAGCCCCACAAATACACACATCAACAAACAATTCCAAAAGCAGCCCCCACACACAGCCCACATTCATAGTTACCATACACAATACCACAAACTACTCATAAACATATACAATATAACAGCCCACATACGCACAAATATAACACTACAAAGCAACTGCGGCACCCGTAAATATGAAAAGCAGAATATGGCAACATACACACCTCAAATTAAAAAAAAACAGGACCAGCATTTTTTCAAATCCACTTGAACATTCCTAAAGGAACACTATAGTGACCTAAATTACTTTAGCTAAATAAAGCAGTTTTAGTGTATAGATCATTCCCCTGCAATTTCACTGCTCAATTCACTGTCATTTAGGAAAAACTGGTTTCACTTTCAAACAGATGTAATTTACCTTAAATAATTGTATCTCAATCTCTAAATTGAACTTTAATCACATACAGGAAGCTCTTGCAAGGTCTAGCAAGCTATTAACATAGCAGGGGATAAGAAAATCTTAATTAAACAGAACTTGCAATAAAGAAAGCCTAAATAGGGCTCTCTTTACAGGAAGTGTTTATGGAAGGCTGTGCAAGTCACATGCAGGGAGGTGTGACTAGGGTTCATAAACAAAGGGATTTAACTCCTAAATGGCAGAGGATTGAGCAGTGAGGCTGCAGGGGCAAGTTATATACACCAAAACTGCTTCATTAAGCTAAAGTTGTTCAGGTGACTATAGTGTCCCTTTAATAGAGTTGATTAGGTGTAGTTTTTTCCCCCCCACCATCAACAGTAAAACTTGTTAAATATACATATGTAAATATAATAACCTGTCAGAAAATATCAAATCTGCACAAGTGTGAAGTCCCTGAAAATATCTTCATCCAGCAGTATTCAATCTTCAATGTATAACTGTACTGTGTGAGTCTCTTTGTCCATGTCTAACATTGTATTTGGTATAAGTACGCTAAAAGATACAGATGAGAGAAACCTCAATATTTCTTTCCCAGTAAAAGATTTCTGATTGAACAAAAATCGACGACTACTTTGGGGGAGATTATGTCTTTTTAGGTCATATTAACGGAGGAATACAAGTAATTAACAAACCTTCTGGCCCCACCATGTGGTTATATCCTCAAGCTATATGTCTAAAGCTACTTCTTACTTCTGTAACTCATGTCTTATTAGATCATGAAACTGATGTTTTAGGACATATTCTAATGCAGGGTAAAGACAGATAAGACATGAAAAACAACACACACGCACACACACACACACACACACACACAAAACAAACAGAAATGACTTTACCATCCATAGAGTGGACAGTCTCAAATGCTACGATTTTGGGCCTCTTTGGATCTGATTTTTTAAGAATCTCCTCCAGATGAGCTGGATCATTGTGGCGGAAGACATATTTTGCGACACCACTGTTTCGGATGCCCTGGATCATAGATGCATGATTCCCAGCATCTGAGTATATCTCACAGCCTGGAGAAAATAAGAGGGTAAATGATTAGCAAGCACACGCAATCAGAATTAAGGGACCAGGCAGGCACCTGGTTAAAAAATAGAAGAGGCACTGGGCAACCCCTCTAAACCAGAAAATATGCATGATGCAAAACAGTAATTTAATCACAAATATCTTCTACTGTGTTATTAAAAGCGTCACACATATATTTGTGAATTAACAAATATTTCACATTAAAGTATCTTTTGTTAGCTATACATTCCCCTTAAGTATCATTACACTATAATATGTAGAGTAAAAATGCTTTTTGTGTTTTTTCACTCTACTGTTACGCAGATTACCCCATGACTATTAATACATTTTATCTACACTATGACAAGGTATGTGCAGGTCATCAATATTATATAATAATACTTGCCTGGCAACATCTTTGCCAAAGTGAAGAGAGTGGAATCATTTGCCACAAAGCAAGAGGAGAAGAGCAGAGCGGCATCCTTGTAGTGTAAGTCGGCCAGTTCATTTTCAAGGTCCACATGGTATTTGCTAGTTCCAGAGATGTTTCTTGTACCTCCTGCCCCAGCACCATGCTCTCTCAGGGTCTCCCTATTGGGTGGGATTGAGAGTATCATGTTAGGGATGCATAGTCCTTCTACAAACAATTCTCTCTTGAATCATAGATCAATTGGATTTCCCTCTGGATGAGCATGCTATTAAACATAATAGTTAATAAATTGTAACCTATCTATGCGTTAAAAAACATTTATGTACCAAAAGGTCTACTCACGAAATTGCTTGGAGCACCCTTGGGTGCCTGCTCATGCCCAGGTAGTCATTGCTGCACCATACAGACACTTCCTTCTTATCGCCCTGGAGGTCAGAGAAATCTTCAGCGAACGGGTAAGCATCGGCCTTGCGGTTCACAGTTTTGAACACCCGATACGTGTGGTCCTGTTTCTTCTCCTCAATCCTCCGGCTAAAGAACTCATCATAGCCAAAGGCAGCTCCACCTACACGTAAGAATGCAAGTTAAGGAACCACACCTGGTTTTAGAGGATGGTAAAGGACAGATTTATCCATAAGTACCTGACAGGTTTTCTTTAAGCAGATGAGTTGGTGTGAATGGAGCACCAGTTCCAAGATTTACTTTTTTAGGAGATCCAAGGAATTTGTTCTTCAGGCTTGTCTGAACTTCCATGAACAGGGAGCTTAGAGCATCTGTAGATAGGACAGAGATATGTCATATGAGTTTGTTTGACTCATACCCTTTAGGTAAGCTAACATCTCTAAATGCAATTATCTGCCTACTTCCTACAATTTAGACAAATAATAATAATAATAAAATAATACATAGTTCTTTTCTTTTTTTGATATTGTTCTACGCATTTCAAACCCTCAGTCATTTTTGGATATATATTTTTTTGCATGGCAAAAAGCTTGACTCTTTGTCTGAATATATCATTAGGAAGGACCTTCTGAAGTAGTGGTCCTACTTAGCTCTAATCCAGATGGTCGCAAGAAGAACTGAGACTGAAATAAAGAAATGCCAATTTCTCAATGCCAGCAAAGAACCAGCAAGTTAACAAACCCAAAGGGATCACAAGTAATATAAAAAAAATGAAATATTTGAGGTGACATAACCTTGCATTGTAAGCCGGTATGATTAGTAGAATCAACCTCCTGAAGCACAGTATATCAGATTCTGGCACACGGGACTGTCAAGTTTATCACAGTGAGCCATGATGCCAGGCTGGGCTGGTATTTAAGCAAATGTTTGTCTGCCATTCTGGGCTCTAATATCGCAGATCTAAATCTAAAAGTAAAGATGGGTTATGTTTATGACACTCGAACATCCAGTAAATGGAATACGAACATCATATATAATGGACTTGCTTGGAAAACTAGACCGAAGGGCTGTGCAAGAACTTTTATCGTTCTAGGCAAAGTTTGCTGCCCCACTTGTGCAGCCCACATCCTCTGCCATTTTTCCCCCAATCTCTTTAGCCTCTAGTTTCTCGCTGTCCGTTTTAGTCTTCCATTTGCAAACACTTTGTATGTCACTCTGTCCCTGTCTCACTAGGGACTCATCTCTGTATATGGGTAAAATATATATGAAAAATAATGAATATGACTTAAAAATTATAATAGCGCATGCACAAATATTTTGAGTTGTCAATGCCAATTTATGACCATCATAAACCTTCAAGAAATTTGATTCCTACACTGAGAAAGGATTTTAAACAGCCAGGGGCAGGTAAACCTACATTTTGTCAATGTACGCACAATTTAACAAATAATGCCCGTTTAATCGCTCTTCGATCTGTCCTCTTCATGTTATATTTGACCATCATTTATTTTCGCAAATACAATTCCAATATGTAACCTTGCATTCATCCTTAGAACTGTGATACGGATAACCTTATTTATTCCCATGGTTATGTCGAGTGCAAAGTTCTAAGGTAATTCTAAAGTAATACGGGGAGTGCCAAGGATTAACATCAGCATCATGTAACATTTCTAACACTTTCTCAGCTGTCTCTAAACGCCGCTATAAGGAATACCTGCTTTGAAAGTCTTTAAATCCTCCTGCACCTCCGGTCCAGCTCTTTGTACAAATACACTCTGTTCCTTGTCCATCTCTGTTTCAATAAATGGACACTTAGCATTGGCAGTCGCAGCCTGCGGGGCAGCTTGAGCGAGTGTACGCCTGTTGGTGGCTCCAGTGGAAACTAAAAAAGACAGATATCACATTGAGAGAATTCTGAAGCATCCCAAAAACTGATATTATAATAATGATAACTACTGATGTCATTTATTAGATTTTACACCAATTGTCTTTTAGCATTTCTGTTTAGTACCAATATCAATATTATCTGCTTCATGACAGATTAACGTAACACAGGAGTAGACACCCTTCGGGCACTCCAGATGTTGTAGACTACATCTCCCATAATGCTCTAAGAGCCATATTGATGGCAAAGATCAGGGGAGATGTAGTCCTAAACATCTGGTACATATACACTTCGATCAGAAGAAAAAAAAGACTAAATAACTGCTAGTTCTTTGTCTTACCTCCAGTAGGCGGCACAGCATCCTTAGATCGTTGCTGTAGTCCTGCAGAGGTGGATAGGCTGCGGGTCACCATGACAGGGCAGTGTTCGGCACTGCGCATGAGAAAGGGACGGGCAACCCGCAGGAACACAGTGGGGTCCCGGGTGTAAAAGGGACAGCACTTAATGAAAGAAGCCATGTTCACACGTTAGGGTATCTGTATGGAAGAGAACGTCATGGGAAAATGTTAACAAAATTATAGACATAGTAAAAATAAATAGGTCTAAAGATTATTTCAGGACCTCTCGCACGATACATGCATGATGCATACTTTTAAATACTGTTTAGAGTGTGTCTACATCTGTGATCCATATCTACAAAGCAATGTTGCTCTCTCATTAGTGGAATGCAAAATGATTCATAAAGTTCCAAGTTGGTATCATATAACTGAGGGGATGATTCAATAAACAGGGAGTTGTGGGCAATAGTGTTATGCTAATTAAGTTCTAGATCAGGGGTGCAAGTAGGTAGATCCCAGATGTTGTAGAACTACAACTCCCATGATCATGAAAGCTGTAATTTTAAAACATGTGGGGATCTACCTTTTGGGGACCCCTGTTCTAGATATTGGAGGAGGAGGATGGAAAATGTAGTCACCTATCCAGCTGAGTGTCATGCCATAGTCCACACCATCTGAAGCGTCAAACCTAGCCAACACTGATACAGTGAACAATGTGGACTAGGCGGCCCCATGTACATTGTCATTGAGTAAGATATTGAGCAGGAAATGTCCCTTGTATTTCCTAATAGAAGTGACAGTTACAGAGAATTTGGAGGATGGAGGAAGCAGCAAATGTCACTATTAGTGCCCAATTTGTTCTTTAACGTGGATGGAGCAAAGTATTAGACCCCAAAGTTCCCTTTAGCTAGAGATTAAAGCATTGAGAAATTTCTTGCTATTTCACTACATTCAGACAGTAATAGGGAAGAGATCACAGACTGTCCTGCAATGTATCTCTGTGTTCAATACATGTTACAACATTTTGCTTTTCTGTAAGTTACAGCTCGGCACAATGAAAGTCCCTGGCACTAGGGATGTTAAAAACTAAATAGACATGAGCAATATCTGTCCACACACAAAGTTTGTTTAAATTTCATTAAATTGACCTCACGTTTACGTAATGTAACTGCTGTAAAATGGAACCTTACTATAAGAGTTTTTGTGTGAGTTTATCATTTGCTCATGGTGAAGTAACTAATCAAACCGTTTTTTAACTGTTTGTAACCAATCTAGGTCCCATGACCATATCCAGTCTGGCCTCCATTTCTTCATTATTTAAAGTGGTCTGAGTGTGGTGTCTCTGTCCCTTTAACCCTACAATGAAAAAACACTGTAATTTCAGAGCTGTGCAGGCTGTGCATGTGCATTAGGTCCCTCCATTGGCATGATGTTACAGGAGGAGTAGAACTAGCCAGCGCTGAAAATGCCCTGGAATGATGTAAGTAAACAAATGGGTTTTAACCCTTTATTCACTGGTGTGTGTGTGTGAGGGGGGGAGTGAACCGAAAGAAATAAGGACAGTATAGTGTCAGAGTTTGTATTTCTAACACTATAGTGTTCCCTTAAAGCAGTCATTATCGTTTGTCAATAGGTATAGCCATATCAGCTGATGGTGTCACACAATGAATTATGTCCGAGCACAGGTGGATTTAAAACTGATTTAATGTAGAAGTTATAGGACTGGAGGCAGGGCCGGCACGTCCTATAGGCGACTTGGGCAGTCTCCTTGGTCGCACTGGCCGCGGTGGGGGGGCGCAAGATTCAAGTGACCAGACAGGAGTGAAGCGCACAGCCGGGCGGTGCAGACTGCGGTACAGGAGCTTCCTGTATCCAGCCGGACTGAAAGGAAGAGGTAGGAGGCACAGCAGGGAAGGGATGGGAGATGTCACTAAGGGACACTGGGGGATGATACCACTAAGGGACACTGGGGAGGAAAGACCACTGCGACACTGGGGGAGGAGAGACCACTAAGGGACACTGGGGAGGAGGGGTGGAGAGACCATAAGGGAAAGATGGGGTGAGAGGAGAGGCCACTAAGGAAACGATGAGGGGTGGGGGGGAGAGCAGAGGCCACTCAGAGAAAGGTGGGGGGCAGGAGAACTCTAAGGAACGGGGGAGGGAGAGCACTATCTTAAGGGGGGGCAGGGGAGAGCACTAAGGGACAGGGGGACAGGGGAGATCACTAAGGAACAGGTGGGGAGGGGGGATCACTAAGGTATAGGAGAAGACTAAGGGACAGGAAGGGATAGGAGAGAACTAAGGGATAGGAGGGGATTGGAGATCACTAAGGGACAGGAGTGGAGAGGAGAGCACTAAGGGACAGGAGGGAAGCGGACAACACTAAGGGACACGAGGGGAGAGTTCTAAGGGACAGGATGGGAGAAGTGGAGATGAGACCACTAAGGGACAGGGAAAGTGGAAGGGATCATTAAGGGACGGAGGGAGTATATATGAATCACAGAGAGGCTGAGGAAGGGGTGAAAAAGAAGCACAGAATGGCTGGTAGGGGAGACAGAGACACACAGAGGGGCTAAGGAGAGAGACACACAGTCGCTTGTGAGGGAGACACACCGAGGGGCCTGGGGGGAAAAGAGACACACCAAAGAGCTGAGAAGAGTAAGACACAAAGGGCCTTGCGGGAGAAAGACACACAAAGGGGCTTGAAGGATGTAGGGGAGACATTATTATTATTTTATTATTTATATAGCGCCAACAAATTCTGTAGCGCTGTACAATGGGTGGACTAACAGACACATAATTGAGATCAGACCACTGGACGTACAGGAACAGAGGGGGTTGAGATCCCTGCTCACACCGAGGGGCCTGGGGGGAAAAGAGACACACCAAAGAGCTGAGAAGAGTAAGACACAAAGGGCCTTGCGGGAGAAAGACACACAAAGGGGCTTGAAGGATGTAGGGGAGACATTATTATTATTTTATTATTTATATAGCGCCAACAAATTCTGTAGCGCTGTACAATGGGTGGACTAACAGACACATAATTGAGATCAGACCACTGGACGTACAGGAACAGAGGGGGTTGAGATCCCTGCTCGATGAGCTTACATGCTAGAGGGAGTGGGGTATAGTGACACAAAGGGTTAAAATAGGGGAATTAAATAGTTTGTTAGAGAAGGGTTTATTGAGTGCTTGGTAGGTCATTTTTGACAGTTGCAGGAAAGGAGTCATTGGGTGGGGGATGAGAAACCTGCTGACAGTTTAATTACGCTTTAATGAAGAAGTGAGTTTTCGAAGATTTTTTTAAGGAGTGGAGGCTGGGTGAAAGTCTGATTGAGGAGGGAAAGGAGTTCCACAGAATAGGTGCAGCCCTGGAGAAGTCTTGAAGGCGAGCATCAGAGGTGGGGATCCGGGCAGAGAAAAGGAGTAGGTCTTGGGCTGAGCGCATGGGTCTCGACGGGACATACTTGTGTATGAGGGAGGATAGGTATGTTGGAGCAGCAATATGTAGGGATTTGTAAGCAAGCGCCAAAATTTTGAATTGGGCCCTATATCTAACTGGAAGCCAGTGCAGGGACTGACAAAGCGTGGAGGCGTGGGAGCCTCGCAGCCGCATTCATTTTAGATTGCAGTGGTGCAAGCTGGGAACATGTAAGACCGGTGAGAAGGGGATTGCAGTAGTCAAGCCGAGAGAGAACAACAGCATGAACCAGTACCTTAGCCGCGTCCGGCGTTAGATATGGGCCGATGCGCGCTATGTTCTTGAGTTGGAAGCGACAGGATTTGGCTATCGATTGGACATGGGGAGTGAAAGAGAGGTCAGAATCCCCTTGGCAGCGAGCCTGCGAGGTAGAGGGGATAGTAGTGCCGTTGACTTGGATGGAGACAGACACAGGAGTAGCAGCACTTGAGGGAGGAAAAACTTGAAGTTCTGTTTTGGACAGGTTGAGTTTAAGGAAGTGAGCAGCCATCCAGTTGGAAATAGCAGAGAGGCAGTCAGAAACACGAGTCAAGGTGGGCGGAGAGAGATCAGGGGAGGACACGTAGATTTGCGTGTCATCTGCATATAAATGATATTGGAAGCCAAAGGAGCTGATGAGTTTACCAAGGGAGGCAGTATAGATAGAGAACAGTAGGGGGCCGAGGACAGAACCTTGGGGGACGCCGACAGAGAAAGGTTGGGGAGAAGAGGCAGAGCCAGAGAAAGAAACACTGAAAAAGCGCTGGAAGAGGTAGGAGGAGCACCAGGAGAGAGCAGTATCCCGTAGACCAAAGTTACGGAGAATGTGAAGAAGCTGTTGATGATCAACAGTGTCAAAGGCAGCAGAAAGATCAAGGAGGATTAGGATAGAGTATTGGCTGCGAGGTTAAGCAGCAATTAAATCGTTGGATACTTTGGTCACAGCAGTTTCGACAGAGTGACCAGTGCGGAATCCAGACTGAAGGGGATCAAGCAGAAAGTTGGATTCGAGAAAGTCTGTCACTCTGGGGGCGCTTGCTGTGTTTAACTGTAGGAGGTGCCATGATGTCAAGTTGAGAGGAGAGAGTGGAGTTGTAGAGTGAGGTTGCAGAGTTAGGGCAGTTGAGATTTGAGATGGGTAAAAGGAGTGTTTGGAGTTTGGTGGAGAAGTGCTGGAGATCGAGGGAGTTAGCAGATGTTAGCAGATGGTGGTCAGACAAAGGAAATGGAACAGTGGTGAGATCACAGGTGGTATATAGATTGGTGAAGATGAGGTCAAGAGACAAACAAAGAGGGGGATAAAAGACACACAAGGGGGTTATAAGAGATACACTAAAGGGGAGTGTAAGACACAAAACGTAAAGAAAAATATACAAAAAAAATTATATTAACAAAATAAATATAATTTAAAAAAAAAAGAGCTGCTCCCCTCTCAACTCCTATCCTACCCCACAAACCCTCTCCTTTACACTACACACATACACAATGCATCCTTTCACATACACAGAAACACACAATACATCCCTACTCATATACAGACACAATAATACATACAATGCATCCTAAACTCACACAGAAACACACCATGCTTCCCTTACACACACAGAAAGACATAATGCATCCATTACACACACACACACACACACACAATGCATCACTTAAACACATACACAGAAGCACACAATGCATCCCTTACACACACACTGCTTCTCTTAATGCATCGCTTACACACACTCAACACACCCCTTACAGGTCACACACACTACATTACATACACAGAAACACACCTTGCATCCCTTACACACACACACACACACCCATAAACACACAATGCATTACTTACACACAAACACACACTGCATCCCCTATACACACACACACTACATCCCTTACAGAAATTGGTATCCCTATACACTACATTCCATAAAACCACACATACATTACATCCTCTACAATAACACATAACACATCCCCTACACACATACACTCCACTCCCTGTGAGCAAACTTATGGCATGTAGGCATCAGGCATATGGGCAGGCCTTGTAGGCATACTCACGGTTAGACCCTGGGAGCCCAGACCGTGATCTGTGTAAGGGGCCCCAAAAAATGGAGCTGCTTCCTGTTCGTTGTGTTTGTGAGCACTGCCTCCAGAGAGCCTGTTTTAACACCAGACCAGTGGAGCCAGACTGCAGTCTGAGCCCATCGTCATCCTCTTGTCCTCATCTGGTGGTAAGTAGGCAATCCAATATATTATTAGTGGCACTAATCTCTAATTTACCTCACATTAAAGGGACACTATAGTCACCAGAACCCTCTATAGTTTAATGAAATGGTTCTGGTGTCTATAGCCTGTCCCTGCAGGCTTTTTAATGAGCACTGGCTTTGGCTCATATGGCAGATCATATCGGTGGGGCATTGTGATGGGGGAGGGGAGGGGGAAAAAATCCTTGCACCGGCCCTAACTGGAGGAGATCTGCAGTCATTATAAGGATTGGTCGTGCAGAAATTAAGGTGCATTGCTTATATGGGGGGACTGTGGATTTACTACAGGTATTGCAGGATTATGGGGACTGTGGATTTAATGCAGGGATTGCAGGATTATGGGGACTGTGGATTTAATGCAGGGATTGCAGGATTATGGGGACTGTGGATTTAATGCAGGGATTGCAGGATTATGGGGACTGCGGATTTAATGCAGGGATTGCAGGATTATGGGGACTGTGGATTTAATGCAGGGATTACAGGATTAGGGGGACCATATTTAAAGCAGGATTTCACAATTAGGAGACTGTGTATTTAATGCAGGGATTGCAGGATTATGGGGACTGTGGATTTAATGCAGGGATTGCAGGATTAGGAGGACTGTGGATTTAATGCAGGGATTGCAGGATTAGGGGACTGGATTTAATGCAGGGATTGCAGGATTAGGGGGGCAGTGAATTTAATGCAGGGCTGCAGGATTAGGGGGATTGTGGATTTAATGCAGGGATTGCAGGATTAGGGGGACTATATTTAATGCAGGGATTGCAGGGTTGGGGCACTGTGGATTTAATGCAAGGATTGCAGGATTAGGGGGGCAGTGAATTTAATGCAGGGATTGCAGGATTAGGGGACTGTGGATTTAATGCAGGGATTGCAGGGATAGGGGCACTGTGGATTTAATGTAGGGATTGTAGGATTAGGGGGCTGTGGATTTAATGCAGGGATTGCAGGATTAGGAGGACTATGGATTTAATGCAGAGATTGCAGGATTAGGGGACTGTGGATTTAATGCAGAGATTGCAGGATTAGGGGACTGTGGATTTAATGCAAGGATTGCAGGATTAGGGGACTGTGGATTTAACGCAGGGATTGCAGGACTAGGGGGACTGTGGATTTAATGCAGGGATTGCAGGATTAGGGGGACTATATTTAATGCAGGGATTGCAGGGTTGGGGCACTGTGGATTTAATGCAGGGATTGCAGGGTTAGGGGCACTGTGGATTTAACGCAGGGATTGCAGGATTAGGGGAACTGTGGATTTAATGCAGGGATTGCAGGATTAGGGGGACTGTGGATTTAATGCAGGGATTGCAGGATTAGGGTGACTATATTTAATGCAGGGATTGCAGGGTTAGGGGCACTGTGGATTTAATGCAGAGATTGCAGGATTATGGGGACTGTGGATTTAATGCAGTGATTGCAGGATTAGGGGGACTGTGGATTTAATGCAGGGATTGCAGAATTAGGGGACAGTGGATTTAATAGAGGAATTGCAGGATTATGGGATAGTGGATTTAATGCGGGGATTGCATGATTATGGGGACTGTGGATTTAATGCAGAGATTGCAGGATTAGGGGAACTGTGGATTTAATGCAAGGATTGCAGGATTAGGGGACTGTGGATTTAATGCAGGGATTGCAGGATTAGGGGACTGTGGATTTAATGCAGAGATTGCAGGATTAGGGGTTTGTGGATTTAATGCAAGGATTGCAGGATTAGGGGACAGTGGATTTAATGCAAGGATGGCAGGATTTGGGGACAGTGGATTTAGTGAAGGGATTGCAGAATACGAGATCCTTTAAAGCAAGAATTATAGAACAGGAATTTGGACCATAAGTGAAATGAATTAACAATTCAATTGCAAAATTTAGGTTAAAACATAAAAGTTTGAAAAAAATGGGTTATATTGTGTGATTCTGCTTCCAGTTAGTAACATAACATTTTACCATTTATTTAATAAATTGAATAGTTTCTCACTAAAACAGAAAAAAAAATATCCCCGCAGCTCTATTTAATCTTGAACACCACATTAAATATTCAACAAATGTATATGTTTTCCTATCAACGCCTGTATATTCCTTCTTTCTAAGAACTCCTGTTACATCTTTTTACCCTGACAGATACACTATTTCTAAATGGCATTATATTCTGGATAATCAGACAATAGTATTACGTGGTACCCTGATTTTTTAATCTACTGCCACATAGATATGCAAAGTACACTACAATGTTCAAGGGCAGGTATGCCCAAAGGTAGATCCCCAGCTCTTATAGAACTACAATCCCCATGATGCTTTGCATGCCCTTAGAATGCCTTTGGAATGATGAAGCATAATGGAAGCTGGGGATCTACCTGTTGGGCACCCCTGTTTTTGGGCTGTTAATGTCCCATATTTAGGGTTTACCCAACTTCTTACACTGAACATGTCTGTCCCCAAAACAGGGAATAACTGGTTTTGGGATGGACTACACCACTAGTGTCAAGTCTGCTTCAGTGGTGAGCAGACCTAAATGCTAAGGGTATGTTAGCGAAATGTTAGATTCCCCCTTTATTTTCTACCCGATGGTTCTAACACAAACGTTGTTATATCTGAATCAAATGAAGGAAAGATTTTTAACATGGCAACAGTGAACCTTATTTTAAAAAAAACCTAAAATGATATAATTTGGCCAAATACCAGTGTTTGAAAGAATTTCGTAGGGTTAGGTAAAGCTAGCTAAGAGTTGGAGTCAGCGCTATGTCCTAGGACAGAGTGTGTATTGGGAGATAATGAGGCTCACTGTTATCTCTGTCCTTCTAATGATGAGCTTTTTGAGGCACACCCAGGAGAGACTGGTCATATCGCACACTCCATATTGTGCTTTTGAGACGACCTACTAGCTTCTAGAATCACTGGTCAAAATATCTTACAAAATGGGTCTCACACTATACATAGTCAGAATTTTTATATACAGCTTGATTTCCTAAAGCAGAGGTTCCCAACCCAGTCCTCAGGTTCCCCCAACCAGTCCAGAATTTAGGGATTACCCTGTTGTGTCTAAAGTGTTTTTTGTTTTTTTTCCCCAAATACACCTTAGACACAATTGATTAATCCTTAAATCCTGGTCTGTTAGGGGGTACTTGAGGATTGGGTTGGGAACCACTGTCCTAAACGGATTTTGCAGAATCCAAAAGCCTTATTTATTTTATTTGTTTACATTGTCCTTTAACATTTGTTCTCCGTAATAGATACATTACATCATAACACTGGCGAAGTCTAAATACCACTTCATCAGTGGGTGCTTTTTAACCTACACTTATAACACAACGGCAGATTAAATAGCATTACACATCAATAAATGTTTAATAATTATCGAAATGAATGAAAACAAACAATACATTTTATAAATTCTGGAGGGTTTATTTTCTGATTTTCGAAGACAAACTTCTTATCTTTGCATAATTACCATGCTATAATAATAATAATAATAATATAAAATGTATACTACCCCCACTTACTATTCTATTTATAAGCCAATTATACCCCTGATGTATACGGTCATTAGTCTGAGACGCGTTAATAAATTAAAGTGGAACTGTCACTTCACAGGAATTTTCAGATAATGTTTACCTATTCTCTATATTTAGCAAATATGTATTTGTGAGGTCCTAAAAATAAAATAAAATTTAAAAATCCACAATTCTTTATCCTGCAAATTGTTCCTCCATCTTAGCCCACTGTCAATCATTCCCAGAATTCTTGTCTTTTTCCATCATTGAACAAGTTAGTGGAAGAGGACAACCTGACACAATGTTTCTGTTTTCCTCCTTGTTTGCATTGTGTGCCCTGGTTGTGCCTGGACTCAACTGGATTGTAATGTCAGTTGCTAAATCTTTAAAACACATTTTAAAAGGTTAACACAAGTTCTAAAAATTTCGTTTTATTCAACTGTGTGATCTCCAGAGAAGTGAAAGGTCCACTCTAAACTAACAACGAAAATAAAAGCTTGAAGAAAATAATATATTGTATACAAACACACACACACGAAAAAAGGAAGCGAACACTGACTGGGATTTGCCAACAGTCAAATCAAATGTATTAAGTGGCAATCATAAGATTGACGCTTCAACCCGTCAAATCCCATGATCCATACGTAACCAAAAAAAACAAAACATATATTTTTTTATTTTTTTTTAAATTCCTTTTTCTCACAACTGCCCATAAAATGTTTTGTCCTGATTTAAAGTGCCAACTATGGATTATTTATTTTAAAAAAAAAAGAAATGTAATTCTTTTTTTTAGAAGAAACATATAACGAAAAAATACCAGTAGCTTTTATCCACTTAATTGGAAATTAGTGACAAGAAAAATGTTTACATTGCTCAGTTAGTGTCTGGGATGAGATGATTTCAATGTCCCAGTAAAAAAAAAAAAGGTCTATATCAGCCTGTGAGTTAAGACTGATAAGAAAAACTGGCTGAATACAGATAGAATGTCTCAAAATTCTGCTGAGGAATCCAAAAAGTGAGAAATACGTATACTTCAAATTGTAACAAACAGAACAACATCTATAAATTAAACTGGTTCGAAAATGTTTAAATCTGACTCACTTGTGTAATTATTCCCAATACTAAACTGTGAATTGCTCAAAATTCAAAGTAAATTTTAAAAATCAACAATTTTATCCAAAAAGCTTATATTTACTTTGCATTCTGAACAATTGACCCATAATTCTTCGTAAGATTTAACCACTAAAGGCTAAAATATACAAGTTGTATTTTTTTCCAAAATCATGATTTTTTTTAACTTAAATGTTGCAGTTTGGTTTTCAATTCAGTTTTAATTTGGTGTTTAGTGAATAAGCCCCTCTATTATTATATGACTAAGCCATCAGTGGATTCTAGCTCCAAAAGCTAACAATCTATTTGTAGATCTCTGTATTAGAATGAGAAAATAAACACGTATAACTAGAATTTAGCTTTCAGGTCACTATATAATGCACCAGTAAAACAAATTAAGAACATTTTAAAATAAATCATGATAAAATATATTTGGAAATGAAGGCACGTTCTACACACCTATTTAAATATTTGAGAAATTCTTGCTGAAAATGCATTTTTGTACTGATTTTCAATAGCAGTTTCTATAACCTGCACAGGATCTAACTTGTGACACCTTAAATATGTTAAGTAATTTTCCGTTATCAAGGGATGCATCTAAAATGGAGTTTTGATGAGTTGAAAACTAAAAAACATAATAGCCAAGAGCTTTTTTTTCTATTGCAAATCGATCGTGAATTCACCGTTTAGAAAATAAACCTCCCATATCGTATCTGGACATCGGAAGATAATAGCTGCTTTTTTAAAATATGGAACCTTCGTACAACAGCTGACTCCCAGATCCTTTAGAACTTTAACTTTGAAGTGTGTACTAGTTTAGGATGATGGGCGTTGAATCCTTTATAACACTGCAGACAATGTAAAGTTAAGTAGTAAATAACATTAAAGTCTTCAGGCGTAAAAAAAAAAAAAAGAAGAGGCTCAATATAATAACATCAAACGTATTTCATTAGATGTGAAACTTTTCTTCTACGTAATAACTGATGCAAAGGATCCAAGAATTTAATTATTTGTGGTCAAGATAAACATTATCTCAAGGGTTTGTCTAAATGCCATGGTTCCAACTGCGATTAATGTTTACCAACATCATCGATGTGAAATATAGCAGCATATATGTGTCATACTGTGGGGTAGCACTTTTCCTGAAGGAAAGATGTGTGTCCGGGAAAAATGATGGATCAGCAATCCCTACTTTTGAAACATGCTTTTTTTTTTGGCTGGCTATACCACTTTGAAAGCATACATAAAGATTATAATGACAAAAATCGGCTTCCTGACATGTTTACGTAAATATCTGGCAAGTATTTAAGTGGTTATGGTGCTTGAAGTATAACTTTAGTCTTTTGGCATCGCTGCCAAAAGTTAAAGCTAAAAATAAAAGAGCTGGAAAATTTTGGGCAACTTGATTCAATAGAATAATTTATCCAACTCGTCTATATTAGCGTCAAGATTCCAACTTAAATCTGAAGTCAACATAATTTGCTATTAATTGAATGGACCCGTATATACCACTTTAAATAGCAGGTGCTTCCATACATTTTATAAAAACACATAAATTTACATGATTTAGAAGAATTCTATAACTCAACCTATATTTTTACAGCTGGCAAATATTTCTAAAATTTGCAATTCCCAGGTACTTACCCACAATTCCTTGTTTCGTAAATACATCTAAAAGTGTATCTAGACCGTATGATATATGCTTTGGGGGTGTAAATGCACTTACCTGTTGCCCTGCACTGAGGACGAACATGAAGTGTGGCTAGGAGCCTAGGAATCTCTATAATTTGCTTGCAGAGAAGGGAGGGGTGGCTTAACAGAGTCACTGGTAGCTCTCATTGGTGTAGGAAGTTTCACAATTCGGAGAGGAGAAAAAAAAAGGACACTTTTAAACACATCACTTCTGTATTTATCAACAGATGAGCCTTACAGCTATTTTTCCCCCCATTCTTTATTTTTGTAGCCCAGGGATATTAACAGTCAGGTAGAATTTTACAGTGAGAACACTGGGATAAAAAAAAAAACAGTGCGAGAAAACGTGTATTATTAGTACATAACCAGTATTACTCTAAATACGAAATGTTAAAAGAAGCAACAACAAAAAAGATCAATAAAGGAATTATAAATGTGTCAATTGTTCGAATGATGAGGCTGAATGCTGATGAACTGTGAGTGACTATTGTAAGCTTGTTCCCTATAAGAAGGTGTTAGAACAGGTAGCGCCTTACATACTTAGGCCCTAGGGGAATATTAGGAGGAACTTATGATAAGTACGATAAACACTTAGATAACCATTAGTCGTTGAACGTGTTGTTTGTCCAACAGTTTTAGCTGCTAGAAATGTTTGTAGTAAATTTTAGCTGCTAGAAATGTTTGTAGTAAATCTACATGTCGTAAATGTGTATCAGGCTGGTGGTACAGAGTATAAGTAGACCATGGATGGTATAGCAAAAGGCATAACGTTTTGGCATACAAGCCTAGAATGGATTGTTATCTTGGGTACAGGATTAGTAAAAAAAAGTTTAAAAAACATGCTACAGAATCTAGCACTATAAGAACCTTTTTGAGAGGCAGAATAAAAAACACTAGAAGGTGTCATAGCAAAGACTTGGCTTGACTCAGAGAATGGTTTACTTGTAAATAGCAGTCAGTCTATGTCACATTGATACCACATTAGGAAGCCTGTTTGAATTCCACTTGTGATATCACGGATAGTGTGATCTCCGTCCTGTGTCTCCGTCCATGTTTGTTGGTTAAGGCTAGCTTATTGGTGCCCGAACACTCCATGTCTCCAATCCCACGTTGTCCAAACATCCACTGACTCCTAAACTGTTATTCACTAAACTGTGACTTGTCGAGAACTGTCAGGGTTATTCACTAAAAGAGAGAATTCAAAGTGAATTTAAAGTGAAATTTTAAATTGTAGTCAAAAGTATCTAAACATGAAGCATAGATAACTTAAATGGACACTATGGTGACAGGAATACAAACACACAAACACTATTTAGCCACCCGGTTCCCATGTCACCAATGTAAAAGGTGAGTTTACTCACCAATATTCCAGCGCCGCGAGGGTCTGCCAGCGCTGGCTCCACCCCCAAAACTGATGATCTCAGCCAATCCAATGCTTTACCATAGAAAAGCATTAGGAGGCTATCGTGCATACACGACAAAACACTGCGCTAGCCTTTAATAATGCATCTCTATGGGAAAAGCTGAGCGTTTCCATGCAGAGCATCGAGATGCTGAATAAAATACATGGAAGAGATTTCAGACCGTCAATGAGATTCAGGTAAATACGATGAGGCAGTTTATGGCAATTCCAACAAAGGAGTTTTTTGAACAGTGGAAGAGACGCTGGGAGAACTGTCCCGATGTGCCGACTTTGAAGGGGACTGAGGTGTCATTGTCCTACGTAAAATGTTTCTTGCATCTTTTTCAATAATGAGGTTTTATATAATCTCGTATTATATTGCTAACATCACACTTGCAATTAATACCAAAAGACATCTGTTATTAAGTAGAATTGTCCAGAATGCTTCACTTTTATTTAAAATATATTCATTATTACCTCCTCTTTTAGGTGTAAAGCACCTCTTTAGTTAGGACTTAGGAGAACTAATTTTTTTTTTGTGATATCTAAAATATGTTCTCTAATACGTTCACGTTGGGTTTGGTGCTGACAATTACAATGGGCCTAGTTACAGAATCTGTATTGGCAGAACACACTAAACAGTCATACCTATCAAGCATCATATCTGGTGGAGGTGGTGCCAGTGGGAAACTCACAGGATCAGTGGTGGGACTACCAGATTTTTAGGGTTAGCTGCTGTTACCGTGCCCATCACTCTAAGGGGCCCAGCTGCCCTCTCATCCCGGTGGGCTGTCAAAATTTCAGGGCCCATATTCGCCGGTTGACCGGTAGGAAGGGAGTGCACAGCACTACCACTGCATGTAGAGTGGTCGAGTGGATCACAGTCTGACAGGAATTGCTAACTGACAGCAACAAGTGGAGGTGAGTAGGTACAGGAGAGGAGGGGATGGTGAGAAACACATGGAGGGGCGGAAGAGAATAAGACACATAGTAGAGTTGGGGAGAGAATGAGACACATGGAGGGGCTGGGGGCAGAGGCACAACTAGAAACCACTGGGCTCCGACGAAAATTGCCCTTGGACCCCTCATGTGTCTCATCCCCCCATGCCACCCCCTCTACTTGTCTAATTCACCCTCGCCAGCCCCTCCACGTTACTTATCTCCCCCACGCCACCCCCTTTACATGTCTTATTTCCCCTCGCTAGCCCCTCTACGTGTCTCATTCCCACCCCAGTTCTTACAAGTGTCTCATTACCCCCAGCCTCTCCACGTGTCTCATTGCCACCCCAGTTCCTCCACATGTCTCATTCCCCCAGGCCCTCCATGTGTCTCTCCAACCCTGCATATGTCTCTCCCAACCCTTTCATGTTTCTCTTTCACCTCCATGTGTCTCTCTCACCCCCCAGCCCCTTCATGTGTCTCTCTCACTCCCCAGCCCCTTCATGCGTCTCTCCAACCCTGCATGTGTCTCTCCCAACCCCTTCATGTTTCTCTTTCACCCCATGTGTCTCTCCTCCAACCTGCATCCTTTGGAGAAAGCCTTAGTCGCCATGGCTCCCCTGACCGAGTGTGCTCCATACACCGAAGTGTCGATGCCCGCTGATTCCATAATCCATTTGACCCAACGAGACAATGTGACTGTTGAAACAGGGTGATATGGATGACGAAGGGCCAAGAATAACTCCGGATATGCAGGGTCACGAGTCGAAGAAGTCCTGGACTCGTATTCCTTGAGACATGCCACTGGACATAGCTTAGAGTTATGTGGAAAGGCCGGGAAGAAAACTGAGGTGATTGACGTCTTCGTACACCTGGAAATATTAAACGAGACACCTTCGGGGGTGAAAGAAAAATATAAATGTACTTAGCTGAGGAAGGCAGCAGCAAGAAAGAGGAGTGGCTTAAGGTCACATGGGGAGTTGATGGTGCTGAAGGCTTTATGATTGGTTGTACTGTTATAGGATTAACCCTTTGGGTGCATGTTTACATGTTTGATTTGTTTCTCTAAAATAAATTTTTTGCTGCTGAGGAATAAAAGAAAGAGAATAAGCATAATATGAGCCTCCGTGTCCTTAATAAAATCATGACTTTACGTCATGAAATTAGTAAAATCTGGTAATTGTCCAGCAGTGTTTTGTTGTTGAGTGTATGGAACTGTTTTGGGCATGGGACCATGTGCACGTTGGGGCAAAAATAAGCCTTCCAGGAAATTCCTGAACACCTGAACCGATATGGGTGATTTTTGGATATGTTGTTCAACCAGATCGTGGCTATCACGGGATGTGTGTGGGGATATGTTGTATTTTGGGGTACTTTTTGGGGTTTGTAAAAAACTTTTTTCTGTTTAGAGTTAATTGAGTTAGCCCATTGTCTTTGTTAAGGGGAGGGATAGTTAGGGGAGGGATTGTGTGCTGTAAGTGGGAGTGTTGGACATTGTTGTATTGTTCTGATTGGTTTGTGTCCTTTGTGTGCCTGTGTTCCATCAGGTCCAGGGGGTGTGCCCCTGGCCTGATGAATTGTATAAAAGCAAACGTGTACCAATAAAGCCTTAGACTTGTTCTACCCTTCATGAAGTCTTGTCTCATATTTGGGGGATTGGAGAACTATACTCCCCAGAGTATAATCACTAAGCTCTTGTAAGAGCTGTTCCTGTTCCTGCTCTCTGGATTAAGAGAGGTCTACCTACTGGATAATGCATGAAACCTTACCCATTAATATTTCCATTGGTGCCTTACATAAGGAAGAAATTACATTTCAGGTTATTGCGTCCCCTTCCTGTCCGATCATATTAGGCTTTCCATGGCTTAACAAGCATAACCCTCATATTGACTGGGCTAATGGGGAAATATTAGAATGGAGTAAGGATTTCTATGAAAGGTGTATATTGGGCACTACTGAATTACCCATGAGTACACCTCAAACCCCAGAAATCCCTATACAGTACCAAGACATTAAAGAAGTATTCATCAAAACTCAGTCGAATTCTCTACCTCCTCACCGACCATATGACTGTTCCATTAATTTACTACCCGACGCTATGCCACCTAAGGGAGCAGTCAATGCTCTGTCACCTCAGGAGAGTAGAGTAATGGAGGAATATATTTAGGATTCATTGAATAAAGGCCACATATAAAAAATCATCCTCGCCTGCTGGGGCAGGATTCTTTTTTGTATCTAAAAAGGATGGTGAGTTGCGCCCATGTATCGATTACAGAGCATTGAACAAAATCACCATTAAAAACGCCTACCCCATTCTTCTGATTGCTGAATTTTTTTTTTTTTTATTCTTTATTTTTCAATAAACATAACAGGTGTACATTCACTTTTGGGCTTATAAAGAAGCCAATTGAATTACATATCATTGCAAGGGAATACAAGTCAACATTATCATTGCAAGCCCGTTCCTTAATTTACCTTTGTCACCCGCCGTCTATTGAGGTATTTTATATTTAAAATAAGAACAGGCAGGTAAGCACTACAAGTAGCACTATATTTGCTAATCAGTCTCATACCTGTGCTACATTATTCCTCCAACCGTGTGATCTTGCCTGGAAAAAAACAAAACAAGAACAAAGAGAGAAGAAGAGAGAAAGAAGAAGAAAAGATAGATATAATAAGTAAAGCTGAGTGAGGAAAAAATAGGGAAGACGGGGGTTGAGGGGAGGGCGGGGGCTCCACAGCCACTACGTTGACAGTTATGTTACTTCTAGTGGGGGTCTTTCCGTTTTGGGTTCATGCCTGGAGGGGGGAGGCCCTCAGTCTCCATTTGAGCCAACTATACTATTGTCCCATGGTTCCCAAGTTTTTTGGAATGTCGCGATGGTCCCTCTCACCCTTGCCATTAGGTCATCCATAATTCTACATTCTTTGATTCTGGAAATAACCCCTGTGAATTCTGGGTACTCAGGTGAAAGCCACGCTGTCGCTATTGCTCGGCGTGCACACAGAGTAATCTTGTGTACTAATTTCTGTTCCCTTTTGGTCCATCCGTCCATAGATCTATTCAATAATTATATCCACGGGTCCATTCCCAGGGGTCTATCGAACGTCTGTCTCAACAGATCCTCCACGGACCTCCAGAATCCACGTAGCTTCGGGCATTCCCACCACATGTGGATGTATGTTCCTCGGGCTCCACAACCCCTCCAGCAATCGTCAGTCTCCCGTTTGTGCATTCTGTATAGTTTGACTGGGGTAGTATACCCAGGGCCGGCGCTACCATAAGGCGGCCCAGGCGGCCGCCTTAGGGCGCACCAGCCCTGGGGGCGCGACATCAGGCAGACAGGAAGGAGGGAAGCGCACCTGGCTCCCCTCCAGCTGGTTACTACTTGTAGAGTGGCCGAGTGCAGCCCAGAGATTCCTGCCCGCGGAGCTCAGCCTCGGCCCGCCCACCTCCTATCCTGGTGTCTGCCGCAGGCTGTGTGGAGGGGGCGGGGATATGAATGACATCATATCCCTGCTCCCTGTGTCCCACACAGCGCGGCTGGCGCCCTGTGATGGGGCTGGGTTGCAGGACTGGACTCCACAGAGCCGGACAGCATGCACCCAGGGGACAAGATTTAACAGATGTAAGTATGTAATTATATATGTCTGTGTATGTATGTCTCTGTATGTATGTCTGTATGAATGTGTGTCTGTATGTCTCTATGTATGTCTCTATGTATGTCTCTATGTATGTATGTATGTATGTATGTATGTCTCTGTATGTCTCTGTCTGTATGTATGTCTCTGTATGTATGTATGTATGTCTCTGTATGTGTGTATGTCTGTATGTCTGTGTATGTATGTCTCTGTATGTATGTATCTATCTCTATGTATGTATGTCTCTGTATGCATGCATGTATCTGTATGCATGCATGTATGTAACTAAATGTTTGTTTGTCTCTGAATGTCTGTATATATGTCTCTGTATGCATGTGTGTAACTGTATGCCTTTATGTCTCTGTATGTACATATGTGTCTGTGTGTCTCTGTATGCCTGTATGTCTTTGTATGTATGTTTATGTATGTATGTCTGTATGACGGTTTGCCTCTCTATGTATGAATGTTTGTATGTGTCTGTATGCCTGTATGTCTTGTATGTATGTATGTTTCTGTATGCCTGTATGTCTCTGTATGTATGCCTGTATGTCTTTGTATGTATGTTTCTGTATGCCTGTATATATGTATGTCTCTGTATGCCTGTATATATGTATGTGTCTGTATGGCAGTATGTCTCTGTATGCATGCATGTCTTTGTATGCCTGTATGTATGTATGTGTCTGTATGTATGTATGTGCCTGGATGTCTTTGTATGTATGTTTCTGTATGTATGTATGTGTCTGTATGACGGTATGCCTCTGTATGTATGCATGTTTTTATATGCCTTCATGTCTCTGTATGCATGTATGTCTTTGCCTGTATGTCTGTATGTCTCTGACTGACTGTATGTGTCTAAATGTCTCTGTATGATTATTTCTGTGTTTGTATGACAGTGTACCTGTATGACTTTGACTGTGTGACTGAAAAATTATGCCTGTGGCTTGGGAGGAAATACACACAGGTGAAGATGCATTTTTTTTTTAAAGGAGGTTGAGGGGCACCAAAATGCATGTTCGCCTGTGTAACTAAAAATCCTAGCACCGGCACTGAGTATACCAACTAAACATAGTTTTCCATGCCTGCTCCTGGAAAGTGACACATATTGAGACTTTAGCATTCGCCTCCCATATCTCCTGCCACTCGACTCCCTCCAGAATCTCCCCGAGGTCGGTCTTCCATTGGTCAGTGTATGTAGGATGCAGTGCAGTGGGGCTCCCGATATCTGTACCTGTGCCCGTACGTTGTGATACATCGCTCTCGTTATTGTTAAGTATTCTTCTGGGAAGCCCATACTCTTCAAGACTGGGAATAGAAATTGCCACCGGACTCTATCGAATGCTTTTTCTGCATCTATGGATACCACTAACGTGGGGGTCCCTGAAGCCACTTGCTTCCAAATCAAATCTATGTTCCTTCTAGTGTTTTGACTTTGTCGACTTTGCATAAACCCGACCTGGTCTGCATGAATAAGAGAGTTCAACAACGGGTTCAGCCTGTCTGCTTGTATTTTCGCCAAGATCTTCAGATCGTGGTTGATCAACGATTTGGGCCTGTAGTTTTCTGGGTATAGTGGATCCTTTCCGGGCTTGGGCAATAGCACTATGGTTGCCAGTGACATGTCAGGATCCAATTGTCCGCCCTGCCGTAGGTTATCAAAAAGTCGGACCATTTGAGGTGTTAGCTCGTCTCTGAAGATTTTGTAATATGAGCCATCGAATCCATCTGGCCCTGGTGCTTTATTGCCTTTCAGAATCGAGATAGCTTTGTCCACTTCGTCTTCTGAAATATCTGCCGCCAGAGTGCGTACTGCCTCTCCACTCAATCTGGTCAACCTTAGCTTGTCCAGGTATTGCAATATATACTCCTCCTCATGCTCCCCGTGGGGGCTTCCGTCCGGTGTGTGGTTATACAATCTTTTATAAAAAATCTTCGAAGATCTGCGCTATCTCAATTGGTCTTGATCTCGTCGTGCCATCCGGATGTTTGATTGCCGTTATGTGGGACCTCTCCTGCCTCGGCCATAGCGTCCTGGCCAGGAGGGTGTCCATCTTGTTCGCCTTTTCAAAAAATGTCGTTTTTGACCAGACCATGGATCTAGCCGTATCGTCCATTAGTAGAGTGTGGATGCCTTGTCTAACTGCTTCCAGTTGCCTGAGAGTGCCCTCTGTTGGCACAGTTTAGTGTTTTTGTTCAAGGGATCTCAGTTGTCCCAGTAAAGTTTCCAGCTTCTGGTGCTTCATTTTCTTTCTTTTGGTGGCCAGTTTGATCAAGGTCCCTCTAATGACAACTTTGTGAGCCGCCCAAATCGTGCTTGCGTTCACCTCGGGGGTGGTGTTCAATTCGAAGTAATCTGTGATTCCTTTCCTAGTCTGTTCCAATATCTCCGGATCTCGAAGCAATGACGTGTTCAGTTTCCACGTTCATGGTGAGGCAACGCATAGGTTGCCCAATGTGATAGATATATCTGCGTGGTCTGACAATGATATATTACCCACCTGTGACCCTACTGTTCGGGACATGCCCGCTGCATTAGCCAAGAAGAGGTCTATCCTCGACTACGTTCCGTGGGAAGCTGAGTAAAATGAATAGTCTTTATCCCCTGGGTGATGAGCTCGCCATATATCTACCATTCCCGTTTCGGCTATGAAGTCTTTAAGTAGACGGTCCTGGCCGCCCCTACCCTGCGATCTAGGTATTCCCTTCCGCGAGCTCCTGTCCACAGCCGGGCATGGGGCCGCATTGAAGTCGCCCCCTATAAATAACATTCCGTGGGGCAACTCCAAGATTTTCTCCCAAAGCACTCCCCAAAACCTGGGGTCCGACTGATTTGGCGCGTAGATGTTTATTAGATGAATGGTATGCGAGTGTAGGACGCCCGTAATAATAACAAAACGACCTTCCGGGTCTGCTTCATAGTATGTCTTACGGAAGGGGCAGCTACTTCTAATAAGGATCGCTACCCCATTTCGTTTGCAGTGGGACCTGGCCTCGTATGAACCAGCATATGCGTGGTCTCTCAACCGAAACTTGGCCTACTTTGGCAAATGGGTCTCTTGGACAAACGCAATGTCCAATTTCATTCTTTTCAGTTCTTTGAACAGGAGTCGACGTTTCTTTGGGGTGTTAAGGCCCTTAACGTTCAGGGAAGTGATCTTAATCTCCATCGGGAGGTACGTTTAGGACTCTGTATATATCTCTTATGACCTTTGTCCGGGCACGCTCCCTGTCAGGACTCCAAGATAAAACTGCTGCTAGCCCCCCGCCCTCGCCATCCCGCAGAATAAGATTAAAGAGAAAAAAAAGTGGGGTAAAGAGAAGAAAAAGTAGAGAATAAGAACTGCATCTGGACTCAGTCCGATGCACTGTAATTCTGGTCTTACCAATTACCAGAATATTGTGGGGAACATCATCCCACTTCCCTGCCACGATCAACGTTGGGAGGAACAATGGGACCATGAACTCCTCCACCTAGGCGCCACTTATTAGTTGATTGGACCTCTGGGTTAACATCGCCCGACTCTCCTCCCACTTTGTGTCTTCCCCTTTCCCCTCCCCTCCCTTGCCCCCTCCCCACCCTCACTTCCTAGCGCCCACGTTGGTACAAACGGATAAATGTTTTATGGGTGTTTTCTTCGACCCCCCGTGACACGCATCCCCCCCCCCCAAAAAAAAGTTAAACTCAAGAATAGTGATGTACCGAACTGTTGCCGAACGGATCACGAACGGTTCGCCACGAACGGTTCGCCACGGACTCATCATTGAGTAAACTTTGACCCCGTACCTCACAGTCAGCAGACACATTCCAGCCAATCAGCAGCAGACCCTCCTTCCCAGACCCTCCCACCTCCTGGACAGCTCACTAAGAATGCACCTTCACAATGGATGCTGTCCAGGAGGTGGGAGGGTCTGGGAGGACAATGCTAGGGGACAATCCTTAGAAAGCATGGAGCGAGCGCATCATTAGACGCATTTATGCCAAACTCAGGATGCTGTTGGCCAGCATGCATGACTGACCGGCAGCCTGACATGTATTCATGCCAGGCTAGCCTTCAATTCTTTGAGCAGACACGCCTCCTTTTTGGGCATGTTCGTCCCTTTCGGGAGTTCTGGTTACATGATCCACGTCAGTGGCCCACCCTTTTACACTGCCCATTGACTTCCTGCTTCACTGGACACTCCTGTTAGGGAGTATGGTTTTACTTGAAAGATGAAAGCATGAATTAGAGAGATTAGCATATTTTAAGAGAATCTGAGTTTTCTTATAGCTGCATCCTATGTCTTTCCCTCTGGCAACATCTCCAGATAAGATTCTGTACTTAGACTCCTCATAATTGTCAGCACCAGCCCACTGGGCGCTTAATCTGGGCCTGGATAAATGACTTTACAAACAAAATATACAATGTATCTTTTTTGATATTTTCTAGCATATTTTACAACAGCCACTAGGTGGGGCTATAGCGGTCATATAGCTGTCATTCTTAAATTTGTTTATAGTAGTTTATGTGCCTTTAAGACCCAGGTACACCACATCATGTTTAGTGGCATAGTTAAAGGATTAGGAATATATTTGGAATATTCCTAAATTTCAGAACCTGAAGGTCCAAAACGTGTTCCGATTTTTATTTTGACTGTCCCCTGTATCGTTTTTGTTTTTTGTGCTACATAAACTTCTCATTGTTCGAATGAGCACTTGCTTTGGCGTTCTGTTTATTTTTTGTGTCCTGTACTTTGTGGATCCTGGGATCGCATCCTCCTTGCCTGGCGTCTCATCGATCATTGGGTGAGTGTAGTTTTGTCTCCTCTTGCTTTTTGAGTCTATTTAATTAATTCTCAGATTTTTTAAGACAGCGTAGGATACCTGTACGCCTTGTCCTGTTTATTTGTTTTATTTTTTCCTTTTATACAGATTGTGTTCTCTTAGTCATGTGCAATTCTCTTTGTTCCAAATCAATTTTCATCAAATTCAGCCAAATTTGGCCGTTTGGAATCATCTGAATTTCTGAATCGAAAAACAATTGAATTCAGAATGAATCAGAATTAATTATTTAGAATCCATTCATTTCCATAAAGATGGCAAATAAGGGACTTATCTACTAACCAACTGAAACAGTGAAATTAAGACAATTTAGCTATTTTAGCTGTTTAATAGATAGGTCCTTATTTTGGTATCCTTATGTGGGAGTGTCATAAGTAAGGATACCAAATTAGGGACTTATCTACTACGCATCTGAAATAGCAAAATAATTAAAAGGGCTTTTCTTAATTTTGGTTGCTCAGCTGTTTAGTAGGTAGCTCCCAGATTTGGTATCCTAATGTGGGATTGCCATATTTAAACATATTAAATTAGGGTACTGTTTAGCACATAGCACCCTTATTTGGTACCCTTAAATATGCAGACCCAAGTAAGGATACCAAATTAGGGAGTTATCTGCTAAACATCTGAAAGCTAATCATTAAGAAAAAAAAGCCCTTTTATTAATGTTGACCTTTCAGATGTTTAACATATAGCTAACTAATTTAGAACCCTTATGGGGGATTACCATTTAAGGGTACCAAATTAGCACCCTGTCTGCTAAACAGCACCCTCATTTGGTATCCTTTGGAATAATGGCCCACATTGTTTTTTGCTTCTGAAATTTTTCAGAATTTCAGTTCGTTTCAAATCAATAATTTGCTATTTTCAGCCAAGCGGAAATTTGAAACAAAGCAAATATTTTGCTTTTTTAAATTTTTTTAAAGATATTCCAAACCATATCTATAAATCCAAAAAGGAATGTCCATGCCACCTAAAATATGGGCCAGAATATGCAGATATTTCTCCCCCACATAGACTTAATATACAATATTACATGTCCCTGTTCTTCTGAATAAAAATTGTAAACCCAAATCTGTAATATTTATGGAGTAGATATATATATTTTTTTAATAAATGGATTTCTTTTTTAAGTATGCTCTTTAATCTTGTTTTAGGTATTTACTGCTTGAGCGGCCTCTTTGGAAAAGGCAGTACCCCTCCTTCAAATGTATCTAATCGAATATTTTATTAATATATCTTCATTTTTTTTGTTTCTTTATTTATGATCATTTAACCTGTAATCAATAAATAAATAAAAATCAGATTTTCAGCGTAATTCTTTTAGATGAGGTAAGCGTATTTCCTTATTGAATATGTTAAGTTAAGAGAAAAGCAGATGTTCAACCTGCGACCACATTATCTTATGTAAAAATCTATCCTTTAACATAATTACTTCTACTCTTTCACTTGTGCTCTGGTGTATTTTTCAAACTGGCCACTACGTGAAGCTGTATTACAGGCTTCCTTGCATCAGCCAGTCCAGACTCATCATCTGAGATATTTTTGCTTGTTTCCAAAGATTCTTACTCTTGTATCTGAAACAGGTCTCCAACTCCAGTGGTCCTCTGGGAGCTTCTGGATTTGCAAGCATCGCGGACTGGTATTGTGAAAACCTCAGAAGAGCGAAATATTGACTGCAATTTGCATAACATTTTCGGCTGTTTTACTTAAGAAACCAACTGTCTCACCGACATGTACGCTCAACACTGGAAGGCATTCATTCTGGAAAATATTTTATTGCATTCAAATTAAATAGGCGAGTACTAAAACTACAAACATTTCAAATTCTGAAATTAGGATTAATATTTTTAAATGTAATATGAAAGATATGACAACATAAGCTATATATTAAAGGACCACTCTAGGCACCCAGACCACTTCAGCTTAATGAAGTGGTCTGGGTGCCAGGTCCAGCTAGGGTTAACCCATTTTTTAATAAACATAGCAGTTTCAGAGAACAGGATTATATACAGAGCACTTGGGATGTAAATGCTGATTAAGAATGAATAAAGATACGCCATTTTCTTCGCTGAAATTTCAAAGTATGATTTTTCCGGCATTGTAAGCAATAAGCAGTGCCCCTCAGTTCAATAATGAGAAGATTGGGAACTCAGTTCCCTATGCAAAGATAGTAAGGGAACAGAGTTGCCATTGCTTCCCACCACATTAGAGTCCCAATTGTCAATACATCGACTTTATTTCTCCCCAATTCTTACATTGGGTGGAGACAGTCTCCAGTATTTGATTTGTTTTTGACAGGAAGACCATAATGAGAGTCAATACATCTCCTTCTGCATAATGAGAATTTACAGGTTCCTCTCCGAAAAAACGTTTGTAGATATTTGGAAGAGCGTAGCTTTTTCTTTCCCCGTTACTTCCTTGATTGTCCAGGTTTTGGAACACTTTGAGAGAGTCCATGCACAGCAAAGAACTGGGAAGATCTATATTTTGTCGTTGCAGTTCACACTTCAGGAGGGGATAGTCGTAGGAAAAGCCATTGTGAGCTACAAGACATACAGGTTGAGCTTGGCGAATTAAGAATTCACTTACGATGTTAAAGAGGCAAGAGTTGAAGTGTTGCTTCTCATTGTTTCCAAGATTTGTGTTACTGAGACCTGTTATTTTGGAAGCAAAACCATTGATGGGCTTCCCTGGGTCAACACAAAGACTCAGCTTGTCCAGGATGCGAGGTAGCTGTGGATGTCCGGAACTATTGGTAACTGAGTTCTCCAAGGAGGAGACATGGATAGCTACTAAACAGATCTCCGTTATTTTTGGATTCTCATTATTAAGGCCTGTTGCTTCCAAGTCCATAAACACAAAGGTTTTTACGGAATTGGCCATATTGTCAATCTGAAATGAGAAATAGTGGTATCATAGTGACACTGTTAGTGAAAGATCTGAAGTTCTGGTGGCATTGTTCTAAGATTAATGTCATTTCATGGGGTTTTATTAAAATGCAACAATCAGATATCTGGAAATTACACTATTGAATAAAACACTGAAAATCACCTATAGCGTGTTAAAATAACCTTTTTTTCATAAGTTCATCTATTTTCTTTCAAATGTTTATTATAAGACTTAGCAAATGCATTCCCAATCCAGTTCAGTCCTGGCTCACCAGGGCACATATTGCCGGAGGAGGAATATATACTCAACTTTGGCCTCTGCCTTGCATACTGGGTGAAGGGATAGGCATCAGGGATATTTATATGCCGCCCCTCCCAACCCCAGGTTAATATCAGATCCTACACTAGGTTTCTAAAATCGGCAGTGGACTTAAAAAACCCCTGTCTTTTCAAAGTAAAGGTTTCACGTTGGTAAACACAGACAATATTGCATGTTTGAGTTTTGACACCATTTATCAAGGGCCATAGGGATGTTGCTGTTTCGATCATGTGTACTGGTGCTTCTTTCCTGTAACAGTCAGGTTTTTTTTTCCTTTTGTGATTCTGCCAGCTTGTAGTGGTCAGCATTAAATAAAGCGTTACCGTGTAATGGCGAAACGCGTCAGGAATGGCTAAACAAGCTGTGTTATAATTATTTTCCACCATGCTGACAAATTATATCAATTTGGAGAGCCTAGATTAATACTGGCTGTTTAGTTGAAATTATTTTATTTTTATTTATTTAATTCACTTTTCTTTATTGTTTTGGAGAATTATTATCTGGTACACTGTTTTTTCTCTCTCTCTCTCTCTATATATATATATATATATTGGATTCTCTACAATAGTTGAGATATTAATTTACCTGATCGACAGGATAGGTGCCGCTGTAGAGAGAGTATTCACTATCTTATGTTAACACTATTTAGGCAATAAGCCCTTATAGGCAGACTAATTGTAAGTGTCAATTAATCAGGCTTGCAGTAAGTATTTTCTTTACTTAATTTTTATATATATTATGCTTTATTTTTGGATGATCACAGCCTAGCGCATGTGGGATAGGTGCCCTTGAAGGCACTATTATATGTGATTAATTACAGTATCGTTTAGGCAGATACCCCTCTTTTAATACTAAATATTAGAGATCTCCATAGGTGCCCTATAAGTCTCAGATGTTGAGGATCCTTGTAATTTAATATTGTCAGGCAGCTAACCGTTCCCGCATATGGTAAACTAATTGAGGGTAGTTGTAGTAACTGATAACTGATGATAGAACATTCAGCCGTACACCTGTGTATTTAGAAAATCATTTAATTCCTGACTTTCAGCTTTGCTATTATTGGAGTGTTCTTTTTTTCACCTCCCTTATTACTTCATTAAAAATTTGTAATTGGGAAGTTTAACATATATTGCTTCATTGCTGCAGTTGCCTCATTGTAAGCTAGTACCACAATGTAATGTTGAAACTTATACTACAGCTTAAAGTGACAGTATAGTCACCAGAACAACTACAGAGAAAATGCAGTGTTTACATTACAGCCTAGAGATCTCCACTGGCCACTCCTCCCACGGCTACTAGAAGTGCTTCCTGGGGCAGTGCTGCACACTGTGCACTGTGCAGCACTGTCATTTAGTGTCTCCACCCTCTGCATGGAGACACTGAACTTTCCTCATAGAGATGCATTGATTCAAAACATCTCTATGAGGAGATGCTGATTGGCCAGGACTGTGTTTGGCTTGTGCTGGCTCTGCCCCTGATCTGCGTCCTTAACAGTCTCAGCCAATCTAATGCTTTCCTATGGGAAACCATTGTGATTGGCTCAGATCACCACTTCTGCTGATGCCTGCCAAGCAGGCAGATTAGGGACAGAGCCAGCAGCAGACTGGTATAAGGGTAAGATTTAGCTATATTTAGGTAGGCAAGTCAGGGTCAGGGGGGCTAGATGGTGGTTTTAACACTATAGGGTCAGGAATACATGTTTGTGCTCCTGACCCTATAATGTTCCTTTAATATGGATATATTGAGGTTAGAATTAACATAATTGAAAAGAGGAAGAAAGAACCCTACCTAAAAGATATAGTCTAAAATTTAACTTTTAATAGTGAAAAAAATACAAAGTGATCATTTCACACATTTATTCTTAGTAAGTCTAGATATATGCATACCAAGACATAGAGAGATAATGTGAAAAAATTTAAGATTTAAAAAAATGGACAGACAGTATCTAGATATCAAAGGTGTGGTTAACAATGTCTATATAGAAACTGTCTGCTATTGTGGTTGTCTACTGTTGCAATTTGTCAAGAGTACTCTGTTACAGTGACAGTTTCTATATAGACATTGTTAACCACACCTTTGATATCTAGATACTGTCTGTCCATTTTTTTAAATCTTAAATTTTTTCACATTATCTCTCTATGTCTTGGTATGCATATATCTAGACTTACTAAGAATAAATGTGTGAAATGATCACTTTGTATTTTTTTCACTATTAAAAGTTACATTTTAGACTATATCTTTTAGGTAGGGTTCTTTCTTCTTCTTTTCAATCATACTTGCATTTAGGGTTAACCCCTTCACTACCTTGACACTTTACTTTTATACTAGGCTTTCACTTTGTTAAACTTTCTAGAATTAACATAATTTCACATTTTTCAGTTGGAGAAATTCACCCACTTTAACAAATGTAATAACACTTTATGTCTTTTGTTATAACTTTCATACTATCTCTTTTTCTTTGGGATCGATTTTCCACTCTAGATTTATTAAACTGCATTTTTAATCTTAATGTAATAAACGCTAAGTTTTAACATTTGTCTTTGTTTCTTTGGAGAAATCAACAGATTTTATTTTTGCCTCTGGGGTTACCCCTTACTTTCATAAATGAACCCGTTGCATATATTTGCATGTTGTTTTGCAAATCAGTATTAATGGGGTTCACTTTTTAGTGAGAAAATACTATCCACTGTCTTATGTCAGGAGAACACTGAGTAGGCATCCTACAGTATTGTCCATTGTTATTGTTCGTTAGGACAGAATATGTCTTGATATCTGGGATGTGGGGTAGGCATCAAATTAAGTTAAAACATGATCAGTTGGACAATGGGATGAGGCACAATTGGTAGGTAGCAAGTAGCAAATTAGAAAAACTGCTGCTAGTGTAACTTTGTCAGAACCCCTTGTTGCCATCTCTGGATACCTGGCCAATTTGCATTGTGGGAAATTAACAAGTCTCTCATTGTACAAATCCTTAACGGGACACTATGGGCACCTAAACAACTTTAGCTTAATTGAGTGATTTTGGTGTATAGTGCCCCTGCAGTCTCACTGCTCAGTTGTCTGCCATTTGGGAGTTAAATCGCTTTGTTTATACAACCCTAGTCATACCTCCCTGCATGTGACTTACACAACTTTCCTAAACACTTCCTTCAAAAATATATCTAATGTTTAAACTTCCTTTATTGCGTATTCTGTTTAATTTAGAATTCCCTACTTTCTTCTCTGTTAAGACCCTTCTAGATCCTGCAGGAGCCTCCTTTACAGAGCAGGAGATAAAAACGTCTAAAACAAGTGAACAATTTATAGAAAATGAAACATTTTCTTATTAACATCCCTTTAAAACATAATCTCAGGTTGTGCAAAACGTGGGCAGCGTTATTCAACAAACCCAGGTTTGTAGCGAGTTTAATAGTCTTTTTTTAAAAACCCTACTTACTTGGAAAATGCTTCCTTCTAGAGCTCTCTGCAGTACAAGGTTAAATAGGGCCATTGAATGAGGTACCTGTGACCGTGAGGGGTGCAAAGCCATGGGTGTTGGTCAGACTCCCAAATATATTTACATAGGAAACCAGGAAGGCTGTACTCACTTAAACATGCATACATTGTAAGAGTGCTCCTGGGGCCATTTAATACAACATACAACACATCCGCTAAATGCCAACTTCAAAGCTCAGAAAGTTTTTAATATTTAAAAAAAAACATCTGACTTGGCAAAAATAATGGGGCTTTGTCATATATGTACAAGCCTGCCACAACACCAATGTGTGTGTGTGTTTACATTTTTATTTATTTATTTTTAAAGCTATATGTCAGTCTCCGTGCCTCGCAGGTAGGAGGGCAAACTGTTGCAAAATGAATACCCCAAAGAACAGTGCCATGTACTCCTGGCATCAACAGGCTGCAGTGGTTATGATGCTCTGAGTAAACTTTCAAGTATATAATTGCTAATCAGTAATTATAGTTAATTTGGAAAATTAGCCTTTATTTTGCCATTCCAATTTCAGTTAACTGCAATCTGAAGTCTAGTTAATGAAAACATAGGGACTTTCCCTTAAATTTCTAGGTCTCTTGGTAGATACAGTAATAACATTCTCACTAGCATAGAATGTAAAAATGATACAAATGTCAATTCGCATTAAGCGGGTTCCTTCTTTACAATAATGCAATCACTTACCTGATAGTAAGACTGAGAAGTAGATTTGCCACTGCCAGCTGATCTGTTCCTGTTACAACATGTTCTGGCTTAATTTAAATGACACAGAGAAACCAGCCACCCACAGGGGGCGGTTTTACACAGATCACATGAAAAGGAAGAAATACAATCTTATGTTATTCACTACTTCCTGGATTCCGAAATATGTGTAAACATTCTGCCAAACATTGTAAAAATTGTATTTAAAAAACCCCTGAGAATACTGCGAGTTGATCTTTTTTTATCTGATCTAACTCTGCTATTTTGGAATGACGTTTCAAAACCTCCTGCCAGTTCTCCATAAATACCAGTTTAGTAAATAATCCCTAATGTGTAGCAGGCGATGCTGTCCCTTGATACATAAAGAACAGAAATCTGGGTTTTATCTCAGTGGCTACAAGACCTGATATTCCCCTGTTTCACTTGTGCTTTTAAAACAGAACTGTCTCAGTTCCTCGTTCCATCTCTGCAATACATTGTATTAAAGTGTTTGCTGATTGAATATTATTTATTTCTTTATAAAATATTTTACCAGGATGGATACATTGAGATTTCTCTCTTTTTCAAGTATGTCCTGGGTCCACAAAACATTGCATTGATACATTATGGTACAATAAAATACAAAAACAATATTAAATATATACAAAATGTAACACAATATATACAAAATGTAACATGGAACAGGTATGAAATATATAATCAGCCATGACAGGTGCATTCTGTTTTGAGATATGTAGAGAGGGATCTCTTAAAGGACTTTAGGCTTGGGGAAGATTTTAAAGTGTGCGGGTGGTCGTTCCACAATTGCGATGCTCTGTAGGAGAAGGAGGATTGGGCCACTTTCTTTTTGTATTGAGGTAGACTAAATAAAGTGTTGGTACTGGATCGGAGGTTATAGGAGGTGGGAACAGTCGGGAGATCATTCTGCTCAGGTAGGGTGGGAGTTTCCCAGAAAAGCTCTTAAACACAAGGCTGGAAAGATCAAGGGTGCGTCAGAATTCCAGTGACAACCAGTTTAGTTATTTTAGCATGTCACAATGGTGAGTCCTGTAATCACATTGTAGCACAAATCGGCAGAACGTGTTATACAATGTATTGAGATTATTAATGTGGGATTGCGGTGCAGGTGCATATACTACATCCCCATAATCAATGATTGGCATCAGCATTTGCAAATATATGCATAATTACCTGTCCTGCACTTACGTGTTCAGGGAGATGTTGCTGTCGCATGATGCCTTGGAAATACTCATGTGTGCTTTAACATCTATAGAGACTTGCTATACGTGCGCATGCACACAGAGGGATTTATTCCATGGAGTGGCTGCAGAGGTTAATTTACATAGCATCGGGGTACAAGACGGGCATATAAATTAAAATACAAAAAGTATACGAAAATTGACAATTATTTAATATTTCAGTATTTAATAGATATATTAGTTCGCTTTTTGCGAAATAAAGCTTTGGTGACAGTCCATAAGGTAAATTTCTTTAATTGGCATCTCATAGAAAAAGAGATGTCTTATAGCTGTAATACTTTTTGTAGATTGCTGCAGCAGTAACCCACTGTGTGCTGAGATACGGTGAAAGGAGACCTCATTGCACTCTAACCTGTGCAAAGGGCATAGGTTGTTATGGTACTTAGAGTATTGCGTTAAATCAGAACAATCACTTGAGAAGTGACAGTCCTTGCTTCCTTCACCCTAGTTAATTCTATTTCAGTGTTTACTGTAATGAATAACTCAAGATAGGTAAGGTACAAGCTTTCTTACCTCCGCTGGGTTCTCGGATTTTTTTTGTTTTGCGGATCCATGTTGCTTTGGGCACATACTGGGGGCTCAGGTATCGAACAAATAAATTCTGTACGAGGACATGCCCCGTGTGTACGGCGTTGAAAGAGTTAACTCATTTACATACCGTGTAAATTAAAATTAAATATTAGATTTGTTTTAGCACAACCGATATCTAACAGGTTGTGCCAAAATGGAAAAAAAGTTACAAGTTCCTTTTTGTGAGTCACTGCTGTAAAGTAATTAGTTTATCTCAGTTTCAATAAATAACAAAAAAAAACAGACCAAGAAATGTGTTTTATTTTTTAAAAGATCCTTCGGTTTCAGTCTAGCATTGAGTTCAGAGTGTGCTTGTGAGGGTAAATGTGTGTATATGGGCGTGGGAGGGAGGGACGAGAGTGAGTCAGACTAGGAAAAATGAAACCGAAACCTGATAATTTGCAGTCATTTTTATGATAAGTTGTAAATATTCTTCTGGGAAATGTCCGTTTGTAGTTTTATTTTGTAATATACTGGCAATAAGCATACTCTACTACCAATAATTATAGATCCTTCAGAAACCCTGCAGTGGTGGAGTACTTTTCTGATGATGCTTTTATTGCTGTGGACCACTTCTCCAAGCTGAATGAAGATCTTGGGAGCAGTAGTAATTTCGGCCGCAAATTTCAATTTAGATTTAGTCAGTCTTTTGACTAAAAAGCCATTTTACTTTTAGTCATATTTTAATCATCTGATTTTTTTAAAATTTTTAGTCTACTTTTAGTCGACTACATCTCAAAAATTTTAGTCGACAAAAATTTGGCTGAAATTGTTCGCCAACAAAATTAACCAGGCTTGGGCGAGATATTCCGCAGTAGATGGTTTGTCAAACACTGTCATAGACCATTGAACCTTCCCCACATTTTACAAGTTGCAGTCGGAGCGTTCCTACCTAGTTCATTGCCAAGATACCGTTAATATATACCATATTATACATTATAATTAAAGGGACACTATAGGCACCAAAAAAAGAATAAAATATTAGATTTTTTTTTTTTAGCACTATAGCTACTAGGTTGTGCTAAAGTTCAAGAGATAACAGTGTCCTTGGTGTGAATCACAACTGTAAAATAATTAATCATAGTTTTGATAAAGATGTTAAAAGCCCAGATAACGTATTTGTGAAAAGAACCTTAGGTATTGGTCTAGCATTGAGTTCAGAGTTTGTTGTAAGGGTAAATGTGTGTATATGGGTGCGGGAGGGAGGGATGACAGTGAGTCATCCTTGTAGAAAAAGCGAAACAGAATCCTGATAATTTGCATTAATGTTTATGATAAGTTGTAAATATTATCTTCTAGAAAATGTCCTTTGTAGTTTTATTTTATAACATACTGGCAATAACCTTACTCTATGCTACCAATACTTATAGATCCTTCAGAAATCCTGCTGTGGTGGAGCACTTTCCCCGTGATGTTTCAGATGTTGTGGACCACTGCAAGCTGAATGAAGAGGATGTTAGTTATATTCCACAATAGATGGTGTGTCAAAGAATACCTTACCCCATGGCTCTCTTTTAAAATCTCCACCACACTTTATAGGCTGCAGCTGGAGGGTTCCTATCTAGTCCATTGCCAATATACCTACCGTTAATATATATTATAAATTATAATTTTAAAGGGAGACTCCGAACACCAATACTACTTTAATAATTTTGACCTCATTAAAATGTTGTGCATGACACAAGTGTAAAACAAAAACTGTACGTACCTTGGCGGTCAGCCGATCAGCTGTTTCTCCTTCTGTGCCTCCTGTGCACTCAGACAGCCTTCTGGATGCCGACCGCTGTGCGTACGCCCCTAATTATGATGTGGTGTATGCGAGCTGGCGTTATAACATCACTTGGGTCAAAACCACTAAACACCAACAATCTCTCACATTTTGGGGGCGTGGTTAGACACCCCCCAATCATATAAAAACCCACTTTTGCCCATATACAGTGCCCTCCTGTGGTTCCTAGTGTCCCAAGAGTGCGTTATTGTTCTGTATTTTCTCCTATTGGTATTTGACTCAGCTTATTCTCTGACTATCCTGTTTTCTGGCTGCTTTGACCCAGCTTTTGTTATCGTTATTTTCTGGTTCCCTTTGACCTTTGCTTGCTCTGAAGCTCGTTTCTCATTTTTATTAAGTCCTATTTTATCCATTCTAAGGACCAGTGTAGGTACTTTCTCTGTCTCTATTCTGGTGTGTTTATTTTCTGCATGTTGGGTCAGTCTGTGACAATAAGTAAATGTTTGCAAAATGCTGCACCATAAGCCGTCCTTTTTAGCCACGCCCCCTCACCCCAAAAAAAGACTTCCTTTTCAAATGTATGCACACAGCTCAGCCACTGACAGTACTGAGTGATCTGAGTTATAAAACAACTTGCATCTATCAAATACATTCATTTTATTCTGCTGCTTTGAGTGTCCCTTTAATGTAATAATGCAAAATAATATATTTTATCCATTTATCCACCAATGAACACAGCCTAAACAGGACAGGGGACCTAGGAATGGGGAGCTTGACATTACATAGTATTACATAGTTACATAGCTGAAAAGAGACTTGAGTCCATCAAGTTCAGCCTTCCTCACATATGTTTTTGCTGTTGATCCAAAAGAAGGCAAAAAACCCAGTCTGTAGCGCTTCCAATTTTGCAACAAACTAGGAAAAAAATCCTTCTTGACCCCAAAATGGCAGCCAGATGTCTCCTAATGTCCCTATTACCCCACTAATTATAAATTATATCCCTGTATGCTATGTTTTTGCAAGTATTTATACAATTGCAGTTTAAACATCTGTATGGACTCTGATAAAACCACCTCTTCAGGCAGAGAATTCCATATCCTTAGTCAGCTACAGTGCGGTACGAGCTTGGTGTAGGGAATCCCAGGTAATAATCAATACCTGAGCCTCTCCTCTATCTGCTGGGGCCGCACTTAGCAGGTCAACGCTGATCAATGAGCTGTTGGAGCGCTCAAAGTGATAAATGTAACAGGTTTCTTTTAGAAGTTTTTTTGTATATAAAAGCTATTTTCGTTGGGATAGCACTCCCCAAGTGAGGTTCCTGACGGCTAGGAAGAACTTGTTGGACTAATAAATAGAAAGTATTAAAAGTAATTTATTGTCCTTCCTAGCCGTCAGGAACCTCACTTGGGGAGTGCTATCCCAACGAAAATAGCACACTGTCAATCAACCTCAGAGCCGGGAATCCAAGGCTCTGTTTAAGGTGAGCACAACCATTACCCCTAATACTATACCTATATTTTATACAATAATACACAGCTGGTTTGTCTCTTTCTCATTCTATATCCCTGGAGGAATATCGTTCTGGACAAGGGTTGTGTTGCTGCCCAAAAAGCATAAAGGATTTTACTTACGGAGCCAATACCACATAGGCTCCAGTCCAGGTGAGTGCTTTCAGTCACTTATTACTATCACTCACCTTCATTTGAAAACCATTCGCACTATATTTTTTATTTTTGTTTCATTTTGCACATTCAAGCGTATACTTCCAGATGGTCATTGCATTGAAGGGGTGAGTGTACCCCTCCACTATTCATATTGTTATAGCGCTCCACTCCTTGGTATATAGTCTTTACCATTCTCTTCTAATATCTGGATTTTACTGTGGACAAAGGGTATTCCACTTTTTTTGTGTTGAGCTCCTTTTTCTGTTTAGGCACTTTAGAGTATCACTCACTATCCCTGGAAAGAGATAGCTGTTTCTTTCTGTTAACAATGCTCTCTTGAGCTAGTTGCAGGATAAAGAGATTGTAATGTCTACATTTAATAGAATGTTCACACCTCATAAAATAAATTTTTATTAAAAATAAGTAGAAAAAAAAAATTGAAAATAAATTCCCCCTTCAAGTAGAACTATTGTAAGATGATCAGGTAATAATTAAATACATTATGCTGACGGGATGAAAATGAAACTCTTGGTGTTTGGAACAGGAAATGTTTTCTGTTTAGTGCTGGGCTAGTCTTCTGTCGTACTTTTTCATTGTGGGTTGGGCTCTGACAGCTTTGTATGAGAAACGAAACAGAATGGAGGTACATAACAGCCTTTATGATAAGATATAGTAACCATTTCCTAGAAAAGGTTGTGTGTAGCTTTAATTCCATATATTTATACTGAGTTAAAACAGCATTGCAAAATAGGCAATTGTGAAGGACCACAAAAGAAAGTGAACTTAAAGCATTTTTACAATTTAGATAAAGATAAAATAAATACAATGTAACTCTCTCCCCATTTACAATCTCCCTGTCCCATCTCCAAAATTGCTAGTTTTATATTTTACCAGTAAAGAATGATAATGCATAATTGCTAACCTACTGCCAAGGAAGTATTTTCATTTTTTTTTATAATCTAATAGAATATCCTGATCACGATAAATACCAAATACCAGTTGCAATATTGAAATGCTTTAAGATTTTGTATATGATATTATCATATTAATCATATTATGGTACCCTGGGCATTGTTTTTCATTTTGTTTGATGGTGGACACACCCACCGGTACAGCGTAATAATGTCATTTTTATGAGACTGCTTCCGTAATAATGTCATTTTTGTTTCAGGATTTTTTTACACTGCTTAGTGAATCTTCCACTTTTCACTTCCAACATAGCTTTCGACTCCTTTTTGAAGGTGGATTCGCTGTGGCATATGTCCATTATAATCTGCAATTCTATTGGCTCGTTTCTCTACCTATCACACTGGGAGGTGCCCTATTTAGGATTGAAAAGGTTCCAGATTCCGTCCCCCTAGAAAAGAACTGATCATTGTGCTCTATTCTCTGGCCGGTTCTGTCACTAGCATGTGGCGTAATTGCAATACTGTGGAACCTGGCTGCACACTTTATTTTATTCCCGGGAGTAGTGGGAGTCCGAGTGCAGGACTTATTTTTGTGTATTTATATTTGCTTTAGTAGCACACAGCCATTTTACAATGCTGCCGCCCAGTCCATGTGTTCCCTATTAAGGGTTAATAAGTATGTAGGGTTTAAAAAAATACCCCTCTCGGTCTCTTTAAATATAAATATATATATATATTTTTTTTTACCTGAAGCTTAATGAAGCAAGTAAATTGTTAGTGCAGGACCCACCGAAAAGGTTTGCCTTGACGTGGCAGGTGGGCTTACACCTAACGGCCATTGGAAGGAAACTAAAAACCTCCATTTATCTAAATATGCACAGGGATTTGGATACTGCGCGGGTCATTTTTTTTTTCTTTGGTTTTCATACTTTATTCTATACTGATAATAATATTACCTGTTATCTCTTACTTTTTGTGCAGTAGTAGAGAATTTTAATCCAGAATATTGTAGCATGGTTGGGATGTTTAGTCTGGTATAGGGGTTATCGAAGGGACCGATTCTTAGGGGCTATGCTTCTTGATCCGCACTGCCTCTCCCTGCTGCTTTTTTCTACCTTTTATTTTTTTTTTATG